AGGTGAACTCTCTGTGCTTCAAACTATGAACAGATAGATTGCATTATCACAGTGTGGTCTCATCCCTGTGACACCCCCTCCTCAAATAAAAAAAAAAAGAGAAAGAAAATTGAAGAGCCGTGTCCTCTCTGTCTCCTCTGTGGTGAAGCAGACCCACAGAGAGAGATGAGGAGAGGAGGAGTCTGAACAGTCCGAGTCTGCAGACAGAAACATGAAGCTGCTCGGCTGAACTCTGAACAGCACGTCTGACTGTGGAGTGAAATCTCAGCCCACCGGTGAGTCAAAACTTTGACTTTTTTTTTTTCCGCTTTTCTTTGAAAATATTCTGCAGGGAGAATACTCACACAGGCAGACACCTCAGATTATATTTACATCCTTAATATTCTGGATTTGTTCAAACTACAAAGTACTGCTACTGCTTCATGCTTCTTTCACCAAACTTTTCATCTTATCCCTTCAGTTTATTGATCGGTGCCGTTGGACTTATCAAGTTTTTTGAGGTAGATTAACAGCTGGTCTGAAAATAATTATAATAATAGTATTAAAAATACTAATAAGAAGTAAAATGAAAAGTGCCTTCAGGTTACTTTGGTTCAAATTTTGGGGCAGAAAAATAAAAACTGGCAGATAACTAAAACTAACTTAGAGTAAATTAGTGAAACAATATGAATATAAATGAGTATGAATTAATGCGTATACCATGTTTTTCATGTTGTCATTCAGTTTATTTATTTCACATTCATCAAAATTGAGCAAAGAGCTCACATCTCAAAATTCATCATGTTCTTTTTGCATAAATCAATGCTAGTGATAATCTTTTATCATTTTCTAGCCTTCATATAACCTGTTAGTCCTACTGAGTTTGAAAATCTCTTTTTAAGGGAGACCTGGCCAAAGACAGAAAGCAGCAAGCCACACAAATTTGCAGACCCAGATCCACAGGAGAGTCCAAGAGCACTATGATTTGGAAGGAATAGAGTCCAGCTGTGCCACTTTGTATGCGAAATCCAACGTTATTCAGAAGAATCTGCTTCAAATTCTGTCATTCAGGATCTAAAGTCATTTAAAGATGTGAGCTCTATGAGTTTTGATTCATTCTGCAATAAAAAAACCCAAAAGCCCTTTTACCAATTTTTTTACTGTCCAGCAGGTTTTTCTCTGATAAAAACACTAAAGTAATGTAACAGCACGCCAAAAACAGCTATATGGATGAGGGTGTACCAATGTTTGGATGGTGTGATTTTATTTTATTGCAAATATTAGAATAAAAATCAAAAAATAAAACAAAATGGAGACAAAAGTGCAAAACGAGATAGTCAAACACTTTACATGTATGGTTGGAAAAGAGGGGGAGGAAGTTCCACGCACTGTGTGGAATAGCCTATGGGCCAGCATGTTCATCCGTCTGTGTGACAGCTTTTTTTAATGTTAAACAGATGACAATTATGTGAAAGCTTGTGGAAGATATCCAACTCTGTTTTATTGGTAATAAGCAATAATCAGATATGCCTCCACAGATCGTGCAGAAACATTGAACAAACAGGAGTTTTTTGATAAACCAGGTGAACATATTTATTAAAGACTTATTCAAATGTTTGATCATTAGATTTTTAACCGAACCTTCTCACTCTTATTTTAGATCTTCAGAATAAAATGATGACATAACAGAATATCTGATTTAAACAAGGACATGGTTTCAGTCTTATTTTATTGATCATTCATGCAGACAGAGTAAAAACAGACACAGTGATAACTCAGGAGGAAAATTTACCTTATTTGGTCAAAATTATACTTTTTATCTTTTCTCTCTATAAACTTTAAAGATATTTGTCCACTTGTCCACTCTTATTTATTATGTATTAGCTCAGCGAGGACTTTCTCACTCGAATAAGTTAAATTCATGATTGATTTTTCCTCAATATTTTCACAAACACAGATACAGACTCATTTAACAGTACAGAAAACACGCAATGGCTACACAAATTAATACAACACGTACAGCAGACATTAAGTTTGAGTTATTTTGCAGCATTTTTACACATATGAGAAACAGTCAGTCAACTATTAGTCCAACCAACAGTGAAGCGTCTCTTAAGGTATGAAAAAATACCTTTCAGTCGCACTTAACCTTAGAGAGCAAAGAGCAAACCGTCCTTTCAGTGATGTTTGTTTTCATGTATTTTTGCCTCTCGGTTTGTATCCACATACTTTTGTTGGCTTATTTATGGAATTCAGGGTCTTTCAAATGCACTTTACCTTTTTTGGAAGAAAAGTATAAGAAAATAAAAGAAATTAATTTGTAACGCAATCACTCAGAAAAAAAAATCTTCCTTGTTGCTACTGCCAAGTAATAAAACCTCAAAAAATGTATTTTTTCTGAGCGAAATCCAAAAACCTTAACTCCATCAATCTGAGGTAGACTGGTAAGTCAGTTTTTTCAGTGTAGTAAAAACTTAAAGACCAGATCTGAGTGTTTTTCGTCTGATCAGAGCAGACTCCAAAACTGAGAATGATACCACGTGGAGTTTGATGGTTTGTTTCTCCACTGGTTAAAAGGTCTTCCTGGTGGTTTATGAGGTTCTTTAGAAACTTGTAGAAATTGTCTTTAATTACATAATTCACTTTGGATTTCTTTTTTATGTATGCATTGCGCTGCAGCTGTTCTGATGGAGTTAAGGTTTGTAATGGTTTGCATGTTTTGATGGTCTGTGGTCTGAGATATCCATGGATCTGGTGGTTCTGTTTTCTGGTTTGAAGCTCTAGTGAAGCTTATGAATCCGATGGATCTGTTGGTTCTAATAAGTCTGATGGATGTTACTAATCTGATGGTTTTAATGGACTTTATGGATCTAGTGTGACTAATGGAGGTGATGGCTCATGGACATACAGGCTCTGATGAATCTGAGTTTTAGATGGCTGTGATGGATCTGATGGTTCTGGCTTTAATTAGTACAGCCTGTATTAGTAATGTCTTCTATTCTTTACAGGCTATGCTAATCTATGCCAGAACCAGCAAAGCACAGAGCCTACAGACTGACGGTGTTTACTTCCCATACAGAGTAAAATTCTCTGTAAGTTCCATCCAGAGTCACTCAGGATCACCTGGTCCATCTGAACAATGAAGGATTACCTTTTCAACTCTATACCATGTAGTATCACCTGTGCCTGTTCAAATCATGGATCACACAACAGTTTGGGACCATCCACATTCACCCGTTCCCATCTAAACATTTCCAGGATCACCAGTTCTATTCAAACTATCTAGGGTTCTCTATTGCTGAATGAACCATCCAGGATCATCAGTGCAGTCTGAATGATCTTAAATCACCTGCCTTGACTGAACCATCCTGTCCTGTCTGAACCATTCAGAATCAGTTGTTCAGTCTGAACCATCGAAAACTACCAGTTTTTGTTGAACTCATCCAGGGTCAGTGGTCACATCTGAACCATCAAGGCTCTCCTCTCCAGTATTAACCATCCAATATTCCATGTGACCAACTACACCATTGAAAATGCCTTATTACTCCTGAAAGCTTCATGAGTCACCTGTCCTGTAAGGATCATTCAGAACCTCCTGGGATCAACTCAACCTCCACTTCCTATCTTGAACCCCAGCCACTAATCAACAGCCTTATAACTTATCAGGACACTAACACTACTCATGACTACTCATCAGGACCGATGCCAACCATGACAGCCCCCACAACTCACTGGAACCTTACCACTCATCAGCAGGACACCTACCAACCATTAGGACTCATACTGACCATTAGAACCACCACCTCCCATCAGGTCTGCTACCACCCGTCAGGACACCAACCAACCATTTGAGTTCATAAAAACCACTAGGACTACCACCACCATTTATCAGGCCCTCTACTACTCATCAAGACCACTACAGGCCATCAGGATCCCTCCTGCTTAAAAGGACAGCCACCACCAAGGAAGATCCCTACTAACCAAAGATGCCCCAAGCACCCACCAGAACCCCCACCCATCAGGACTTCCACCATTTATCAGGATCCCATTACCACCCATTGGGGTCTACAACAACCAACAGGACCCCTATAACTCATCAGAACATTGCTATCACCCATAAGAATTACACCACTAACCAGAATTCCTACCACCCATTAAGACCCTGGCAACTATCAGGACCATAACTATTCAACGCAACATGCACCAACAATTGGGCTCCCACCCAACAATTAGGACCCCTTTCGCTCATCAAAACTCTTAGCGATAGGATCTTCATCAATCATTGCCCTACCACCCGCCTGGACACCGACCATTAATAAGATTTCCTCTTACCACCACCAGCATTTCTCAGAACCCATCAGGATCCTTCCCCACTGTCAAGACCCCTTACCATCTATGAAGATCCAAACCAACCATCAGGACCCACACTACCGCTCAGGATCATCACCACCCATCAGGACCCCTTCCTTTCACCAGGACCCAAACCATCCATTATTCTACCATTCATTAGGATCACCACCACCTCCATGACACAAATGTTCCTCCCTTAATGGTTGATAAATTTTTTAATTTTCTTTTAACATTTTGAAGTGGTTTTAATGCCATTGCTGTTGTGTTTAGAGGTTTTTTTAGGACATTTATGTTTGTTTGTTTTTTTCTTTCTTTCTTTTTTTTTTTTTTTTTTTTTGTATTTTTTGATGTTCTGGCTGAGGAGCATTAGACATGGAAGAACAATACAAATCTATGAATATTAAAAACTTGATTTAAAGTCTGCTACTCCAGAGGAAAAAGAAGAGTTACTCCTGGTTAAAACCAAAATAGAAGACACTGTGACAGAGCTTAATTCTACAGTACTGGAAGATATGTAAACATGAGAATCAGAACCAACAGGCAGACTACAGAGCATCTTTGCTGAAGGTGACGTCTGACGGTTTAATCAATCAAAAAGAAAACAGAAGAAAGAAAAAGGCAGAAAATCACTTTTTATAAAATGTAAGAATAAATGTGGAAATTTGTAAATGCTGCTCTTTTCTCTAATTTCTTCTCTTTTCTTGCAGATGTTTTATTTGCCACCATGAACCCGACATCCAGCTCTGACTCTGTCCTCGTCCTCGCGGGAAGCTCCCCTCCTGGTATCACAAACCTCAGAATAGAAACAGGATCCAAATCTGAGAGCTTCAGAAGAACAGAGACATGCAGATAACTTTTGAATATCATCACTATTTCTGTGAAAGCTTGAAATAAGAAAAGAGGAATCATGAAGCCCTCAGTTTAAAGATACTTGAGTTTCTTAAAATTTAGACACTGGGGAAAACTTTATTAAGAGACAAATAAAAGAATTAAAAATCAGTTCAGCCTGATTTGCTGTGTGCTGCTGTGCTTACCTGTCTCCCAGGTGTGTCGTATCGGGAGCTGTCAGCTCTGTCAGACAGCGTTGGTGGGTGGAAGCTTCATAACGTCAGTGATGTCATGATTTCAGGAAATGTCTCTGCATCTGCAACTAACAGCACGCTTACGCTGACTGAGGAAGAGTTTGACCCTTTAGGAGGACACACGGTGTGGCAGGTAAAAAAAAACAAACACCAAGATTGTGTCAGTTTTATTCTGTCGCTCTGCCTGAAATAAAGACCAGGCATTTTTTGGGCCCATCACAAATTTACACCCAAGAAATCCCACATGTGCAGAGTGTGCTGGGTAATTTGAGGCCTGGCTCAGTGAATTCCAGGCCTTCAGTAGCGAGGAATGATAACCATCAGACAAACAGAAAGCTCTCTCTTCACATGGCCGCTCAAAGCTTCAGGGATTTTACGGCTCATTTGAAACAGGAGCTTATCTTTCCGTTCCAAAATAAACTCTGACTCCGAGGACGCCCTGAGAGCTGTTTCAAGCTATTAATCACGTTATTCATTTTAAAACAACACAGGAAATCATATCTGCGGCACCATCTGACTCCCAGAGAGCTCCTGTTATTATTCATAATGAAAAAAATCACACAGGTGTCTTCATTTAATGCTTAGGTGTGATAATGGTAATGATTATTATCCCGCAGAGACCACACTGGGTCAGTCTGTATATTCTCCTTTTTCCTTTATCTATTTTCTTTCTGATTGTCCTTCATAATAATCTGATGGCTGATACTGATGAGATTACATATTCTTTCAAATGTTTTATGTGGTTTATGCAGAGAGCTAAGATTTTTATTTATTTTTTAAGTCTGTGATAAGTTTCTTACTCCAAGTAAAAATCCTAACCATTCTCTGGATCTTTCTCATCTTCCTCATCAGGTGATTATCATCGTCTTTCTCACCGGGTCGCTCTCTCTAGTCACTGTGGTTGGAAACATCCTGGTGTTGGTGTCCTTTAAGATCAATAAGGCCCTGAAGACGGTGAATAACTATTACCTGCTCAGCCTGGCGTTTGCAGACCTGACCATCGGGACTCTGTCTATGAACCTGTACACCACCTACATCATCATGGACCAGTGGGCTCTGGGCCCTGTCGTCTGTGACCTCTGGCTAGCTATAGACTACGTGGCCAGTAACGCCTCAGTCATGAACCTGCTGGTCATCAGCTTTGACAGGTAGAGTATTTTTTTTTGTTGTTGTTTATAGAGGAGTCTGAGTTTTACACCCTGCAAACCCTCGGATCACATCTGATATCAGGCCAAACTATGAGGTTCATCTTGGGGCGGCAGTAGCTCAGGAGGTAGAGCGGTCGTCGAATAACCGGAAGGCTGGCGTTTCGATTCCCCCCTATCCCAAGTCTGTCCATTGTGTCCTTGGGCACTTAACCCACCTTGCTCCCACTATGTGTCCTCCACTGGTGTATGAATGTGAGTGTTGTGTGGTGGTTGGTTGGAGAGGCTGTAGACGCAAACTGGCAGCCATGTGTCCATCAGTCTGCCCCAGGACTGCTGTGACTACACAGTAGTTTACCACCACCAAGGTGTGGCTCTGTGGGCGAATGAATGATGTATCCATGTAAAGCGCTTTGAGGATCTCTGATAAAGTGCTATATAAAATCAGATGCATTATTATTATCTCCACAAGCAAATAGTTACAACACACATTTCGGCATGATGGGTTTTAAGACGGGATTGAAAATAGAAAGAGTTGATGTTACTGAAGTCTCGAGAGAGGGAGTTTCAGAGTCAGGGAGTAGGGGGACTAAAGGTTCTGGAGCCCACGGTGTTTAAACTGTCTGGTGGGACAGTGATGTGGAGGGAGGAAGAGGACCTGAGAGAGTAAAAGGGGGTGCTGATGTGAAGGAGGTGGGAAAGGTATGGAGAGGCGAGATTATGGATGGCCAAATGGATAGCAATGAAAATTACCTGGAATTTATGGAAGATATGACCAAGAAGAAGTATGTAGATAATGAAGAGAAGGGGGCCAAGAACAGAACCTTGGGGAACACTGGAAAAGACAGAAGAGGAATGGCATTGGAATGATTTCAGTTGTCAGAACTGAGTGGACCTCCCACTCCAAACCAAACTCTAAAACTTTCATGCCCCCCTGCCTCTGTAAACCCTCAACAGAAAAAGGTTTCAGCTCATACCAAACATGCAGCAAGAAACTGACTCTGCTTCTTTATTTAGTGCTCTAGAGCCAACATGAGGTTGGAGTTCAGGCGTCAAATTAGTTAAACACGCATGTTTGAGGTACAGATATTATCTGAAATGGACAAACACACACCTGAAGCATTAGTTTTGGAGTGCATCAAACTGCTTTGACACATGATATCGAACACTGTTTCCAGTTTGGAGGGTCATAAGAGGACCTGCTCACCACAGCACCTTTCTGATTTTCTCCCTTTTGAAGGCAAAGAAAAGAAACAAGGAAATAAAAGGACAAAATGCAGTGAGTGAGAGGAGAGGAAGGGGGGGTGGACAGAGAGAGGCAGAGAGGTCAACACTGAGGTGCTCCACTCTGCTTCTCTCTGTACCTTCTTTATCCCATCAGTGAGGATCAAATTCAATGTTCTAGGAAGTATGATGCTGGTCACTTCTTTATGATAACACTATTTAAGAATTATTAAATAAAGTAATCAAGCACAAATTCTGCATTAGTCATGTGAAGGAAACTCGCTAGAAAAGGAACGACATGTCGGCAGGAGAGCTGTTTCAATAAACCCTCTTATCCCCGAAAAAAAGTTAAATATTGATACTGCGCTATAAATCAGTGTACAGGTATACCCAGAGTTCATAGTGGTGGTTCTTTATGCTTATTAGATGATGTCCTAAAACAGAGGATGGATAAAGAAGCAGCAGACTGCCAGAGAACCAGCTGCAGCAGTTTTTAAAGAGACAATAAGGCACTTTCAAAAAAAAGCTTACTTCAGCATTTTTACTCGCTAACCATTTATTTAGTTATTTAGTTCCCTTGGACTGGCAGTAAAAAAGTGACAAATCCTTGACTGAGGAAGCTGGTATCTACAATCATTTGAAGATTGTGTTTTAAAAATGACCAAACAATTCTGTGTTGTCCTAGTTCCATGCCCCTTCATAAATTTTGGGACTTGCCCCTCTTTAAGTCTCCGTTCAGGCCTGCATACAGTCTCAGTTTCAGGTTGATCTGGTTTCAGGTTGGCATTGTGTTGTGAGCTGTCAGGAACAGGAATAAATTTGTCGTTTGTAAAGTCATTATTTAAAGGTGATTGTTGTTGGTACAGTGAAGAAAGTTTTTTATACTTTATCCTTATTGTCTGCTTTCTCTCAGGTATTTCTCCGTGACCAGACCTTTGACCTACCGGGCCAAACGTACCACAAAGCGAGCCATGACGATGATCTGCTTGGCCTGGTCCATCTCTTTTATCCTCTGGGCCCCAGCCATCCTGTTCTGGCAGTACATTGTAGGCGAGCGGACAGTCCAACCCAACGAGTGCTACATCCAATTCCTATCAGAGCCCATCATTACGTTCTGCACCGCCATCGCCGCCTTTTACCTGCCCGTCACTATCATGGCCACCCTATTCTGGAAGATCTTTCAGGAGACAGAGAAGCGTGCAAAAGAGTTCCAAGGTCTGAAGGGATCAGGAGCAGGAAACAAAGCTGGTCAGGCTCAGACTCAGGGGGGTGGGAGTGGACGAGGTGGAGGGGATGTAGCGAACAACAGCCAGAAGGATTCTTCAGCCATGCAACGCCAGATGAGCTCTCAGAGCAGCAGTAGCTGTGAACTGAACCAGACCAAGGACAACTCCAGCATCCCAGGAGGAGGAGGAGGAGGAGGAGGAAGGTGTGCAGCATTCTGCTTCAAGTGTACATCACTGCTGCCAGGGCGTCACGCCTCCAAGAGGTCCATCAACACCACTACGACCACCGCAGGTGAGGCTGAGCACAGCAGCTGTGACAGCCTCAACAACAATGAAGAAGAGGAGGAAGAGGAGGCCGATGGAGAAACAGGTCTGACATCACACACATAACTGCTGCTATTACAGGATATTTAAATCATTTTATAACTGCAAAAATAAGCTTTCTCTTGGATCAACTTATGGAAAGTCAGTTAGCGAGGGGGTCAGATGAGCCACAAGGGGAAAAACTGCTCCTCCCACAATATAAGTTAAACAGAACTTTTAAACCTCACATCCTTCTGTCAAAGCAGGACAAACTCAGCACATCTTTGAGGTTTTATTCAAAGATAAAGATTACAACTTTACTTTACCAGGTCTATTTCCAAACTAGAACCACGTCAAGCTCAAACAGCTACTATCATTTCTATAAACTGAACAAAGGGGGCAAATATGATCATATTTTTTCATGTTTACCTTCAGCCACAGGTGGTCAATCTGTGTCATGCAGTAGCTCAGAACTGGAATCATGCTCATGTTCCGGTCCCCAGTTTTAATTTTCTATAGCACTAACAAGTGAGCAAAAGTTTTTTTTTAACTTGTTTGCAACTGTAACAAGGTTTGAGGAAGTTAGTAAAATAATAATCTACTGGACAAACGAAACTGGTGGGTGGGCCTGTCATTCTGACTCAAGCAAAAAGCTACAACGACTGACTTTCAGACCTTTGCTGAGGTAGATAAGACCGGTGGATAAAATCGGTTTTATGTGTAAGGATCAGCCGATCACCGATCCCCTAAAATTAAGGAAACCGGCGCTGATCAATTGACCGACCGATTTATCGGTGCATGTTAAGTTACTGCTTAACATTCACATAAGGTACTGCTTATTGCATGTGCCTCTCTCTATCTCAGGGTAGGTCATATAGATAATCACATGACCAACTTTGTCCATGGTTTACTAGAACCAAGGGGTGGCTCAACCTTCCCCACAGACTCAAATCTTCCCCCTTTGTTGACCAAAAATGAAAGGGTCCATCTCATTAAAACAAGTTATATTAATTGAAAAACCACTGACATCTATCTATCTATCTATCTATCTATCTATCTATCTATCTATCTATCTATCTATCTATCTATCTATCTATCTATCTATCTATCTGCTTCACAGAAAAGAAATCTAAGAAGAAGAATAAGGATAAACAGTCGTCGTCAGTCAAAAGTGGAAAAGGCTCACAATCAGACCCAGTGACATCATCACCAACAGACCAATCAGCCATCACCATGAAGGATGCCGCCATGGCCAAACGTTTTGCCTCTAAGGCAAAGACGGAGATCAACAAGCGAAAGAATGAGAAGAAGGCGAATGAGAAGAAAGCGAACGATAAGAAGGCGGCGCGAACGCTGAGCGCCATCCTGTTCGCCTTCATCACCACATGGTTACCGTATAACATCATGGTGCTGGTCAACACCTTCTGTCAGGACTGCATCCCAGAGACGCTGTGGGCGCTGGGATACTGGCTTTGCTATGTCAACAGCACGGTGAACCCCATGTGCTATGCTCTGTGCAACAAGACCTTCAGAAACACCTTCAGGGACATCCTGATGTGTCAGTGGAACCAGAAGAAAAACAAGCCTCAGTTCCAACAGAGGAAGAACGTTGCTTTCAAAAAATAAGAACCCGTGTTGATCAAGTCTGTGTGAATAAATAATCAGAGCATGAATGCAACAAAAGAAACATCCTGAACTGAATCATTCAAACGAAAATTCATTCGAGCCAAACAGAAAGCCATCAGAGGAACCTGAAGCTGCTCCCTCAGTCTGCACACGACCTCTGCTCTCTGATTCTACACACTCACAAACAAAAATATATTTATAATTGAGGGTTTGGGTTTTAGTCTGTGAAGGGTTCTGGGTTTTTTCGTGTGTCCAAGCAGGGTTGATCAATCAGGTGTCTGCAGGTTTTGTTGTGTTCATACAAAACTGTCTGTGTGGAGAGCAAAAGCAGGCAGACCACAATCCATTGTAAGAACATCCCAGGTACCATCAGTGGTAATTCCACAATAATTTATGAATATAAACAGATGTCTGCATACAAGTGCAGGTAAAAATCTTCTCTAGACCAAACTTACTCTGAGACACTAATCTGCCTGATATTGAGTCACTAAAGACAGTCAGTGTCTGGATTTCTTGACTTGTTTGAAGACATGAGTAATTGTGGATCTGACCATAACTATCAAACATTTTAAACGTTTATTTTCTTCTCCTCTCAAAGCTTGACGTTTAACTTCATATTTTCAGCAGCCAGAGTGAGTCAGTGTGTTTACAAACATATTTAAAGCTCCTGTGAGGAGCTTTTGGTTTGTGTCTATGTTGGCACACCCTGTGGACAAAGCAGTCATTGCTAGGTTTGTCCTTTATATGCTTAAGTAGTGATCTCTTTTCACTGTCAGATGTGTCATTTAATGTGAATATTTTTAGTGTAAAGTAGGACTGTTTCTTCAGCTGCTCGGGTAACACCTTCCCCTTCATCCCAGTTTCAGGCTTCCAAAATTAGGATGTAAAAATCATAAAATGTGTTACTGAATGTCATGTTTGCTAAAGAAAAAAAAAAAAAAAAAAAGATGCAAAGAAGCTCTAAGTTGAGCTAATGTGAGATTATTTAGGTAATTTAACTGGACTCCTGCTCTTGTCCTAGATTACAAGAACGAGGTTCATTTTTAGGGGTGTTTGACTTAATATGACTTAATATTTACTCTCACTGGTGTAAAGTGAATGTGTTAATTTGGATGTAGAGCACAGCAGTTTGAGCTCAGTCTATCCAGTTTGATCATTTTAGATTTAGATCACAGACTTAAAGTCACTCAGTATCCTGTTAAAGTGTGTCACAGAAATGTAAAGTCTGTTCAGGAGGTCACGGGTGATGATTACTGACAATGAAAAAATAAAATGGTGAAATAAAGAATCTGAAGTTTCAGGAAACAAGTTAATGAAAGCCATCAGTGGGGACAGATTCCTCAGGTGTGGTCCCTTAAGTGAGTCAGGTGATCTGTATTTATTGACTATTGTTAAGTTACTGTGGAGTTTAAATAAAGATGCTGACAGAAACACTGTGTCCCACCTACTCTGAATACCTGCTCAGAAATAATCTAAAGGAAGATGACAATCTCAATCTGAATTTGGAGTATCCTGTGTCATCTGAACTCATCACACTTCACCAAACATCTTTAAATGTCAACACACTCCATCACATCCAACATGTCCTAATAAGTGAATACACATCATCATACATCATCCGATGTCAACGCAAGCCATAGCATCAATTATGTCGTACATTAACACACGTCAGCATGCAGACAATTGTCTTGTCACGATAACACACCAAAAGTTATCAAAAGTCACCAAATGTATTTGAATGTCACCAATGCCATCACAAGTCAATACAGTTTAGCACATATTAATAGACTTTCAGACACACCGTCGTTTGTATTCAGCTGTCCTAAGTCAATACCATAGACTGTATATACTATGGACAACTTGGCTCCGCCTTCCGTCAGTATACGAATTTGAAGCCAAATTGCTCTCGGTATTTCTGGGATTTTCTCCATGTACGTTGTACGCATTTGGCAGAAGAGTCACAGTGATGATGCTCGGCTCAAACAGAGTATCCCCTGGGTGAGCGACGCAATCTTTGTACACCTATAGGCTGTATCAAGTGTCAATCCTAGAAAACATGAACCCCCTAATGACTTTAAAAAATGGTGCTGCACAGAAAAAAAGAGGACTTGAGCACAAACCAGTCTGACAGTAACTACATGTCAACATCGCAAGCAGGGGGGAGAAAAATTTATATTCTGTGTGATTCATTTTTAAAGTTTGTCTAAAGCTCCATAGGGATTGCTGGAGGAGGCGGGATTTATGACCTATACTGCAGCCCGTCATCAGAGGGTGCTGTTCTCACAGTGGCTTCACCCAGCGAGGAGGCAGACGGCGTCCATTCTGTATACATTCTATGGTCAATACACATTATCATACACAATCATTTCATCACACATCAACCTACATAATTTTATGTCATCACATCACCAAACGTCATACCACATCATACTTAATTATGAGTCTTTACACAAAATCTAACAAATGCATCTGTATCACATGCATGGGTAAATGCATGTGATACAGATGTCAAATCATGGGTTATTATATTGAATAATAGTGATTTCATTACTAATCAAAGTACTCATGATTATACTGTAATTTTTGCCATAAAAAGTACACAAGCACTTTTGATTATTGTGATGTGACTTTTTCTAATTCTGTGTTTATTTAATTCTCCTTCGGACAGAATCTTATACTAGCTGTGCATGTTACTTTGCAGGAAGAATCAGTTCTGAGAGGAGAGAACAGTTTTTGAGTGCTGTTTCATTTGACAGAGATCTGTAGAGTTTTGACAGAGCACTTCAGCTCTTTCCAGTCTGTGTTGAGAGTTTTGAGAAACTGAGCCAGATTTTCTAATAATGTTTTAAAACATTCGGGAGGAACTGAGGGAAAATATTTATCTAAAATTTTGTGTTCATGTCCTCATTCTGTCAATAAAATTAATGCACAACACTGCCCTCTAGTGGCCCTAGAATTTTTTGATTTTTCTCTCACATTGACTATCTTGGCAATGTTTTGCCTGTAGAGGCTGGTGATATCAAGTGTGCACAAATGTCAACAAGCTAAAATTTGCCAGGCTGAACAGTAGCTAATATCAGTCCATATCATGATAACATATCGTCCTAATTCTTGACTTGAAGAGTCTACATGATGTATTGGATATGCAGCTTGTAATAAATTGTAGGTGGTGGTGGAGGAGCTCAGATCCTTTAGTTTTTAATAACACAGAGTAAAAATTCGACCCTTTTAAAATTTATAATGTCCAGTCGGAAAGACAGACATGCTTTGGAAAACAGAAGAAGACTTCCCATGAATCACTGTTAATTTAATTTCTCATTTATTTTTTATTTTTAAAAGAGCTCAGAGTGTTTTCGTTTTAAAGCTTTTCAAATTTCTGTGAATGTAAGTATTTCAGATGTGAGTCCATCAGTATGCCTAATCATGTTTAAAGATCTTAATTTCAGTATAAATAACAGTGATTATGAATTTGCCACAATCAAACTTTCATTTTAAGATTTTACTTCTTTAAGATTTATCCTCGGGCATTTTGCCTTTATTTTTGAGAGGGCTGGACAGTAAATGGAGCTGCAGGTTGGAGTAGAATCCCAGCTTTCCCATGTTGAATGTAAGCTCTGTTTATGAAGCATGGGTAGACTCCTACACCAGCAGTGCCTCAACACTAATACACGTCCCTGCAGGTTTCTCTGTCTGTTATTTTTCCCACGCTAAGACCTCTGGGTAATGGAGTCTATGCAGAAGCCGCATCTTCATTCCTCTCAGGGCTGTTTCCCATTTTCCCAGTGTGCTCAGCTCTCTCTCTGTCTCTCTTGCTCAGCCTATCCCGTTCAGCAGATGGAGAGGAGCAGGAGGTGGGGAGAGGAAGAGGAAGAGGAGGAGGAGGAGGGGGAGGGTAAGACAGAGGGAGGGTGGGAGGAAAACGAGCTGTATCGCTCTCTCCTGCATCAGCGTCAGCATCACAGCCACGCCAGCCTCCGTCACCCGACACCAACGAGGAAGAAGGAGCTAAAAAAAAACAGCAGCAGCTCCTCCTCCCCCTCCTGATCACGCTCCTCACACAGACGACTCCTCTCCACCTTCGGGATCAGGACCAGTGCTACCCCAGGCAGGAGGAGCCCCCCCACCATGACCTGAGAGCACCTCTACCATCATCCTCATCTTCATCCTCATCATGGGAAACCAGGAGGCCAAGCAGAGGAGAGCTGCAGCGGCAGCAGGGAATGGCAGCTACCCATCTCTGGATGAAGGGTGGAGAGAGGGAGGAGGGGAGGTGACAAAAAAAGGAGGAAAGAAACACCACGGTAAGCACGGGGGAGGAGGGGGAGGGCATGGCTCGGCACCAACGAAGAAGAAAAACAAATCAGAGTCCAAGTCGTCCGTTTTCTCCCTTCGCAAAAGGAAGAACAACCTGAGAGGAAGAGGAGACGCTTCTTCATCAGTGAATGGGTCCAGAGAGGACGGTTTAGAGTCCCAGCATGAGGATGGGACCAAGACCCCAGACCTGTCTGCTGATGAGCTGGACCCCGAGCCCCCCATCCCTGAGAAGAGACCAGAAAGAGGAGTCAAGGAGGCAGGGAAAGAGGCAGGGAAGGCAGCAGGAAAGGATGGAGGAGAAAGGGAGGCACAGAGAAAATCCTCCACAGCAGCTACATCTCCCGCTGAGGAGGGAGGAGGACACCGGGGGGGCAGCTCGGGGTCGGACACGGACATCTACAGCTTTCACTCTGCTGCCGACCACGAGGACCTGCTCGCTGACATCCAGCTCGCCATCAGACTGCAGCAGCAGCAGGGAGGCGGAGGCTGGGGGGGAGGGGAGGCGGGCAGGAAGCAGAGCAATGGGGGGTTGAAATTGACTCCCCCTGAGCCGCTGGATCTAACCCCCGAGTTAGAGCTGGGCTCTGATGCTCTGTCGTTCCTGGAGACCCCTGTCCCTCAGCCCTCCTCACTCACAGGACCTTGCTCTGCCTCTGTAGACCCCCCCTCACTTATCCAACCTCCCCATGTCTCCGTGGACCCTTCCTCACAGCAGAGGGAGGAGGAGGATCAGGGAGAGTGGGGCATAGAAGCCCCTCTTTGTGCTGCCACAGGCACAAAGGACCAGCATGCTTTGCTGCAGCAGCCCCCTCACGCGGTTACCATAGATACAGGAGGGGTTGCAGCAGTCAGTGCCGTTTCCATAACGACCAGTGGTAACAGCTTTCCTGACCTCCTGATTGACGATGCTCAGAGACCCAAAAGTGAGGAGGGGGAGGGAGGTGAAACCTGGCAGGAGGATCTGGGGGGTCTGGAGGTGGATCCGGATTTGAGGTCCCCCCCTGTAGACCACGTCAGTCTGGATCAGACTGAGCAAGGCTCTGAAAGTAATGGAGCTAAAGACAGAAGGGGTGATGATGGGGGTGGTGAGGAACAGGGGACTCTGCTAGACTCAGGTACCAGTGCTGAGTCTCTGGAGGACTATCTGAGTCCTGGATCTGACCCTGTCGCCCCACCGACTCAGAGTGGGAGGAGCAGTGTTTGCTTTGTACCACCCCAGGAGAGCCCCCCAACAGCCAAACGCTTCCTCAGGTCCTCCCATGCCTCCCCTTCCTCTTCCCCCACAGTGAAACCTTACCCCCCCATCTTCCCGTCTTACATCAAGACCACCACCCGTCAGCTCAGCTCTCCCGGGGTGTCCCCAGCCCTCAGCCCCCTCTCCCCTCGCAGAGCCCACCATCACCTGACCAGGTATGTTAGCATTAGCAGCATGCTAACACTGAGTTTTACATTAAACAGGATATTTGTGGTTTACCTGTCAGCAGGTCATACTGTTAGTCTTAATCATGAGTCCTTTCAACAGTCCTTCACAACTCTGATGGTCTGGTGCACACAGAGCTGCAGGAGCCACAACAGAGCCAACAGTCAAGGTTAAAAAAGCATGACAAGAGCTACAATAACAGAATCCATGTTTGAGACTACAGGATAAAGAGTCAGAGGCTGTTCTAATTTTTATAACTGAAAGTGAGCAATTTGATAGATTTATGAAAAATATTGATCGATTTAGGTTTGATGTCAGTAACATGTTTTACAGTTTTTCTCAGCCGCTTTGGTGCATTTCTCACATCATTATCAACATTTGCACAACAGTTGGTGCGTTTCTCAGAACAATTAGTACAAACTGCAAAACCTAGTGGATAACCTGCAAAGCGCGTCACTTGCTCAAAATGAATAGTTGATTCCTTAAAAGCAAGTATTCATGTCAATGATACTGTCTGTGTTATCAAAATAATTAGTCCCAACACCATTGTGCCATATGGCTTTGTCATGTTTTCATTATGATAGTTCACTCCCTCTGTTTTCTAATGCAAAAAAGTCAGATCTTGGTGACACTACCTGAAGATGTTCAAGACAGCACTAAAAAACTAATAAGAGCATGCAAGAAAAATATAAAGTATAAAAGGCTATGTACAATAAATATAAAGGGTATTTACGACTACACAATACAGAACAACAGTGCAATGGGAGGAGTGCAATTAAAAACCCAAGGTACATTAAACTAAAGTGACCAGTGATAAAGTTCCTCTGCCCCCGTTGTGTCCCCTTCCTCTCTGCATTCTCACCCCTCCATGAAGCTGACCCTCCATTTTTGTGTCCCAGAATTGTAGAAATGGTACACACTAAGTCCTGCTTGGTTCATTTTTGCTTGCCAAGTGAAAGTTCATGGGATTCAGCTGTGTGTGACTGTGGACAAGTGGCTTGTCATTGGTTACAACTAATGCTTCACACACCTCCTCATGGGTGAAAGCTGAGGTTCACCTGAGAGCAATTGTTCAATTTAGGAGACATTTAAAGGAAAAACAAATGATAAAGGAATTTATAAAATCAGCTTAACAGAAACTAGTTCAACAATTTGACTCGATGAAATAAGGACTATTAGTTTCATAAGGAATGACCATTCAGCATTCAAAAGTATAGTTCATTTTGACTGACATGACATAAGCAAATGGTAATGTTATAAAACAGCAGAGAATTGTATGAAAGTAACTGATACATGTCCAAGAGCATTTGCAATTTGTTCAGAGGAACGAGAAACTGTTACGACGATGTGTACAAATGACTCAATGTTGTGGAGGTTGAACTGATAGTTGTGAGAGCTTTCATTCTGATCTGAGAAATTCACCAAAGTGACTGAGAAAAACTGTAAAAGGGGGCAACAAAACACTGACAAACTTGTGTAATAGTAAATACACTCATAAGAACATCTCCTGACTACATTATTTTGCAACAGGCTGGTAACATGACTGGGTATAAAAAGGGGATTTCAGAGAAGCAGGGTCTTTGAAAAGTAAAGGTAGAAAGCAATTGTCACTCTGTGAGAGACTGTGATCAGGTAGTTCAACAGATACATATTCATGTTCTTCAGCATATGATTGAAAAGAATTTGAGGATTTAATCAGCCGTGGATTAAAATATTCTGAACACCAATGACTGAATGGATGTGGTATTTTACAAATGGTTAAATCTCAAATAACTTATTAGTTTCAAATGAAGATTGCTGTATACATGTTTAAATCTTTAATAATTTCTTAGTTTATAAGAAAGTTCCTTAACAGTTGGCATGATGTCTTTATTTAGGTAACCTGAAGATTCAAATGGTTGAAGTAATAATCAATTATAACACGTGCAAAAGTGCTGTAGAGATGTATTAACTAGAACAGGTGTCAGGTGCTGATGTTGATTTTTTTTTTTTGCACAATTGTGAAAATGAAACTATTGGCTGAAGTAACATATTAAACATTTCATATACTGACTTTAAAAGGGATATTTCATTGACAGAATGACCGTAATTATGATCAACTGTATATGATCAACAGATTGACCTTTCTAAAGGCCTTAAATCTAACCTCAGTTTTTACCTGTCCTCAGAACGTTGGGTGGGGCTCAGACGACCAGCAGGAGGCGCTCTCGGAGCCTGGCGGGCTCTCTGAGTAGATCGGCTGACTGGACGGAGGAGCTGGAGAGGAGGATGAGGGGCAGAGAGGAGGACGGAGCGGATTACCTGCTCACTTTCAGAGGAGGAGGAGGAGGGAGCCAACCGCTGTGCTCTACCAGGAGGTCTTCCTGTGGACAGGTGTCCTCCTTCCAGGACGTTTTTACAGGTGGGGAACCGCCACTGCTGCAAATAGAAAAACGAATAAAGGTGCAGATTAAAAAAGCCATAATGGAAGTGAACGATGCAAAAAAAAAAGTGGCAATGGAGGAAAAAAAGTTACCTTCGAAAGTTACAAAGCGAAATTAAACAATAACCTTTCCACTTACTTCTTTGCTCGTCTTCTCACCGTCGTCTTCTGTGCCTAGTTCGTAAAACACCCGTGCATCATCATTATTGGTCCCCAGCAGCTCACTTCCGCTGTGGCTTTTTTTATTTGCGTTCTTTTATTTTCGCAGTAAGTAATTTTCTTTTATTTATTTATTTTTTTTCTTGCATCGCCACGTTTTGATGTGTTGGTAACTTCCGTAGTGGGTCTTTTTTTTTTTTATCTGCACGGTTTTTTTTTTCTTGTTTGTTTTTTGTTTTGTCGTTATGCAGCAATGGCGGTTCTCGGCCACCGTAAATCTCAGCCTCTCAAACTTATCTCAAGGCGACAGCAACGGCCGCAGCGTGTAACGTAACGCATAGCAACAGAGGCGTAAATACACGGCAGTTGTTTGTTCCTCTTTAAAACAATATTTACCATCCCGTTGAAGTAAAACTTATGCCGTAGCGGATTCAATGGACCTCCCGGCGCCGGAAGCTGCCATCTTGGTTGTTTACAAATAGCTTCTGTTAAAGAATATCTGAGGCGATGGACTGGGTTTTGGTCGGGATATCTGCCAGCCGAGGTAAAACGGTTTGACTGTCAGCGTTTCATGACCCACTAGCTCACGAAAATGAATAGGCCTAAGTTGATGGGCCTGCCAATGCTAGGTTGCAAGTACCAAAATTGTTGGATGAGCCATCTGAATCTGTTCCAGTTCATTGTAATGTTACTGCTGATTGTTATTATGTCAGTATCTGGCTTTATAGGCAGGATATGAGCTGTAAGATTAGAGTACAGAGAGATGTAATGACTGAGTGAAAACACTATATTCAACATATTCGACATTGATCCTGTTATATATTCCACAATGAGCTGAGTATAATTACCAAGCAAGCTGACTCTTCATGGTTGTCATGTTTTAGGGCGCACCCTGCTGGAGAAGTTTTTCTTGCAGCAGCAGCAAGAGGAGCCCGAGGAGGCGGAGAGACTCTGCTCGAGGATTTTGGCAATGGGTCTTCTGCTGCCATTCACAGACTGTTTCAGAGAACAGCTGGGAGGGAGCCCCACCCACATCAGCTCTTCTGGACCAACCAAGTTTGATGTAAGTAGCCACATCAATAATTGTAATTACAATGTCATTTAGCAGACACTGTCATCCAAAGTGACGTACATACATACATTCTAGTCTTTTACATATTCAAAGTTAAACTAAACCCTCCATTAAGAACCTTGACCATGTCTTATGAGTCACACCAGTATTTTACTCACCTGGTATTTCAGGTATTTATCAAGAGTCTTCACTTTGAATCCATTTCTGTCTCTCAGCAAGAACAGCTGTACACCTGGGCTGCGGTAAACCAGCCACCTCAGACTCTTGACCCCCTGAGAGGACTGTGGACAACAGCCAGACCAGGACCAGGAGAACCAAGGAACAGACTCAAGTCCTCAGAGACAGGTGAGACACACACACACACACACACACACACACACACACACACACACACACACACACACACACACACTTGCTTTCAGTATTGCATGAGTTGTTTCTGATCCTCAGTCAGTTTTATGTTTAATGATTTTTGTGTTTGTCTCCTTCATGCTACAGTAGAGGACAAAGAGGGTGAGTTTTACTTCCTACTGTCACGGTCTGCAGTCACAAAGTTACAGGAAAATGAAACAGATTAAAATCATTGATGCTGTTGATATGTACAACTTTTTTGATCCAGGTACAGCTTCTCTGAATGTCGCCTCTCTGGTTTGATAGTGAACTTGATTCTACTGATACAGTAAAGCTGTAATGTGTCTACACTGTCTGGCAAAGAAGCCTCCTCATAGTCCTGTTTTTGCTGCTCTCTAGAAGTTAAAGTTCTCACTGGATTGCAGTGATGGGCAGGTGATAATGTCACTTTAAACTAATGAATTACAGAGTAGATAATATGATTATATGAATGGGTGGATTGGCTATTTGCTGTGAAAGGATGAAGAGATTATGTTGATTAGAAACTGGATGTTATTAATGGACAGAAATGTTGGTGTATAATCCATGTTTGGATAGAATATTGATATGAACAGTTTGTTATGAATGGATCAACGGGTAGTATAAGGCTTTACCATTTCTGATGACCGTGTGAATAGATGTTGTTGGTCTAAACTATTTGTTATTGCCAGATAAAGAGATTATGTTGTCAATACTATTTGTTATAAATAGCTAAAAGGATAATGTTGGTTTAGACAGTTATTCAGACAGTTTTGGTTTACTTTGATAGTATTTGTCTGGGATTATTGTGGCATCAGTTCCAACCAGCTTTTAGACCATCGGGATGAAACTGTTTGTGTAACTGTGTGTTTCAGTCTGACCTGCTGTTCTTTCTGTCTCTTCAGAACACCCAGCAGCCATGTTGGATTTAAAGCAGCAGCAGCAGCAGCAACAGCAGCAGCAGCCGGAGAGCCAGGAGGTTGGTCACTTGATTTTTGTCTAGCTAAATGGATCTGTAGATACAGAAAACAATGATAGTCTCTAAAAACTGAGAGTTTTTATACTTGTTGAAGGTGTTGGTTAAAGTTTTTGTTTTAACCATTACATCGCAGCCTACAATAGAAAATGCAACTTCACAAGCTGAACTCAGACCCACATTACCTTAATCTGAGGCTAGTGTTTACCTCCATCCTCCTCCATCAGCCTCAGGGTCTCTATCTGAGTGACTTTAATGAACTCCCTCAGTGTCCACAAGTTGTTCTATTGTTCCAGTCAGAAAAAGTGCCTGAACATACTCAGTTCTCTTTTTTTCTCCTTCTGTGGGAGAAGTTTGAAACTTCTGCCTGTTTGCTGAAGAAAAGTGGCTCTTTCGCGGCCCCTGTCCCTGGTCAGGCTTTGTAAATGGGAATAAAAATGTCAGAATATTGAATATTACAGAAATTAAAAACATACTGTAGGATCAGTGTGTGATATAAAACATTTAAAAAAATTGGCAACAGCTCAAATACAAACAAACAAACAAACATAAAACAGTTACACAATGACCACAAATACACAGAGGGTGCGCAGATGCATTTGTATGTGATTCATGATTTATACTGTGCAGTTAGTGTTCACAGAATTGCTTCAGTTTCAAACTTTTTACAGTGTGCAATAAAAACCATAATAAAAATGATTTCATATGATGTATAATAATATCCCATTACATGATATTATAGTAATACAACAAATTACATTGTGTAGCTGACAGACAGATATGATTGGAAAGGTACAGGCAGGTACAGGCAGACGTTAGTCAAAGGGGTCAGGGTGAACTGAACACCTATCAAAGAGTCGAGTTTATAATATGGATGAGGTGAGCAGGACACTGATGGTCTGTCAAAACAGTGAAAAGTTGTGTAGATGAAAGAAGTACAAGAGCCCCCTAGTGGACAAGATAGCAGGTACTGATAAGAAACGTGACTAAAGCAAAGGAGAGTGAAGACTGTGATCAAAGTTATTCACTCAAAAACTTTTTTCAAGTTTTACTCATTTTTGATTTTGTTTTTCGGGACAGTCAGTCAGTTTCTTGTTTTTCTCCTTCTTATCAGGAGAGTCTTGTGTCTTCGTCCAAACTGAAGGAGAAACACGTGAACGTGATCCAGCAGCTCGAGCAAACCATTGAGGACCTCCGAAGTAAGATCGCTGAGCTAGAGCGACAGCCCCCTCTGCTGGACAGAGACACGATGACGGCTCCCCCCTCCACCACTGACAGGGAGTGCGGGGGGGAGGATGGTCTGATGAAGTTGCTGTGTGACGCTCATCTGCAGACCTCCACCCCTGACCTCCTGGAGGCCAAATCAGTGCAGACCTCCCCACTGGAGGAACCCTTTAAAGTGCCTTTTGTGGAGGGGAGTGGAGTCAGGGGCTCTATGCAGCCTCCACCCATGACGGAGGGCTTCCAGTGCTCATGTCAGCTGCAGCAGCCTTCTCAGACTGTAGCTCCTCCACCTCCTCCTCTTTTACCAGGGGGCTCAATGCCACCGCCTCCTCCTCCCCCACCACTCCCTGGTGGCATTGCTCCACCTCCACCTCCTCCACCACCTCTTCCTGGAGGCTCAGCCCCTCCACCACCTCCTCCACCCCCGCCTCTCCCTGGTGGCGCAGCTCCGCCACCACCACCTCCTCCTCCACCCCTCCCCGGTGGTGTAGCTCCACCTCCACCACCACCTCCTCTTCCTGGTGGCATTGCCCCTCCCCCACCCCCTCCACCATTACCTGGCGCAGGTGGCCCTCCTCCTCCCCCACCTCCTCCAGGCTGTGGTCCTCCTCCTCCTCCACCTCCACCAGGGGCCATCTGCGCTCCTCCTGCTCCTCCTGGTTCTCTGGGCTCCCTGCCTCCTCCTCTCCCGTTGGGACTGTACGCTTTGGGTATGACTCAGGAGAAACCCCCTAGGAAGGCCGTGGTAGAGCCCCCCAGACCGATGAAGCCGCTGTACTGGACCCGGATCCAGCTCAGCACCAAAAAGTAAAGATGAATCAGAGTTAGCTCAGGGTGAAGCTGCTGTCTGAACAGAAAAACAAAGGATGATCTAAAAGTGCTGTTTTTGTCCTCAGAGACCTGCCCTCGGCGTCTTTGGTGTGGGAGACCATCGAAGAGCCAGACGTGGACTTTGAGGAGTTTGTAGAGTTGTTTTCAAAAACAGCCGTCAAAGTGAAGAAACAGCCGCTCTCTGACACCATCACCAAGTCCAAGGCCAAACAGGTCTGAGGCTCTGTACCTTTTTTTTTTACATGATTATCAGAGGATCGTTACGTGTACGCATGTGTTCATGAGGGGTTTGTGGTGTGGTTTTTGTAAGGTGTAAGGTTGTATGTTTTTTTAATACATATGATGTGTGTAACAACTGTATGGTTGTGCGCAACGGGTGTATGCTTGTGTATTTCAGGTGTATGGTTGTGTTTTTTAGGGTTACGGTAGGGTTTTTTTGTTGGTGTATTGTTGTCTTGTTGTGTGCTTTCAGATATAGTATATGGTGGCATTTTGGCTAGAGTTAGGTGGTGTTTTTTTCAGGTGTAACGTAGTATGTTTTTCAAGGATGTAGTAAAGATATTTGATTTGATTTTTTATTGTTTTGGCTATAGAGTTGTGTGCTTTCCAGTTGTGTACTTACATGTTTAGGGATATGATGGTTCATTGGGTGTCTACCTGTGTTTTGGAGGTATGAGTGTGTGTGTTTTTTAAGCTAGGTGGTTATGTTTAACAGGTATGTTGCAGTGTGTTTTAGATGAATGGTTGTGTATGTTTTGTGGATCAAGCCTATGGATGTGAGTTATAAGTGTATAGTGTATGGTTGTGTGTGTTGAGTGTGTGGGTTTAAGTGACAGCTGTGTGTAAAGCAGTGGTTCTCAAGTCCAGTCCTCGAGGCCCACTGTCCTGCATGTTTTGGATGTTTCCCTGCTCCAACACACCTGATTCAAATGATCAGCCTGTTATTAAGCCATTACAGAGCTTGATAACGAGCTGATCATTTGAATCAGGTGTGTTGGAGCAGAGAAACATCCAAAACATGCAGGACAGTGGGTCTCGAGGACTGGACTTGAGAACCACTGGTGTAAAGTGTATTTTTTGTGATATAGGTGTATTAATGTGTATTTCAGGTGTACTTTTGTGACTTACCAGAGTAGGTTTGGTTTTAGATGTGGTAGTGAGTCTCAGTTGTATAATTGTCGTGTGAGATGTGTTGGTGTACGTTTTCCGGTGTTCTGTATGTTTCAGATATTTGTACATTACAGTTGTTTGGTTGTTTGATCTAGGCTTTTAGTCATTTGCATTCAAGTATACAGTTGTGTATCAGGTGTGTTTTGTTTTTTCCATGTGTATAATTGTGTGTTGCATTTCTATGGTTGTGTTTTGGTTTCATTGTTTGTATAAGGTGCAGGTTGTGCATTAAATGTACATTTTTATGTTGTTTTTTTAAGGTTGTGAAGCTGCTGAATAACAAGCGTTCTCAGGCTGTAGGGATCCTGATGTCGTCTCTGCATTTGGACATGAAGGACATTCAGCACGGTGAGCTCACCTGATTTACTGTCAATGTGGATGACCTAAATCATCCCCTAAAGTAATCAGCTAATCATAGTGGCGTGTGAAATATTGATCATGATTATAACGTTAGAATGAAGGGATCACTTGTGACCCTTGACCTCTTTCTTTCTCTCTCTCTCTGTCCTGAAGCCATCCTGAACTTGGACAACACTGTGGTGGACCTGGAGACGCTGCAGGCACTCTATGAAAATGTGAGCAACTTCATACCTCAGCAGAGCCAAATATTTAGAGGTCTTTAGGGAGACTTCAGGGCACCCACATAGTTTCTGAGATCTTTCTCGCTGACATCTAAAGGAGTCCTGTGTTTGGTTGTAGTGAACTCTGTTTCTTTGTGTGTGTCCTTAGAGAGCCCAGCAGGACGAACTGGACAAAATTGAAAAGCACATCAAGTCCTCCAAAGACAAGGAGAACGCCAAACCTCTAGACAAACCGGAGCAGTGAGTCTCTGTTATACACACATCAGGCTGATTGTGTTGCATTATTAGAAAACAATGAAAAGATTAAGAGAGGGACTGAAATGTGTGTTAACTCCTGTCCTGCAGATTCCTCCTCCAGCTCTCCCTCATCCCAAACTTCTCCGGACGAGTCTTCTGCATCCTATTCCAGTCCAGCTTCTCTGAGTGCATGTCATCTATAAACAGGAAACTGGACACACTGCAGAAAGTATGCAAGGTAAGTCCAGCTCTTAATTAACACCAAATAGAGACTTAAAGGTGAGACTTAAATGTCAAACTTTGCCGAGAGCGTTCAAGAGCCCATTATTTTGAACATCGCAGAAACTGAGGGAGGTCTAAGTGATAAATTAAAGATGACTCTCTCTTTTTTTTGTTCTCTGCACATTTATCTACCTGTACATCTACCTTTAGAAGCTTGTGCAAGCCTTCTCCTAGACTCACCTGCTATGCTGCTGTTTGAATTAGTTTCATCGAGAGCGAGCTTGAGCGTGGCCCTAGTGCTGCCGTTTTTCCTATTTTAAATATGATGCTGGTCTTGGGACTGTCCAAAGTGGAGGGAGGCAATGCTTGCCTCTGAAAAAGTGACGTGTCTTTTGTGTCCCCCTGTTACATCCCAACTGCAGAGAGTGTGAAGATGCTGCTGGGTGGAATAGGCAGGAAGTAAAACAGATTTCACTCTCTCTTTTGAATCTTCAAACCTAGCCTTTGAGATTACAAATTCTATAAGTGTTTTTCATTAAAACACATTTTTCTTCTGCCAATAAGGAATATCACAGCCTGATGGGGTCTCTAATGAGAAAGCCCATCAGCGGCCTTTTGTCTCTACAGGCAACGTCCAACTGTAAGCTTCCACACTTTAAAGTTTGAACAAAGCCCAATCAGATCTATCTCAGGATGAGAGGGAAAATCCCCCCTGAGCTCTGAGACATCCAGCTGCACATCTGAGGATGCTAAAAAGTCAAAATCAGTCAATCACTGATCTGGGACTGAGTCTTGGACTGGGAACACTTATTGCCAGCAGAGTGTCTAAGGATGGATGAAAATGGATAAACCTTACTGTAACAACAATCATGGTTCCAGCACAGGGCTCCATGACAGAATACAGAGCCTGAGTTTAGGGGATGACAAAGTAATCAGCTCGCTTCAGGGAGAAACACTGAAACACAACCATGCTTGCCTCTGCAAACTACAAACTGCTTGAAGAGGAGATCTGGATTGAATGTTGTCTCTTTTCTGTGTGTGTGTGTGTGTATGTGTGAGTGCAGTCGCAACAGGAAAGTGAGAAAGTGAAGCAGATTCTGGGTCTGGTTCTGGCTTTTGGAAACTTCATGAATGGTGGGAATCGTACCCGCGGCCAAGCAGACGGCTTCAGCCTGGACATCCTGCCCAAACTGAAGGACGTCAAGAGCAGCGTAAGACAAAACACAGAGACACTAAGAATAATACTGGAGACAAAGACATTCAAAACATTAGTTTCCTTAACACTGTTGGAATGACACATTAAAAGAGAGGTTCCTCTTGACCGTATGTGATAATAAACGATCAGAACATGATTTATAAAGAGCAGCTTTACTTAAGCATGTCAGTCGAAACATTAATAATTCAACATAAAGCTATTATTGTTGTGAGTGTCTCAGAGAAAGATCTCAAACTCTCTTCTTCTGACTATAAATTCAACTCCTAATGCTGCTGCAGAGACTGAGCATAAGGACTCTCAGTCAGGGCGTGTGTCAAGGATGAAAAACAGACGACCAGATTTCCTCCATGATTTTATTATATTTCAGTCCATTTGAAAACATGCAGTACAGTTTTAGTCAGATACTGTTTTTTAAAAGCCTTGTTATTGTTTTTATTTGAGTAAATATAAGTGTTTTTGACATTTCAGATGTTATTTCATTTGTCTTGATGAACTGTGATAACCTTGGACCCCACAAACCAAAACTTATTATAACTTATTATATTATATTATATTGTTTGTCTGTATGATATAAAGGTTGAAAAGTTTTTACATAAAAGTTAACAAAGTTATCTTAACTTGAACTGCAACTTCATAGTGAGTGGCAATGATAACTAACATTATAAGATCTTAATCATGGTTGATATTAACTCTAAAAGATATCTTTTATCTACAGTTACTGTTTGGTGTTACTGTAATGGACCCAAACACAGACTCATGTATCAGGAGGAGTTATTGTAGCTTGATGTGAGCAGGAGATGGACCGACAGACAGACCTCACAGATCCTGTATCTGCTCTGGATCCTCAGATCATTTTAGACTCAGACTGATGTGTGTGTTTCTTGTTCTTGTTTCTCCTCATCAGGACGGAGTGAGGAGCCTGCTCTCCTATATTGTATCGTATTACCTCCGACACTTTGACCAGGTTAGTCTTTCCTTTATCTTTATTTTTTATGTTGGTTTTTAAATCATTAAGAGCCTGTAATTGATTAAGGTAGTGCAAAGAAAACATATTAGATTCATTGATGCACACATCAAAACTGATAAATAGTATTTTTTATGAAAAATGTCTGCTCAGCTTTGATGTTCAAAAAACACCCAAACAGAGCCCTATGAACTATTTTAGATTGCAACAGGTTAGTGAAATGGCTAATGACTCTCTCTTTCTCTTTCTGTGTGTGTGTTTGTCTGTGTGTATGTATGTGTGTGTGTTTGCAGGATGCTGGCAGAGAAACATGTGTGTTTCCTCTCCCAGAGCCTCATGATCTGTTTCAGGCGTCTCAGATGAAGTTTGAAGATTTTCAGAAAGATTTGCTCAGACTGAGGAAAGACCTGAGAGGTAACACGCACACACACAGACACACAGACCATTGAGGTTTCTGTTATAATGTCACTGATGTTATTCTTGAGATTTCTGTCAGTGCTCTGATTAACACATTGACATGATTGTGTGTGTGTGTGTGTGTGTCATCAGCATGCAACTCAGAGGTGGAGAAGGTGTGTAAGGTGTCGGATGAGGAATACCTGCAGCCTTTTAAAGAGAAGATGGAGGATTTCCTCACACAAGGTGACTTATGAACACACCATGACTTACATCAGACTCACCTGCTCACAGGTGCGAACACCTGAAACAGTCTTTGTTTTTCTTCATCTGTGGACATTTCTGTGTCTTTGATGCATTGGCGCCCCCTGCTGTCCATCTGTAGTGAAGTATGTTTGAGTCTCTCTGAGTTAAAACTTTGATTTTATTCACCAACATCATAAAGTTTAAAAACCATTTTCACTAAAACTTGAAAGATCTGCTCATTAAGTTTAATCTGTGATTATTCTTGATGATTAATCACAAAACATGAACTTCTTATTTTTAACATCTATTTCTTTTTCTCTATCAGCTAAAAGTGAGCTGGAGACTCTGGAGGCTGATCTCAGCAGCACACACACACTGTAAGATTCAAACAGCTGTCTATACATCCTATCCTTCATTATTGATATTATTATATATTATTATTTCATATGATCGAATCACTGGTGAACTCTGAACAATGTTAACAGTTAACTTCATGCATCAGCTGCATTATAGGCCAGTTAGACTGAGCCTTGTACAGATCTGGATAATAATAAGCAGATAGATTATTACAGATATTGATTAGATATTTATGTGTTTTCAGAGATTTTACGAATTAACTGATGTGTCATTAAATGTGTTAATAACAAGCTGATTTTTTTAGAGATATTCGTTTTCTGCTCTATGCTCGCCAATAGAAGCAGAATGAATCCTCTTCAATCATGTAATACTCTTGTTATAATACGGTGTGTGTTATTGTATTTGTCCTCTCAGGTTTGTGGAGCTCTCGGTCTCGTTCTCGGTGAAGGCAAAAGCTGGAGAAAAAGAAGTTTCTCCGAACACGGTGTTCAGCGTGTGGCACGAGTTTTCCTCCGACTTTAAGGATCAGTGGAAGAAAGAAAACAAAGTGATTTTAAAGGAGAGGTGAGGATTTAAAAAAAAACACTATTATCCAAATATTATATTAATTAATTGAGCGTTTAGATCACACATTACATTCTCTGATACAAACAGGCTGAAATGAAATAATAAAACATGTTTTATAGTGTTTCAGTTTTGCATAAGATATCAGAAAATGTACATTAACTCAACATTATTGTAACCCCTGTTGTGTAAATAAATGTGTGTTTTCAGGTTAAAATCAGCAGAGGAGTCTTTCAGGCAGGCCAAGGAGAAATCTTCGTACAGCGTCAAACCCAAACATGCCTCTGGCATTGTGAGTTCACCTTTGACCTTTACTTATATTAATCATCTGCATGAATGTTCAGTTATTTTTTGAGCATTTATGAACTGAAGGAGAGAAGATTTAGACTTGAGTTGCTCTAAAGGTCAGCAGAGCTCTGACAGTTTCCCTAATCATTTGTCCGCTCTTATCTGAAAAATCCAGTTTTTATCCAAAGTATTTATTCAGAAGTCATTTATCTTTATTCAAAGCATTTTCCTGATACTTTGAATAAAGCCAGTCATTAGCCAGTCATGTCAGCCTTTAGGGTGGTGGAGCTGTGTCACTCAAATACCTCAGATCCTTTGGTGCTAGATTTCTGGAGCCATGGGCCTCCGACAACCATCCTCAACAGGGACCTTGCATCCATGTTTAATATCACTCGGGCTCCCAAAATATGTTGTGCTTTGTTATTACCCTACATGGACTCTCCTTTAGGTCAACAAGATGCAAGTGGAATGTTTGGAAGCGTGGGCGACTATATATACTTGAACAGTCTCAGACCAATCTTTGTTACGCTTAGGTTACACTTGTTTTACACTTGTGGCATGATGAAGCTGTAACCCAGATCTGCAACCAGTAAAGCCTGTCAAAATGATCATTCATGTAGACCATCCATTTTTTAGAGTGTGAACATGGGCTAGGCATCCTTACAATTGAATAAACCAGATGTTAAACCTCTGTTTGTTTCCTCCCCAGAAAGCAAAGCTCGGCATGAAGATTTGACCTCACTGGAGTCCACTTTTCTGGACTTCAGACACCAGCAGAACCCTGATAAGGACAAGGATGAAGACAAGGATTATTATTAAAACAGGTGTATTGACCAGTAAGAGGCAGCAGTCACTTTTTATGCAGCATTCAGTCGAATATAAAACAGAAGAAGAAGAAGAAGAAGAGGAATTGAAAAGGACATAAATTTGTCATATGAAAATTACAATGGTCACATCCTCTGGATAACCAAGATCAGTCACAACCTCTCAACAGGATCATTGCCATTTATATTCACAATCTCAGAATTATAAGAATTACTGCTATATATGGTCATATCACAGGATCACTACCAATTGAGGTCAAATCCTCTAGACAATCAGGATCATTACCATACATGTCTGTACCCTCTGAACCAACAACCATAGAAGGTCACAACCCATGAAAAAACAGGATAATTAGCATATAGGGTAGCACCATCTGAAATAAAAGCATCTTTAAGACACAGGGTCACAACCTCTAAAAAACTGGATCATTACTTTGTATGATTAAAACCTCTATGTAAACAGGATCATTGCTCTATATGATTAAAACCTCTATGTAAACAGGATCATCGCCATATGTGGTCACAACCTCAGAAATGAGGCCATAACCATACATGGTCACCTCCTCTTTAATATTGATTGTAATGATATATGGTTGCATCCTTATACGGCCACAGCCTTCAGGCAAACAAGATCATTAGCATCGATAGTGAAATCCCCTGAAAAATCAATATCAATACTATGAGTGGTCACATCCTCTTATTCAAGCAGGACCGTGACCATATTTGGTCTCTTCTTCTAAATATCCAGGGTCATTTACGTCCTTGGAATAATCATTATCAATTGACCCTTCTATGGCTGTTGTAATAATGCATAGTGGTATGAGCTGGAGGCAAAATAAATGTAAACAAACAAAAAAAAAAAACGTGCAAGAAAAACACAAATAGTCACCACAGGGGAGTCACAGTAAAGCAGTCTAAACTGATGTCTGGTTGTGTTGTCAGGAGCTTGAAGAGTAAAATCAGTGTAAATGTCTTAAAGAATGTAATCTGTTGGCAAATTTGGTTTTTGGTGATGACATGATGGGGCGACATAGCGGTGCACTTATGGTCTACTTTTTGTATGGATAATGACTTTCTGTAGATCAAGGATTATCAACAACTGCTAATTAGAAATCGGACTGTCATTAACAGAAATACTGTAATTCTTCATGACATTTCCTTCTTGGCACAAGCTAACATGTTGTTAGCAAAATGAAACATAGTACAATGTTTATATGCTGCCTTCCTTTGTACAATTGTTGCAGTATTCAAACAGATATAGAAAGGCATCATTCCACATTTGGCAGTCCTGTCACATCATCTATCTACTGAGCGTACAGGTCTGCCATGCTGTTGGTCAGTGTTACCGTAATCAAGCAAGACTCAGTCCCTGAGAGGAAGTGACTTCATATTCAAAGACCAAAAGCTAACGTGTTGAGAGGATTGTTTGCCTCCAGCTAAGCCCCGCCCACAAAACAATTCACATGGTTTAAGACACTAAAATGAACATTAAAACCTGATTACTCATTGATCATGACTACTTTGTGATAAACCATTGCTCCATAGCATGTCTCAGTGAACTTGATGTGTGTGTGTGTGTGTGTGTGTGTGTGTGTGTGTGTGTGTGTGTGTGTGTGTGTGTGTGTGTGTGTGTGTGTGTGTGTGTGTGTGTGTGTGTGAGAGAGAGAGAGAGAGAGAGAGAGAGGACAGTACTCCTGATTGTATAAATGTAAAGTTATTAACTGGTATTGCACATGGTCTTTGTTTCTCTTCTTCCTTTCTGAACAGGAAGTAAACTTTGGACAGTACCTGTGCAATAAAAGTCGTCATGTAAACATGTAAATGGTGGAGTGTGTTGGAATGTAATTATGTAAAATAAAAACGTGAATTTCTTTGTGGAAACTCTTATTTAAATTATAAGACTTGTAGTTATCCATAAAGCCAAAAGAAACCAATCAGCTAACGTATCAAGAACTGTCCCTTCAAGAAAAAAAGACCTGGATTGACAGAATTTTAACTGCCCAACTCAGACTGATTTTTAGCCCCAAATAACTCAGGTATTTTCTCATGACTCTGATGATTCAGAAGCATTCAAAACAACTGTTAGGAATCTACGGGTTTATATAATCAGGATTTGTCCTTCAACTCCCACATACAACAAATGTCAAGAACAGCCTTTCTCTCCTTTACAATACAGCAAAATCAGAGAAATCTCATCTTAGAATGAGACCTAGTCCATGCAATCGCTGCCTCTATTCAAAGGCCCATGGTAGCATAACACCACGGTACAACAACGTCAAAAGATCAGATCAACAATGACAAATACCATGTAAAAAGGTTGGTAAAATAGGAAATGTGTGCAAATACAGAAAGGAGTTTGTGTGCAAGTGATGTGTGAAACTGTGCAGTTAGAATGAGTCAGTCTGGAGTCCAGTGGTAGGGTGGTGGGGCTCCTCTGGCTCAATTAGAAGAACAAACTGCCTGTTGCACCATCTATGCATAAGTTGAGTCTGAAGTTAGGGTGTTAACTCCACAATAAACTAAGCATTGAAACTAGTTGTGATTTATGATGTATCTTTGTTTGACTGCACCATGAAGATGTAAGGTTTATCTTCACTAGTAGACCGTAATGTCCAAACTAAACAAAGTATTGCTGTTATTATTGCATTACAGATCTATCCTTTAGCCTAGTAGCCAATCAGAGAAATACACCTCCCAGCATGCACCACTCACCAGCATCCAGGTGGAATGTGCGGTCTGCAGCTGTTTTACATATCCCTGATAAAAAACTTTAATCAGTATCCATGTACCTGTACTGCCTACCCCACCAGTCCCAACATTAACCTCTCAGTATATTGTTCATATCCATCCAACAGCTATAACTGACAGAGTAGCAGATATTATTTTTAGTATTATTTGATAAAAATTTCCCTATATGCACCAAGGTGAATACTGGGTGTATGTACTGCTGTAATAAACATGATAAAATCACTTACCAGGGTCATTCAGGAAAAAGTTGAAGATCTATGGGAAATTATTATAAATCTTTTCCTGGTCTAAAATTACTTTGTCATAATGTTGGCAGCTTCGTATCAAAAACATGGATGTGGATTGAATGTTGGTTAAGTCACTTGAAATTGGTATGGAATCTGAAATCTGTTAGCAATAGGGACAGTTACACTGATGGTTACAGAGCAGACATACCATTGAGATCATAAGTTGTTGTGCAGGCTATTGAACACTTACAAATTTAAACATACGACTTTATCCAGAACAAACTGCTTCAGCTAAAACTTGGTCTAAATGCAGAGAAAACGAAGTTCGTTACCAACAGATTAGTTTGGTTGTGAAGACCTGTGAAGCTTCTACCAGCTGAGACTTCTGGGACAGGTAAAGGTTATCATCCTCCAAATAAACTTCAGACGTTCATGCAGTTCATACATTGTGATCATCACAACTTCTTTAGATTAACTCTTCATATTTTGGTGCTGACCAGTCATCTCTGGGTCACCTTCAGCTGGTTTAAAATCCAGCTGCAAGATTAAATCACTCCAGTAATGCCTTCCCTCAACTGTCAGCCACACCCTGTGTTTCTTTTTTAAGGTAAGTAAGCACATTATCGCTGCAACTTTTTTTACCTCTTTTGAATTACAGACATCTCTTGTGCATGCATGCCCCTGCCCAGTCTATTCATATGTTTGGTACAGCTGGCCATGCGTCCTGGAGGCATATTACAAATTGGAAAGCTTTTCCTCTTTATTGTGGGTTGGCTGACCTGAAGGCTGATACACTGGTAAACCTTCATATCTTGCTCTACTGTCTCATGTTTTTGTGTTTTTTTTATCACGCAGAGAAGTGCTGGACAGTATTTGTTGCACTCCTTGAACTTTCTTATGTCCCAGAAGCCTAAAGGAATTGTTAAAAGCGTTGTTCCCGCCAGGACTTCTTTTAAAGAGAGATTTCAATCTCAATGGAACTAATCTAGTTAAACAAAGGTAACATGAGGAAGATACTCCAAGACAGTGACAAACCCAACAAAAAACTCATATGTTTCTCAGTTAAAGAAGGTGCACCATCTTCAAGGAGTCAAGAGAAATACATGGACTAAGAAGAGTGGACTGGATATCAGGGGGTCTGTTGTTAATCTAAAAAGTATTTACCATCTATCACATTTGTCCACTCATTGTCACCACACAGATTTTTTTTTTAAACATATGGACTTTGTCTTCTTGACATACCACAATCAGGCTGTCATGTGCCTCCAAGTGAGAAGTGGCCACTCTGCAATAAAGGTCTGATTGGTGGAGTGTTGCAGATATGGTTGACCCAGATAAGGTTTTCCCACCCTCAGAGCGGAATCCTGGAGTTTCATCAGAGTAACCACTGGGTTCTTGGTCTCCACCCTGACCAAGGCCTTAACCCCCAGTCACTCAGTTTATCCAGAACACCAGCTGTAGGTAGAGTCGTGGTGGTTACAAACTCCTTTCACTCATGAATACTGGACATCATTGTGGTCTTTAGGACCTTCACTGCAGTTGAAATGTTGTGGTACAATGGTAAAATGTTGTTGAAATGTTGTGTCTTGATACAGTCCAGACTCTGAGGTCTATTGTGTCAGCTGTGGGACCTTACATAGACCGGGCTTTGCCTTTTGTAATCATGTCCATCAAATTGAACTGACCATCAGCCAACATTTTCATATCTTAATAAGTTGTAATGTAGAAGTGTGAGTACTTTATGGATATTCTATGTACTGAAGTTGGTGATTTAAATCGTTGACGTGCCTCAAGCCGAGAACACATAGAAAACAGCTGGTGTAAATATTTGTCCTTCTGTCTGATTTGGCTTTAATGTGACACTGACAACAGCTGCTGAGGATTATTTCTTCAGCGTCTTTGCTCATGTTTATCTGGTATGTTTTATGCGCTTGTGCTCAACTACCGATTGCATCTGCGTAGACATTAAAGTTTTATAATCAAAGAAAGTCTAAGTCCATCTGCACCTTCTCCCAACATACCTTGTCTCCTCAAACACAAAGACAAGCAGGTTTAGATTTTTAAAATGTATGTTTTTTTTTTGTATTTCTCTTTATATTAACATTTCAAACAGCTCAGTTCTTCACAGGGAGAAACTCCAGCCCTCTGAGAAAAACAGAAGTTATGAGCAGCTATGTTAGACCTGAACACAATAGCCTGATTGTAATGTAATGTTTAAAGGTGACATGAGTGACATCACCATAGAAAGTGATGGGTACAAAACAGAGCCGATGATTTGCAGATGCCCAGGTAAGTCCATGTGCAGTCATGTTACAGGCTTCTTTAACAGGCCCTGTTCATCTTGGTGTATTTTCCCTGTTAGCCTTGAACACACCCTGATCAAAGTAGGTCAACCCCTCCCCTGGTCCAGGGTATTTAGAGCACCTGTAACATCATGGTTGCTTTCCCCTTTGTCTCAGCCATGATTGTCACACAGTCCCCTCTCTACTTCAAGCTCCTGCTATTCAGACTTGATTGAGCAGTATAGGTTGGTGTATTTAAAGTAGTCTCCTGTCTTCTGAGCTGCCTGGTTAAAATGATGTTAATTCAGGCAGGAGGTTCATATTCAAGTTCTGGGTAAAATAAAATTACAATACTTAATCAGTTTGTCTTTAACTGGATTCTAGGGACCTTTTCTGTAAGATCGAGGAGGTAGACTGTTTTGAAACAGTTTAATCTGCAGCAGCGCCTCCATAAGCAGCACTCTTTCACAGACTTTAATCGCAATCAACAATGTACAATTTTTAAGCAACTGAGCATTTTTTTCTAGAACCATCCAACCCTCCCAGCTACCTGTATGGTGGTTGGACATAGCCTACAGTGGCAGTGAATATTCTTGAATCCTGAGTGCCGGTCTTGGCATCTGACTGGACTGGTGACACCTCAGGTAGGACTTGCGTCTGGCAGGCCTGGCTGTTCAACAGAGTGTTTAAAACAGGACGGGAACCTTCGGCAACAGAAGACAGAAGAGAGAAGACACAGGACACAAGACAGAAACCTATCAAAAGAGGACAGCTCTGGAGAGCTCCTCCCATTCATGCAGCATGGACGAATAAAGTTAAATACAAGTTTTTGAATCAGATCAAATATCACTTAATATGAATATTATTTATATTTATTCAATAAATCATTCGATCATTTATGTCCTATTGTTGTCATTATAATTCAAAGAGTGTTTGCCAGTTTTACTAACACTTAAATATCATTTCTCCTTCCCACCTGAGCAGCTGTGTGCCTCTACACACACAACAAGTATGAGCTTTTGAATCAGATGAAATGTTATTTATTGAATAATAGTTTAAAGACTTTCTCACTACCTGATCTTTGTCGTACTTCTCCAGGACACAGAGGAAGTATAAGCTTCTAAATCTGTTTATCAATTATTGAATAATAGTTTAAAGACTTTCTCACTGACTGATCTTTGTCTGATCTCACTTTTGTCTTACATGATCTCCTGAGCTCCTCCTGGTCACTGATGACGAAGAAGGTCAGTCCGAGTTCATTTACCTGGATTCGTACTCTAAAGAAACCTTTAAAAACAGCTTTCAAAATCAGCGAAGCTAGTACTGGTGTCTCAAATCTGGTTAAACAAAGAGCAGAGAAGTGATATTGGTTGTTAAAAACCTGAAACTCTTTTTATAATGCTGGTTTAAAAACACTGATGAGTGCCGTTAACAGCAGTTGAAAATGTAGAGACACTAAATTATTCCTGCTCTTTTTTGTTGCTCTAGCAAAAATACATTTTATCAGTATTTACAAAAGGTATTAGCAGACTTTAGATATCATGATCATTCAAAGAGTATTTGTGAGTCTAACAAACCATATCCTCTTGTCCGTTCTTGTACCTGAGCTGCTGTGTTTGCCTCCTCCTCCTCCAGTGGAAAAAAGTAAGTATGAGTTTTTGAGTCTGATATAATATCAGCAATACTTGTTCTTCAAAGACTTTCTCTCTAACTAACCTTTGTCTCACTCTTTCCAACACCTGAGCTTCTCTTGGTCCCTGAGGACGAAGAAGGTACAGAGCAAAAATATACATTTGTTGTCATCTGTTCCTGCAGAACAAATATACTTGTCATTTTGTTCTGTCATTACATACAAAGGATAATAGGACATCACTGATCACTCTCTCTGCGAACTGAGCAGCTGTTTTACTCTAGAAACTTACTTCAACATCTGAGCTTCTCCTAGTCACCAAGACAGAAGAAAGAAGAGAGAAGGGTCTTCAACTGCTGTCTATCCCGAGCTCGCCTGGTTGTGGGGAAGCCCTTCAGTGGAGGATATACAGGCGTGCCATCGAGATCCATACACATGTTGCAGAGAATGTGTGACAGCAACCTGTGTTCTCCACAACTACATATGGAGGTCAGCTGAGGCACCTGCAGAGTTGGGGAGCAGTGAGGTGCAGCCCTGCCAGGTCTGGGTAGAGTTGGTAGAGTGGAGTTTTACAGCACTGAGCCACAGCATGCAGCCACACTGTTTATGCCTGCAGAGGAACTCACCAGCAGTATACTCCATCTTGTGGCAAAAGTGGGTAAAAACACTGTTTGTGATTCTTTTTTCTCTGATCAAGTTTGGACCAGGGGATGGTTAAAGTAATACACAGTCATATTATAGCTAGTGTTAAACTCAAATGACCATTAGGGTTGAATGTGAAAGTGCTCTGAAGTGTTGTGATGCAGAGACAAATCTCCATCAGTTTGGATGAGGGGGATCTTTATTTTTCTTTGTAATCAGCTATCTAACATATTTATATGGTAAAGCTGATAAAGTCACACCGCACCAGTGATATTACTCTGTGATGCTCCTAAACACACACCTAGTTTCAGTGGAGGTTTTTGATGGTCTGAGGCGAGGACATTTACTGCTTCCTCCAGGTAGCGACACCTCTTTACGAATTATTACCACATTCACTCAAGTGAGCCCAAGTTTGCTTCCTTTAGCAAAAAGTACTATTCTTAAAGTTCATTTTAGTTTAAGTTTACAAAAGTATCCTTTAAAGTAAACTTCTAGTCCCCTTTTTAGTTTATAAAAGTACACTCTAAAGCATACCTTTATTTATTTATTCTTTTTTTTTTTTTAGGGGAGGGGGGAGGGCAACGATTTGGACAGAGTGGCAATGTGGGAGCAAGGGGGGGCAGGAGCACATGGTTAGGACAGAAATCAAACCTGTGGTCCCCAACGTGGGGCACGCCTTTATCCACTCAGCTATCTCCACACTGACTCTGAAGCATAGTTAAAATTACCTTTTGGTATACAGTTGTATGTATTTGTATACTTGGCTTGTACTGTTTATCTTTTTAAGAGTATACTTTTAGAGTATACTACGGGTAAGGGTAAAGGGTATATGGAAGTATTCACTGACTAAGTAGGTTAAATATATTTAGACTTTGAGTATAATTCTTAGTACAAGCTAAGTATACTTAAAATTAACTTTGTTAAGTATGTGTCTGAAAAGTTCACAAAAAGTAAACTGAAAGCATACTTAGTTTATAAACAGTATACTTGAAGTACACTTCAACATACCTCTTTTTGGTAGGGGATAGTGTTACACCTTGATCTTTTTTAACTGTTACATTGTTACAATGGCATAATTATATTTTAAAATGTCTGTTTAAGAATGTAATCATGTTAGTGGTGGTAACATTGTATTGTTCATTCAGAGTGTATTTGTACGCGTATGTGTGTGTGTGGGTCAACAGAATCAGCCCAGCTTCGAGCAGTTTAAAGAGGAAATGGCGTCAATCCGCCATTGCTGCTCATTGCTTCTTCTTCTTCCACATCTTACATACACACACAGGGGCATGCACAAACAATCACACACAAACACACACGTTGATGACGTATTGCTGCGTAAGTACAGAGGGCTTTTCCGGTCGTGTTGTGAAACAGGTTTTAGGCTTTTCTTTTTCGGTGAAAGTTGTTAAAGTATAATTTCAGCGGGGTTGGGGTTGAGTGCCGGGACTAGTTTGGTGTGTTGGAGGGACAGTCTGTATTCCTCCGCTTCTGTGTGAGTGTTGGAGCAAAAAGACCCGGATGGACTGTCATGGCCGCCGTGGCTGTGTTCCTCAGAGAGGAGGAGGAGGAAGACTGTCGGTGAAGCTGTGTGTGTTTCAGCCGCAGCTTTAATGTCCGCCGCTGACGGGACGGAGGATCTACCTGTTCACACTTAAGGGTATGGCTCGATTAATTTACTAAAACTTTGAGCGTGTTGGCTCCATTACGGTGTGAGATAAGTGCTCATTAAACTCCATACACACTCTTACACACTCACAGGGAGCAGCATTGGCTCTCAGAGCTCAATGTTATAACATACACACAGTCTCAGGTCAGTTTAACAGACACAGAGTGAGTTTGCTTTAACTACGGTCAGTTTGAGTGTGTGTGAGGCGTTTACTGACGCTGCCTTCAAACGCCTTTAAACTTCACACACTCACACACACACTCACACACACGCTCTGTCTGCAGGATGGAGGGATGGACACCCTATCGTTACGGTCCACACTGTCTCTGTGTGTTGTCGTCTTGGACTGGGACGGTCCCGCATTGTCCCCGAACTGGTCTGGTGTCAGTCCTGGCGCTTTTAGTGTTGGTTCAGTGTTCAGGTTCTGAGTACAGATGCGTCGCAGACTGTCCAACTTTTCTTTTACTCTGCAGCCTCGTCTGTTTTTGAGCGTGGTGCAGTTTACCTGTGCAGGTGTGCACCCCTGTCCGTGTGCATAATGTTTACTTTGATGGTCATTAAATCTCAGAGCTGCAGTTTAATTTTATTAAACAGTGTCCTGCATGTTTTTTTTACAGTGAGATGTTAAAGTCATTTAAAATAAGCTATTTGTAGCTTTTATGACTAAAGTTGCAGCAGAAGGGATGTTGAATTTGTATCTCAAACGATGTTGAATTAAACGTTGTTACAATGTAGTTAAGTCTGATCTGTCATAGTCACGGCAGCCATTTTTTTCTCCAACATGGCCGCCGCTGTGTAGATAGATTACAGAGAGCAGTGAACTCATAATCCCTGATGAAGACTATTGAGGAGGAATGATGGGAGATTTAATGTGTTGAAAACAAAGTGTGTGTGTTTGTGTGTGTGTGTGTGTGTGTGTGTGTGTGTGTGTGTGTGTGTGTGTGTGTGTGTGTGTGTGTGTGTTAAGATAAACATCAACTTTGACAGAAAGTAGTTTCATGACATAAACACAGAAATTTAATTTTTTTGGAGTCTAAACCTTTAATGAACTATGAGATTTTACGCTTGTGATGTGTTAATGTTCCCCTCAAAACATCTAGTGGACATGTTCTACAAAATGCATATTGCTGATCTTTCTCTGAGACCATGTAATACTCCCCCTCTGCACACTTTCATCCATGTTTGATCATGAGAATAATCAGTTTGTTGAGCAGGACGCTTCTGCCCAATAAAAAAATCTCTGGATTGGTTGTAAAGGTGTAACAGCTTTCCATATTTACATCACTGTGATGAAGATAGTGATAGGGTGCTGAAAGATACAGATAAACATCAGCTACCAGTGTGATGATGTCTGTCAGCAGGGTTAAGGTATGCTCATACTGATGTTCAACCATCTCTTGGTGCATCCCCAATTAAAGCTCCTGTGAGAAACATTTGGTTTGTGTCAATTTTTGTGCCACCTGTGGACAAACCAGTCTTCGCTTAGCTTGTTCTTCACATGCTTAAGTTGTGTCTTTTCACAGAAACCTGTTGATAGTCAAATATAGAGCGAGATGATTAATAAGCTCTGAATTTCAATTGTAAATTTGCCCCCATGATCATAAAAGTATTGTCATGGAGACTGAATGATAATTGTGCTGCCTTCTTTGATGCCACCATTATTTCTCGTTCAACGCATTCTCTCACTCTTCCAAGCTCCGATAAGCTTTAATTAATGTTAGACAAAGTTTGGGAGTATGAGGATGCTTTGGCCCCTGCAAAGATTTATGGTGGACTGCTTTATCTTCAACATGATGTGCAGCAGCCATTAAAAAGGTGGTGAGAGGAGAGGAGAGGAGGTAGAGGAGCAGAAAGAGGAGAGAGAAAGAGCAGGTTGAGGTGCAGAAGGGGGAGAGGAGAGCAGGTAGGAGGAGAGAGAGGAGCAGAAAGAGAAGAGAGAAAGAGCAGGGAGAGGGGCAGGAGGAGGGAGAGAAGAGCGGGAAGAGGAGCAGAAAGATAAGAAAGAAAGAGCAGGAAGAGGGGCAGGAGGGGGGAGAGAAGAGCGGGGAGAGGAGCAGAAAGAGAAGAGAGAAAGAGCGGGAAGAGAGGCAGAAGGGGGGAGAGAAGAGCAGGGAGAGGAGCAGAAAGAGAAGAGAGAAAGAGGAGGAGAGAGGAGAGCGTGAGAGGAGGAGGGGGAGAGCGGAGAAGAGCAGGAACAGAAGAGAAAAAGAGCAGGGAGAGGGGCAGGAGGACGAGAGAGGATAGCAGGGAGAGGAGCAGAAAGAGAAGAGAGGAGAGCAGGGAGAGGACAAAGGGGAGGTGCAGGAGAAGGCAGGTGGAGAGAGGAGAGCAGAGACAGGAGGAGGAGAGAGGACAGCAGGAAGAGAAGCAGGAGGAGGAGAGCAGGGAGAGGAGCAGGAGGAGAACAAGGTTGGCTGCAATTCTCCAAACTAAGCTACGAATGAACAATGCTGCAGGGGAATATGAACTCATGCTCCCTTCTGGTTGAACCACCAAGTCTTCGTGGTTTGGGTAGTTTCTTGAACACATTCATCTCTAGGGATGGTTCAATTTTCTTTAAATGTGGAGACTGACTTTCCATCAACAATTCTTACCTTTAGTTTTCATTCTTGCATTAAAGTATAGGCTTTTTATGTTTTGATTTGTAAATGTTACTGTGCACATTGTGAATGTTGCACTGCAACTTGATTTGAAGAAAATCGTGAATCGAATTGAAATGGCAATTTCTGCCAGAAAAATCGCAATCCGATCTTTTCCTAAAATCGCTCAGCCTCAAGAAGAAGGGTGAGCTTCCTTCAAACTTAAGGACCTAACAGGGGCAACACAGCAGGAGGCAAAATAATTGATAAGAAGAGCTTTGTCATAGTTGTTATTACAATTAATTGTCCAGCTTTAACATAAGGCAAACGGGTATTGCCATCAAAGTGTATGAGGTGACGTGGGTGTCCTCAAATGTTGTTTTTTAATGTTGCAGGAATAGGAGGATTAATAGGAATGTTTTAAAACTACAAACTGTACACCAGATGCCACTGCCTGTCAATAAAAACAAAGACAACTTTAGTGAAATGTGAAAAATGACAGAACTGCAGGGAAACAGCAGAAATACTTGTGCATGCAGGGCACAGTTAATCTATTAGGTATCTGAATTCAACAGCCACTGATGTGTCGTCTGTTTTCATAACTCTTATCTCTGCACCTAAGGCAGAAATAAACAGACCATTGTGTTTTTTGTCTGTCTCTTTTTTTTACAGGTTGCAGGTCCAAAGTACCAGCTGATCTTCCTCAGACTCAGAGGGCATAAATGATCCTGACTATCCTGGAAATACACAGGTAATAACTTTGCAGCTAATAAACAGGGTTAGCAGTCCGAACAGTAAATCATGGAGGGATTAAATACAAAATAAACATAATTATTCCTTTTGATCACAGGTTTTTTATTCTATCTTTTTGCTGCTGTGTTAAAAAACAACAATGCCACTGCACTTTTGAACAACACATTTCTCTTGAAAAAACTCCCTGACAGTCCAGTCAAAAATAGCAGGAGTCAAACAGAATTAAAATAACACTTAAGTTGTTTGAACTTCAAACTACAAACTAAGCATGCAGGTGTTAGTAATCAGACCGATATTAAGGCAGCCACTAGTGCTTAGCAATTTTATGGATTCTGGACATTATAAATCAATATTTTTTCCCCAGAAAGTATAATTTTTCAGATGCAAATATCGATACATTAAGTCTTATTAAAATACTCCTTGTTCCGCCCAGCACTCTGCTAGCTGTCCCCCCTTCCTTACCCTGTTTGCTTTGCAGGAAGAGCGGTAAGGTCAGCCAGCCGCTGGTGTTGCTGTAAAGCATTTCTAGCAAGTATCCCATCTAGATACTGTCTTTACACAGAAGAAGAGGACATTCAAGAAATGGAGGGGAATATAACTCCAGCACTGTTATGCTCAAAAGTAGGAACGCATCGAAAATTTGGCCACCAAAAATCTTTGGCTGAAGATGGCCCAAAAGTGCATTTTCGGTTTTCGGCTGAAACACTTTTCTCATTGAAACAACATGGCCGAAACAAATGTAGTGATGACACAAGCAAAAACCGCAACCAGCATGCACTTGTCTGGATAAGAGCCAACATGTCTGTGGTGTGGATGTATTCCAATGTACCTGAGAACTTGGATAGCAATTAGCAAAGCGTGTACTGCAAACATTTGTAGAGGGGGTGCAACGAGTTTCTGGTTTCAGGTGATGAATCAGGTTTAATTCACCACCTGAAATCCAAACATCCCAATCACCATTCTGAATATGAGAATGCTGCACAGAGCAGGAAAATTCCTCTGAGCTTGCCCACTCCGTCTGCGGCAGATGTTGTAGCCATATACACAAGCGGGCATTGGGGGAAGTTTAACTTCTTATTTATCACTTTTATCATAACTTTAACAGAAATCAACATTGAAACACAAACTCATCAGCTCCCGCTCTCGGCTGCCTAAAATTAAAAACACTGACACTTTTTTCCTCTTCTTGCTGCGTCTCTACCGCTCACAACACTTCTCTTCTTAAAACTTTGAGTTGTTTTTTGCTCCTGACTGGCAGGTGCCATCTTAAGTTGTAAACCACTCAGAACATGCAGCAACACACTGACCTAAAACCTCAAAATTCACCTTGCAATTGCATAAATTAATATTTATTTGATATTTAATATGAATTTATACGTTTGCAATGCCTTTATTTTATAAAGATTAGTACACAGTCATAGCCATAAATACAATGGTACTAATAATTAGCATAATAATTTCTTTTGGTGTTGCGGTTTTCGGCCATGGTTTCCTCATTTTCGGTTTCGTCAGAGAATTTTCATATCAGTGCATCCCTACTTAAAAGCAGATGTGTGGGAGCACTTAGGTTTTAAAAGGAAGAAGGAAAGCGTTGATTTAGATAAAAGTTTGGCGGTTTGCAAGCTGTGTCATACAAACGTGAAATATTCTGGAAATACAACCAACCTACGAGCGCACCTAAAACGTCACCACCGGACAAGGTAACACACATTGGCCGAATATTGTGATATATATTGTATTGTATCGGTGATGACACCGAAGCTAATTGCTTTCATTAGTAAAGTCTATAAAGTAATGGTATCATCCATGTTTATCCACCATAAGTGAAACACTAAGCAGCATTTAACAAGTTACTGTGTTACTGGAAAAACTTTTGAACAGGCAGAAACTTTGAGTCAATTTAAAACATTAGCATGCTTATATATCGATGATTTGACTGGACATTTTTATTGGCGATTACTTAAGAAAACTTTTAGAAAAGTGATAACTTTAAAAAAAAACTCCTGCAGGAATATTTATGCCTGCTTATTTGTTTGGGTTGGGTTGATTCACACTAAATTGAACATTGGCATCGACCTTGACATCAGGTTTGACAAAAAGTCACACTTTTTAACATTGTTGCTATTATCAGCTTTTTGTGCTGGTCCAAAACTTTTAAGATGCACTCATCAGCTCCTTTGCCGATGCCTGGATCAGATTTTTAAACATCTAACACTGAGATCTTTTAATGTTTGAATTTTAGATCTTAAAGCTGTTGTTTGAAAGTTGATGATTGAATCATAAAAGTGGAGAGGATGTTTCCTGTTTTCTCCTACAGTCACTCTGCTCTGTTTAAAAACCCTTAGCAGCAGTGAATGATTATTATTTATTCTTATCTAATGACTGATAAATATCATCACTTCTGACTGAGTAACACACCTTAATTGTTCTTCTACAGGTATCTGCAGCTTCACAGCTATGGAAGAGGAACTAAGTTCACCTCAGGACTTAGCCCAGTGTTACCTACCAGCAGCAGAGGATGAGAAGGAGAAGGTGAAGGACTTTGTGTGTAAGCACCTCAGAGAAGTGACAGATGGCTCCCTCTTCGGCTCCATGGAAGAATCTCCTGTTAAGGATCACAGCGTTTGCAGCAGGAGGGACAGGCCGGCTCTGAATAAAGCTCACTGTAAGATCCAGCAGGGGGCGGTGTTCTCGGGGAAGATACTGAGTTTTGAATGCTCTGTGTGTAAAGATGGTTCCACCTACAGCCCAAACGACCTCCTGAAACATTTCCGAGCGGCTCACAAAGGAACTCTCCCCACGTATCCATGTGATCTCTGCAGCTTCTTCACCAACGAGTTCCCTGCTCTTCAGCGCCATCGCATCGAGCACAGGAACACTTTGGTCACATGCGAACTCTGCAACGACGACGTTCAGTACTCTCTTCTCCTGCTCACCAGGCACTACATCATGTGTCACAGTCTGAACGGACAGTTTTACTGCGACTGGTGTGAGTTTACAACAATGGATGCGGGTACGTTCGTCCAGCACATCCATCATCACAATGAGAGTCCGTGGAAGTGTACAAAGTGCAGACACATCAGCTTGAGTGAAGAGGACCACCAGAAGCATATGAAAGCTCACTCGGGAACATTTCCCTTCACCTGTCAGATCTGTGGGTATGGAGCAGCGAGGAGCGAGTACCTGAAGAAACACACTGCAGCTGTGCACAAAGAGGAAGCCGACAGGAGAAATGCGTGGAGGTCTGTAGAGGACAACATCAGTCCAACAAATTCATCAACAGGCTTTAAACTACTGCTAAAAAAGAGTGAGTCACAGGAGGCTCAGAGGATTTCTAAACTGAACTGTCTCTCCGGGACTTTATCGAACCAAAACGGCCGCCTAATCAAACCAGAGATATCCTTGGATGAGACCCACTTTGTAGATGGGACTGGTGCTAAAAAGGACAAAATCTGGAGCAAAGGCCCTCATAACATAGAGCAGTCAGTGCCGGTCATGCTCCAGGACTGTGAGAACTCTGCAAGCTCTGAAGCCACAGCTCACACCAGCCCAAATGGACTGACTGTCCTGATGGTGAAGAACAAAATCTCTCTCCCTCCAAACTGCACAACCAAAGTCATGGGGTTCAAGATGGTTGAGGGCAAAAAACATTTGGTCCTCAAAGTGATCCCGACAGCAAAGCAGGACCCATCCACTCAGAACGGTTCCCCAGTCGAAGAGGTGGGTTCCTCCGCTTTAAACCCAGCACTGGACAAAAGTAAAGTTGTTGTCGAGAATGGGGAGGGGTCTCACAGCAGGAGCTCAAATTCACACTGTTTGGGTGTTTCGCCCAGAAGTGGATCTATGCAGATGGATCAGGATGAAATCATGACCGTAAAGGTCAAAATAGAGGAGGAGGAAACTTCTGTTTCCAGTTTAGATTGCACTCCAAACAGAGAGGAAGTTAGGGCACAAACTAATCCCTCACTAAGCAGGTCGTCTACCTGTGCAGACACATTAAACCCCGTGACGAAAGAGTTTGACCAAAGCCACCTGAGTCAGACCACCTGCTCAGAGAGAAGTACGCCTGATAGTTTCTCAGTTTCTGATGCAGCCAGCCACAACGGCTCCAAAGTCAGCAATACTTCAGGAATATGTGCAGGTAAGGTCACTGGTTTATCTTCACCTTCAAAAGTGTGTCAGAAAAACTTTCTTTCCAAACAAGCCACCAAAACAATCGTGGAGACCTGTGGGACTGCTGAGGAGTTTTCACCGAATTATACAGCTACTGACAAACACAGAAGGAACTCCTTCAACACTACAGACAATGACAGCCGGTCCCCTCAAAGTCCTTCAGAAAAAGACCACCCTGAGAAGATTAGGATTGAGATTCAACATAAAAACGACCAACAAACAGAGTCATCCCCACCCTCTTCAGGCCAGAGCAAAGAAAGTGTCCTGAGCCCAGAAAACTGCACGAAAAACTCTTCCCCAAACCAAGAAGTATTTTCTTTTCACAATTACTCTAAGGAGTCATTCAGCACTTCCACTAACACTACTCACAATTCTGACTGCATGCCCAAACGTTTAGCAGACAAACACAGTATTTCAGAGTCATCACCGCGAAGTCCAAGTTTAGAAGAATCTCTAGAAATGACAGGGAATGATTCAGAGGAAGACACAAGTCTAAGAGAGAATCAGGAATTAGGAGACAGTGACAGTGAGGTAAATGAGTGCATAGTCGATTATCCTCCGTCAGAGGATGAAAATCCTGAGTCAGTGCTCCAGGACTTCAATATAATCAAGATAGAGGAGGAGAACATTCCTATTTCCAAAACCCAACCAGAAACGAAGAGCAATCCAAACTCCTGTGGCAGTTTTGTCGAGGAACACTCCGATGCAATCATCACCCAGCAGCTCAATAAAGAAAGAGGGGAAAGAGTGAAATCCTCAAGTGCCAGCACAGATTCCCTAAAACAAACCAAAACTACTCTACGGATCCTCCAGCTGCCTGAAGGTAAGCAGCCGGTCCTCCTGAGGACTACTGAGAACCGATACACGATGCCAGTGCAGGTCAAAGCCAGTCCGGGTTTTAAGCTGATCACCAACTCGACAAACCCTCAGATCAATGTTTCCTACATGACTCCAGGTTCAGAAAGATCGCGGAAACCTGCGGCCCTCCCTCTCAGTCCAAACAACAGGGGGACGGGTGCATCAGTACCAAAGGGAGGGTCTTCTGAAAAAGGGACAACACTTCTCTCTGCTGTCCAACCAGGTCTTGGCACCACCTCCAATCACTACTTTATCAACAGCCCAGGATTTAAGGGGCCAGTACTCCTCTCTAGTACACCACATAATACTCCTACTGATAAAACTGCAAAGACACAGCAAACTTGCTACTTACTGCAAAGATCTGTCCCACTCGGTCAGACCCCAAGTACTCCTGGCCTCAGACTTGCAAGCACTCAACTGCCCCTGAGCTCACGGCCAGTCCTTGCCATGCCTGTAAACTCTGCAGACAAACCCAGCACTCTGCAGCCCGGTCGTCAAGCATTCCTGCTCCGATACATCTCCCCCCCTAAATCAGGCCTTCGACTGAACAACCAGGAGGCTCCAAATAGCCAAACCAATGAAAGTGCTGGAAATAAAGTCATTTTTAAAATCGTCACCCCCACTGGTAGCCTTCTTACGAGTGGAGCTCCTGCCTCAAGCAGTCAACCTTTGTTTTTAGCCACCAGACCGCAGACACAGTGTTTTCTTGTTTCATCCAACAAAACTAATGCAAGCACTCCAAATGCAGTAAAGAAACTGATCACTATACAGAACAGTTCGCAAAGAGAGGTCAAAGACTCCTTCATTTCCACCGGTCAGGTGAATGTAACCGCACCCCAGTGTGACGCAGAGAAACCCATTCTTGCCCCAAGGCCCATCCGACCTCCGAGCCAAAGGAAAAGGCGCAGGAAAGCATTGTTTGACGAGCTTCCAGAGACGGCGCACAAAGTTAGGAGGCTCGCTAACAAAGTAGTAACTGAGAAAGAGACCCCTGTGTTATGGAAGCCTGTAGCCAAAGACGTTGAGAGGACGCTGAGACTTGCCCCGTTCAGCTCTCTACAGCAGGTTAAATGCCCCCGCAGGTACCAGCCTGTGGTGGTTCTCAACCATCCGGACGCTGAGATCCCTGAGGTGACCAGTATAATGAAAGTGGTCCACAGGTACAAAGGTGCTGTTTCTAAAATCTCTCTGTCTCAGCAAACTGTCCAAGCACTGTCTGAACTTGGTGCTAAAGGAGAGAGCTCCTTGACCAAAACCGGGTCGTATCGCAGCGACGATCCAACACCTCGGCCAGTTCGGAGCTCTGTCCGAGAACGATTCCTCCTGAAAATGAAGCTAAAGAAAAAGAGCAGGAAAAAGTACCAGGTGGTGGCCCCATCGTCAGGGTGCAGCCAAGACCCGGTGGTGTTTACCTGCTGGTTCTGTGGTCGACTTTTTAACAGCCAAGAGGATTGGATTGGCCACGGTCAGAGACACCTCATGGAGGCCACCAGAGACTGGAATAAACTGTTCTGAAGGTTTCCTGTGGGTTGGTATCATGGAACAAATGGTTGAAGTTGTATATTTTTATAGTGACCTTCAACTTTATGTTTGTAATATTTCAGTCCTTGTAAATATATATTCTTAAGTGATCCATAGTTTATCTTTCATAGGTGCTTATTCTGGTAAATATGTACAGACCTTCTACACACAGGTTAGATCTATCTGTGAAAATGGTACACTGTAATGTAAAGAGCATACAGCAAGGAGGCGATGTCAGCACAGGTTAAAAACAGAGTCAGAGTCAATAACTCAGGTGATTTATATTAATCTGCTTTGTCATTTTTCTGATGAAACCCTGCTTTGAGGGACTTTTGTATTTTTTTTTCCTGCCCATGAGGACAGGTAAGTGTACAGGTTAAAGCTTGTTGTTTTATTCAGTCCTTTTGTGCTTGTGACAGAGAGAAGTTTGGACCCAAATAGTTCCTTTTTTTACAATCTTTTAAGTAAAAGAGAAATAACTTTACACTACGCTACAGTCAGGAGGAGTTTACAGTCTGTCTGTCAGGATTATGTTCATGCATGTGTCCTTGCTAAAGTAGATTTATCCACTGTTATCTCCTCATTCTGTTCTTATCAAATACAGTTTTCTCTTAATACATTGGCGGGGACGTCTCATGGCTGTATTTTATGAAATATTTAAAGGGATATTTCAGTATTTTTTAAAGCGAGTTTGTATGCGTTAAATGTAAGTGTATTGGCCTCAATGGATGTTAGGCTCCTATAATAAGAAAACCCCAGTAGTAACAGGAGGACACAAGGTGTGGTACATTTTTCTGCTGACGTGGCTGGATCTGTAATTTAGCTAATTTTGAGACACTGACCCAAAGCACTCATCTCAGTTTAAGGACACAGACTAATGAGGATTTTTTCAGTGCTTTACTTAGTCATCAGAAAGTCCATTTGTTTTTGCTCTGTTTGCAGATGCAACATGCAGAAAGGCTCTTCCACCTGCAGCGCTCTGATCAGCTGTTCAGGTCTGCAGGCTTGGATGGTAGGATCACACTAAGTAATGAGTGATTCTGACAGCACAAATGACCTACCATTAGTTACTGAAAATTATGCAAAACTAAGATGCAAAAAGAAGAAAAATCCTCCTTAAATAATTCCTGAATGGGGAAGGAAGTAGGTATCAAACAGCATCTAGTGTTCAGTGCAGCAGTGGACTCTGATTGGTGATGGTCTCAGACTGCTGCTGTACTCAGATCCTAAAGATCCAGAGGTGCTGTTCGTATCAAGTCTCACTTGAGTTTTTCTGTTTTGGGGGATCAACTCACAGTTTACACATATGAACCACTAGGTAACCCTCCTGCTCTCCAGTTGACACAGAAGTTTCTCTGCTTTTGCCTTCGGTGCAGAGTCGCCTTTACCTCTGTAAACCCTGGTTCATAGAGGTGTCCACATGAGTGTGCAGCAAACAGCTGATCAGTGCTGCACGTCTGTGTGTTTTATCTGCAAAAAACAAACAGGCTTTCTAATAGCAAAGCTCAGAGTCGAGAATTTTCCCTGTATCGTGCGCTAAACTGAGATGAGTGTTTAAGTCAGAGTTTCTCAAATTTGTAAAATTATGTAGCAGAGTAAAGCAGCTGGGCAGACCGACATCCACTGTGGCTCCAAATCCATAAAATGCGACCCATACAACCTACTTTTAAAAAGACTGAAATGCCCCTTTAAGCAGGGACGTCTCATAGCTGTCTGTACTGGAGACAGAATACTCATTTCCACAAAGAGCCCCGCTGTTGTTTTAGTTTTCTCATTTTGTCTTTAGCTGTTTGTCGTCTGATCCTGTAAGTCATTTAATCCAAGTTTTACTTATGATTTCTCTCTTGCAGGTTTTGTACCCAGATTTTACTTTTTGTTATTTGGTTTAAAGTTTGTAATTTGACATCAAAGTCGCTTCTGAACACCAAATAATGTCCGATATCATCATGTTTCAGAAACACCTCAAACACACTTCAGCCAGGTGTCGGATGACTTGCAGTATTTTTTCAAACTTTTAGATCAGCTGAGGTCATGGCTGTTTTATTTCAACGAGTTTATCCAGAAATTTCTAAATGATTAACTTTGTCACCCGTTTTAATATCATATCATTAAGTTTGACCATTTTTCATCTAATCATGTTTTTAATCTCTGATAAATACTAGGAGGGCAAGGTCTTCAAAGGTCTGTTCAATTTTTGACCATCCAACACCAACACATTTCTCTCTAGAATGAATACATTACCTTTTCAAATGATGACATTTTCCTAAAATAAAAGAATTCCTCTTGAATTAAATACCCTACCATTCATAATGAAACTGTTACCATATAAATTTGAAACATTACCTCTATGAGGAAGACATTTGTTTTCAAAATTTAATACGTTACCCTCTAAAATAAATACATTTTCCTCGTAAATGACACCAGTTCTATTTTAAATAATTTCATGACCCTCCAAAAGAAATGCATTATCATATCTAATATATTATATATATTCCCAATGGAATGGAAGTGCATAACTCAGAAATTACAACAGTACCCTTTGAGGTTATTCCATCATCCTGCCCTCAAAAATAAATTCATAAATTTACAGAATATTTCCCCACATTACAAAACATCACAACCATTTACATTTGATGCATTTCCTTCAAATTATGTTGAGCTGTAGCTGTCTGATAAATATTATGACATAATATTGTGAAAGTGGGTTGGTCAGTGTTGGTGCAAAAGGAACAGCTAACAAAGTTTGGGGAAAGGCAAAAGTTTACACACAAAGATAATTCTTCATTTCAATTTCAGTTTGTCCAATCAGTAGTTTCTGTTACGAGTCAGTCATTTCAGGAATGATTTATTGTTTTATCCTGTTTTATTCTGTTTTATTCAGTAGAGTTTGAAACTGTCCTTGAGCTCTGAATGTTACCTGTGTTTGAACTCGTCGTCACCTTTCATGAAATCACTGTTCTACTGTAACCTGCTTGCTGTTTTCAGCTCAGTGTGCTCCACATACTTTATCAATGTTACATTGATTTTATTCTTCCATGTGAACATGACTTTGTGTTTTTGTCTTCATGCTTTTAATAATTGCATTAAACAAAGAACAAACATTGAACTTTATGTTTTAATCTGTTAAATATGCTGCAGCAACAAAATGCACCCATGGTATCTTTATTTTTGATTTTTACTGTTTTAAAGGTTCCAAAAAACAAGCTTTTAGCAATGTTTTAGTATTTATTTCATTGACAGAAGGAAGAGGGTGAACTTAGACATCATGTCTTATTGAAAAAATTCAAACATATTTGAGTTTACTCCTAAAATAATGGGAATTGATGATTTTATGTTGGTTTATTTTACAGTTTAGCATAGAAACTGAAAGCAGTTAACTCTGATTTAATCACTTGATGGAATTTGACTAATGTCCCTAAAGATTATGTGAACAGAATTAAGATTCGTCTAGGGTCAGCCAGAGTATGGCTGGTTTAGTGTTATTGTGAGGTACGTTTATTAAGTGACGATGGGTCTTGTAGCACTTTTCACAAATAACTGTCTCATGGTGCTTCACATCAAATTAAAAAGTGCAACGTATAAAGTCAATAAAATGAATAAATCAGAGTTTCATAAGGTAATGATGAAACTTTTAAAAAACAGCACAACATTAACCAGTAAAAGAAAAAAGGATTGGTGTATGGTAGGTTTAAATTTTCTCACATTAAAGCTAATTTTCTTTTATAATAAATTCATGTCAAACAGAAATGCTGAGTTACAAACCCCCTTGGCTTCAGAAAACAAGTTTAGGTCTCTGACAGTGAATTAAGTTTTGATTTTCAAGTGTTTTCTGTAGTATTTCAAGTTGCAGTCAGCTTTTATTGTCCTTTATGTGTATTAACACATTATTAAAGGGGTGCCATAATGTGTGTATAAATCCCCTACCCCACAGTCCGTCAAAACCATGTTAGCTGCTGTCTGGTCTGTGTGGTTTAAAAGGATTGGTGCCCTTTCTGAGTCGGTCTCCTCTCTGTTAGTAATACCGGAAACACCCAGAAGAGAGCAGCACTATCTTAAACATCTCTGCCTCCTGGTTTGAGCTGATGGAAATGACTGTTTTCTTCAGGTCCAACAGAGGAGTTAGAGATGGACCACTTAATTCTGAAGGGAGGACACCCGGCCATAATGTGTAATATAGGTTTACAAAATGTGTAATACACCCTTTTCGTCAAACCCCAGCTGAGTGCTGCAGTGTTGGAGTGCCCCCTGAAAATAACCAGCGGTGAAGGAGAAAGCTCTGACTTTGAGAAAATGCATTAAGTGGCAGTTTGAAGTAATGTGTGTCTAAACCAGACAGAAATTATGGTCAAATATTCCCTCTTAAAATACGAACGAACAATATTGCTGCTGTTTAGTGGTTCATTTCCATCTGGAGACATCACTCCATCCTGGTCATCTTGTGGGAGACTACAATGCTGATCAACGCCGTACACTGTGATTGATAATCTTCCCCTTTCAGCCAGAGAGCAAGAAACTTCTTCACTGTCTTTGTTCAGCAGTTTCAGTTTGGTCTTAGTTTTCCTCTTAGCTTTTGAAAATAGACAGAAATGTGTTTTGATGAGCAAACTCCACAGCCTGAGATTATGACGGGGAGCGTTTGACCCTTTGCTGCACTGTCCTCGTTATTCTGGCATTAAAGAGTGTGGACTTCACATGTAATTCAAGGTGATACATGTCATATATTCAGACCATTATGATAACTAGTCATTTAGCATTTTTCCATCAGATATCTTGATGTCTTAACCTGCCATACAGCAGTAAGCAAACCATCCAAAAGCCAGGGTCCAAGTCGGAAAGGCTCTGATTGTCCTCCATGCAGATTGAAGGAAGGAAAAAATCACTCCCTACACGCCTCACACTACAGGACAATCTGGCAAGGTAATCACAAGAACCACCTGATAGTAAAGCCTTTGCTGACTTTTATTGGAAGGCGGAATCGGGCCAAAATCACCACGATAACATCAAAGTGTGTGTCTCGCTTCAGCTCCCTCTGTAACCTTTACTGTGCATCATTGGCTAAGGTCACTGCACCAGTCAAGAAGCTCATCAGTGGCAAGGTGCCAGGTGTGGAGGAGATTTGCCGTGTGATGCTAAGGGCTCTGGACATAGCTGGGCTGTCTTAAGTGACATGCCTCATCAGTGTTGTATTGAGTTCCTGTGGAAGGAAACTCCAGCCAATCCCTGTACTTTGACCACAGGAGGAACGGGGAGAATTCTGTTCTGGAAATTGCATGGACCAACTCGTTCCTCCTGAGGGGTTAGTCTGGAAGGTGTATGGAAGTTGGGGTTTTGGTTCATATTGCTATGAGCCATCTGGTCTTTCTTTGACCAAAGGGAGATCTGTGTCCACACAAACTCACACACATTCCTGGTTTCTTCCAGGGTGCTCCTAGTTGCTGGTTCCACACGATCTCAAGGTGCAGCCTTGGGAGCATGGTTTCAGTTTGATGGCCCCAGAATATCACCTCAGCTTTTGCAGAAGATGTGGTTCTGTTGGCTCCTTCAAGCTTGGACCTCTATTGGGCTATACTTGCAGCTGAGTGCAAAACAGCTGGGATGAGCCTCAGCACCTCTAAATCCATGGATCTGAGCTTGAAAATTGCGGCGCTTGCCAAATCGGGGAGTGATTCTCTGGACTGTTGTGGTGAAGGGGGAGCTGAACCTCCAAAGCTACGACTTCAGTAGTTGATCTACACTCTGACACTCACCTGTAGTCAGTCATGAACGATGGGTAGGGGCTAAAAGACCCAAAGTTGATCTAAAACATTGGGAAATGTCTGTTCAATTTGGCAAATTAACAGTTATTTACTCACATTTTATTTACTCTAGTAGCAGGAGTGTTTGGAAATCAGGGTTTACCTGATCTAAGACTGACTTTGCTGTGAGGCCTTCTTGCTAGAATAAGGTAAAGGTGCTTTAGTTCTCACAAGACATCTAACAAGAGCTCACAAGCCGATCACTGAGTGCAGCAGATCATTTCCTTGAAGTAATAATCATCATAATAATCATTTTGCACTGCAGACGCAGTAGTTCTTCTGCCTTAGCATCTCGGTCTGATTGCATTTCCATGAAGTAATAATCATAAATGTTCTTCCTTGAGCTGAGGAACTCCACTGCACTCGGTGATCGACTCGTCTGGGCTCCCCCACAAACAAGCGGCTGCTGGAAGAGATTGGGTGAGTTGTGTTTAGTCTCTTTGCTTAAGAAATCAGGCAAAGCTAAAAAGATGTTTGATGGCTAGTACTATGGCTGGGACCCTATATGTACTGTCGATGGAGTTAGGTGCTGTTCTGAGAATTATTTATGATTGTTTTCAGTGTTTGTGCATTAAGGATAAAATTTAATCTGGTCTTGAATCTAAAAATTACCTGGCGAAAGAAGGAAATGGATGGATGGATTTTTTAATATTAGTGTACACTCTATTTTAATTGTTACAAATAGTTTAAATTGAATGATGTTGAATACTTACATTTTATTAAAAATGTTACTCAATACATTTTTAAATAATCTAATAAGAGTTGATCTGTTGGTGTATATTCCTCCCACTGGCCCAGTAACAGGTCATCCATGTAGTAAATATGTAAAAATGGGTTTATTTTACACAGTAAAGGAGCACAGCATAATTTTAAGTTTATTATTTTCATCATAAATATTGTTAAATCAAATGCATATACCACAGGGTTGTGCATAAATTTGACACATTAAAACACTCCCACAGATGTGCAGAAAAGCCTTATTTATTCATAACCCTATGAATACTGATTTAATTAATAATTGTTAAATAATATTAGGTCTATTTTTGTCTTACAAACCCTGGCAGCAGTTATTTTAATGTATGTAAATGTTATTTATTGTCATGAATATTGTTAAAACAAATAGATGCATAATAACAGTGTTTGTCATCCAGGCCCAGGCAGCAGAAACACAGTTTATTTATGCATTAAAACATTATTTAGAGTCATGAGCTGTTAAAATAAATGGATGTATGATAATAGTGTTTGTCATACAGGCTCACTCTGCAGGAGCTCGGGCAGGTCTGCAGGCTTCTCTGGGCTTTAAAATAGGTCATGTTCACATCAGGGACGTCTGAATAATTTTTCTGACTCGTGTGCTGCTGAAGTGGTTCAGGCCAGAGGCAGAGGAAGAGGAGGAAGAGGAGAAAGAGGAGGAAAGCTGAGTGTGGGGGGAGGGAAGGGGGTCTCTCACAGTCACAGAGGTTAACACACACATGAACATTTAAAAAAATCTGATTTAAAATCTTTCACTGTGTGTTTGGTTAGACTCCACTTAAAGACAGCTCATCCATTTCTGTCACCACCACACAACTCTGATGCTGCCAGGGCTGTAGGGGGAACAGGTCCCTCAAGGTTAGGGCTGTCACAGTTTATAGATATTGACAGTAACCCCCCTCCTTCAAAATATGAATATTGATATCGTGCTTAAATTAAGCATTCGGTAATGCCATGAGTCTAAAGTAGTGGTCCTTGTGAGCTCACTTTGAGCAGCTAAATTCCAGGTTTTACTCTGAATCCAAAAGCAACGTTTGAGCTTGTGACTTTTTTTAGATTACCAATCAACTGAAAGTTTACTCTGTTTAAACACATCTCTAACTGTTTTCATTCAGTTCTGCTAAAGCATCAAAACATCAGATATTCACTTCAAAATATCATGATAGTGATATTATCGACACAATGAGTCAAACTGAGGAAACGCGAGAAAAGAGTGAAGATCCAGGTTACTGATAAACAAAATGTTGACATGTCATCATTCATTTCCAGTGATGTTTAAATTTATTATTCATTAATCATTGAACCTTCTCTGAATGTTGCCTCATTAGACCAATTTTTTATGCTTTTATTTTGAAATATAAGCTAATAAAAACAAAGAATGATTTGAAAATATAAATGGATTGATTGGTTATCCAGAGACACTAGCGCTAATGTTTTTGATTGCAGTAAATCTTTGACTATTACTTTTTAAAAGTGTCAAATGGGCTAGCTTTTTTTTTAATCTCTCTAACTAACCAGTGTAAAAAACTACCTCTTATTTTTAGCCTGATTTTAATGTTTCATTTTTCGTATAAGACAGCTATGGCCATTTCTGGCTCAACAAGACTCAGCTCTTTCGGCTTCCAATGGCTCATACCACCCACCTCAGATGAGGTAACGGTTGCTGCGACAGTCCGTGTTTGCAGTTTCTCCTTCTATTTCTGCTTCTGCTTGCCGACTTTATTCATGCGCAGATGCAATAGAACAAAAGAAAACAGATTATACCTTAAACATGCACCGAATAGAGCAGATTATTGGGTGTAAACCTCTGTGATCTCATTAATACTCCAATAATGACCTTTATCTGGTAATGAAGATCAAATCATGCTGTTGACATGACGACTTGAGCAGCAAGGTATTCTTGTATCAGATAACAACAGGTTTATCTGTGTGCATGAAAACACACTCAATCATTCAATCATATACATATAAAAAACACATATTTATATGTATATATTTGAATGTGAGTGTGGTGTGTGTGTGTGTGCTGATCAGTGAGCAGTCCTGCCGTAGAAAATGACCTTTAGATGAAGCAGAGGGAGAACAGTGAGTCATGTTCACAGTTAGTCTTTATTGGAGTGCAGACGACACACAGTGCTCACACTGACACTGACTGTTTAAAGGTGTCGCTTTGTTTCTCACACTGAAGGTGACACACATTTAATGTCACATCGAAGAATGTCTGTGTGTTTGGACAGAATCAGTGTCATTATCACAGGTGAACCTACCCCACCCCCACACAGGAAGACGCTTAAAGCTGTCGTAACGCAGAAACACAACAACACGTCACATGACGAAAATTGTCATGTCAGCTGACCTCAGGTTTTCACACCGAGAGACGTCGACTGATTGTGAATGCCTGTGTTTGACTGACAATAAAAACGTAATGAGTCAACTCTTCAATATTACACGGATACTAAATCAATGTTTACAATAACAACACAAAACTGAGGTGAAATTTAAATCAAAGGTCTGACGAAGGAAATCAAACATCAGTGACTTTAGCAAAGCACTGTTACTCATTCTTAATGAACCATAGACCAGTTTAACCACTGTGCCGTACTTTGATAAACCAGGTTTAATCAAACCAGGATTAAACCTGGAACCTGGGTCTGCACATTAAAAAAAGGTTGAGATGTTTATGGTATATTGAGTAAAACAGTTAAACCCCTGTTTAAAATGAAGCCTGATTTAAACTTCATGAAGCCTGTCTTAAACCATTGTTTGTCTGGTTTAAACCAGAGTTGGTCTAGTTGCTTGTTTGGTTTCAACTAAAAGCAGTTTGGTTTAAACAATATGACATCAGTTTGAACTACAGTGAGTCTGCGCCAAACTGTTGCAAGTCTAAAATTGACCATGATTAGTCTTGTGTAAGCTTTAAATTATTAAGTAATAAATCCTGTTCAAACTGCAAAAATCTTGTTTAAGTAGGAAGTCTTGTTAAACTTGAGATAATCTGGATTAAATTGTAGAAAATTTGGTTGTCATTTTTGTAAATTTGGTGTGAATTGTTAGACCAGGTTTAAATTGTAGAAAGTCTGTTTTTAACTTTTGTTAGTCTACTTAAAACCATATTTAGTTTGGTCTAAACTGTGTAGGTTCTGGTTCAAACAATATTTTGTCTGTATTTAACTTTAGCAAGCCTGGCTTTAACTTCATCAAGTCTGGTTTAAAACATTGTCAGATTGATGTTTCCTGCAGTAAGTCTTGTATTTTGTCTGGTATAACAAAAAACTTTGTTTAGTCATTTTTGAACTTAAGTAAATACAGTTTAAATTGAAGTAGGCCTGGTTTAACCAACATTTGGTCTGACATAAGAGTAGTCTGGTTTAAATCATAGTTAAATCATACAAAAAAAAACAACAACAGAAGGCCTGGTTTAAAATGTAGTAAGTCTGATTCAAACTGTGACCAGTCTGGTTTAACTGTACTTAGTCTGGTTGAAACCAGAGCTTGGTTTAACCATAACCAGGGTTGAAACAATTGTTAGTCAGGTTTAGACTTAAATTAGTTTGGTTTAAATCAAAGTAAATCTGGATTATACTGTAGGCAGTCCAGATTTGACATCTGTAGACCTTGTCAGACAGTCATGTTTCGTTATATCACTGCCCTCTGGATAGAAAAATGGAAGTTTATGGAATGACTTGAAATGTTGCTGATGAATGTTTTTAAACCTGAGTTCCAGTTTGTGTGATGCTACAAACTGTGTATAGTAAGTGTTGTGTATTTTCTCTCACAGTGAAAGCTGGCACATCATTTTGGCACAATACAAAGTTTGTTCTTTGAAGCACTAAGCATGTTTATAGTTTTACCTCGACGGGCGAGGAAAATCAAAGTTTGTTAGTGCAACATTTGTCATCGAGATCCTTTTTGGCAGCAAACATTAAGTGTCTCTATATAAAATATTCATAAATCTTTTTTTTATATTCATAAAAGGTGAATCTATCAAAATAAATACAGGTAACAGAAACACATCACATCTGAATGAACCTACTCATGCATGGATGCACACAAAGAAAACCACATGCTCACACTGATTCAAAGTGTTTCCACATGTGTAGCCACTCAAAAGAAGTCATTTCATGTGTAGAATAACATTAACAAATATAGATATTTTTAAATGATCAATCTGTGAACCTACACTGGCTCTTTGCATTAAACTGTAAATCACCATGTTGATGATTAATGCCCATATCCCTCAGGTCAGAGCTGTCAGCTGTTTGGAGAGAGAACCCTGCTTTATCACTCCGTTTAAAACTGTCTCAATGTGCAGAACTATAACAACATGTCAGCCCGTTAGCAAGAGGACAGGGACTACTTTAAATATTTCCTATGCTAATTAACTTGATTGATTAACCACACGCCTACAGACTACAGCATTATTTAGATGTAACCTGAGGCACGACAGGGTCAAAATTCAAACAGGCTCAAGGAAACATTTATGTAAAGTTAAAAGTGAATATATCCAGGTGAACTAATCTGGATCAACAGAACCAGATTAACAGAACCAGAGTAAAAAAAGTGGACCCGTAGAACTGGATTCATAGATATGGATTAACAGAACCAGATCAGCAGAATCGGGTCAATACAGCTCAAATAACATAGCCTCATCAAGTTTTTGCTAAAAGTGGAGAGGAACAATTTACACCAGCATGCATCATCTTTGGATCACACCCAAAAGTCCATTTTGGACTGTATTTCAGAGCTTATGAAGACCTCCACTCACTGACTCAGAGTAACTGCAGCATTTGTGAATGAATGGAGCTTCAACTGGATTTAATCATAGACTGTATATAGAATGGTCGCCGTCTGCCTCCTTGATGGGTGAAGCCACCTCGAGAACAGCACCCTCTGTTGACGGGCTGCAGTATAGGTCACAAATCCCGCCTCCGCCAGCAAAGCTTATGAGGCTGGGGATGAACTTTAGAAATTTATTACTCAGAAAATATTTTTTTCCTTCCTGCTTGCGATGTTGACATGTAGTTATTGTAAGACTGATTTGTGCTCAAGTCCTCTTTTTTCTGTACAGCTCCATTTTGAAAAGATTTTAGGGGGTTCAAGTTTTCTATGATTGACACTTGATACAGCCTCTTGGCGTACATTGATTGTTTAGCTCATGGATTGAATTACCGAGAGCTTTTTGGCTTCAAATCTGTATACTGATGGAAGGTGGAACCAGGTTGTCCATAGTATATACAGTCAATGGACTTAACTGACAAACAATTAAAACTAAAACTCAGGAAAAACTGTTGGACTTCGAAAGGCCAAACTCGCTGTAACAATGTTCATTCTCCATCCTTTTCTATGAAGCTGCTGCAGTTTCTGACTGCTGTGCACCCAGGGAGGCACACAGTTCTCATAGCAGCTTTGTAATATCAGTAAAACAGTAACAGAACCCTTTCATTCGGTTTTTCCACTGATGATCAACAAGAAATACACTAAAAATCACTTTGTCAAAAGGAGAACTGAGGCCTCACATGGAAGTCTACGTGTTTCAAGGGCAAAGCTGAGGGCACTAAGACCCAAACACTGACAGAGGAAACTGATTACTAGGCAACTGAAGGTCTGTCAGGTGAACAGGTGAGAATACTATACAGTGGTTTCATTCTTCCAAGGTCCAGTCCGTATGTTTCCTGTTGCGTCTGAGCCGAACAGGCCGTCTTCCTGCAGGCTGCGATTACGGCCGATGGCGGCTCGCCTGCTGACAGTGGCGTGAGGCCGGGGTAGAGTGTTACGTGGGTAACATTTGGGTTCTGGCTCCACACACAGGGTGTCCTTTTCTTTGTCTGCTGTCTTTGATGGGTACATATCTGAGTCTTGCTGGTACTCAAAGGTGAAGGCTTCAGGTTTCTCACAACAACTGGCGGGAGAGGAGTGATCGGCTGAGCTGTACAGGTGCCACTGGCAGGTGTGGACCCCGTGAGAAGGCAGGAGGAGGCTGTGACAGGAATTGTTGCTGTCGTGCATGTTGTGGGCGTGGCTGTGGCAGGAAGTCAGCGAGTCTTGCATGCTGTGGGAGGAGGTCTGGCGTTGCAAGCCGTGGCAGGAAGCTAGCTGCTTGTCCAGGTGAGGACTTGGGCAAGGCAGCTGGAGGTCTGGATGTGGGCTGCTGGGAACCAGAGATGAGACATCCAGGTGAGGCACAGCATGAGGGCTGTCTAGGTGAGAGCTGTGCACGCTCCCGTCCATGCTGGTGGACGTCATGTGAGAGCGGTAGTCCTGCAGACAGGGGCGTGGACGGTTGAAGGAGCGGGATTTTGCTCTGTTGCTAAGGCAGCTCTGGAGAGGCAGCACGGGACGAGGGAGCTCATCAGAAAGAGACTGTGGGCGAGGTAGGGACACTGGCTCAGGGAGAGGGGACATGGGGGCTGGACTAACAGGGCCCATCACAGTCACACAGCAGGGACCTGCCTGATTGGCTGTGGGGCTCTGAGGAGACGATGACAGTTTGTAAGAACTCTGCATTAGATGAGGGGAGAGAAGCGGCTGCTTCCCAGAACCAGGGGAGCTCAGCTGGCAGTGGGGCTGGTGGACCTCCTGTAGGTGGTTCTGCCCATCCCCGTTCACTTCCTCAGTCTTGGACTTGGACGGACAACATGCCCACCAGCGATGCCACACATCGTCCCGTTTGGCACAGTGCTGGATAAGGAGGAAAAGCCCTAATGTCACACAAAACGCTCCATACAGGCAGCTAAATATCATGTCCAGGAAGTGTCCCAGAGAGACCGCCAGAGCTCCGAGGGCCCAGGTGGACATGAACAGGAAGAGGGTAAAAGCTGTGGCCCGCAGCTGAGATTTAAATGAGTGCTCATTGGCAAGAACCGACACACCGGTTGCAAATGCTGGACAGTCCCCGGCAGACCCGGAAGCGACTCCGGGGTCCGTGTGGCAGTGATGGTTGGAGTCACTGGATGAGAGCTGCTGCTGTTCCTCACTTAGAACTCGCAGCTCGTACTTCCTCTCTGGGTGGCGTTTGAGCTGGATGAAGGTGCACAGGAAGTACATGCACATGATGAGGACCAGGAGACCAACAGGGGCGTAAAAACCTCCCAGACTGGGCTCCCATGCCATCCAGCAGCTAAGACATAGAAAGATGCATCCAGATGTATTAAACTGATGTGAAAAGTCTGTGAAACTCAAAAATGATGAGTACTTACTAGAGAGCGTCATCCCTGCTGCCATAGTTATCCAAACTAAACGCTGCTGTGACTCCAACAATGATCAGAGGGACTCCATCACTGACCAGGTAAAACCTGCAGAAAGGAAAACATCAAGATTCTGGTTTTCATCTGAATGAAAGTTTTTGGACTCAGAGTTCAGGATTTGTCAAATTAACTAATCTGGTGTCATCCATCTTACATAAAGTGACTCACTCACCTGAGTACGGTAGGTTTAGAGCGGGTCTGGGCTGGTCCATTCCGGTCTGGTGTCTTCAGGGGGTCTTTGGACACGTCTTTACAGATGTTCCTGGCAGTGAAGGTCAGCCACAGCATGGTGGACAGGGATGCATAGTGGAGGACAATGCCAACCTGTCACAGACCAGAGGTGATAAAGATTATTTAGAAACACGTGAGTCAGTGAGTGAAGTCCTGTGTATGAGAGTGTTTATCAGGAGTTTGTACAGAATCAACACAAACTGACACTATCTTATTTCTTCATCAGCAACATCATCAGTTGCTATGGAGAACAAACCATTGCTATGGATGTTGCTGCACTTTATGCCTTTTCTTATCCTGTGCTCCACCCAAACTGTCATAATCTGTGTCTTGCTGGTCTCATCTGATTTCTCTTTGCATCTGGTCTTTTTGTTTCCTGTCAGCTCATTTCATAAAATGATTTGTCTTTTACCTGTTTTTTGTTTGTTTGTTTGCTTTTTTAATTTCTCTCCCAAATGCGGATCTAAATTTTAATTTTCCTGAGTGAACTGTTGAATCTCGTCTGTCCACGATGTGTGAATGCAGACGGAGGCTTTGTGACACTGGCTTGCTTGTATAATAGGAATCTATTATATTCCTGTTATATAGGGTTAGAGTTTTAGGTCCTCCTACATCATCTCTTTGTCTCCAAGTTATCTTCCTTTACCGTCTGATTTACACCTAGCTTTGAAGTATGACCTGTGACCTGCAAAACCCCCAACATCCAGGATGTCTGGACCAGGTACCATAAAAGAGACACAATGCCCAAATTCCATTCTCCGGTTATCTCAGGCTATCCCTGGGAAGTATCTCAAGGCATTGCATGTTGGTGCTGTACTCCAGATACCACAGAACCTTCCCAAAAGGATAAAGTTGTATCTTCGTGACTACATCAAACCCAACAACACTGACTATCTTTAAGTTGTTCTGGTCACTTTAACAGCTTGTTTGGGTTTGACACCAAACCACAGAGCAGAGTACTTTATTCTCAATGAGCAAGACTACAGCCAAACACCTTCAAGTGGGGCTCTCAAATCCTAAAGGTGGGACTTTGTGCTGCATTCGAGTGATGTTTTACATGTTTGCTCCAGCACTTTGTAAACTTTTGTTTCAATGTGACGCTCTCAGTGTCTCTGTTGAGATAGTTCAACATCGCTGTGCTTATTATTAACAATTATCAATTATCAACAATCAGAATCAAGAAGAGGTGGGATTTCTGATAACAGTGTCCAGGTCTAGCGCTACCTCAATGCTATAAAATAATTTTCAACCTCTTTCAGCTTGTTTTTTTAAATGATACTGAACGCAAACATGAAGCAGACAGAGAAGTGGAGTTGCTGTAGGCCAGCTATCGCTACAAACTAGGGAAACCAATTTTTTGTCATCCTTTTTGTAGAATTATCATCGTAATCAATCACAAATACATGAAGACATCTAAAGACATATAAGGCCTTAGTTTGTTTTAATATATCTTGGTTTTCTTACCAATTCAGTGTAGCAACCCTGCAATCGGTAACCCTGTCAAATCCTACATACACTGAGAGTAGCCTACTTGTCTGTCTCAGTGTCCGCCTCCATTTAAATATCCAGACAGACATTTATTCCCTTCAAAAACAGCTTGCTAGCTCATGCTGGTTTACTGCCTCCAGCTAAGCCCTACCCACCCAAAAAATGTCACACTGTTCACGAACACTGAGAGGATCTTTTCTTATGGTGATAATAGTGATTATAATTCTTACATGAGGACGTGTGAGTGCTATGTTGTAGAATCAAAGCAGTGAAATCACACTGAGAATGGAGAAAAAAAAGCAACTCACGATCTGACACACGAGGGGTAACTTGATCTGATTGATGCCTCCGGCAAAAACTCCAAATGTCAGCCCGGTGTGGAAAAGGAAGTTGAGGAGTGTGTGCCAGCCGTTTCTGCTGATCCGAATCACGCTGCGAGAGGAAAAAAGAAAGAAAGGTTTTACATGTGGACAACTTCCTACAAACATTGGTGTCTGGTAAACCACGTTGTTTAAACTTGAAAAAGAAGCATTTATAATATGTACATGTTACTGTAGAGCTCACTAGGGCTTCAGACTGGCTGTACAAAATGCAAATGAGTTATTTACAAGGGCTTGATACATGTGTTTGATTCATGGTGAATAATAATGAAATTATAATTCACAAAGAAGTTGGAAACATGCACTTATTTGGAGGATGGAGCAGTGAGAGGGGGCTGGCTTATCGTTAAAGAGGATAAATGCAGAGCTCTCTGAGTGTCAGGTCAACACACAATAATGACGTGTACACATATGCAATTCATGCATTTGTATTTGCATTTGCATAAATTGTAAACCCTACTCAAAGATTTCCAAGTGGCTGATTGCCTTTTTTTTCTTTGCTCTACATAGGAGTTTTTGGTAGAGACCAGACTGATCCATGTGACAGAGGTTACCCACTGGAGTCGTGGCTTAGAGTAAGACTCTGCTAGCCCACTACGTACAAAAGAATGAAGCCCACACAGCGACTCAGACCGTTACAGAGCACACCAACTGTATTTTGGAGTTCAGAGTTACATCACTATTCAGAGAAATTTATCTGAAAACAAATTTGACTTCTACAAGCAGGAGCTCACTGTTAACTAAAATGTTCAGTATAGGATGAATAAAGTATTCAGTAAAGTAGTATTTTCTGCAATAGGCAAGGACTCAAAGGTCAAACCTACACACAGATTCACAAATGTTTTACAAATGTGATCTTTTTTTATTTTTTAAATCATGAAGAACAACACTAAAATATTTTGTGCTTTTAAATGATCACTTTAAATGTATGAGGTTATACGTTGTTGGTGTAGGCTTGCTGTACAATATTCAAGCCTGCAGATGGGGCTTCTTGAACCAGGCAACCGCTTCACTACACAAGGCATGCTTGGTCATAGAGGGAGGGGGAGCAGACCCTGTCCTCCTATGTTAGGCTATTGAAAGATTACAGTAATTTGATAGTGAGTAAATAAACATTGTGTAATGTTAGACAACGTGACAAAGCCGCACAGTAAATGCAGATTGTAAACTTTGCTGCATGCTGTGGAAATCATGGCACAGGGAGGCAATTTTTTAACCTTTTTCCCTCTGAGAGATTGACAGACACTTACTCAGTCTGATAAACCAATGCACCTTTAACTCAGGTTCTTATTGCAATGTTATAAATCCGTATTTTTTTTTTTACTAGAGCCTCCCTAGTCCAAAGACTGTCACAGTACATACCAAAGTGTTGGGCTAACAGCAGTGGTAAATATGACAGGCTGATAAATGTTTTCTCACTTGTGGTGGACGATGTATGTCATGATGGAGACGAGCAGACAGAGCAGCATGACAGCTGTGCAGGCGTACACCACAGGATGCAGGTAGTCCCCGGGGTACGGTGGGAAGGACAGAACCCTCTTTAGATCCTGCAGAGATGCAGAAATACAAACACAGAACTTTAGAAACAAAACAAGATATCAATACTCTTTAGTTCAATAAAAAAATAGTTTGATGAATCTTGGGCTGGACACTTGGACCTGTGCTGATCCTCTCATGGCTTGGTCACACCCTGAACCTGGACCAGCAGTTACCTTCTTTATCCATAGCCTGATATTAGCCCTAGTCTACCTTTTTAAGGCTGTACAACCACACAGCCAGAATAATAAGCATGTCAAGGCTTATAATATCCTTGTCTAATCATTAGTGCACTTAGATCTCTGACTTTTCCTGCCTTTGAGCTACTCAGTACATTTGCATATTGGTCTAAGAATAGATTTATGGCTTTAATCTGACTGTAAACATTTTAGTTCGAATGAAACTTCACTGAATCAAATTAGTCTGGATGATACTTTTGGGGATCCATTTTCTCAGTCACATATAATCTTGTATCTGACTGAAACTGGCCTCGGTGTTCACAGAGGCCAAAGAGTTTGCAGGGCAATCTTTTACTCAGTTGTTAAAAAGCATAAAAAAGACGGTTCAGAGTCACTGTAAAAGTCACTGTGTTTCTATGGTTTCACGTTCATCTCATTGGTGTCCTGCTAAAGTGCTTTGTTGATTGTTTTGGTACATTTTTAGTCAATAGGAGACAACCCAGTAGTACAGAGCTGAAAGGGGGGCACAGACGAATGTGCTTATGTCACTAACTTGACTCTTGACTGGTGTTTGTAAACCGAGACAAGGACAGTCATCTCCTAAACAAGCTCTTACAGCGACTCCACTTAACTGTGCGTGTAAACTTACTGTAGACCTGCTGCTGAGAGCTCAGGCTGAACCCAGACAGTTTTAGGTCAATCTGCAGGTTACAAGGTGCTTCTGAGTGGTTCCTCCAGCCCCAGTCTGTCTCATGCTGGAGAGCTGACAGATCTGGTGGTTGACTGTCTGTTAAACTTTAACCTGTTCATCACACGAGTGAGGTTTGGGCAGTTTATCCGTTTGTTCTCCTTCTACTGAATGTGAATCTAAATTATTGAGCCTTTTATTATTTTTATTTCTTTTATTCTTTTTCATTTGAACATGAACATTGAGCTCTCTGTCTGACCCTGATTCCTATGAGCCTCTCTTTGGTCCGTGCAGACACTCAGAACTGACACCAACGATAAATCTTCATCACTGATCTCATCCAGCCTCCTCCTTCTCCTCCTCCTCTGCTGGATGAGCTGCATGTTAATGAAAATCTCGTTACACTTGGAGGATCTGCACACAAACACTGGCTGCACCATGACGTCCACCTCCAGTCGGGTTCATGATGTTGAATTATTTTGTAAACGATGACGTTTCAGACTCAAACCCTCTGAGCTGGATGGAGATCCACACACAGAGTCCTGTGCTGCCTCTGTGCTCTGACATCATGTCTTAAAATAACTCACATCATTAAACATGTAAAACACGTTAACATACCCGGCCTAAAGCAAAGAAAAAAATCATCTGAGCAAAGAATCGATTTCTCGGCATTTAACTGGAATCAAATTTACACAGAAGAGTCTCTGAGCTGCTGCAGAAACAGGATTATTACATTAAAACGGTTTTATTATATCACTGTAACATTAACACAGCATCATGACTGCAGCACAGTGTGGTTCATTCATGTCAAAATACACGAGTGAAACATGTGGAGGGCAAGGTAAGCAAACGCCCAAAAACTGACCCAAACCGAAAGTTCCTCACAGGAGCTTCTACACTGACCTGTGCTAAAAATAAGCATTTTGTAATACTCTGACTTCATTGTAGTAATCCTGTACACTGGCTGCTGTGTGTCTTCAGACAGAGGATAGAAGAAGAAGAAGAAGCAGCAGACAGTTGGCGAGCCAGCTTTAGCAGCCATCTAAGAGATGATTCAGCACTTTAAAAACTGATGTTTGAGATTATTTGCGAACCCAAACACAATGTAAGAGCTTGTGTCTCTTTAGGTTACAACTTAATTTCGTTTCAGGGATCAATAAAGTTCTTCTTATCTTATCTTGATTAATTGGACTGTTGAAGTATAACATAATTTCAGAATAACTTAAAGCTTTCATTCCGTTTCCTCTGATGTAAAATCACACAGTCAGCGGAGGGTCCTGTCAATCTACACTCTGATTGGTCAATGGGCGGGGGTTTTATGCAGACTGATCTTAAAACAGGAACATAACCAGCTTCAGAGCAGGTCAGGTGTTCAGCATCAGGTTGCCATGGTGATGAGACGTAACAAACAAAGAAACAGAGTGAACCCTCAAGTTACCCCGATAAACGCTTACCCTGATTAAGAGACCAGGTTCAACAGGGAATGAGTGGGGTTTCTACTGCGTGAGTGTGTGCGTCTGTTTGTGTTGTTTGTGGTTATGACTAATTAAGGAGTGTGTGTGTGCGTGCATGCGTGCATGTGTGTGTGTGTGTGAGAGAGAGAGAGAGAGAGAAAGAGGCAGCTGTGTGTAGGAGGCTCACACGCATTTTTTCACACAACAGGTTGAGTTTCTGTTCACACACACATAATGTTTAAAAAACAACAATTAACTCCTCGCCTTTTTCTCCTCCTCCTCATCTGCCTCATCTTTTTCCTCCTCCTCTTCCTCCTCTTTTTCCTTCTCCTCCTCTCTGGTCTGATTATATGAAGAAATCTCAAGTTTTCTCTGCTTCGTCTTTTGACAGCGTCAACTCTCTTCTTCTTTGTGTTCATGTATTTTAGAGACACTGTCTTCCTCTCTCTCTCTCTCTCCCTCTCTCTCTCTCTCTTTCTCTCCCTCTGCAGGACAGCATGCTCGCACACCCCTCTCGCTTCACTGAACAACAGTTTATTACACAGAGCATGACTGATTAAATCGTGTAGATCCCAGGAATGAAAAAATACAGAGCAGTCGGAGTAGCTCCATCCCTGAACCCAGCACCGAACTCTGCTAAACAACTATGATCAACCCCAGCTCAGGTTTTATATGATCTTCATCATCTACAACATTAACATCATCATCATCATCATCATCATCATCATCATCATCACAATTATCACCACTGTCAACGTCATCTCTATTAGCATAATCACCAACATCTCAACAATCATCACAAACACTTTAAATATCACCACAAACACATCACCATCATATCATTGCCACTGTTGTCATCATACCTACCATCATTACTACAAACCTCAATCTCTATAAAGTTTGGACGTTAGTGTAAAACATGAATAGAAACAGAATACAACAATTTACTAATCCTTTTCCACCTAAATTCAACTGAAGACACTACAAAGATATCGATGTTCAAACTGATAAACCTGATTGTTGTTTTGTAAATATTCACTCATTTTGAATTTCATATCTGTAGCACGTGCCTGAAAGCTTGTTCAGTGTCATGTTTCTCTCTGTTACATCACCTTTCCTTTAACAACACTCAGTAAGCCTTTGTGAACTGAGGACACTAACTGTTAAAGCTGTGGAGGTAAATTCTTTCACAGTCTTGATTGATGGGCCACTTCAATTGCTCAACAGTCCAGGGTCTTTGTTGTTGTTTTTTGTGCTTATAAATGACCTGTCAGTATAAATGTGCTTATAATACTTAACACATTTTCAATGGGGGACAGGTCTGGACTGCAGGCTCAAGTCTACTACCTGGACTCTTTGACTCTAAAGCCACGATGTTGTACCCCATACAGAATGGGTCTCTGTGTTTTCTTTCTGGAATAAGCAGGGACATTCCTGGAAAAGACAGGGCTCTGATGGAAGCTGATGTTGCTCCTAAACCTATATGAACCTTTCATCATTAATGGAGCCTTTACAGATGTGACAGTTAGCCATGGGCACTAACATACCCTCAGACCATCACAGATGCTGGCTTTGACCTTTGACCTGAGAACAGTCTGGATAGTCCTTATGTTGGAGGATACCAGGTCCATGATTTTCAATCTGAAATGTGGACTTGTTAGACCACAGGAGACTTTTCCACTATGGCTCAGTCCATCTCAGATGAGCTCAGGTCCAGAGGAGCCGGTGCTGTTTCTGGCTGTTGTTGATATCTGTCTTTGGCTTTGCATGGTATGATGATTTTACAGACTTTAGATGATGAAATCACTAGAAGTGGTGAACCTGTCCCCATCCTTGCTTGTGAAGGACTGAGCCTTTCAGGGAAGCTCCTTTTATACCCAGTCATGACCCTCACCTGTTTCCACTGAACTAGTTCACCTGTGAATGACCCAAACAGGTGTTTTTGGAGCAGTCCTCAGTTTTCCCAGACTTTTGTTGACCCTGAACCAACTTTTTAGGAACTTGTGAAATCAAATATTGAGGGAATATTCAACAATTGGGTTGATGAATTTCAACCTTTAAATATCTTTGTAGTGTTTTCATTGAATATCAGAGGGAAAAGAAAATATATTCTGTTTTTATTCATGTTTGATACAAAAGTACCAGAGTCTCTGGTTGAGACACAACTTTTACATGATGCATGATTTATTTAGTTATTTATGTATTTTATTGCCTTCATACCTCTTGTTTAACCATGTTAGTTATTTATATTATTCTATTTTATCTGCATACGTATTTTAGGATTACTTTTGAACTATTTCTTTTCCTGCTGTTTTTAGTCTCCTCACTGGTTTCTTATCATTTTTAGTCCTTTTTTCATGTTTTAATATACGCCTTCATTTTTCATTATTACTGTTATTTTACCCCATCTCATTTAATTATTTACGTATTTATTTCTCTTCCTTTCTCTTTTATCTGTCCTCTGTCCACCTTCTTCTTTTCCATCTTTCTGATGTGATGCCATCAACCATCAATTTTTAACTGTCAATTTTCCTTTCAAACAAAGGCAGAAACAAACACTTAAAGCACTTAAAAGCACTTTTAAAGCACTTTTTAAACAGCTGTTTTAGTGGTACTATATAAATAAAGTTATTATTATTATTATTATTATTATTATTATTATTATTATTATTATTATTATTATTATTATCTTCATCATGACCAAAATCAAAATAATCATAATCATCATCACCACATAAACAGAATTACTATCACTGTTATTAACACCTTTTTCCATTACTTTGAACAAAATCACAATAATCACCATCATCAGCATCACCACCATCATTATCAGCATGACAATCATCACTTCCATCACCTGGTCTCCATTGAAACCATAATATCTTTTTCCCCACCATCTTTTTTCTATTATCACCAGCAATCACCATGGCTGCAATTCACATCTTCCTCACGACGTTATCATTATCCTCATTGTCATCAGCATAATTACAATCCTTACAAATATCACCATCCCTATTGCCAATTTCACAATGCCATCATCATTGCATTATTTACATTATCACCATCCAACTATCATTATCATCATCATCACCATTTAAGCATCATCATTAATTATCACCAATAAACCCTCGTCACAACAATACTAACATCATTATTTTAACATATTGACCCCTGATCAATATCTCTATGATTACATCACATTCATCATTATCTTTGTCCCCATATTTATGCTCAATACATTCACCATCACCATTATGTCCATCAGCATTATCAAGATTATATCATCATTGTCATCACCCTTACCAGTTGCTGTCCTTCTAATGTCGAATATCGTTTTAAACCCTTTCTCTGACGTACAGAGCACTTAAAGGTCAGGCAGCATATCTTCAGGAGCCAATGGTGCCCTATTATTCCACAGGATTGCGCGTTGTACTTAAAGTCTCTAGAAGATGCGTGGGAGGTAGAGCCTTTAGCTTATGGACCCATCAGCTTTGAAATCCACCAGTCAGAGTCCCAGAGGCAGACAGCCCCCTTTTTATGCATAGGATTGAGAGTTTTCCTTTGGTAAAGCTTTTAGGGTCGGCAAAGGCATGAGCAATCTCTTGGTAATGATGCTGTAGGCCTAGCCTGCTTTGGGCATAGGTTGCTATAGGCTTAAACTGCTGTAGGATTGCCATAGGCTCAGACTGCTATAGGCTAAAACTGCTAACAGTTTAGACTGTCTGCAGTATGTGGCCCACTGAGCTCCTGTCTGTCACACTCCCTCTGCTCTCTGTCTACATTTTAGTATCTTGAAACCTTCATGGTTCATTGAAGTTCAACCTCAGACCTTTCTGGGAGTCCCTGAGCTCCCTTTTCTCACAGCTTCCTCTTGACAGTTGCAATTGCTGGCCTGCTGCCCTGGACCTCTTGACTCTTCTTCAGCCTTATCACCATTTTTAGTACTATCATCATCATGTCTATCATCATTATCATCTTTATCACCATCGTAATTATGAATGCACAGATATACAGACAGATGTGAAAGAGGTGTATTAGGTAATAACAGTAAGATTTCATAAATAAAAAGGTGTTTTTATCTCACCATGAGCCCCGTTCAGGTTCAACTTCTCTTCAGGTCTGGATCTGGACTCTCCTCGGTCCCTAACCCAGACCCTGCAGCTCCATGAAGGGAAGGAGGACTGTGATGATATTGGAGGTCTTCTGTGTGTCCCAGTCTCAGATTCTGTCTCAGGATGTGGTCTCAGTTTCTGATCTCCAATTTTGGTCCAGCATACCAGGTCTTTTTAGCAGCACTGACAGGTGGTGTCCTGGACCTGCATCCATCTGGATCAGATCAAAGAGTCAAAAGCAGTCAGTTTAACTGCAGTGGTAGTTATTTTCTTAACCTTCCTCCTGTGTTAGCTTTTACTACGCACCCACCAGGTCGGTTTTGACCTGTGTCTTAAATCAGCTGTAAATTACACTAAAAACTATTTTCTATCATCCAATTTGGTTTTCATCTCTAGGTTACCTTGTTAGGCTTCGTTATCCATGAAAATATTGCTTATAATATTTTGTAGTGGGCCTCTGGGCCTTTCTTTGTCAGTATACCCCTCACACAGACATCTATACTGAATTGATCTCACATGTCTGGACATGCCCGACGTTGTTTTTTGTGCAAGGAAAAATATGGCAAAATAAGAATTTCCTAAATCTCACATGATTGGAAGAGGATCTGACTGTCAGTGTGGTGCCTGACAGTGCATTTATGATTTTAGTTTTTGCTCTGATTATTAGATTGATCTAACCAGGTCGACAGCGACCCTAACATGACGGGTGCCATAAGTTTAATGAGAGCATTTTATAATTGAGTAAATGTATTTATTTTTATTTTTATTTTGTTGAAATAGAGGTTCCTGAATAAGTCCAAAAGTCTTGATGCAAAAAAGTTAATTTAAGTGTCTTTTTTAAGCATTTAAAATCAAATACGAGTCGGTGCAGACCCTAACACAGGAGGAGGGTTAAAAGCCACCTAAATTAATAATAAACTTTAAACAAACAGTGTTGGAATGTCTTTCAGACTTGAATTTGGGATCCATTCATTTTGTGTTTAATAAGATTAAACTTATAATTAAATGCTTTTCATTGATCAGTTACCAAACACAGGGGTAAAAAAGAGTTTGTCAAAAACCACACATATACATACTGTTGGTTTCACACTATTTAACAACCCAAATGTAACAGGTGACAGGTAAACATCAAATCTGTAAAGGCATGCCAGGACATCATAAAAATATGTTATTAAAAATGGACAGGTATGTGAGGAGAGATGAGATCTAGTCATACACTTTTACTCAGTATGGTGAGAAAAGGATCCAAAAGCCATATTTCTGATGGATAATTATTATTTTACCGAAATATTAATGTGAAAGTCACCACCAGTCCTCCTACCTGTAAAAATAACCACTATACATGTAAGAGTATGACAATTATTATAATAGTTTGTGCAAATCATTAATCTTATTTTAGTCATTTTTCTCAAAATCTGTCCTAGAAAACTCTGGTGATGTTATTTTTAATGATATTTCAATGTGAGGACTGAGCTCAGCATAATAGAGGCTGAGCCCCCTGAAGCTCTGATTTTATAATCGGCCCTGCTCCGACGATAGCGTTTTTTAACAAACTGGAAATCACCAGTAGTGTGTGTGTGTGTGTGTGTGTGTGTGTGTGTGTGTGTGTGTGTGTGTGTGTGTGTGTGTGTGTGTGTGTGTGTGTGTGTGGGCGGGCGGAGGACGGGGATCACGGATCAGTAGTTCTGTATAATCTACAGATTAAAGAGAGTCAGATTAAATTGAGATGCAGGTTGTGGATTAAATCTCAAATCATTACTGTGAATCTGTTTGATTCTGATCCGGTCATGTTACCTGTTAAATTCGGTTCTAAGGCTGTAATATGGAGACGGGACTAATAATAAATCTGACTCAGATTTTACACAGAATAACTCAGTTTTTGTCAGTCATTGCAGAGCCGTTAACTGGTCACGCGACAGAGAGATGATAAAGATCAATTTATGAAAAGTATTTTATAATAATGAAAAAAAAAACACGAACCTGCAGCGGAGTCTTCTCACACCAGGATCCGGATCTTTTTAATCCAGGTCACTGAAGATCGTGGCTGCGCTTCATTTCTTCACCGCGACGTGCCGGTGACGTGATGTGTGGCGTCATGAGCAGGGCGGGGAAACCCGGCTCATTAAAGTGCAAGCGGCACGTGAGGATGGGAGAAAGTGACTGAATCAGCAGTGTGGTAGCCATGGTAACGGTTCTTCAACAGGAAGTAATTGCCACAGTATAAAATCAGATAAATTCGTTTTTGACGCACATTGATAAAGATTTTATTACTAATTAACATTAGTCGTCTTTTACAGGCTGTTACAAATCACAAATTAATGGCAATAATTATTGATAACACTCGCCAATGGTAAAAAAATAAAATAAAATAAAAAATAAAAAAATGAAAAAATAAAAATCGTTTTCGTTGAATTGTGTTTTAAACTTAAGTATGAGTCAGAAAAATACAGAAAAAATAAAAATAAAAACACTCCGACATGTTGGTCACATGATCGTCAGTCCGCAGGTGTAACTATGACAACAAGGAAGACGCCAATATGTCTGCGACAGGGACACATCGGAGAGAGAAACGGGAAGAGAAGAACGAGAATCTTCAGGTACACAAGAACATTTCGGGATAAAACCCTGAATTAACTGAGGTTTATTTTCTAGTTTAATTCGATGAAAATTGGATGAGTTTTCAAAATCGTACTTTTTAATCGTTTTTGTGTCAAACAGCAGCCTGTCCTGACTGAGCAACTGATCTCAGAGCTTCTGGAAAAAACTGAAGACCAACTCCTGACGTAAGTGACATCATCCGTAAAAAGACGCAAAGAAGGACGTAAAACTAAAACAAAAATCTTCATTCCTGCTGTAAGAAAGGAAGGTTCCCTCGAGGAAACGTTTACAGTTTTTCTCAGTTGCTTTGGTGCATTTCTCAGTTTAGAATGAAAGTTCTCATAACTATTAGTTCACCCTCCACAACGTTGAGTCATTTGTTACCATCATAACAGTTCTTCTGAACAAATTCCAAATGCTCTTGGACATGTATCAGTTACTTTCATACAATTCTCTGCTGTTAATAATATTATCATTTGATTATGTCATGTCAGTCAAAATGAAACATACTTATGAATGCTAAAAAGTCATTCCCTGTAAAACTAATCGTCCTCATTTCATTGCTTGAGTCATTACATACAAAATTGTTGATCTAGTTGTCAAAAAAATTTCATACATCCCTTTATCATTTGTTTTTCCTGTAAATGTCTCCTAAATTGAACAATTGCTCTCAGGTGAACCTCAGCTCATGAGGAGGTGTGTGAAGTCAGAATTTTTTTCTTTCTGGAAAGCGGAGCAGATGGTCACATCTTTTAGATAAACTATGCTCATAAAATATCTTTATGAGCAACAATCTTCTTAGTTAAATAAGCAGCATGAGTGGCTGCCCATATAGTAACACAGTGCATAATGTAAGAATCAATTAAATCTATACAAAGGATTCAGATTTCTCTCTACTCAAAAATACCAGCTGACTACCAGTTGATTCTTCCATCCTAATTTTTCATCCTCTGCTCTCAAGAACTTGATGTAATGGATTTGAGGTACTGCCATGTTATCTGTGAATATTTTGGTTTTTCCTTTTTAAACATTCATAGTTTTGTGAAATTTGACTCTTTTACATTGAGAGAGAAAGTTTGTTTCTCTGCCAAACCATTAAAAAAATTGATGGTAGCTCTTTATTAGCTTCCTGAATCAATGTAGAAAAATGTTCATGTCAAGCAATAATACAGGTGTCATCAGCAAATAATAATAATAATAATAATCTACAGACAGTATGGATCATAAATGTGTACCAGCCATTTAAAAGCAACACTATGTAAACACAAAAGATGTTGAAATCTTTAATCCAGGTTTAGACTGCTAACGTGGGCTACTAGTCATCAGTAATGTAGATATTAGAATTAAATCAAAGAAAGGGACCAAGTCTGAGCCTCTGTGGAAAAAGGATTTATCAGGATTTTTTGCGCTAGACCCAGAGAATCCATGCGAACCTGTATCTCACAGCACCTCCTCATCAAGACAAATGCAGTCTCAGAGAACTATTCAGTGGCATCACCTGGACATCACCTCACCTGGACTCTGTGGGGCTGGACCGAGCAGAGACCAGCTGGGAAGAGATCTAAGAGGGGGAGGGGGGCTACAATCAGCCTCTCAAACAGAGGAAACAGGGCTGCTGCCTGCCATCTGCTACCAGGCTGACATCAATGAATCAGTGAGTCCATGTGCAGCTGGGCTGAAAGTGCATAGACTACACATGACCTGTGGGGTCATCCCCCGAACACATGGACTATTTAAGTGGGAGGAGAGATAGTGTCTGTGCAGTACAGGAAATGATTTACTCTAACAGACTTTAGAATATCACGTTGCATGGTGCAGTCTTTGCAATATTAACAAGATAACATTAAAGCTCATGTAAGGAGTTTTCCACATGTATTGAATGGACTGAAATTCACATTGGTGATTTTTTATGATATCCAAAAGCAAACAAAACTATAGGCGATAAGACAGAGGATATAAATTATCTGATTATTAATGAATGAAGCTGGTGTGAGGGGGTAAGTGTCAGCCGAGCAGCTATGACAAAAACAAACAGCTTGTTTTTATCATTTTACACAAAATACTTACAATAAAAGATGATGCTCAAAAGTCAGCAGGATAAGATATTTTTGTGTAAAACCTTTGAAGCATGTAGCTGACTAGATTAGTTAAACTGCTCTGTCCACAGGGGGGCGCCAAAATGGACACAAAACAAAAAGTTCCCAACAGGAGCTTTAAAAAAGTGTTTATGATGTTCACACTGTTTGCAATAGTAAATATTATTTATGTTGTCAGTGCATCTCTTGATTATTATGTTGTTGTTTTTTTTGTTGTTGTTTTTTTGTCTTTTTCAGAGAGTTACTCCAGACGTTTGGCCTCATGGATCATGGTTTGTGTTTGAAAGAATCGTCTCTGCTGGATTTTTATTTTTGCGGGTTTTCATGGACAAAGAAGATGAAGTTCAGCCTCAGACAAACAACCTTCATCATGAGTCTTTTTCACCTGATGATCACTAACCTGCGAGGTGGGCAGACTCTCAGTCATTCATTCAAATAGTAAAAGAGTTATTCTGTTTTAAGACAAATAAACATGTTTGATTCTTTAAAGAGCTGTAAGGAGATGAAGTGTTTCAATCAATCGGTCAATCATTATTGATATCGTTGGTCATATTTCAGATGGTTTTGTATTTTATGTTTCAGATCAGCAGATGGACTTAAAAGAAAACCTGATGGAATTTTCCGAGGCGTTAACCCGTCAATTTTCGAGATCAGAAAAAGAAACTTTAATCTTAAACACAGAGGAAGTGTGCGCTCTGAACAATTTCCTGGAAAACAGGTGGGATAAAAACTAAAACTTCTTTAGCTTTTTTAATGTTCAGGTAAAAAACGAACTTGATTGTACAAAAAATGGACTCATCATGAGATTCTAACACAAATTCAAGCCAACACTTCCAGCATATTGCACACATTCAACAGATCTAACACAGGAACAATTATCAGGAATAAAATAAATCACAAAAAAGAAACAGAGACTGATCTTAAATACCAAAGACAAGATGAACACAAAGGTATTATTACCACAACTTAACCTGAGCAGCAAGACTGAATCAGAGGTGTACGAATACATTTATGCGTATAAATGTGCAGATGGGCGTCCTTTTTTTCATTTACATCAACACTGTAATTGTTTGCTTTGTTTGAACAGACTCCTCCGTTTCAAGACAGTGAGAGAAGCAGCCCGAGGTTGGCGGCACATCTTTAGGCGATCTGACAGCATGCAGACCGTCTGCTCTGTCAGCTGATGAGCAGGCTTGTTGTGTCTGATAGTTTACAGCTCTTTAAACAGAAAGAGAAACAAGCAAACAGAGCTCACCTTCAGGGGCTAAGTCAGTCAGTCATGGGCAAGGATAACTCTCCTGTACAAAACCTCCAAATACACTGGGTCTCATTCAAAAATGAGTGCGAGGGAAGACAATGAAACTTTATTTTTAATTCCACTTCAGCTAAAATAACATAAATCTCTGCATCTAAAAAGTTTTTTCTCTTTCTTTCTCTACACCTTGAAGTACTTATCCATACCTTCTTATATGGTGTTCCTCAGCTATTTATGGGTACTGTCTCTTAAGCTTAACCCTTTAATGCCTAAAACCACAAATTATGGCCAGAAAATTCAAACTTTTTTGGGAGATGAAATGTTTATTTCACTTACTACTGAAAACCAAAAATATCAAAATGTCCTTAAAATTTAACAAATATATTCATTTATCTTGTTTGATACATTAGATGTTTTTGGAAACTGATAAACCACAAGAGGACATTTTTATCATTTATCGGACTGTATTAAGGTGTTTTTTTTTTAGTAATTTGTTGATCATACTGATTTGATATAAGTATCATAAAAGTCAATCAAAAATGAGAACCATGTATGAGTTTAAAGTGGACAAGGGTAACATCTTGAAATGTTTGTTTTCTTCAGTCTGTTTCAGAAATATAAAATCTATCAGCTCATGTTCAGAACACAGAGAGAGGAGCTGCTGTCAGGAGCACAGGTAAAACTGTGTGAAGAGTGAGAGTGTGTGTGTGTTTGTGTACATGTTTGAGTGTGTGGTATAAGACCTACTGCGTTCTCACACATATGCACACACACATATGCATGAGTGACTTCAGAGGCCCCACAGGAGTGTACGTATGTAATATAAATAGTGCACACAATTTTTTCAGACTCTCTTCAGGCTCTGTTCTTTCTTTATATCACCTATTTTCATATATTTTGTAAACCAGTTGGTGGTGATGTTTTGGGCTTGTGTGTCAAGATATCAGGGTTCAAAACTTTGCCCCAGATGAATTATTATGTGTTTCATGAGGTTGGACAATCAAATGGTTCCTAATGAGCATCAGGCGGCCGATCCTTCTCTTTGCTTTGGTGCTGCTTGATTTTTATTATTGTCTGTGCTGAAGTGTTTCTTATTATTCAGTGAAGTGTAGGTTTGTTGTTTCTTTAATTTTTTGATATAGCACCAAATTTTCTCTAAAGGGAAATTTCCGTATTTTTGAAGTGAGGCTGTATGGCTAACATCTCTCTGGTAGGTGTGTTAGCCATAATGGATGCTAGTCAGCTTGGTCCCTTAAATGTGAAACGTTGAGATTCCTCAACCTGAACATTCATCGTGGTTTACATGTATGCTCTACCCTGAAAATTTCCAGCACTTAGCTTTCAGAAAACCCATTTCTTTTCGCACTATTTGCAGATGCACGCTGATGTGCTCTCTGCTTGTAACTCATGCAGCTTCCCTTCACTGTTATTGTTGGATGTTGTATCTGTCTGTTGTAGCGTGTTTTCATTAAATGTGAGTTCATGAATGCTGCTGCCTCAAGACTTTCTGATGCACAGATGTTTTTACATTCAAAAATATTATCCTGGTGTTTTTCAGAGGGATGTCGAGATCTTCAACTGTTCATCACTCTTACCTTTGGAAGAGGGACTTTCTGCTGACATGCGCCCCCATGATCTTGAGGAATGTGAAACAGATAAATAAAGGTGTGAGGACGTAAAAGGATCAGTCTGAACTGTCATGTTTGTACAAGTAAGAGGCAGAGTCAGCTCAGCCCGAAGGAAATAGTACCCTAGCTTATGTAGCAGTCCTCCAAGCAGTTCCTCATGTAAGAAGCAGAGCTGGCTGGCATCTATTGTGGCTGATACACTTACTAGTGATGTGTAACTTATACAATACCAAGTGATAAATACAGAAATGTCCCTTTAAACTGGTTTCAGGGGGGACATGAAACGTGGTTAAAATAAGTGATGAAAAAGTGAAATAAGAGTTCAAAACAGTCTATCTTTCGATCTTCATCTTTTCAGTGAACGAGGATTTTATAGAAACTTGGTCGAAGTGCATTTTATTTTTGTGTTCAATAAATGAAGACCTCTTTTTCTGTCCTGAGAGCTTTTTTTATTTGCCTCCATCACAGATTTCTGCTCCATCTTTGTAAAAGGAATATAAGCCTACCCCCGTAGTTTCTGTAGAATAATTACCCCTGTGTTTTATTCATGAAGCTATTTCAGAGGCACAATCTCAAATTGCCTCAAAGAGGAAAGACTCGGATATGAAAAGCTTTCTGCGTGAGTGTTTGAGCTCATCCAGGCATGGACTATGGGTATGCATATAATGTCAAAGTGGGCGGAGTCAGTAGGGTTTCAGTCGCTGAACGTCAGCATACAGATTCAGTGGACGATGTGGAATTAAAACTGTTTGCAAGACATCCCACATTAGTTTCAGTCATGTTAACTTTTGTTAAAAAATGTCTGTTTGGCTGAGTGTATGAGGCATCTGGTGCTTCTGCAGACGGCCCCAAGTGGACACTCAGGGAACTGCAGCTTTTAGCACTTCAGCTTCACTTCTCATGACTAGAGGATGCTGCTAGGTAATAAAGCTGGATTACAAAAAAAGGCACCTCATTATTATGCATTAGAAAGGCTTTCAGAGGGCCTTTTGTGTACTGAGGAGACATCTAGAGGGCACTTTTTAATGTTTTATTTACAGGAAGGGCATCTAGAGGGCAGTTTGTCATGTTTCATGCTGTAGAAGAGCAGCTACTGATGCTGCTGTTATGCATTTTCTGTGGAAAGGACAACAGGCAGGACATGATGGTTTAGCTCAGGAGCATCCAAGCGGGCACTTTGAAATTTCAAATAGTATATATTTGCAAAAAAAACAACTAAGTTTATCAGTTTGAACATTAAATATCTTTGCAGAATGTTCAGTTGAATATTGGTAAAAAGGATTTTAAAATTGTTTTCTGTTTTTATTCACATTTTACACAACGTCCCAACTTCATTGGAATTGGAGTTTGTATTTTTGAGGTTTGTGAAATGATGCCAAACAGAGCTTCTATCTTTGTCCCCCAAAGGACCAATGAGGAGCGAGGACAGACTGAGGTTTTGGTGTTATTTCTTCAGATACAAACACTCTGACTTATTGTGAGCTGACTACAGTACACCAAAAACCTCTGTTCTGTCTTTTTACTCCTCAAACATCACTGTTTTCCCCTCAATAACCAATAATCCCTTAAAACACATCTACGTAAATATGAGCTAAAGAAATCCATGTATATCACATTTCACTGAATTTGTTGGCATCTAGGAGATTTGAGCCTCAGATGAGGTTTAATTAGACTGAATGCTTGTGCTTTGTACATGCTCAGTTAAAATAAAAGTAATAAATCATCAAGAGTTGCAAACATGCAGTGTGAAGTGTGTGTTGGTGTTCAGTGACAGCAACAGCTTCATCCTGCACAGCACCATTGGAACTGGTATGTAAAATGTAGCAGTGACTGTGAAATGACTGGTTTATTGGTAACTGTACACGAACACACACCTGAAGACCGTGGTTCTATCTTAAACACTGACTGTCAGCATTTTTGTGTTTTGGTATCAAGCAAGCTCAGTGAAGATGTTGTGATTGCTCAAGTCTTTAAGTATATATCTATGTAGTTTTATTATGTATTATTAGGTACCATAAATGCAGAAATGTAGCTGCAGCACATCTTAAATGAATTTAGACATGCATTAAGAAAGAGCCAAACAGCGTGTCTGGATATCCTCTAATATCATAAGGGAATTGGGGAAAAGCTTACAGTGTCCTTTTAAAGATGAGAATAATTCAGACAGAGGCACTTAAGGGAAAAAGCTGAGCTTTATTTTATGAAAGTTTTTTTTTTGTTTTTACATCTGTTAACAGGACAAAAAGACTTTTGCAAAGCTAAACAGGTACAATGCATGATAATGAACGTTTGATATTTTCAAAATAGAAGTCAGTCTGAAAGTTTCTTCTGCCACAATCGATGAACAGTGTTTTCACAGTCTGGGGATTGCAACTGTACAACATATGCATATTCTACATTTATGAAAAGCAGGTTTGACAAATTCAGCTGGCTGGACTCATGGCAGCCATTATCCTGTCCGATTTTACGAGGAAGTGCTCTCTGATAAAGGGTAGCTGCACACTTTTAAAGTCCTTGTTGGAGAATCGGCTGCTGTCAGTGATTTTTTTTCCAAACCAATGAAAATATCAATTTGCTGAAACACTAGCTCCAAGCTATGAACGACAAATACTGAGTCTATCTTTGAAAAATGAAAAACTGTATTTTTGAAAGATGTATTTCTTCACTTTGAACCAATGTGCTCAAAGCTGGAGCCAAAGGCAGTGGAGTGAGGAGTGAAGGGAGAGGAGTCAATTTTTGCATCTATGAGTTTTTCTCTTGAGTAAATATACATCAGGCTTTTCCTTTTCTGCAATAACAAATATAGAAAGGTTGAAGCTTTCAGGACGGCTACAGTAACTTTCACGTTCCTCTGAAATACTTGTGGTTACACTCAGAGCTGTGAAACCTTTTAACACTCTCATCGGATCAAAAACAGCGTCAGTGCCTCATACATTCAATTGAACTTCACCCCAAATTTGAAGTTCCTGAAACCCTTACATTTCATCTGGTCATTTATTTTCCTACCGATCAAAACAAGGAGGTCCTTTTCACACTTTAATCCTGTTTTCAGGGTTCTTCTGTGTAAGTTTCACCAATCAGAGTCTTGAAAGGGGAGTTGTAAAATTATCTTTCTGAATTTGGTAAAAAAAAAAAAGTTGCTCTGTTGAACCTACAACTTTTTGACTTTCATGGTTAGAGACAAAACAGGCCTCGCACTGCCTTGAATCATCACATCTCTCTCTGTAGTTGTCAACAAACACGTTTCACCCTCCTCACTCAGTAATTGAACACTTCTTATTTCTTCTTGGTAGTCCTGGTGGTTTTCGCAGTGGTGCTTTTTTTAGTTTGTGAAGTTGTTTTGGACTTTCCTGCAGCCTTCTTTACCGGTTTAGCCTTAGCCTTAGCTTTAGTTTTAGTTTTGGCTTTAGCAGGGGTCTTCTTGCTCACTGCCTTTGCTTTAGCAGCTGCTGCTCTTTTCTGGGCAGTTAGCGTTTTCTCTCTGATCACGTCTTCTCGTCCGATCTCCACCATGTGCTCCTCCCAGGACTTCATCTCGTTCTTGTAGCGAATTTTGTCGTCTTCAGCCAGCTGTGTGTAGACCTGGAATAGTGAAAAAATAGACTCTGTCATTTTCTTGTTGTACCTGTAAACGGCTGAATGAAGACGATGCAAGTGAAGAATAAAGGCCCAACGTGTTTCTGATGACTGAACAAATTCCTCCAGTCGTCCCTCAGTGATGTCAGCTTTTCCTGAATAAAACAGCGGCACAAACATAAAATTAGTGACTGCTTTGCAAAAACATACACATTTTTCTTTTTTAATTAAAGAAAAACAACACAAAATCATTTTTACACCATTTCTTTGTCACCTTCACAACAGCTGTTCCGCACTAGTGGTGGGTGGTACACCAGTTTCAACACCATCACTGACGTCACATTCAACATCACTTTTGAAATATTTGACAGCTAGACTTCACCCTGATCAGAGCAGCAACTTGCACACCCACAGAGCCCCTCAGAGCACGTGTCAGTGTTTATAATGAGAGGTAAGCTACTGCTGTGATTTTTATCTCCTTTGAAACAAGTCTACCTGCTCTAGAGTTGTCTTGAGTACAGTCCTTTTGTGTTTGTGTAATGACTATATTTGTGCAACTTCATTCTTGTTGGCCCAAATATTCTGTCATGAAATCGTTGGCATAATCCAGACAAAGTCTGTTCATAAAATTCTTGTTTTTTTACCCACAAAATTCAACTTCAGCTTCAAATATTGTCTTCTCTCAGTCTGAACAGAAACTATTTATACATCTCAATCTGAATCTCACTCTCACACCACCTTATGTAGAGGTATTTGAACTATCCCTGTAAATGTTCTGTCATGCGGCTGTGTGTGTTTCTGACCGTCGTGCTGGTCCCTCTGGCCTCCTCGAAGTGCTCCGACATGAAAATGTTGAATGGGGAGCGTGGACGTTTGGGTTTCCCGAGGTTGGTTAGCTCCTGGATCACAGAAGAACACACAGAGGGGAGGCATGAGAGAGATGGACTGATTGAGTTTAGAGCTTACTGAGCTTCAACAATTCAACTACATCATATTTGATTCCTGCAGCAAGACCTGCTACATGCACACACACAATTTTGATAACAAGTATATTACAGCCCCTGATAGAAGAGCCTCCATGACGCTCTCTCTCTCTCTCACTCTCTCTTACCCTCTTTTTGCGGATGGCTTTCCTTTTGGCTAGTCTCACTTTTCTCTCCAGGGTCTGTTGCTTGATCTGGAATGGGGTCAGCTGGGCCTGGTAACGCTGGAAATCCACCTTAAACTGCTCCCTGGCCAGCTGAGAGGCTTGTTCAAATGGCTTCAAAGAAGAGACCAATAACATCAAAAGACTGACAAGCCATATGCTGAGAGGACAGAGGGGAGACAGATGATTTGCCAAATTTGACCTCACTGTGGCGGTCAGGGTATGTATGAACACAGATGATGACATGTAATATCACGTTGATATTAACAAGTCACATGTAGTGATCAAATAAGTGTATTTATTCAGGTTAATTAAAACAAGAAAATACAATACTTTAATACATTTTTTATTAGATTACTTAATAGTCAGAATAATCAATTAAATACTTGATCACTATAAAAATTAATTACTACAGCCTTACTGGCATGCACAGTTGCACAGCCTGTATGTGTGGGAGTTAAGCCACATACTCCCTGGCTGTTACTCTAAAATTAGTCATGTCAAAGGGATGTTAACTGGTTACATGTACAGGGATACTATTCTTAGGTCATCTACAGGTGGTGCTGTTTAGCTGTAACAACCCGCATAAACACTCCAGCACAGTTAATAAGTGAATTAGAGGTTATCTGCAATCCGGCTCCCTCGCATATCAGGCATGTTCTTCTCCAAATGAACGTTTCACAGCTTATTTCATGTGTTACAGAAACTCTTGTGCACAGTGACATTATCCGCTCTGCAGCACAATCAGAGGACCTAAACCCTGTGTAATTGCTTTGTGAATAAGACCAATATGTTTTGTTATATGCACAGGTTAAGTGGGTACAAAAGCCATGTAACCCTTTTACGAATTAGTTTGAATACAAGTTGGATGAATATCTTCAGTTTATAATGTTTAATGAGTGAAAGAATGAAATACCCGTTTCTGGTCCGGGCTCAGGAGTCTCCACTGCTGGGCGATCTTCCTGATGACGTCCACTGCTTTAGTATCTAAAGGTAAAAATTAAAACATGATCAAGATGATGCAGCTCTCTGATGGAGCACAGGTAACTGACTTTTATTTGCCAAATTTGACCTCAATTTCATTTAACTTAGAGATGACATGTAATATCACGTTGATATTAACAAGTCACATGTAGTGATCAAATAAGTGTATTTATTCAGGTACATGTGCACATAGAAAAAAAATAGCCAGGGCAACAAATGTTATTATTAGATTACTTAATAGTCAGAATAATCAATTAAATACTTGATCACTATAAAAATTAATTACTACAGCCTTACTGGCATGCACAGTTGCACAGCAGCGTGGTTAAATCTACTCAGCATCCTCGCTGTCAGTGTCAGGTGTTAAATAAGGGACCGTCAATAAATTACCAGTTGATGTTCTCAAAAATGGCTGTTTTCCTTCAATAGCTTCCATGTCATAAGACTAATTGACCTAAAATTGTTTTCTGATGATAGTACTAAGGTCGGACAATAAGACACACCTCTTCATTTCCCTAATTTGTCCTCTAAAAAATGTTTGTTAAATTTTTTTGAACATTTTCTTCAATAGCTTTCATGTCATGAGACCAACTGACCTAAAATTGATTTCAAACAATAGTACTTGCATCGACCAATAAGAGAAACATTATTTGATCATTTTTCATGTTGCCCCTTAAGTTCTTTGTGTGCTCCTTACTTTTTCAAAGTTAAGAGCACATGTGCCCCCTGGGAAAAAAGTTAGCATCAAGCCCTGGGTCAGCTCAGTCAATAAGTCAATACAATAAGAATGATATGATTCTTCTTCACTGTGTGTGCTTTAGCTCTTATTGGTGGATCATTGCCAAGGTTCCTTAAAGTACTAAACTTTGATATTCTCTAACGCACATTATATGTTGCAGAGTTACCTGGGTATTGTCTGGCCACAACTGGCTGCTGCTGCTTCACATATCTCATGTACCCGGTCAGAGGTTTCTTTGGAGGACCAGCGGTCTGAGAGGTCAAACATCTCACTGGGTTGAAGAATGCAGCTGGGAGGACACTGGTACACCTACAACGTGTAAGAATGCACACATTTAGAAAATTAGCATTGAACAGAGCCGGAGAGGGAAAGCTAACTTAGCTTAGCTCAGCACTTATATCAGTGTTTCCAACGTTACATTAACTTAGTGATTATATGAAGCCCGAGTAGATATTACTTGGGTATTGTGCTGTTGCTTGATTCACAAAATTAAGTTAATAAATAAGCGACATCATGAATATTAAAAAAATCTCTGGTTACAGCCTCTAAAATAAAATGACCTATCATTTCTTTTAATCATGTATTCTGTTTGTCCACAATATCAATCAGTAATACTGCAATATTAAGAATGTCCAACTTGGCCCTAGTAATTGTAACAAAAAATAAGGCCAGAACTAGTTGTTAAAAGTTAGCCATAGTTTCAACAAGAAGTCAAAAGACGTGATTTTATCAGCAGCTGATGTCAGAGTTAGAGGCTAGGTTTTCTGATAGCTGATAACGCTGACATGACTAATTTCAGCTTTTACTTAATTTGTTTACATTATGCTCTTATGTTTGTATTTTTGCTCTTAAAGTTTTATGATTGCTCTTGTATTGTATTGCATTGTGCTTTTGGCTTGGAAACGGACCTGGGCACTAATTTTGTACCACGAACTGTAAAAAGATGTGGGGTATGACAATAAAGTTCCTTGAATCCTTGAATCACATCGTGTGTAATTCCTCTATTACATACATGTCCATTTATGCAAAGGAAGGTTCTGGATTTCTCTACAGCCATCACCAATTATCATATCATAAACTGAATATTATAAAATGATCTTTTTTTAAAAAGGGGGTGCGGTGGAGTGGGGTATTCTAGTTTTTCATGCATATTTTGTACTCTAATAAACGTACTTTGGCCAGCTACTGTCATATTGCGTCATTTTTTTTATTCATATCACGGTTGATTTTTCTAAAGTTTCGCATACTGTGTGTCCACTTCTGACCAATCAGATTGCGTATTTTTGCGACATCAGATTCACCGGTATATCCAACATGGCCGACCGGCTGATTGTTTATGTGTCGGAGAACAGAGTGCTTTTTTGATAAAAGACACAAACATTACAAAGATAACGACCTGAAGACAACTTGTGAAGAGTCATAGCGTAGGATCTCTCATATGACGATGGTTTGTGTGCTTTAACAGTTTGCTAAACATCTTTGTTTAAACTTTCATCTGTGCTAAGTAACTTTAGCCCCTGGAAAGTCGCAAAATTGCATCGCACTTGATGTGTATAGTCAGGCGCGTCACAATTCGCCTCAGAATATTTCGTAATTTCGCGTCATTCCTGGGGTGTAAGGACCTTTATTCTTAATATGAAGAAAAAAAAGATTGTTCAACATAGAAATACTTATGTTAATCGATTTTTCTCCCACCCCTACTGGTTTGACTGTAAAATTACCAGAAAAATACAGATTTTCTTATGAAAAGACAGGAACAGACTCTAAAAAGTATCAAGTTTTACGGTAATAAGTTGCTTGAATGTTAAAATAATTTAGTGTATCATATTATTGCACAGACTAACAGACAGAAGAAAACAGACCTTTTCTGAAACCCAAAAATATTTCATTTCATCCAGTTCGCTTGGACACTATTTATGATGAAAACATATGTCCATAATAACATATAATTTAGTGAAAGATCGAATTACATAAAAACTTTTGTAAAGTGTTCTAAATAAAAGCGTCAACATTAAACTGATAATTCAATAATACTCAGTGAGAACATGTGGGTCTTCAGATATTTCAAATAAACTTTTCTAAGCACCTGTGTAATCGTAACTGGTATATTAAACCTTGCTAAATATAAATATTACAGCAAAACACGACAGGAAGCACTAAAAGCGGAGCAATACTACATTAAATCTAACTTTTAAATAAACTAACTTTAAGATAGATGTTTTAATGAGTATAAAAGAGCACATTAAAGTAAAATAAATAAGTAAAAACGTGGTCAAATAAGGTCAGGTGAGTAGTTACCTCTGCAGGGAGCTGGTGCAGGAGAAGACTGTGAAGGACTTAGCCAACAAGCTAACACCCGCTGACATTAAGCTGAACGGAGCCATGTCGGGAGGAAGAGCCTTTAAAGAGCGTCAGACAGAGGAGCGACACACAGACTTATTGTCCAAGAATAACACCGACTGTTTGTTTTCATGCATGCGATGGTTTTAATTCACGTACAGACTTCTTCCCTGCTCCTACTTGTTGTCATGCAGGCGCTGCAAAAGGCGCCTTGTGTCCCTCCCGGTGCATTGTGGGAAAGTTCTTAGCTATTTACTTCCGTTTCCGAAGTAGTAAAAACACTTTAACGTAAAAATGAGTCACAAACATTCAAAACAGTGAATTATATGAATTTAATCGTTAATTGGAGATATCGCGCTGAGGGGAAAGTCTATGAGATCCCTTTAGGAGTTAAAATAAAAGTTTAAATGTTCTCTATTTTAAAGTGTGAATAAAGAATTTCACCCATAAAAACTGGTTACTTTCAGTTTGGTCAGAGGCCTGCTCTTCATTAATATTTAGGATTTTAAAATGCTCCTCCTTTGTCCAAGGGTTTACAGGAGAAATTCAGGAGCTTTATATATATATAAAATAACTAATAATTTTCATATAAGCTCTACAGTTTTTCCGCATTTTTCAAAATTAATTTCAGATATTTGCAATAAGAGCTCCCTTAAAAACTTGTGATAAAGGTTTTGTCTCCATACACTGACATGTGGGTCTTCAAATATTTCAAACAAACCTATTTCTAAGCACCTGTATAATCGTAATTCTGGTATATTAAATCCTCTGCTATAATATAAATATGTACAGCAAAACACGACAGGAATGTCAACCAATGATACATCAGACCAAATTTTAATAATATTAAGAAAGATTTCCATTTTTACCTCCCAAATTATACAGTTATTATTTTGAAAGTTTGTCTCAGGAGTTCACCAGAAACATAGACATTGTTAAAAATCTGAAACACACTTCTTTTGCCTCTTTAGGTTGAAGCAAATGCGTGAACATCATTCTCTCTCTCTCTCTTTTTGAAATGAGTTGAATAAATGTGTGTGAAGCCGCATTCTTTCTAAACTGCGATGGAAACAATGACAGATTAAACAATTAACTGATCCCTAGTAAGCTGGGGTCTCTTTTGTGTGATTTGAGTTAAGTGGATTCCACATAAGCTGATTTAGGGAGCATGTCTCCCTTAAGCATTTAAAGTTCAGTAAACAAGTTTCAAAATAGGTCCAGAATTTTTTTTTTTTAAGTTTAGTACCACCCTGTGGAGAGACATGGTACTATCACTTAAATAGTCAAAAGTAGCTTCAAAATTTCTGACCACTGTCAGGGCCAGAATGCAAGAAAAGTACATGCTGAAACAAATGAAGGTAGTTGAATAAACAGACTTCAGTCCAGCTGATTTAAAGAATCACATTAAAACAAAACAGCAGATACAACCAGACCATACAGATCAGCATGCACAGCAGCTCCACCTTGTACATTCAGATAGCCATGACTAAATCTGATATTATCTCCCTTTCTAAGTGTGTGGTATCCATCCCGTCATGGTTTGAATTACTATTTCTTTATGTATGATTAACCATTACAAGCTGTTTTAATCAGACAGCAAATCAACCCTTATTTAAAAACATTTTCTCTTGATCATGAATAAATCAATGACAGTTTTATCTTTATTTACAGAGCACCTTTAAAAAATACACAACAAAGCACGTCACAAGTCAGCAAACCCAAGTCAACCCTCTTGGATTATATAACCAATACTACACAAAATCAGGTCACTGTGAGAGACATTTCAGATGAGATAAAATCACTGAAGACTCTTCCATAGAAAAATTGTAAAAAGCATCCCAAATGAGAGCAGTGAATCAGCCAACCTTCTATCCTCAGGCAGAGCTTCAGGGTCAGGACTAAAAATGCTCTGTCCCCTCTTTGTTCTCAGCAGAGTGCCTTAAAAGGTTGGAGACATAACTAGGACCAAGATCACTGAGTGCTTTAATCAATAAAATGTTCCAAAAAAATCCAAGATGCCAAAACAGGTGTAATGTGATCAAATCTATTGGTTCAGCCAGTTGTTTATGTAATGCTCCTGCAGTACCACATATCGCCACACGATGGTACTGACTTTCTGTAGGCAAGGACGACTCTCTTGCCCGTGTTAGAAGAGTGAATACCTTACATTATGGCAGAGAATAAAACTGTCAAACTGTCTGTCATCTGTAAACTCCCTGTCCCAGGATTGTTGCTAATGTGCTTCACCTAACAACACCGGCCACATAACAGGAGGTTTGATTAAGACAAGTAAAAAACTGTAACATTAATCCAGCCATGATGACGTAAACGGCATTTAACATTGTGCCTGTGCCAAAACCAACCAAAAAGCCAACATATGAAGTATCCTCAGAGGGAAAGAGAACAGTATCATAAAAACAGACATCAGATGACTCTGATTTCAGTGAAACAAAGTGAAACAATAACAGAGTTCCAGAAGATTTTAATACTATACAATTATTAATAATAATGATAATAATAAAACAATGATAATGAAAACAATAAGAGATGAAGAACACAGTAATACATGACTTGTAATTGCTCCCATTTCCTCATTTTAACTGCAACAGTACATCATTTTATTCAACTTGCTACAAAATGCAAAAGAAACAAGATTGCCAACATCCATCACATGTCAGGAGTAGTTTTTTTTTAAGAGGGTCATGAGATGATACCTTTTACTATAACAGGTGTCAGAGTGACAAACTCACGTCTGGCCCCATTTCAGCGATTCGGTGTGTAGGAACGGAAAGGACGTATGTGAATCTGTTCTCTGGATTTATTCATCTGTGTACACAGCTCATATCTGTCCGTAAATTCGTGAATATAGTTTCAATGAATAAACTATCTTCAAAGAGAATGCATCAATTTATCTTCAATAAGATTTAAAGGTACAGTGTGTAGAAATGGGAGCAATCAAATGCCCCTTGCTCACCCCTCCAATCGGTGAGGCGACGGTGGACGAGAAGCTCCTGTGATGCACAATTCATGTGATCCACCACTTGTCAAAGTTTTACTACTACTTCACTAGTTTAAAAACATCTGCTACATGCACCTAACTATCACTGACTGCCCCTTTAATGTCATATTGTGTTTTGTGTTCAACTTCTCCCAGCTTTCACAGTTAAGTCTGCATTTTTATCCAGATAAACTGGAGTAAATTGGTAAATGTGGTCGCATGGAAGCGATTGACCTTTTGTTGTCTTTTGACATACCCACAGATTGCAAATTAGTGGGTACGGAAACTGTGTACACAGATTTGTATACTAAGAGTACAGATTTCAACTGACACTGCGGGGCTCCATGTGTGTTTTCCTGGACTAGATTTTTTCAGGCATGAAGCAGCTTGTTTTACATGAATGCTATCATGCTGCACTATTACTCAGGTCATTTATAAGAGAAAGGACTCATTGCTGACAAACAGATGATGGTTGCACAGTCTATATTACACTAGTTCAACTTTAAAAAAGTAAAATTCTAATAAGCCATTTGTAAGGAATGTGTACGTTTTAAATAAAATATCCTCGATGCAAAAAACAACATGCCAAAATTTAAAATGCCAACATACCAATTCAATGACTATCTCTGGAAAACCTTTGCTTACTTTTAAAAACAAGTAACATGTATGTCATGAAGTCAGACTTACAATAATGTTGATGAGGGTTAAGTTTGATGGAAGTTACCTAAGATTACTTGATGATTTCATACTTTAATTTACAGTGTGTTGTGACTTTAAAAAATGAAGGACAAAGAAAAAAATCTCAGCATATTTTTGTTTTTTTCTCTTTGATTATTTCTTTTCTTTACATGGCGTACTTGTTGGTCCATTCTTTTGCTATTCTGTTGTATCTGAGGACAGAAAACAAAGGAGTTAGTTAGCAGATGATGGACTCTGACAACCACACACTGAGATCAACATTCAAAACTCCTATGTTGGCATTTACATCGATAACGGTGGTCAGTAAAGTACAAAGTGAGTATGTGTGTATTCTGACCTGAGTTTGTCGTTCTTGTAGATTTGTGCTATGTCTGGGACTAAGGGGTCGTCTGGGTTGGGATCACAAAGCAGTGAACATATAGACAAAAGAACTGCAATAAAAAAAAGAAGATAAAAAAAGATCACATCAGCTACTGTGTTGATAAAACATGTTTAAAACTGTCTGGACTTCATCACAATAGATGATCTCTGTTTGAGGGAACATCAGGAGTCTGCAGTGTTCATACATAGAACTAGAGGGTTTGATTATCTTTTTATTATCTTTTATTCATCTCTTTGATTATGAGGCTTTATTACTGTATAAAGCTGCACAGATGCTAACAAAGACCAGAAAGAGAGATCACTTTGCACCAATTTTAAGATCTCTGCATTGGCCACCTGTCTCTTTTAGAATAGATTTTAAGGTAGTTTTACTGTTTTTTAAAGCTCTTAATGGCCTTGGCCCATCTTATTTATCTGATCTGCTTTTATTGTATGAGCCCAGTAGAGCCCTCAGGTCTTGAGGAAGTTTTCCGTTAACAGTACCTAAAGATAAAACTGAAACATACGGTGATGTCTCTTTATATTACTACCATCCCCATCTATGCAACAGCTTACCTGAAGTCCTGAGACCTGCACCTAATCTTTATGATTTTAAAAGCAAACTCAAGACCTTCCTTTTAAGTCTTACCTTTAACTAAATTTTATATCAATAACTTAATTTGTTTGAGTGTTTTAGCTGTTGTTTAAGGTCAAAATTGCTCTGATTTTAGTATTGTTTTTTTTTTCTGTTTTCATCTCATTTCAATTTATTATTTCTTAAAATTCATTTTATGTTTCTTTGTTTTTACATTTTAAACTAACCTCTAGTGTTTCCTCATTTTGAATTTTAAGATGGCGTTTCCTCAGTGCGAATATTGCTGCTTTTACTGAATAGACCTTGTGAATGGATTTGAGCTTGTTTAGCTCTTTTCTAGTCAATGTACTTTATAACTTACCACTACTGTGTTTAAATTGCTGGGTGGGGATGAGGGGACAGGGAGGAGGTGGGGTAGAGTCCGGTATTCTTTCATTCTTAAATTATATTTGTTTTCTTTTTGTAGGTAAAGTATTTGTGCTACATTGTGTTGTATGAAGAGTGATATACAAATAAAGACTGGTAGATTGATTACCAAACTAGCTCTAAAGACCTCGTTTTGTCACTGTTGTTCCTTCATTTTCATTTACTCTTATTTAGCTCCTGTGAAGAACTTTCAGTTTGCGTTGTTTGGTTTGCATTTCTGTGGCTGGCATCCCTTGCATGCCTCTTATAATACTGAAAACACCCAGAACTGAACGAAGACTTAATGAAGGACATCAGAGCTGCTGTTTTTTTTTGTTTTTTTTTTTTGTCATAGTGAAAACAAGAGGACATGATATTTACCTTTAGACACCGTTAGTGCTGGAGACCACTGTGACCGGAGGATATCCAAACAGATGCTCCCATTGCTGTTTATGTTTGGGTGATAAATCTTTGTTGTGAACGCTACCTGTAATAAGAGTTAAACAACAGTCAACTTAAGTTCAGCCAAGTCACCTTCAAATGACAAAGTACAGTGTGTTTCCATGGTCATTTTTTGTGGTACACCTGAAGAGGTTAAACTTGGTCCAACTTTCTTGCTAGACCCTAGCTCCTTAAATTCTAGTGAACTACTCGATTCTTGTTTTGCTTAGGGTTCGTTGGTTTACCATTTAATGTGCTTTTCTACTTCTCTTGGGTCTGTGTTACTTTTTTCTTTCAGACAAGTTATGGAGAAATAATTATTTTGTATATGCTTGATAAATTGCCCTGATGATAGGACAAATCTTTGAGAAACTACAGAAGCTCTTACCTTTGGTGGCTTAAATGGGTAGTCGGTGGGGAAGTGGATTGTGAGAAAGAAAACTCCTCCTTGGTAAGGACTGTCACCCTGATGGAGAGACACCACGAACATTGACATTATTTTAGAGAGTATAACAGATATAGAGGTTAAATATCAAGTGTAAAAACATGACAATAACACACCTTTTTCAGTCAATTAAAACCAAGTAACATGTCAGCCTCTGTGTTACACATTACACTGAGCTTCAGTACTTCAAGAGGATGCAAAACAATTGAAAAGCAATGCAAAGTTGACTAAACGTATCCCAGCTGCGAACTGAAGGCTTATGCAAATACAAGGTAAATGCTCCAAGTAGAAGAAACAGCTAGGAAACCCTCTCTGATGCAGCACAGGCACACCAGTCAATATGAGAGGACTGAAAGTTTGAAGTGATATTGTAATACTCACCGGACCCATTATGGTCGCTTGCCAATGAAACACTAGAAAGAGAGACACAAGAGAGTGTAAGCTCTACACATCACAGATACACTGCTCATCAGCAGTCAATTACAACTCACCGGCAGACTCTGACTACTTTGTTTTTATTCATACTTTGAATTTAAAACACAAGCTCTCCTGGTGCTTCTGTCTATTATTTAATCCATGCCTCTTCTATCTTTTACCTGCCTCCTGAAGTCTGAAATATTAACTGAATCAATTGAAGTAGAATTGAAATAAAGCTCCTCTGAGGGATTATTTGACAATTATGATACAGACTGAAGTCCAAACCGAGACTTTTACATGACATACAAAAAAAAACAAAAACATTTGCGATAAGATTGATGGTTTTAGTTTTGTGCAGCTTAAGGAACAGCCCTGTTTTTACGGTTTCCACATGAACGCTCAAACAAATCTTGATTCTGCATCTATCCAGGTGCACACAATTCATCAGTTGGCTATGCATGGAGCCAGAAGGAGTTGGGGCTTGACTTTGCTTGAAACATCTTGACATAGAGTTTGTATTTGGACCTGTCACGTCAATGTAGCTTAAGCTAAGAGTAATAAAATAATCTGAGCAGAATTGAGGAATATTTAGACCCTAGATATCATCCATTCTGATGTTTGTAGCAGATAATGGATACATCTGATTATTTTAGTGATCTTTTAACTTTGGTCACTGGTGCTTTGTTAGATGTAGCAGTGTACAATAGTTTCCAAAAAGTAGTTCCTAGAGAAGACACTAAAGAAAAAGTAAGAGCCCTGCTTCAAAAACGAAGTGAGGTAGTACAAGTGTGAAACTGAAGCAGTTTGCTATGAGACGAATTAGTTTTGTCAAGTTTATCACCGTAAAATGATCCACAGGCAGTACGGTCGACATTCAAAAACATTATAGTGGGAATTTGTGACATGATATGCATTTTTGGGTGTGTGTACTCACTGTCATCGCCCACTGGTCCAGCAGAGCACTGAGCTGGAGGGTCTTTCTGCAAGTCCTGAAGTTCCTGTTTGACACAACGGAAAAACTGTCACAGCAGGTACAAGTAAAACAGCTTTTTGGCTGAGGCAACAAACTGAGTTAGATAAGCCTCTCTTGAGTTTGCCAAGATACCATGACAAATGCTGTAGGCAAATTTCAACGTATTCCATGGTGCAAGTAAAAAAAGGGGGTTCTGCTTTAGGTTAACGTCTGTTAAGACTGTACACTTTCATTAAAGAGTTATTATAGTAAACTATAGAATGCCTCTCCATACAAACAGCCACACATGTATGAGAACTAATCTTCATGTGTATGACAATTTAATTTGTTAGGATCTCATTATGTGTAGTGCATTTGAGAGAATTACCTACCATATTAAAAAAAAGGGATTCCATTAAGAACACTGTAGGTCTACTGGTACTGCTGGTGTCAAAGAGTTTTAAAGTGGAAATCTCTATTTTTTTAAGATGAAGTAATTGACTTTGAGATCATAACACTATTTCCAAAGCATGAAAAACACAGCAGGCCTTCACAAGAATGAAGATGAAACTATTGTGTATTTTTTTTTATCTTTTATTGGCAAACATTGGGGTAAAAAGAGTATGGTATGTTGGTACCTAGGTGCTGAATTGGCATACTGCTAGGTCAAGACTTTTCAGTCTCCTTCAATAAAACACTCATTATTGAGTCTTATGGTAAATAAAGGATGGATGTTTGTTAGGATTTGTGGGGTTTTTGCAGCATAGATCACACTGGATCACCCAGCTGTCATGCAGGATGGACAGTTTGTATGTTGTCAAATAATACCGTGTAAAATGTGGTGAAGTACAACATTTTCTGTAGACGATACTCAAAGTATAGGGGAGAGTGGGGTAAGATGAGCCACTTTTCATATTTCGGATCACTACATCAAGGCAATCATAGTTTTGTCTCTAACTAGTGTATCTGCCCCTATGGTCAACTTACCCTGTGTATGGGGTAAGTTGACCATAGGAGCGGGGTAAGTTGAGCTGCATCCCTACTACCCCCCCCCCCCCCCCACCCCCCCACCCCCACTCTCCACCCCAGCCCTCCCTCACCTTCTCTCTCCCTAAATAACAGTCACTTCTTCATATTCATGTGTATTTTTATCTATTGTACACTATTCAACTGGTTCTTTCTTTTTATTATGATTGCATATAACTGCTAAAAAGCTGTTTTATAAAAAGCCATTTTAACATGAGAATGTCTTTAAGTGATTCAGCACATTCACAGCTGTATTTTTGATAAGAAAAAGTCAAACATTTCAACAATCTGAACTGAAACTCTGATCCTCTCATCAGACTTATTTACTTTCTCAGTTGAACCAATGACTCAACTCACCCCTGAACTACTATTATGACTTTATTAGTCCTCTAATCTAAAATGGCGGACTTTTATGTTAGGTTTTGACCTCTTGTTGTAGCTCATAGATACCACAATTGATGTATAAAACAAATTTAAAATGATCTTCTTTGGTCTGAACACAATTCTAATAAAACTTGTGACAGACTAAATTCACTTTCAAGAGTGAATTATTTTTTTTTTTTATCTAACCCCTTCACCCATGTGCTTTTAACCTTCACAGACTCCATGAATTTATGCCCATCTCCTAAATATTTGGTCACATGATCAATTTCTTTGACCATTTCCAAGCAACAGGGGGTGGCTCAACTTACCCCACTCTCCCCTAAGTTCTGATTCTGCAACATACTCAGAAATGTTGAGTACATAGAATCCTGTTCAATAACAGTCTAATGTGAACATGAAGTTTGCTACCTTCCCTTTCTGCCAATCAGTGGATCTTCCTATATGATGTATTGATTGTAAGTAACTCGTCTAATGCAGTCTGCACTCTCTCCCTCTCCCCTCCACTCCTGTCCTCCCCCCTTCCTCACTTACTTCCTGGTTAGTGAGGAGTGGCGTAAATGAGAGGAGCTCTTTAGATCTTCGCTAAGAGCTACACCCATTATAAAGCATTTAGAGTATAAACGAGGAAGCTTAATCACTCATTATGTCATTTACTACCTCCTGTAAAAACCTGACCTTCACTAAGAAGTGTAGTTCTGGAGAAACAGACGACACTGACCGACTACAAAGCCGTAGAAACATAAGAAATAAAAGGGAAGTGTGTGGAGATGTACTTGTCCAAGTGCTATCAATTGTTGTCTCATGAGAATAGGACAATATATCAGCTACTTTCACAGTTCTGTCTGGTAGTATAGAGACATATCAAACTCAGGGTGTGCAGGTGTCACAGAGACAAGAGGAGTTACAATGCTAACTTAGGCATTTGTTAGCAGGTTAGCTCCAAACTTTGAAGTTGTTATTCGCTATTTTATCTATTCTGGAGTGTGTCAACAAACACCATGTTTCCAAAAATGTACACAAGTTCTTCTTTCGTTGTGCCACAGCGCGAATGTTGCTGAAATATGTGGTAATGTGGGGTTTTAGTGTGTGTAAGTAGACGGAGTTCTTCCGTTAGCCTCTGTTGGGCCAGTTAGCTCAGATTAGCTGTAAGCTAGCCGGTGAAACTTACCTTGTTTATTCTCTTCAGTGCCATTTTCACCGGTGCAGTTTGATCCGCAGATGACTCAACTCTTCCTTAACGTAAGTTTTAATGTTATTGCAGGCCAAGTCAGTGACTGTTGTTTTTTCCCTGAGATCGACAGCCGGGGATGTGTTTGTGTTTTTATAGAAAAAAAACCCTTTTGTTTCCGCTTTCTTGTTTACGGTCATTCTGCCTATGTGCATCATGGGAAATGTAGTTCTGGGTACTGAAATTCAAACCAACGAATATAACAGGTTTACCAAGTTTCCTTTTAGGGTAAGCTCTATATAAACAAATGAAAGACGCAGTAAATGTACCTGAAAACCGACCTTATTCACGGGAAGTCAAAATTTCAGTCACAGTTTGTACAGCATTTTTGAATTGTGTGTGTAACCCCCAATTGGCCTCCTAGTAACAGTATTCCAGTTCAAAATGAGTACTTAGCATTTTCATTGTTTATTACCAACATATTCAGATATTATCAAAGTGTAGCCTACTTTGCTGCAGCAAACACTTTACTCTACAGTCTTTTACACAATGCAACACCATTCATTTTTCCATAGTTTAATCCAGGGGTTATAAGCAAACAACAACATTTATATAAAGCATTATGACTGAGCAGCTTTTTCAGTAAATTTTAAAATCAACACCTTCACTGTTCATAAAGATTTTTTCTATGGAAAATATTCTACTTTGCTACATTTTACATCGCACCAGTAACGGAGTAAAATATCTGCTTAAAACATCCACACTTTCTTATCAGCTGCATGACAACCAGCTAATTGGATGGTATCTGGACTTGGTGGCCATGAAATAAGAGTGATGCCAAATACTAAGCGGATAGTAATGGAAATCACAATTGTCTTGGAATGAGACCAGTTATCTCTTATGTATAAACTGATGGGTGGCAGTGGACATCATGGCAAACATTTAAAAAATAGGGGACAAAATGCAGTGATAGATAGATAGATAGATAGATACATACATACATACATACATACATACATACATACATACATTCTGTTTATTTCTCCCTGTTTCCTCATGACTCGGTGTGATAATCATTATGTCCTATTAGAGACACTGATACACAGTCTTTCACTAAATGCATCAGTCTTAGTGTGTTACATCGCTCATGATTGCTAAAGAACTTTTTTGACTCTTTATTTTTCCATTGTTCTAATTCTAGCCCTTATTATTAACAGTAACCACATTATTTCAGATGTTTTCACTGCTTTAACTTCAATAGACCTGTTGACTTCAATTGTCTAAGTTAGGTCTTTAAGTGTAACCACACTGTTCCTGTAAATAGTAAAATGGTCAATGGACTATGTTTATATCTCTGTCTCAATGGTTGCCTGACCACGCAAAGCTTTTTCACATCACATGTCACATTAACGCCACATTCACACGCTGAAGACAGAGGCTGCTATGTATAGAGCCCATTAGTGTAAGACTTATTCCATTCACACACCACTGGGTGCAGTCAGCCATTTATAAAATAGACTGAAATTCATACTGATGCCAATTTATGGTATACAAGAGCGAATGAAACCATCGATAACAAGAATGATGATCTTAATATTTTTATTTTGAAGGCCCGGTGTTCGGGGGTAGGTGTCAGTCAAGCAGCTGAAGAAACAGCCCTGTCTTTCCCATTTTTCATAAAATATTCATAATAAATAATAATAGTGGAAGGCAGTGTCATTTATAATTCATGCAGATTTATTTTTTTCAATGAGTTCTATAAGTTTTTCGAAAAATTGGTGAGGTAATTTAAACACAGATGTATTTTTTTTTTACCCAGAGTTGGTATCATGATTTAAATAATTTGGGGAGACTGGCATTTCGAGGTATGAGCTTCTTTATCTTCTAAATTACAGCACTAACCATGTTGATAATCTGAACAGTCATAGCATCATTGTACATTATGTAACTTTGAATTCAAACATACACTTATGTGGTTATGAGTGAGAGGACAGCACTTTATTTCACTGTAAACAGAGCAGCACTCTGTTTACTGATCCACTTTCTGTGTTTACAGGACTTAATGGGAGTGATAGCTCAAGCATCCCAACACATTAACAATGTAATTGTTGGTGCTATTATAGACTCCTCTGGGTGCTGGATTATTTGGAGTAAGACCCTCCCTACATGTAAACGTTTAAACAGACTCCACCTTTACACACCGATTGGGACATTAATATGGGTTAAATGAAGAACAACTTCTCTTTGATTACAGTAAATATGATATTTTTCTAAGGGAAAAAGTTGTCTGCTCCATTTGTTTGGTGTTGAAGTCTCTACAGTGACACAGCACTATCAACACTTAATTTCTTTTCTGGGCCCGACTGTTAATCTGGATCCATGAACTGTACAAATACCCGTGGGTGCTCCTCTTCTGTATTGCAACTCACAGCTTTTTGAGGCCTGATGACCCAGATATGATCCCCTCTGAGTCTGAACTGTCACTTCTCACTTGATTTGCCTTAAATATTTCATTTTTGAACCTGTCCAGATTTGTTAGTCCATCATCTGGCCTGCAGCTTTGCCAGAGAAACCACTCATTGATCATATTCTCCCATATCTAGCTGCTGTTTACCCCTACAGCAAAGCTCCAGGTGGTCTGAGGTGTTCTTAATATCTGTTTGGAGGTTCAGTTGAGTCCCTATATCTCTACATAATGATGTCATAACTTGTGTTTCTAACAAGACCACCAGAAACCAACAGCATCTTTGACCATAAAAACTACTTTTGAAGGTGCTTTAAGGGGTTCACATTCCCCAAAGACTTTATATCTAAAAAAAATAAGCACCAGCCCCATTCATAAAGGTACTTTGGTGGTGAGCAGTCACTGGTGTTATGAATCCTGGGGTCCTATCGGTCCCTTTTGGGGATCTGCTCATATGCATTCAACAGACATTGAACTTTGAAGCTGTCTTTGCATTTGGGTCCGATGTCTTGGTTCAGTGACCCATACTATTTTACCATTGCAGCAGACAAAAGATGACAATGCTTGTTACATGGATTCAATTTGGAGGCAAGGCTTCAAATTTGTAGTGTCAGCTAATTTCCAGCAGGTGGTGCCATTTGCACATTTAAGTCTCTAAGGCCAAAGAAGCAACTCTTCAGATAACCACTAAGAGTGATACTCAGGCTACAAAAGAACAATTTCCCCTTATGACTCAAAAGGTCAAAGTTCTGAAAATAAATGTATTATTTTCAATTTATGAAAAGAGTTGAAGTTGATGATAAAATCTCAGATGCAATGAGAGCAGGAAATAACATGAACATAAGATAAATTTCTGGCACTTGTCTGATGTATCCACTTTTAGACTAAATGTGCTAAGAGGCTTCCTTTTTAATCAGGGACCCAAGGGTCAACCCTCATGTGTCCCTCTATTAATGTATGCTTAAATTTTCTGGTTTATCACAGAAGCTAACACCTTTGCTAACCACCTAATGCCACTAAATGACAACATCTTAAGCTAAACTACAATACGAACTGGCTAGAATTTGATATAAATTATATAACAATGAAAAGAAAGCACTATTTTACATTGCTGCTCAAACAAACACTGGTTATGTTCTGAAATCATTATGTTATATTCTGAAATCAAAATGGGGTCATTCTTTTGAATGACCCCATTTTGATTTTTTATTTTATTTTCATTTTCATTTTCTATTTTAACAAATCTGCTGAGACCCTTTTTACCAACTTGTCACTGACTGAATTTATCATGAGGCCTTTATTCAATTTTGATGTAAAGAGTGACTTTGTTCTCTTTTGCTAGTATTACAGTAAATTGTTGCACCTCATGGATACCACAATTGATGTATAAAACAAATTTCAAATTATCTTTTTTGGTCCAAACACAATTCAAATAAAACTTATTACACACTAAATTCACTTTCATGAGTGAAAAATGTTTTTTAAATAAATGTTTAACACCTTCACCCATGTGCTTCTTACCTTCACAGACTTCATGAATTGATGCCCATCTCCTAAATATTTGGTCACATGTTCAATTTCTTTTACTATTTTCAAGCAACAGGGGGTGGCTCAACTTACCCTCTGACTCAACTTAACCCACTCTCCCCTATAGACAGGGGGAAAACTGATAGAGGGAGATGAAGAAAGAGGGAGAGGGACTGAGGAGAGATTGATAAGCCTTGAATTAAATTTCAGATATGCACAGGAATGAAATGTCTGCCGTAAAAGTGCTGGGATACGTTTTACGACATTAGAGGCGAGTGTCGCAAACGTGTGGGAGGCTTTGGGCGCTGTTCGTTACGTAGAGGCAGCCGCCCACACTGACCTGGATATTATGGCTGAGGAGGACTACGCCGACCTCTTTGAGTGTCATGGATTATTGGACCACAATGTTCTGCCTACGTGCTCATATTCATCAGAGAGGACAGGGTCTCAGGGGCGACAGTAGGCAGACCAGGAGGCTCCTCTGCTCCGGACTCGTTTAGCTGCTCACAAGACAATGTCGATAAGTAAGAAATCATAACCTGAACTAAATGACATACTTATAAATTTCTACGGCTCCCAGGTCTTGATTGATTCCGCTTGTTGCTGTGATAGACACCTGGAGCTGGATATCACATGTGAGTGGGTCATAACATCACCATTACTCAGACACAACAGTATTTACTTCTCTGAAGTGAGGAAGTAGAGCTGTGTCAAGCTAACGCCAGTCTAGAACAGCTTACACAGGAAGTAATGGAGCTATGCCTTCAAAATAGAAGCGTTCTTTAAATTCGTTTGACATAAGTTGCAAGTACAAAAGCCGTAACACTTGGACTTAACAATGAAAGAGTTTTTATAAGTAAGACTTATCCTCATCTCGGAGTTAATCGTCGGACTCTGCCGTTTATAGAAACATCTATTTGTTTTATTGTGGAACCTAAAGCGGAAGTAGTGTCCTCGCTGTCCCTTATTTGACACTGGTTGCGAGAGGGATGTGGCCAGGATGTATTTATGCTGCAGTTCAAGATATGAAAATCACTGAATTAGCTCTGCTCTGGGAGCTCTGCTTCACTACGGGACACACCAGGGGCAACGATATCGCTGCCATCCGTCAGTGCGGCTGTTATCGGCGGTCAGAGACGGAGAGCACGACCGAGGCTGCCGCGGCTACGCTGGTTTCGTCTGGACTGGACCATTTCCATGAAGGCTCCTCAACCTTACGCCCAAACAGTTTTTGTGCGGGGCTTTACTCTGTGTATACTGACATAATGAAAGAATGTGAATCAAAACTGTCACATTCTTGACTTTTATTTTTTGTTTTTTTGTAAAGACACTTTGTGTTTCCCCCCCTTTTTATTTTGAACACATGTCAACAACTCAGCGTCAGGTGATGATGGAGTCCTCTCTGGCACTTGGCAGACTGGAGCTGACCCCAAGTTCAGCAGCGGTGGGTGTCAGCCTGGCCCCGCGGCTGTCCGGCGGGCCCCCCGCCAAAGAGAAGTGCGGTCAGCGGCAGCTGGGGCCGCAGGGGCAGGCTCACCTGAACGGCTGCGTCCCGCTGTCACATCAGGTGGCGGGTCACAAGTATGGAGTGGATAAAGTGGGTAAGCACAATTTAAAAAAAAAAATTACTATTATTTTTTTTATTTATATATATTTTTTACTTTTATACGTCTTTGTGATACATGGAGGAAAACTGTCAAGGAAAACCACAAACTCACTTACACAACTGTCACTAAATGTGAGCAAGCAAAAGTAACAGACAACTCACAAGGGTGACCACAGGTATCTTCACAGGTACATTTCTCAGCACAGATTTCTATTTGGAGTTTCATGCTTTATTGTCCGCTTGATAGCCTTGTTTGCGGCTTTATGCAATTTTACAACACAAGAAATTGTGTTTTTAAAAACCTACACTCTTGCCACTATCTCCATAAAGCACTCTAGAACCCCCCTCTGCTGTTGCCATGCCAAAATGTCAAATTTCTAAGCCTTAATGAGGAGATCACTCAACCTGTGATGTTTTGTTTTAAGCCAATTTTGTTACATCTCATTTTGTTCTTATGTGACTACTTGAAAATTTTCATCCAGTGATTGCTTCACTGTGTGTTTGCCTCAGTTTAAATTCTTACCTTTCAATAACTTTAACTTTGAGTATTATTATCTAACAATCTGACCTTAACCCCCTCCGTAAGATGAAGAAGCAATTTTATGCGCCTGATACAACCCTGATTATCCATGCAGTCTATCTTCTGTAAGGGCGCCATGAATCACATATCTCTGGTCAGTTTTGTTTAATCAAAATTTTGGTTTATTTTTTTGGACTGGCTAAACAAAAATATATTTGTAGCTTAAAGTTTCCAATTCAAACTTTGTGGATGTTAAGGCACAATGAATTACAGTCCATTTCAGTTACCTTTCTCATGCTTGTGTAAAGTCAGTAAAATAGAAAGAGCGAATCTGTTTTTGTCTGATATGGTGATAAATTTTCCAACCATTCCTGGATCATAAAGAGTCTAAGCTAGAGCTGAGCAGTGTATCATTTGGACTTCACAGTTGCAATGTGTGCATATGTAGTTGATACATCAGAGGACATGCAATGTCAGTCCCATGACCAAAACGCATCTTGCCGCCACCACTTCCTCGTCCAGCATTTATCTATGATAGACATCTATGTGAAATGACTCTAATGCGGCCTCTCAATTATAGAACACACAGTGAAACTGAAACCTGTGCATGCACAGTCTGTATCTATATGAACAAAGGCTGTAGAATACAAACATTCATACAAGCTAAGACACTGCTGCCACCAAAAACTTGATAAAGTGAGGCAGATTTTGAGACAAGGTTGTCCTCACACTAAGTGAGGATGTCAGAGCTGCTGTTGTAGAGCTGAACACAGTGTGATAAAAGCAGGAGGAGGATTCATTTCTTCTGAAAGCAGAAAATACACTGAAAGATCCAGATAATAAAAGTTGGATTGTGTTATAGATTTTTTAAAAACTACACTGCATTTATCTGCTACCATCAACATGTATTTTTTCATATCACACGTTGTTCTGCTGAAGGGGAAGCTTTTTCGTCATCTTGCAGACCAGCTGTGATCTTGTGCACCACTGAACTCCTGCCACAAAACATGACACTTGTTTAAACGTTCACACACTAGCTCTTGTATACTCCTTGTCACAATTGTATTTGTGTGCATACATTATATCAATTGTCTGGGCCTATAAATAACTCACCAAACTGTTACCGACAAAAGCACACACAGAGCTTTTTCCTCGCACTGCTCACGCCTGACACCCATGCTCTGTTGTTGGAGGACGGTTGTGGGAGTTTCCATGAAAGTAAAAGATGAAACAAGTTCTTAGTTTATTTCTCTCAGCTGTGTAATGCATCCCCCAGTGAAAAGCAATGATATTTAAAATGCTCTACCATGATTGTTTGCAGCAAGGCAGTAAATTTTAAAGTTTTGATCGAGCTGCATGCATATGAGGAAAGGTTCATACATCTGTTTCATCTTCAACTGGATAAACAGTTTTGTGTCTGTGACCCACAATCTAAATGGTCTCTCTAATAGTCATGCATGTTGGATACCACCTGACATGATGAAGGCCCCCTTTAATTGTTATTTGGTGAGGGGTTGAGCTGATCTGATGGTTACGTTCATAAACCTCCTAGAAGATGCATCTTTAAAAAGACAGTGTGGAAGGCATACAGTAGTCAGCCATGATTAAGACATTACACATCTGTCCACTCACTAGAGTGCTCAGCTGAAACGTTACTGTTTGACCTGAGATTGTGAAGCATTCTCAATGCTTTCACTGTTGGTGTGATCCGACAGTTGCAGGGCATTTTAGGTTCATTTGTAACATTCTAAACAATGTGATCATCAGGATTATTTTTTCTATATCCATGCCACAACATTAGGTACACCTGAGCAACCTAATGCAACAGATCTGCTCTATAAATTCTACTGATACAAAGCCTCTACAGTTTAAGGTTTCACTGACATGGTCATGAGAGGGACAATGTTCTTGAAAGCTCCCATGATGATTTTTTTTTGACAATTTAAACTGCTGCCATTTCATGCAGAGTGAACACAACCACCAGCAACAAGGTCCTGGGTTCGAATCCGGGTCAGGTCGTTTCTGTGTGGAGCTTGCACGTTCTCCCTGTGTCTGCGTGGGTTTACTCCGGGTACTCCGGTTTCCTCCCACATCCGCAAAAACATACAGAAGTGTGGTTAGCTTAATTGGCCACTTCCAAATCGCCCGTAGGTGTGAATGTGAGCGTGGATGGTTGTTCGTCTCTATATGTCAGCCCTGTGATGAACTGGCGCCTTGTCCAGGGTGTCCCCTGCCTTCGCCGGAAGATGCTGGGGTAGGCTCCAGCCCCCCGCGACCCCCAACGGGAAGAAAGCGGTAGAAATGGATGGATGGATGGATATTTAATGACTTTACCTCACCAGCTAAGATAACCCATGTAACATGTCCAAAGACAGGCCTTCCCCCCTCCAAGACATACAGATGTTATAAATAACTTAAAAGAGAAATAGTACGTTCATATGCTGACATTCTGGTTTTGGCTTTTGCAGCCCATAGTGAGGCATTAGTGTTAATTAAAAGCAGAGGTACAAGTTGGAGTGGATCAACTGGTCCTTTGAGACATAAAGGAGGAACATGTCCCACATGTGCTCTGTGCAGTAACATGAGTTTTATGCTTTCCGTTTGTTTACACACTGATATTTCTCTGACATTATCCCAGATATTCTCCCACTTGGCCTCCGTTATCACTACACCCAGGTCCTACTACTTCCAGGTCCCTCACAGACTCTCATAGAAGGCACTAAAGGGAAGCAATCCACCTTCAGAAAGAAGTTTTTGTTCTGGCGCTGTGGGCAGGTGGATCCTCTTGGGTATTATTGGAGTCGAGGTCTCTCTTAAAGCTCTTTCAGCTGGTCTGTATTGTTTTCTCTGATACTTCAGAGATCCTCTATGGAGTTCAGGTCAGACCAGTTAGCCAGCCAATCACATACAGAAATCCTAAGGTCAGCAAACCAGTTTCTGGTAGATGTGGTGCTGTGGGCAGGTCTCAGGTCCTGCTGGAAAAGGAATTCTGCATCTCCAAAAAAGCTTGACAATCTGTGTGACATTGATTTGGGATGCTAGTGACATGTCTTTTGTAAAGAAATCTCTCATGTAGCAATACTGAAAAGGTCCTTTTTGTTATGTCATATTTTTCTACCTCCTGATTAATGGTCATGAGGACAGTCCTGTCAGAGAGATCACCTAAAGGGGAAATGATGTCGCTGTCCAGCAAATCCTGACTCACAGGGGCTTTAGATTAATGAAGAATAACTGGCTTATTATGTTTTTACCAGGAGGGAAACTCTAATATTACTGCAACATGACATGCTTTTTTTAGTTGTTATGTTTGCATGTTTGTTATCTGTTATCTGACACCTGTGATCACCTACTGATCTCAATAATGAACACATCAGGCTCAGTTATGTGCTGATGAGCAGCTGTCGGGCTGTGGAAGCTAATTTTCCGCTGTTAATTAGTCACCAGGAGGAGAAAATAGAGCAGAGATGAAGATGTATCACTTTGTGGTGAGTAAATCACTCACACCGTTTCCAGAAAATTAATCAGCAACTCCTGAATAATCAGTCACACACTTAAGTAAATATTCGAACATGGACAAAGAAAGAGGCATTGAGTGAAGCAGTGACAGAGTCTGTTTGACCGTACACTGTAATAATCTTATCTCAGCCCCTCCCTGGGCTTGTTTAACAATCATTAACACTCAGGCTACATGAGTCCAAGCCCACAGGAAGAGGATGGCAGTATTGACACAGTATTCAGACTCCACAGCAGTGGAAGAACAAGCTCAGGAATCCAGTTCAGCTGGTACTGCTGCTGACTGAGAATGATCCTGCTCGCTCCTCCTCCCACGGCCCTGTTTCCTCTGGCCCTCAGGCTACCGCTGCACTATAGGGCTTTGTTTGGATGTATGTTAGCTATGTGTGGGCTATCAACAGCTGAAACTGAGTGTGGAGGTAATCACTAACTGTCAAGGGTCCCAAAGTCCCAAAGTGGTGGTCAGGTAGACTTTTGATGGTCAAAACGTGAACTTAAACCATCAAAACATGGTGAAAAAAGTGCCTTGAAATAACTGAAGTGTTGATACTTCTTCAAACTTTGAACCGGATAGTTTACTTTTTAATCCCTCTGTTACCTCTTCTTTATTAATGTCACCTGTTTTGTTTCTTTTCAAATCATAATGAGGATATTGAACCATTTTTAAAGTTTCTTAAAAGAATGTATTTGGCTTTTTTTTTCTTTTAATCGATTGACACGCCAGTAGTCTACATAACTTCTTCCATCATTGAGCCAAAGGGCGTTAAAAATGTTCTGGTTCCTTGCAAAAGCATGGTAATAACTTGATTCTGTACTTTTATGGGTTTATTTTTGATGTTCCTCTTGATGAGCTAAATTCATCAATACATGCCAAGAGGTCTTTTTTAAGGGTTTAGAGCTCGATAACTTTTGATGTTGAACAGTCCACTTCAGAACAGAAAATAGTATTTCACTGCAAATCTCCTTCTGTATGGTTAATCCAACTAAAGGTGCAGCTCAAAACATTTGAATACCCTGAAATAAATGTCCTTTTTTTCACCATGATTTAATTCAAAATGTGAAACCCATGACTCTGACAGTGTGCACTCAAGTAGATAAAGAGATGCATGTTTAAACTATAAGGTCCTTCCTTGAGCTGCTTCACCCCGCAGCAGTCTGTAGTGGACTGGCCTGAGGTCTCGCTACAAACAAGCGGCTGCTGGAAGAGAGTTTTGCTCACATGTATAGAATACATCAAATTTGTACTTTTCTGGTCACTGCTGGAAAGTACAGATTTAATTGTTTCTTTTTTTAACAATTGTCTAATTATTTGAGGTGTACCTGTTTGCAGTTTACATCAACATGATTATGAATTCTCACATTCAACTTTACTGACCAGAAAGAGCCTAAAGGTGACACCAGCTCTGCAGGAAACTGTGTGTGTGCGTGCGTGTGTGCGTGTGTGTGTGTACTAAACATAAAAGTCAAAGGTGAGAGTCCAGCTCTATTTCTTCACCTTAAAGCTGCTCTCTGAGAGTCCTCGCTCAGGGCTTGACAACCTTTTACCTACAAACTTATTTTCAAACCTGTCATTTTTGTGTTGATTATTAAACAGCCAGCATCGAAAGGTTTGTGACTTTGATTGTAAGTGATACAAAGTTGAAGAACTTTTGCCTTTACTTTCAAACCAATACTGCTGAGACAGATACTTTTTATTTTGATCATATGTCAGGTTTTATAGGCAGATAAAGCAGCAGTTGTAGCAGATTGTCTGTAAAATCCTGCAATGATTTCCTCTACTTGGAGGTGGTAAACATTAACACTGCCCCTCTGTAAACTTGAGGTAATCTGGAGTTCTGATACGGTCCCTTTACTTTTAATGTTGCGTAGTTCAGCAGAGCAGTACACCATCAAAGTTTTAATCAAACGCAGATTATTAATAAGCTCCTTCTGTTATCAGAGTTTATTAGCCAGGTGAACACAGAGCTAATATAACACGGATCAACTGTGAACTCAATGTTAACTGATCTTACTACTATGACTACATGCAGCAGCTCAACAGCTGATTGGAAATAATCCTTGGCTTTTGTATGGGTGCACAAATCCACCCGAATCACATCAATATGAACAATAAACATATGTGTTAAAGCCTCACATGGATCAGGTGTTGCTGCTCATGTCGGATTTTACTTTCTTTAGTATGTTTTATTGTGTGTGTGTCTATGTCTGTGTTTTCTGAAGAGAATCTCGAGATCAGCAGAGTAATCCTTTCAATCTGTACTCAGCTGTGGTCAGCATGCGATTATGTAACAGGACACTTTTCTTCTCCTCCCAGTATCTCTGTGTTTACACTGGAAACAGACTTGAACAAGGAACGACATGTGGGGATAACCTCCCTCTCTTAGTGTACCTCCAACACAAATCAGATACAAAATAAAACCAAATAAGCGTCAGCTCCTGGGTGCAGCTGATGACAACCAGAGCAGCTCCACATTAAACACAGCTCTCAGTGATTGACTAATGCAGAACAAACATTTCTGTGTTGTTTAGTTCAACTAAGCATTTCACACTAGTTTTCAATTCCCCTTTAGTGCCTGAACAGCTGTTATTATAGCCTCTGTGGCTGTGATCAACCCCCTGTTCAAAACAGGACCACTGTGTCTCTGTGAATGTGGACTCATGGTAATGAGTCTGATTATGATCATATCTGGGATGCGGTATTTACATGCACACACAGAAACCTGGTTATCTCTATCTATGTTTTTTTTATGTATGATTGAGAAGAAGAAAAATCACTTCACATCTGAATCACAGTCCTGAAATTCTGAACTTGAAACTTGAAAAGTCAAAAATGTGATTTAAAAAAAAAAACATTTCCCCCATTTTTTTTTAAAGATTTTATTGAAGAACAACAATTCCAGGGAAGCTGAAAGCAATCAGAAATAGAAAATAACATTTAAATTAAGGCTTGGAATAATGTATCTTTATAAAATCACTATTATAATGATCATTATGATAATTAATTTCAAATCCAACCCAGTTAGGTAACTTCTTTAATAATAAATACAGATGGCTGGACAGAAATTTAAATGAAGATACTGATATTGTGCTAAAAATAAGCACATTGTAATATTGTGAGTTCATAGTGGTGATCTTTTACACAATACAAAAGACAGAGAGATGAAGAAGAAGTAGCAGACTGCTGACAGATGATTAGACATCCAAAAACAACGTGAAAGCTCAAACCTATTTGGGTTACTGATCAGTTAAAAATTTGAACTTCCTAACCCTTCTTTTGACTGTTTTTTTTCCCCCACTTCAAAATAAAAGCATAGTTTTACCTGACAGGGAAAAAGGGACCTAAAATAAAGAGAGAAAAAATTCATGAGGCAATGTCAGCTCTGAAGAAGTTTCCGTCATTGCGCTGATGATAAAGCATAAATGTAAACATCAGTGGAAAGAGATGTGAACAGCGATGGATGAATATGTGTGGAGAATTAGTTTTTTTGTAAATCAAGGTCAAGTTAGGTTGATAGTGAAGGGTTGATTAGTTACATGATGTGGGAAAGCGAGAAATCTGAACAGTACACTTGAATAAGAAAGTCATAATTCTACATCAGTAAATGATATAGAGTGGAAGCACAGCAAAATGAGTATTTTTTCTATGTACATTTTACAAAACAGACGATTTACATCAGTATCTTTTCCGAAGTATTGTAAGAATAATTTCACAGTGATGAAAACAGTGAATTATTTTCAATTAAAGGGATTTTAGTTTCACGTTTTGGTTGCTGGCACTGTTTGCTGTTGTACACTGCTGAAGCAGGAGTGTCAGTCCTGGCTCCTCAGTTTTAGTGCTGACGTTTGTCGTGAATTTGTACATGGAGCAGCAAAAAGTTGGTCCAGTCTGGTTTCAGTTTCAGGTCTGCATTTAGACACCTCCTCAGGGGCTGTACTGTGTCTGCTCATGAGCCCACCTCTATTTCTTATTCATCCTCCTGTCCCCTTTTATCTCCTTCCTCTTCATCCTCCTCCTCTTCTTCTTCTACCTGAAAATGCACAGACCCACTTCAGCACAGCTGCTATAACAGCCTAAACATTTCCTCTCCTACTTATCTACTGGGAAGGCTGTGCTGAAACAAGGCTCTGAGACTAATGAGGATTTTCAGGATTATTTAACCTGTTTGACCCCCACAGTCTTGGATCTTTACTGCTGTCTTTGTGTGTTTCAGGTATTTTGCAGCATCCAGATGGAACAGTCCTGAAGCAGCTCCAGCCTCCACCAAGAGGTCCCAGAGAGATGCAGTTTTACAGCATGGTACCATCACTTGATTCCATCTGTTTTACCTTCACACCCTTACATACACAAGAGGACAATTTTTTGTCTCTTTATTCATGCATTTATGTTTGGAGGAGGTTTAAATGAAAGTAGTCAGGTCTTTCTATTGGCAATAACTGAGCCTTATGCCACCACTTCACATGCAGCCCAAGAAAGAAGGAAATATTTGCACGGTGAAAAAAATCTCTTCTTTCAAACAAAAAATAGTTTTTATTTAAGATGTGATGCTAGTGATGTCAACAGTTAAATGAGTGTAGAGTAACTGATGCCCAAAATGTACTTGAACACGCATGTTATTGTTAAATTTTCCATGAGGAAGATGAGAACAATGCATAATCTCATTTTATATTGGACTACCATTTGCCATTTTAAGTTAAAAGCATACTTCAATGCAAACCAACATGGCTTAAAGGGATATTCTGGCGTAAAATTATTTTCAGGTCAAACACACCGTAACACCGAGTTAGACACCCCCTTGATGAATGTTGCCGACCGCTTGCTTCTCTAGCTATACCAACTTTCATTTCTTCATGGAACAATCAGACCGAGATGCTAAGGCAGAAGAACTACCACGTCTGCAGTGCAAAATGATCAATATGGTGATTATTACTTCAAGGAAATCATAAAGAAATGATCATAAATGTTCTTCCTTGAGCTGCGTCAACCCGCAGCAGTCCGTAATGGATAAGCATGAGGTCTCGCTACAAACAAACGGCTGCTGGAAGAGAGTAGGTGAGTTCTGTTTAGTCTCTTTGTTAAAGAAATCAGGCAAAGTTAAAAAGATGTTTGGTGGCTAGTGCTGTGGCTGGAACCCTATATGTACTGTTGATGAAGTTAGGTGCTGTTCTGAGCATAATTTGTGGTTATAGAGTGGTGTTTTGATTGAGGTTTGTTTATGGCTCCTCAGACCGCTGTGTATTGCTATTGTGCGATCATTACTAAAGTTGGTATAACTACAGAAGCAAGCGGTCGGCAACATTCATCTCTGTCTACCTCAGTGTTATGGTGTGTTTGACCCTGAATTAATTTTACGCCGGAATGTCCCTTTAAGGTGGTGTGTGCACCTCAGAGACACTCAGTAAGGGGAGGCAGCCAAGCAACAGGTCTCTGCAGGCTGGAAAGCTTTTTACCAGGGCATCAACCTGTGACTGGACACAGATCTGGCAGGGTGGAGAAAAATCAATAGAAGATTTCCCAAACTGGCAAATCTGGCACCTATCTACACACCAGGAATGTCAGTGCTTTCAAGGCATGTGCTCTCTGCAACCGGACTAGACAGTCAAAAACACACAAATGAGCAGTGACATGTGGCATCATAGCTGCAAACAACCAACAGCTGACTAAAAGAGCAAATGTAGAGAAAACTGGGCACTGTGAGTCTGAAATGTTTTTGTGTTCAGTTCTCTTGTGGCAGAAATTCTACATTTAGCCATCTGAGTCTCACTCTGTATGACTGTGTGTCTGTGGAGATCAATCTTTAAGCCTGCTCTGTGTAATGATATTTGGCGTGTCTAATAACTTGGTGTCTTTGCACTTTTATAGCTTTGCAGTACAGTCAGTCATATCCAGTGTTGCAGTAGGGGGAAAAAACACCATGGTATTGTGGGTACAGTGTTCATTAGTAAGCCAGCTGAAGTGCAGCTAATGTGGAAATGTTGAATTGACACACTGAGAAGCAAGAATGATTTGGTAAATAAGAATATGTAGTGAGTGAGTAGGTGGGTGAAGAAATACAGAGTGGTTACATTCAGTGAAGACATCAGACGTCCCATATGGTGCTCGGTGGTCTCATGTGCGTCTGCTGCTTCAGAGCTTCAGTGTTTGATTTGGAGCTTAGCTGCTCTGTCAGCCTCAGCAACTCTCATACAAACAGGAATGAGTCATGGCAGCACGTCCGCCTGTGTCTGATCTAACCAATCAGACCTAATCCTTGTGATACACACACACACGCACGCACACACACATCTCACATTTCCTACACTGGGTTAGACGTCCAGTCACAGCTGGTATAAATCGTCATCAATCTGTGTCAAAGATTATTGTGCAACTTTATATAACCAATAATGGGCTGGGGTACCACTCTTTTTGAACTGTACTATATCTTTATTAGACCCATACTGCCACGCCAAAATAAAAGCCGCCATGCTCTCAGAATCATTTTTTTTTTTTCCTCAGATGTTTCAAATGTAAATTATATTGTACGAATAGATCCATATAAACGTAAAGTCTATATTTGCGCACTTTTACAGACCATAATAAGAGTGTGGAATTGTACTCAGGAAATGTGACACTGCTCTACAAATAACCCTCCCCCACAGTTTCAAAAAAATCCCAGAGGAAACCCTGAGACCTGTTGTGTTATTATGGTAATAATCCTGTGTGGGGCTGTAATAAATGTCAGAAGAGAGGCAAGTGATCCATCCAGGAACTTCGCCTTCAAACTACAACCCCGCCCACTTTTGGATTAAAGGGTACCTGGCACTTTTCTGGCGTTAGATAAGAATATGGTGCTATTTGATGGCTATTGAAAGTCCAAGTATAAAGCCAGCAAGGCAAACATGTAAATCATGACTCAATATCAAAGTCTAAGGGTTTACATCGGTCCGCCTCCATCATACTAAACAAACTTTCCCATCCTGTGGGTGTAGGCGTCATAAACTGATGTCACACCACTTTAGTGAGAATTTAACAGCGTTTCCTTGGTACATTCAGATCATATGTCTTTGTCATCATTTCTGGGCTTCACAAAGGGCTGTCATGTCGGAGTACATAGAGACTAGAAAAAAACTGTCCAAACACTTGCAACACTTGGAGCAGTATGCTCCACCTCTTGATTTCAACCATTAGAAAATACATTAAGGGAACAGTTGATGCTGTTAAAGGTATAAAAAGGTATTAACTACAGAAGCATATTGCATTCACCAAAAAAAAGCTCTGTTTTTCAGAGTAATTTTTTTCTGTTCTGTTCTTCTGACTTTTCTTTTTTCTTTTTTTCAGAGTAATTTTTTTCTTTTCTTTTGTTTAGGCATTTTTTTTCTTTTCTGTTATTCTGAATTTTTTTTCTTTTCTGTTTTTAAGACAATTGTTTTTTCTTTTCTGTTATTTGGAATTTTTTTTTCTTTTTTTTTTCGGAATATTTTTCCCCTTTTTTTCAGACTAATTTTTCTGTTTTTCAGACTGTTTTTTGTTTTTTTTATTTGTTCGTTTGTTTTTCAGACTAGTTGTTTTTCCTGTTCTCTGGGATCATGATCATTCAAAAACAGACGCTTTTATTCCCCTCTGCTTGGAAGCAAACATGGCCCACTTGTTTAGTTTAACCAAGTTTTACTTTCCTTTGGGTTTGACACACTGAGAGACACTCCTTTCTTTAAGTCAGATGGATGGAATCGTCATAAGTCTGTCTACTTTGCGCAGGCATCTCAGGATTTGCAAACCCTATGTTTAACTAATAACATGCTTTACTCTCATTGAACCCGTAGTCGAAGTTATCTAGGAGCTGGAGAATCGGTTGGTTTGGAGCAGCTACAGTGGTTAACGTTATCTGATTGTATGAGATTCTTGCAGGATTTTGAAGTATCTTGTTTAGTCATGAAAAAAATAGTCCAAAAAACAGAAAGAAAAACAGAATAAAAATTTTTGAAAAAATATCAGTACAAAAAAACCCCAGAAAAAGCAGTCAGAAAAAAATGAGTCTGAAAAACAGCAAAGAAAAAAAATCTTTAAAAAAAAAAAACGGTGAAGTGAATGCAATATGCTCAGGCATACTCATCATCAGTTTTACAACCTGCTGAAAAGTCCTTATAAAGACTTGACAAATACTTATTTGAGTTAGTGTGAACAGCGATGTGTGCTTTGGTGTGTCTCAGGTTTATTCAGAAGACTGCAGTGATCCATGCCTCCTGGAGCTCCAACACCATCTGCCCAAGTACTACGGCACCTGGTCTTCTCCTGACAGCCCAAACGGTAAAAAGAAGATCTCTCTGTCGCCAAAATCCAAGTAATCTATGAAACTGTAAACAGAGCAGAGTATTCAAACTCATATCCAGCTGTAAGAGAAGAACAAAGCTGCTCTATTCTGCATCGGTTTGCCTCACTGGTTCAGCAAATGAAGGTCAGGAGTCACACAGTGAAGCTGTCATTGATTCTGAGGAAATGTAGGTCGAGCCAAAACACAAACTATTCAACAAAACTGAGTGGTATCGATGCCACAGAGTTTACAACCCAGCTTTTAGGAGCAGCCCTCAGTTTCAGGATATGTATTCTCATAGTGTTCTGTCTGCATACTCGCTGTCCAGTTTGGCTGTTAGTCTGTGGGGCGGGCTTATCTAGTAAATACTTGAATTACAAAGCGAGAGGTCGAGTTGATAAACAGAGAAATATGTGACATATAAGACCCAGCTTACTCACTAGAGGGAGAAAGTAATCTGTTCAGAAATAAATCATATCTCAGCTGCAAAATCAGGCGTTCTTGTTTCTAATAACCAAACCCCACATCACTCATGTAAATCACTCTTGTCTCGTGTGTTTGTGCCACTTTTTCAGACCTGTACCTGAAGCTGGAGGACGTGACTCGACGCTTCGTGAAGCCGTGCATCATGGATGTGAAGTTGGGACAGCGGAGCTACGATCCATTTGCCTCGCAGGAGAAACGAGAACAACAGATACGAAAGTATCCTCTGATGGAGGAGATCGGCTTCCTGGTCCTCGGCATGAGGGTGAGTCTTACCTGCTTTGGACCCCTGAGTTGGTCAAATGGTTGGTCTTCTTACCAAGTGAATAGTTCAACACAGACTCACACTTTCAGGCCCCGCGAAGGTTTTTCAGTTCTAACAAACAAAGCTGCTGCAAAATACAAAGTGCAAATGGGTTTTTCCAAGTGTCAGAAGTCTGAAGAACTAACATCAGTCTACAGAAAATAGCACTTTGACTGGAGAGAATTAAAATCAGGAAAACAGACCAATAGAGGAGGATTGTTGTACATTTTTCATCTGCTTGGTGCAGGTTTAAGAAAAAAAAAGTCAAAAAAGTCTGGAGAACAAAAAAATCACTCATCTAAAGACCCTCAAGACCTTTCTTGTAAATTCTCAACACAACATTTCCACATTTTTCAGAACAACAGAAGAGCAGTCATTCAGAGGATTTTATTGACTCACCACAAATGCTGGAAGTTAATTTCAGGTTTTCTCCTCGATTATTTGACCTTTCCTCACTTGACTCTTTACTCCTTCAGGCTATAGCTGCACAACTTATCGCTGTTTTATCTGTACCCAAATATGAGCAGCTGTTACAAACACGTCCCAACAGTCCATAATTCATCACAAATACATAAAAAAATGAACAATTGATGCCCTCTTACACAGGGTGTTCACTGTTGAATGGAAGCCTGTGTGGACTTTTGTAGTGAGATGAGGCTTAAAGCTTCTGTAAGGAGTTTTTGACATTTATCAAATTGACAGAAATTCATACTGATGCTGATTATGGTATCTAAGAGCAAACAAAACCTTAAGCAAGAATACTGATGATTTTAATGTTATCTTTAAGGCCTGAAATCAGTGTGAGGGAGTAGGTGTCAGCCAAGCAGCTGAAGAGGTAATTTTCATAAAATATTCATCATAAGTAATAAGAGGTGTAACGATTTATTTGAACATCAATTCGATTTGTTTTATGATTCGTGGTTGCCAGTTCAATTCAAAGACGATATTGGTTCATTTAGACCTATACAATCTGAAACCATTGAGTCATTTGAAATTGATTCAGTAACTTTTTAGCCAAAAATTCAACCAGTGTTACTGTGAAATAAATACTTGGATACTGGATTCCTAGATTCCTGTTGTTCCTTGTAAGGGACTCAGGTATAAATTAATTATGGTCATAAACAAAGAAGTAAACAACAATTAATAGCAAATGCATTCACATTTTATTTGAATAAAGTGCAACCTCCACTCCAGGTTGAATTAACAGGAGATTAAACTTTTCTGTACAGTAAGTGCATCCAACATTTTTGCTACCTCTGCATTTCTTTTTCAACGCAAAAATAATCCAGTATTGATATCAAAAATAAAGTGCAATCAACATCTCTTCTGGTTGAATTAACAGTAGGTTTCCCTGCTACTTCTGCTGTTGTTTTTTAGCATAGAAATAATACAAATACGACATACACTGGACCACAACAGTGGCTTGATTAAGTTTTGCCCTTAGAAAATAATAATTTTGACTTTCAAAAATTAGCAGGAAGAGATATTTTTGTGAGAAGACACTAAATCAGCCTGTAAAGCACGATAGGATAAGACTGCATTGTCCACAGTGCACGCCATAATTAACTCACGCTGTCTCAAGTTCATTTGTGTACACAGTGTAGAGAAAAAAAGGCTTTTATTTTGTAATGTTTATGTACTCAGGAGGGACATACTGTGGAGAGGTGGGTATAAAGACTTTGAGTTATAGCTTATATACAGTCTGTATATTTGTTTTTATTTCACTCTACACATTATTCCTGTAGGTCTGGTATGTATGTAAAGCGTACACTTCATTGAATTTATCTGGAGTAAGTTTGAGTTATTTCTTATCTCAATACATCACCAAATCAGTCTTTGAGTACCAGAGTCTAGGGCTCAAATAAGAGTCGAACTCTTGGACTTTTGGCTTGACCTGAACTCCTTAAGCTATTTGTGAAGTACATTACAGCATTCAAATCTCTCTCAGCTATTACGAAAACAACAACAGTATATAAAGCAGGTGCAACGTCTGAAATATCTGCATGCATCCATGTGCACTCTGCCACCCTTAACTTCAGTCTCAGAGATCCTCATTTCAATCAATGCCACCATCCAAAGCAGAATGAAGTTACACAGCTGTGATTTATCCTCCAGTCTCCTGATTAGAGCCCTTCAATTTAATTTCAAACAAACACAGTTATTTCAGGAGAAAATTACCACTAAAAGTAGAAGAAGCACACATAACACACAGTAAGAAACCACCGGACCTCCTGAAATGACTCAACCTTTATCTTTATGTAATGTGGGAGATGTCCGGTTTATTGACTGGGCGGAACAGAACACAACCCTGTCTTTTTCACACACACTAACATTGAGGAAAAGTTCATCTCCACCCATGTAAATAACTGCTGTTTATCTGGAGGAGTGTGTTGACTCTCTGGAGGATCCTCTCCCTGACCGCAGGCTGTGGAGGAGTAAACACGTGTCATGTCAGCGCCTCATTAGTCTGTTTGACAGGAAGGAGTTGAAGCACTTCTTCTCTGCTGGAAAGGAAGAGAGTCGGATAACAAAACCTTTATCACTTTGATCAGTTTCCATTGCAAGCTGCTGTCAGCATCTTCATCAGAACATGTTCTAGTTTGAGTTTTCCTTCTGCAGTAAGAGGGAACAGGCACCCACTGTCTATATCCATGGCTCTCACAAAGTCAGAAAACTCTGGGAAAAGAATCACTATTACTGTCGTATTTTTGAAGACTTGCTTGAAAAATTCTCAGATATTTAACATAATCTGATGTTATAACAGGTCAACCGTAGCATAAGTTTGAGAGCACAAAGGAGATGCAGATTTCTGCTAAGAGAGCAGGAAGAGGAGCAGGAGGAGGAGAGAGGAGAGCAGGGAGAGGAGCAGAAGGAGGAGAGAGGAGAGCAGGGAGGGAAGCAAAAGGAGGAGAGCGGGGAGAGGAGCAGATGGAGGAGAAAAGAGAGCAGGGAGAAAAGCAGAAGGAGGAGAGCAGGATGAGGAGCAGGGGGAGGATAGAGGGGAGCAGGGAGAGGATCAGGAGGAGGAGAGAGGAGAGCAGGGAGAGGAGCAGAAGGAGGAGAGAGGAGAGCAGGAAGGGAAGCAAAAGGAGGAGAGAGGAGAGCAGGGAGGGAAGCAAAAGGAGGAGAGCGGGGAGAGGAGCAGATGGAGGATGAGAGAGGAGAGCGTGGAGAGGAGCAGAAGGAGGAGAGCAGGAAGAGGAGCAGGAGGAGGAAAGAGGAGAGCAGGGAGGGGAGCAGAAGGAGGAGAGAGGAGAGCAGGGAGAGGAGCAGATGGAGGATGAGAGGAGAGCAGGGAGAGAGGTAGGAGTAGGAGAAAGGAGAGCAGGAAGAGAAGCAGAAGGAGGAGAGCAGGGAGAGGAGCAGGAGGAGGAGAGAGGAGAGCAGGGAGAGGAGCAGGAGGAGGAGAGAGGAGAGCAGGGAGAGGGGCAGAAGGAGGATGAGAGAGGAGAGCATGGAGAGGAGCAGAAGGAGGAGAGCAGGTAGAGGAGCAGAAGGAGGAGAGAGGAGAGCAGGGAGAGGAGCAGATGGAGGATGAGAGGAGAGCAGGGAGAGAGGTAGGAGGAGGAGAAAGGAGAGCAGGGAGAGAAGCAGAAGGAGGAGAGCATGGAGAAGAGCAAAAGGAGGAGAGAGGAGAGCAGGGAGAGGAGCAGATGGAGGATGAGAGGAGAGCAGGGAGAGAGGTAGGAGGAGGAGAAAGGAGAGCAGGGAGAGAAGCAGAAGGAGGAGAGCAGGGAGGAGAGCAGGGAGAGGAGCAGAAGGAGGCAGGTGTGTGTGTCTGAAAAGTTAAGGGTTAGAGTTAGGTATGATGAGAGAGCTTGAAGCAATCATGAAAGTGCACAAACTGGTACTGTTACATATGAGATCATGTAAGGTTTTTTTTTTTTGCCTTTGCATTGACGGATAAAGAACAGCTGGTAGAGCAAGAATCATGACCATGTTTGCTTTTGTAGGCCATAAAGAGGCATCACCTTCAAGGTCAGTCTGATTTTATAATTGACCTCTAACCCCTTCATAGGAGTTTTAAAGAGGTGATATAACAGTAGAAATAACAGAGTTGATTGTTGGACAGATGAACAGCTCCCCTGGATGCTGAATGGTCTGATGGTGTTTGTCTTACCCACCCCCGTAGGAGGCGACTGTTAGTGACAGTTTAAGGTTGCCTGTCTACACCCTTTGTAAACCGGTTGTATAAGTTCTTTGTGCCGGTGAATATTTGCTAATGTGATCTCTGTGGAAACAGATAGAGGTCAATGCAAGCATGTTCAATGTTTAAGCAGCACTGCAGAACAAAAGGCTGTAAAACATTTGACTGAATTTGAACAAATATTTGCATTCAGGCAGTCTCAGGAGCATTTTTCAGTGGGTTTAAGATGAACAATCAACCTGATCTATAGCTGGATAAATCAGTGTTTGCAGTTGTTAATGGATCAAATACCTAAAGAAGTCTGGATTATTTTGGACTGACAGTGCACAGATTTACTGATGACAAATGTTTCTCCAACATGGTGTTTTTGATGGAATGAAAATAAAACTTTTCTTTATGGATTGTTAACCAAACTCACATTTTCTCACTACAATGTAATTGAGCCTTTAACCCTTTTAGGAAAGTGATGTAATATTATTTTTTATAATGCAGAGCATAATGGAGCTCATGTAGGGCCATAAAGCCAGTTAGTTGTCAGCAAAAGTGTAGTTTTTTGCATCATTCATTATGGAAAAACAGAGGTTAATGTCAGGGGTATTTTGAGACACATACAACAATGAAAGTTTTGTCTTTTATAGGCTCACAGTAGCCGATGTTGCAAAGTTTTCTAAATTCATCTTGATCACATTTTAAAAGTTTTACTTTTTCAGCATGTTGACCATTAAACCACTGTATTCCTCTAGTTCGACAAAACGCAAACAAAAAAGATTTTGTGTTTGTTCGTATAGTTTATGTAGAGATGTGTTGCTCGGCCTGAACTCTTTCATCCTCCTCTTCTTCATGTGGGTGTCAGAGCTGCTGTCATAGAGCTGGACACACTGTAATATAACTGTGAGGGGGATTTGAAAGACTAAGTAAATCCATATCATAATTTTATTTTTCAGTATCCTGCAGCCGTAAAGTCATTTGCCACAGACATGTGGACAACATTTTGGAGCTGTCTGCACCTCATAGATCACAGCAGAGTTTATTCCAGTAATAAATCTAACATTTAAAATCATAATGTACATTTCATTGTAATAATTGGTCCTTTCAAATAAATGATTCAAGTGGAAACACTGGTACCACTGAACCAACAAGAAAAGAGGGTGATATATTCAGGTTATTTGTTCTTATTTGCAGCCAGTTTATTGATTCTTTTTGGAGTTTAATGAACTTTCAGAACATTCAGCTCATAAAACAAATTAACTTTCAGAAAACACATCAACTTTTGAAAATCCTCTATCTCTGTTATGATGCTTCAAACTGACACTCATGTGAGGTCTAAGTACTTCTAACTTTGTCCTATACAGGTTTAAGTGACTTGTGCACTTGGACTTTCAGTTAATTTATTTTTGTAGATTTGAGGTGACTTCTCTCACTTCTCATCAGTTTGTTAAAACAGACTCAGAATCGATGTGAAGAGAGTTAAAGAGGTCAAAGGCAGCTGTTTGTTCTGCTTTAATCCAAACCAAAGCTGTCGTAAATTTATTTGGAAAACAAAAAAAAATCAGCATTTGAACTTTTCCTTTTTTGTTTATCAGAGAGTTAAAAACAGAGCATGTCTGGCTCTGAGCTCGGAAAATTCCTGTGCTAATCTCAGCGATGTGTTTGTTTAGATACAGAGGAAGCTAATTAGTGTTAATGATCCTCCTGATGGAGGAGTGATAGCTGGGGAGGAGAGTTAGAGAAACACCAGATGAAGAAGATTAAACAGATGAAGCAGAAGTGTGAGAGGACAAAATCCTCCCTGTTTAGTCTGGTCACAGATACATGGACGCTGATTTTAAAATGTAGCTTTAAAAAAAAATTCTAGCTAATACACCTGTTCACATTTGAGTTGATTTGTTTACTCTGGTAAAGTGGAAGGTCCCCCAAATAAACATCTTTTAGAATAGAATAGAATAGAATAGAATAGAATATTCCTTTATTGATCCCCCATGGGGGAAATTTTTTTTGTCACAGCAGCATCACAGACAAAGAGTGCAAAAATGCAGTTATAAAAATAAAGATCCTAATATTAAGAACTTAAATAGATGTAATAATTAAGAAAAAAATTAGAAAAGGAAAAAGGGAGAAGAAAAATAAAATAAAAATTATTAAAATAAAAAGTTTTTAGTTTTGGCCACTAGATGGAGACAGAGTACGATCAGTGACGGAGAGAAACTGAAGAGACGCTGCTGCTCTCTATAACAAAGTTCATCTTCTGTGCAGTACAGATGATAAGAGTTTTAGATGTTATAATTTAATTTAATACACACCTTTGAACCTGATAACTGATCCTGAGTACGAACAGAGGATGTATAACCACACAAATACAGCAAACGACACCCTGACATGAATCTTCCTGTGTTTCAGGTGTACAAGGTGTGCAGTGACACGTTTGACTCATATGACCAGCACTATGGGAGAGGACTGCTGAAGGACACTATTAAAGACGGTATGTGTGGGTTTATATAAGTGGGTTTAATGTGACAAATGATGGTCAAGCCAGTAATTAACAGTGATACTTTTTATTTTGCTTGAATTTTTATTTCTATAACTTTGTCGTCCTCTCCTCTCCTGCAGGCCTGGCTAAATTCTTCCATAACGGAGTCAGTCTGAGGAGGGATGCTGTATCCGCCAGCATCTGCAGAGTGCAGCGTATCCTCCGCTGGTTCGAGTCCCAGCAGCAGCTCACCTTTTACGCCAGCTCCCTTCTCTTCGTCTATGAAGGTGTCCCTCCCTCTTCTTCCTCACCTTCTCCTCAGAGCACCCCTGCTATCAGCCCAACTGCAGGGAAAACTGGAAAGTTAGAGGGTGATGGCGACAGAGTCGTGGAGGGAACAGCGGGACAGGAAGAGGCGGGACAGAGGGAAGAGGTGGCTGAGTACAACAATAACAACATTCAGGTGTCGGTGCCCTGGGACTACAGCCTGGCCACCATCTATGCCAACCACACAAAAGGGGGCCACCATCACTGTGCCAAGGGTCATCTCCATGGCAACAGTGGAGCTTGTAACACCATGGAGACGACAGTGAGCATCGTCCCTGGAGATAAAACCTCAGCACTGTGTGAAGAAGACAACTCGGCATGGAAACGGACAGGTGAGTCGCAGCATGCACCGAACGGAAACGGAAACAAATCGCAACTGGAAGGGAAGGACGAGGACGAAGACGACGAGGACAGCAGCAGAAGAAGAAGAGGGGAGGAGATGCAGCAAGGAGGTGACACAAAAGAGGGGAGTGGAGGAGAGGCAGGGGTGGAGGTCAGGATGATCGACTTTGCTCATGTGTTCCCGAGCGAGAGCCCCGATCACGGATACGTCTACGGCCTCAAACACCTGCTGACGGTGTTGGAGCAGATCCTCTGTGACTCCACCTAGAGCTCCCCCTCCTCTCCTCTCCCTCCGCTTACTCTTTACCTCCTGACCTTTTACCCCTTACTTCTCCTCCTGTCTCCCCCCCCATCAGAACCCCTTCACCTGTCTTCTCAAGAAACTTTCAGACAGGAGAGGGAAGAATCAAAGAAGTGAATATGAAAACAGATCCATCATCGTCAACATCATCATCTCACCTGGGTTTGATGGTCTGCCAGTAGTGTGTGTGTGCGTGCGTGCCTGTGTGTGTGAGTGTGTGTGTATGTGTGTGTGTTAGTAAAGCAGAGGCAGTAGTGGCTGACTGCTGTATGTTCCCTGTGATCAGCAGCGCTACATGCACTAATCAATACATGAAGGCATTCGGACCTGAAGTTAAACACAACTTCTTCAGTTTCGTGATTTACTCGAGCTCAGACTCACTCCACAGTTTCTAACATTACCCACAATTCACCTCGGAAAGATTTGTAAACAAATTTCCGGTAGTCGTCTTTTAAAATCGTTCATGTCAACTTTGGTAGTTTTAAACTCTGTTTTATTTATTATTTTAACTCTTTTGGAGGTTTAAATAACTAACCAATGGATTTTTGGAATAACCCGGTTGATTGCTTCATCAGACGTCCACAAAACTGCCTGTCATGGCTGCAGCTTCGTCTTATAAAAGTCTCAGATTGCTATAATAAGTTTCTGATAAAATGACAGTTCTGCTGTTTTATGAAGAAGTTAAATCTACCAGAAAGATTTCTTTAATCAAAGCAACCGGACTTCCTTTACAATTCTGTTAATTATATTTTAAAGCAGGGTTATTAAACCACTATATCAGTCTGCGACACATATAGAGTAGATCTACATAATTTGCCTCATATTGGCTAAAATGAAGCTAGAAAAATGAAGCTATGCAGCCGGCTAACAATAACTGCCTAAACCTGCAGACTTTGAGTAGAGCACAAAAAGGAACTAAGCTCTTCAAATGAGCTCAAAACTCTAATATTCAGCCTCCAGTTGACGCTTATCATGAGCGGTCAACTGGATTTGGTCCATTAGGATTGAATTTTTTCATTTTTGAGAGGAGAGAAAATAAAACTGAGGCTGAGATGACGAGAATAAATCATAGCAGAAAAGTCTGAATTTGGTTGTAAATGAGGGAAAACAAGAGTAGAGGCATAGGAGAAATAAAGTTCCAGTTTGTAGCATGCTTATCATTTCAGCCTCTTTTCTGATCGCCCCTTTCAAAATAAAATCAAAGTATCTGTATTTATATCAATACAATGACACTATTACTGTGAGATCAGATCTAGAAAAACCTCTTCTTTGATCTGATGTGAGATTCTGGCTTCGAGTAAAACAAGAAAACCTGGAGGATGTCGTGTTCAATTCAGGTGGCCATCTTGTTTTGTAGTTTTTACCACTGTCTACAGGTATCTAACTCAGGTAACTCTACTGTAAGAAAACATAACTACTATTACCCTCTCAGCTGGTCGATGGTCATGCTGTCTGGTTGTTTCATTGAGTCTTACTGTGTGTATTTTATCTCATCGTTGACCTTATCTCATAAATGTTGGAGTGTTTAAGCGCCTATCCTTACTTTCTCCGTACATGTTATCTTTGACCATGGCTGTTTTTAACTGTTGTACATGTTTAGCTGCCAAATCACCCCTCTCCTCCTCCTACTCTTCCTCTCTGGAGCCGTGATCTTTGCTGTGTTTGTGCAGTAACTTGGTGCCCTCGCCCCACACACACCTTCACCTGCCCTAGTTTTAGTGACAGGATTATAATGCTAATGTCATAGCTTATACTTCCATTATTTCCTTTTATATCAAAGGGTCGTGATTGGTTTGACTCGGTGCCATTGCTTTGGCATTAACCATGTGTTATGCTATAATTTATTTTATTCCTATACGGGCCAGAGGAGGAGAATCAACCTTTTTAATTCGGGATTATTTCTATTTTGATTTTATGGCAGAACTTGCTCGACTGTCAGCCATGTGATGTGCTAATATGAATCTGAGGGTTTGAAGATTGTAGTAAAGGACGATGTGAATCATGCTGCTTTAATGGGAGTTGACTGACAGACTCGACAGACAGTGACAGAATGCTTCGGAGAGATAGACAGCAACTGAATGGTTTCTTTATTTGTTTATTTTATCACTTGTTTTTTTTGGCTGAGTGCAGGAATGAAGATGGTTGTTGAATGAAGAGAGTTTAGCCAGTCGACTCAAACCAATCTGAGACGAATGGATCTTGATGCTGCTTTGTAGCGTTGGCTAATAATCTGTGGCTGACACGGACTGACTGTTAATCCAAGTCAATAATTCTAAAGACTGAACATAGGAAATGGTTGTAGCCTGTGGTTTTGGGGGCAAACCAGTGATAAAGTGCCTTTAAAATCACAGACTGTTTAAAACATAGTCTCTGCTAGGTTGCCAGTTTTAAAGCCCAATTAAAGTTTTGGTCAAAGGCAGGCACGTTAAATAAACTTTGGTAACAGTTAATCCATAAATACTGTTATAAGTTTAGAGAAGGTAACATTAAAACTGTTAAAAGTCTGACAATCGACCCCCTCCCTCCTCCTGCTGCAGTGGAAAGGGACTCAAGAATCCAAGTTCGGCAAAAACATTCATCTCAACACAAAATATCCAAACAGTTTCTTGGATTACTTTAGATCTGCAGTGGCTGTATGTTCTTGATCAGTTTCTGTTATCCATCATACTGCAGCAGGATTCTTTCTCAGGTCAACAGACTGACTGAGGGTAAACCCAGTATGCCACATAGGGGGCAAGAGGTTTAACTGTTAAAATGCTAAATGTCGATATTGAAGTAAACCAAATATGTACCCAGCTCTAACTGTGGTCACCATATTTAGAATACTTTCACAACCTAACTTTCCACAGACAAAGAAGGAGGGCTTGAACAACCCTGACAAACTGCCCCAACAGGCTTACCTGTCTGTCATTTCTGCGTAACTCTCAGCGTTTATGACAGCTCCCTGGATTTGTGAAAATAAGTTTTTGCTCAGCTTTTGCAGACAGCCTCAAGTGGTCACTGCCAGACATGCAGATTTTTTTGTCTTGCTTTAAACCTGAATCCCTTTTATTGAGCAGCAGGAGGTTTATATACCAAAGATTTGACCACGATCGAATTTATGAGAACAAGGCCGGCCTCATAGTCCTGCATAAAAGGAAAATCAAGGATCTTTATGGGGGTTTTGACTTGTTGCTGCAACAGGAATGATTAAAAATCTGACTTTTCTTTAATTAAGGGAAATGTGCATCGTATATCTTTGAAGTTTACCATACAGAAAGAGCTTTGGATGCCTAAAGATGACAAGGTGGAAGAAGAAAAAAAAGCTCAGCCGTAAAACATGTGGGCACTATCATTTTGTCCAGTAAACCGAACAAACATAGCGAGGGAAAGAAATGCAAATGTTTAGTCTTGGTCTGATCTGCTGTCAGTCCTGAATATTAGTCCAACGCTCCTACACTCAGCAGCTGAAACACTCCATCTCACAAATATAATACAACAACCATTTTAAGATTGTTTTAATTCAGCTGAGTTGACGATATTTTATCATTTCCTGTGCATCGATTCTACTTTATCCCCCTGAGATGCTCAGCTGTTTCTTTTCTACACCTCTGCTCTCCACACTAACTCTGGAGCGGCACTGCTCCTCTTTAACGTTAACCAACATCATGCGCAGGCCTCTTCACTTGATGTAGCTTGTACTATATGAATATAATGAACAATATGAAAATCCTGATCTTTTGTAAATCAACTCAATTAGTTGTAAGATGATTTGTATCTGAACCAAAAGAGACGAACTATTAGAATATTATATTTTTCTCTTTTTAATAAACTTGATCATTTCTTTGGACTAAACGATATAAAAGTTTGACAGGATGTTTACAGGAATTAGCGGACAGATTTGAATCACTGCCTTATGTTCTGTTGATGTCTCCATGTTGTCTCTGTGTTGGAAATATTGATTATTGATAAATCAGGCAGCTTTGTGAATCTCCTCTCTGGGTTTTTAGCCTGTTTTTCTCATGGCTAACTCACTAAAACCATATCATGCATCATTGTACACATACAGGGCATTGGTTTGATGAATGACTGGCTCTTTGCTTGAACTCCTTTAATCAGTCAGTGTTACTGAGACTTTGGATTTCAGGGCAGGTGGGCTGCTTAACAAACATGTTCTGCTTTTCTTTTTCGGACTTCTCTTGGGCAGCTGTTGGTCTTTGTCCACTTTTTCGCTGCTTTGTGGTCCATGAACAAGCCAAATGACTCAACTATGATGTGTAAGACGACAAAAAGTCTCAGAAAAAGCCGGGGAAATACAAATATGTTGAGAGAATATGCAATACAGTCAGATTATAATGAGATTAGAAGAGCCATAGTGATTTTGTGAGGGATGAAAGGCTGTCCGTGAGACAACACTTTGGCTTCAAATAAAAAAAATAAACCTTTGCTATGCAGATGAAAAACTCTAGATTCACACTTTTGAGGTTCTCATAAGACTGCATCTTTAAATAATGTTTTTAATGACGTTTGTTTGATAAGGACGATGCAAATTTCATTGAACAGCAGCTGCACAAACTAATGTTCACAATTGCTAGTTTCCAAATCTTGTCTCTAGTTAGGTTTTTAGTAAATTTAAAAAAAAAAAAAATCCAGATTACTTACAATGAAAGTCTTAATAACTGTTAATTTTTTGTGTGTGTGCTGCAGATAGTGCAGAGAGGACTGCTAACTGTGGAGTCAGAGCTCCCTCTGCTGGACATGTGGTAGAACATCAAGAACTACAGACGGTTGGCTACTCCTAAAGTGTCTGTCAGTGTAAAATAACATTACCAGGACATTTTAATTCTTCATATAGACTTGCTATTGGCTTACTGTTGTTTGTTGTTGATTTAATCAGACCAGTTAAAGAGTGGATATGCCATCCTTTTTCTACGACCTTGAAACATTCAGCAGGGTCTAAATGAAACACGTGACAATCTGTGATCAAATAACATTAGGAAAAAACATACTGAATTATTTCTAAGGCTTTATTGTAAATCACCTTGAATAATATTGCTTGACTTGCTCACCACAGTGATACAGATGGACAACAGCAGCTACCCACAGAGATAAAATACATCAAATAGATGCAGAAAGTTTCCAAAAAATGGAATTAATTATAAAATGTAAGCTCTGTAATTTAGACTTTTATTGGTCAGATTTTTTCTTTAAAGTTATGAAAGAGTTAAAGTGCCCACCTCCTCTGTCTGACAGCGTCTTAGTGCATGTCTGAAAGCACCTTTAATCAGACTGGAAATCACTATGATGCCATGATAACAGCACACAGAGCGGGGAAGAGTCCAGCTGTGCTCAGCAGATGTTCTCTAATGATTAGGATGCAAACGTCAAATGACACTGACTCTGTTTTGCTTTTTTTTTTATATGTTCTACTCATTTGTTTACATGCAGTTTTATTCTGTATTACGTAGAGAGTTCAGTCAGAAGCCAGAATAAGATTTGTATCCATTTATTTTAACTCGTTTTCAAGTTCAACTTGTGATCTGATTAGCAAATACTTTTTCTGATGTGAACACAAGATTGAACCAAAATCCCTCAGACAGGATCAGAGAAACATTCACCACCGCTCAACTGTCATGAAAACAAACCTGTAGGAGGATTGAAAGAGTGCAGCTCCCTGTGTTTGATGTCCAACACGAGGAGTTTAGTGAGGAATTGAACCCGGTCCGCTCTGTTGAGCCCTGTAACAGAAGCTGAGCTCTCTCTTCTCATTGTGGTTTTTGAAGCGTGTTTGATTTTATAAATACTGGATTTAACATGTCTTATAAATGAGCCTGAAACAGAACAGAAAATATCATCAGTGTACATAAAGAAGAGGAACTTCGACAGCTATAAACCTGATACTCATTATTTTTTCAACAATAAAAATATTAATCAAACTCTTTGTTGAAAGGCTTCTTTTTTCTCTTCTAGCTGTTTGAAGTGTAAAGGTTAGTCCGTCTCTTACTTAACTCAGGGTAAGGTTCAGTCAGCTGATCTGTGAATGAGCAGGTAAGGGTGAGTGAGTGTGGTGATGACATCCTCAGCTGCCTTTATGTGGCATCTTTCCCTCTGATATCTCAATAACGTCCAAAGATACAGTATCTCACATTAACTGTCAGGACCGTTTCTTCAGAAACTCTGGTTTATGTGGATCTTGTTTGACTTAAACTTCTTGTTTAATCCACTGCTCTGTGTAGAGCTACATGATCTGAGCCTGACTTCTCATCACTGGGAGCATCACACTGAGTTCGTTTATCTGAGGAAGACTGCTCTTTCATGAGAAGATGGATCATAGACGACTTGAGAGAGAACATACAGACTTTGTCATTCAAAGTTATCCATGGATCTTTATGGATATAATATGTTTGAACTGATTTGACATTTAACATTTTTAATGGATGAACTGTGAATGAATGGTAAACAGGGTTATATTTCTGATTAACTGTGCCCATCTCTATCTCTTCATAATTCTTAGCATCTGTTTTTCAAATGTCTCATAATTGACCATAAAAACGAAGAGTTGCTCCAACAGGTGACGTATGCTGCCCAATAAAAACTCTATCTCTGAATCTGCAGTTTTAGGTTAATGAGCTTGACGGTGTTATGCCAAACTACGTATCCCATTATAAAGTGTGTCTGACCATTCAGGTGTATTGGGTCATTCTTAGCTGCACGTTTGGGTCGTGTGAGGCGTACAGGTGAGGTTAGGTTAGTTAAAGTTAAGGAAACACTTCTTGTCAGGTTGCTTAGGCACAACTCTGGTGTAAACTGAAGCAACATTATTGCGCAAACACTGAACACAGACACGACACAGATCTGCGGAATAAAATCACTGTATTAGTCACAAAGCTGCAAGACTTTTATGACATGCCTGAGATCAAGAATCAGTTTAACAAAATACAAAAACATTTATACAACAGGAAAAACAAAACTGTGCAACATCAAGTGTTGGTTGGCACTTTGTGATTGTGAGCTGTGTTCATGTAGTGACTACCAAAACACAAAAATGATCCTAATATTCATCCTAATAACATTTTTACCTAAAACTAGTTTTGTTTAGATTATAAAACTTCAGGAATCCACCTGAGATTATTAGGGCCGGACTAACAATAGAAAGATGAAGAGAAAAAAAAAAGTCAGTAAATTTCAGTTGAGTAGTATCAAATTGACGGGAACAAACTTTCTGGATGGAGGCAAGGTGTAAAGAGAAATAACAAGAGAGAGACTTTTTGCAAAATGTTGAGAATAGGAATGATAGAAAATGACAAAAGTCCTTATTGTTAAACAGACCTTTTAACAATAACCTTAATATCTCACCTGCAGTGTGTGGGGATAGAGAAATTAGTTCATCAGACTGCCAAACAGGCTCTAAACATGTTGACTGTAAAAACAGGCTTTCTCAAGTGGGTGTACATGCGACATCCCCAGCTTTTGGGGCTTGCCTCAAGTGGACCTTTGAGGTACTGCAGGATTAAGCTCAAGAACTTCTCAAGACCAAAGACTGTTGCGGGGCAATAAAATACCATCTGTCATCTTGACTTGATCCAAGTGATACAGTATGATGGCAGTCATCATTAACTGTAGCTGAAGCCACATGATCAAAAATCTTACCGTTTTAGAATATTGTTGAAATATGTCATGTTTCAAAGGGAATATATTAGATTCTATAATTTTGTCAAAAATACAGGAAAGCTTCCTCATTGTTATTTTCTCAATGCCCTGCTTTACTCTGGTTCAATGGTAAACCAAAAGAAAACCACTGTAACTCATATTCAAACATGTGTAAGAAACTAAGTGATTTACATGTAAAATGTCTCAGATCAAAACCTCAATGAAACCGTACAAAAATATATTATTTCGATTGAAAAACCATCATAGGACGACAGGAAAAAACGTAATATTCTTCCAGAACAAGAGGTCAAGACTGAACTATTTATGGTTGAAAAATCTTTGACTAGATGTCGATGTGTGATGGTGAAATGTCACGGACCATTCCAGCATGAAATTTTAACTTGAGGAGAAAACTGCTACAACCGATCAAAGACATCCAGACTGCATGGTGATTGTGATTTATACATATATATGTATTTATATATACATGATGTAGTACCCTTTAGACTGTACTAAGTGTGTTTTCTATAACGTACTTAATTGAGTCTGAAGTCCTGCCCATTACAAATACAGTCCTGTCAGCTATTTCACTTAGGGAAAAGAAGCACAACCTCAAAACATTTGCCATTCACTGTGATACAATGAGTTGAGTGTTTGGTTGCAAGGTGTTTAGACTGATCATGTCTCATGTCAGGATGTGGTTTTCCCTGTTTATCAAAGGCTGGAGGTAAAAGGAAGCTGTTAGCCTGGCTCCGTCAGCTCATTTTCATCTCAAAGACTCACCAGTTTAGTGGCATGAAAAACCTTTTTCTGTCATGTTTGGTGAAAATATTTTAAGACATCTACTTCTCAGCATACATATTGGCACATGAACATACATCCAGGTCGTCTAAGTCCTTTGCTAATAAATTCCTGTCTTCAGAATTGTTTTTCAAACGCTGAATTGCAGCTTGAAAACGACACTGCAGCACACAACCTCCCGATTTTACATGATAGAGTGACTTTTATCCAACCCGTGCTTTAAAGAGAAAGAGAGAGAGAGAGAGAGAGAGACCAGTGAGAGAGAGAGAGACCAGTGAGGAGGGGACAGCAGTGAAAAAGACTGTTGCAGACACACAGAGCAAAACAATTATTAGCTCTGCTTGACTACCGGGGCCTATACTCTGCATTTGACTGATTATCTGTGTCATCCTTTTATTTTACAGATGGCCAGTAAGATTCACTAATGAAAAAGTGCGCTACCTTGGCTCTGCTGCTTCTGAGTCTTTCCCTTTGAGTCTGTTTTCTTGTACCACTTTGTCCAACCATAATCCGCCGTCTGTGGCTCTATCTGATCGGCTCTACGTCACATTATACGGTTAAGCGTATCATACAGAAATTTGGGGGGGCTCATGTTGATGGTGAAATATGACTCATCATGGTTTCTTGTTGTTGTTTTGGTAGTTGTGACGCTCATTATCAACCTCAGATCGAACTGAAAGCCCTTTCAATAAAGTTAGCCACGCTTTGTTAGCAGTGCAGAACTGTGTTCACTGATTTACGCTGGCCTGTAGAAACTCTGGGCCCCCCAGTCTGGGAATCAGAGCTGTAGCTGATGCTGTCCTCTGGTCAACAGGAGTGATGCTAAAGGAAAGAAGTCAGACAGTTTATATGCACTTCTGCTGAAATCCAGACCCACTTTGTGCTGAAATGATCCAGCAAAATGAAGAATACTAAACCGCAGACTTCTAAGGAAAGGCAGCAAAACATATGTTAACTCTATATTGACCTGCTGGGAACATGAATAAATATGGTTTTACACGAAAACGCCCCAAAAACTGTCACTTTAGTGTTTCTGCGTGCATATGAAGCAGGATCAGAGCTTAAGCCAGGTTTTTAATTTGGACCAAGATCACTGATTCACCCTGCTCCCAACTTGGCATATCCTGGTTTCTGCTCAGTACCTAATATACTCCATTCATGTAAATCTTCTCATTTTAATCCCTGGATTGTCATTCTTGGTGCATCCAAATGTACAACTTCAATTCCTAAAAAGCTGGACTGCTGTATAAAATGTTGACATCTTACATAATTTAGTGAAAATGGTGCAAAGACAACTTATCAAATGTTAAAACAGACAAATTTTATTGTTTGATTAAAATCTCTGATTTGATGCCAGTAACATATTTTTTAAAAATTGGGACGGAAACAACAAAAAAAGTTTAATAAGTGTAAAATGCCAACTGCAGCAACCTTCAGAAAGACAGAGATGTGCTACTGAGAAGACAAGGCCCCTGACATGTTTGGCATCCCCTCAAAGGGGCCTTAACCCCCAAGTCAGTTTCATTAGAAGATGAAGAAAATCTGAAGAATCCCCTGGTAGTTGATATGTTGTCTTTGCACTATTTTCAAAGAAATATAAAGTTAGATAACTTGGAATAAGTTTTTTGGAAGTGGGGTTTTGGAGTTTTGAGTAAAAGAAGAGTCAAAAGAGCCGGACAAAATCTACATCTCATAGTGTCCTCACCAAGTCAGAGACCCTCTTCTGTTTCCAAGGTGGACGGCTGAAAAATCAGTCAGTAATGCACTGTTTATGACTCTCTTTTGCCATCCCATGCATTTAAAAGTAAAATAAAATGCATTATAGCAACTGTGAATGAAAATATGGGACCAATCACATCTCATCTCATAACAGAGTAAAGGGAAACGTCAACACCAGACAAGTGTATGTGGAAGTAAAAGGGCTTTAAGTCGTGGTTTCATTTCCTTGTATACCATAAGATATTAGTGGATATTTGGTCATTGTAAATAAAAAATGAAAATCCTCGCAGAACTATCGAATACTGACTTCCCTACAAGTACAAAACAGATTGTTCCTGTAACTCAGGCAGTAAAATTTTCTTTTGGAAAAGCCGCGGAGAACCGGAGGAGAAGGTGGAGGATGACATTCTTCTTGCTGCAACTTGAGAGGAGTTTTTACAGAGCGTAGTCCGTTCACTATAGTCTCTTTAAGGCCTGCGGGTAATACTTGAGGAAGATCCTGTAAGCTATCTCGTACGTGTCTCCATGAGGCTTAGTCGGGTATTTCCGTCTGTTATAAATAAATCCCTTCTCTACTTGGAAAACTGCGTGGTTGAACATGTCCTGCTTGAATGGTTGTCCGCTGTCCAGACACTCCACCAGCGTGTGGACGAAGAGCCCCCATCGCTGGGCGTAGTAGTCCTCCATGAGACCTCCCCACTCTTTGTTTGCGTAGTCGATTATCTCACCGTTGGGACCCCAGAGAGTGAGCTGGTTCCTGGCGTTCATGTCGTAGAGGTCCGCCTCCTTATCATCGATGGCTAAGGATCGAGCCCGTTCCAGCCATGTCCCCAGCAGAAAGTTGGGGTCACTGCTCAGTAGGCGATTCAGCTCAGGCAAGAGATCGTAGACCAGGACTCCACCTGCAGTCAGCAGCTCTGGTAGCTTCTGGCTGTGGAAGGCGTCTGAGATATCCTTGTAGAAGGATGTCGTGAGGACTTGTAGGACCTGTCGAGTCACATCAACAAGATCGTACCGGAAAGTCTCCTTGGACATGAGAGATGGAGCTGCTTCAATCATCATTTTCCAGGCTTTGTACAAGTCAGCAGGGTCATACCAAAGGTCAGTGTTCATACGAAAAGAGGGCCGGCGTACCAGCGGGCTGTGGTTGTGGTTCTTGTAATGAGGCACCGTGCAGTTGTAGACGCTGGATAACAGGAGCCTCCACGCAGCGGTGAGGTTATTTTGTGAGCTGCCGTAGCGACGTACTGCATACAGCGAAACCCAGTTGGACAAGTTCACCGGCTCCTTACGCCACGCCAGCTCACTCATCAACTCGTACATCACAGGGTTCTGTTCGATGCCCTCAGGTGTCATCCCAATGCCCACTAGAGTGGAGTTCGGGAAATGCAAGGCTTTGAAGGGCCCTGAATTGATGCTCTCCACCGTGCCAAAGAACCCACTGTTGCCCCCAAAGTTTTGCAACATGCACCAGATGAAGGGCTGCCCATAGAAAGACTCAGTGTAGGAGAAAATTGGCTCGGTCTCTGCAAACAGGTCCAGCACGATCATTCTCCCCAGGGGTACCCCGTGTAATAGGGCCTGGATCCGGGCTGGCTTCCAAAAAACTGCATCACTGAAGAACAGCCAGCCTTGCATCAGCCAAATTGCCTGAGGATCAACTGGGGAGAAAAAATGAGATCTGGATGAGGGACAGGAAGGTGACGGTTCTGGAAATAAAGGGCAGCAGGGAGCATGAGCAGAGGGGGGGGGGGCTGTCTGTGTAAGAGAGTTGGACAACAGGTCATCCAAGGGGAATCTAACTAGGGCAATTATTGTACTTGTAGCCCAGAATAACAGCATTCACACAGGAACTGTTGGATTTAAAACAGGACGTTAGACACCCGGGTGACTGACCTGCCGTCATAGAGGCAAAGACGGAGCGACTGACTGCAGACAGGTAAGCCAAGTCAGATGAAGGTGGAGTCATCTCATTGAAGGTGTCAGTGTTGTAGATGTGATCTGTGCCAAACTGTTTCACCACCTGGGATAGATAGAGTGAACCTATCTGGAGGAAAAGCGGGTCCTGAGGGTCTAGGATATAGGAGCACGAGAAACTGCAGTTGAAGTGGGCCCAAGGCCCAAGTCTGGTTACATTGGCTTCTGGATACAACCTGAAACACAAGAAACACTTCAGCGAGTCTTTCCTTGCATCCTAGTTCACTAAAATGTCACAAGCCACATCCTCACACACCCGTTACCTGAAAATAATCAGTGAGCTAATATGTTTTCAGGTCAGAGTGTGCTGTTTTTACAAAGTAGTGTGTGACAATACTCCATGATAATCCACGACAGAAGAGCCCCTCCAAAGGCTGTGAGGAGGCACAAAAAGATGATTCTTTTTAAATTTCTGATGGGTTAAAAAAGCTTTTGATAACATTATCTTATTATCTTTTCATATAAAACAGGAGAATATTTATCATATTCTTAACCCCAAACAATGGTCTAACTCGAACTGAAAGCATCAGTGTTTTCCTGTCGGTGAGTCTGAGCACAGGGGACATACTCTGCACTGACTGAAGTAGAATAATTATAGGTGTTCACCTGAGGATTCCCTTAGGGATGTTTCCAGAGAAGGCCGGCAGCACAGGAATCATCCCAAAGGATCTCATACGCTCCAAGATTTTAAACTGCAAAAGGACAGAAAATGTTGCAAAATGATTCATGGCACGATTCAAAAACATCACCTTCCATCTAAAGTGGTTTAAATAACTCAGCTGACTAAAGTGGTTTCAGTAAGCTGCTGAAAACTGTCCTATTTCTGAAAACTTTGTCCCTTTATGCCCTTAAACACTTGATGAGAACTCTGCAAGCTGGAATCACATCATCAGTTCAGGATGACTTGTAGGTGATTGATTCGTAGCTCCTCTGGGATGTTACTGAAGCAGCTGGTCTCTATGTTTTAGTCGAGCGATCTCACTGTTCTCATCTTAGTCTCAACTGGAGATGTTCCTGCTCATACAGTTGTAGACAAAAGTTTGTGCACCCCCTTAAAAAAGCATTTCATGTATCAGAAAATTTATATTTACAGTCACTGGTATTTTTTCAAAAGAGAAAATATTATCAGGAAACGTTCATACATAGTTACTTTTGATTTCATAAATTGAAGAAAAACACAAAACACCATTTTGGTATTTGCAAAACTTTGTGCACCCTACACAGTCAGTACCTTTAGGCAGTTTGCATTCCTGATCAAAATTTTAAGACCAGTTGAAAAATTGTAAGAATTTACCTTTTTTCACTGTTGGATCTTATGAAGGTTCAAAGTAGGGCTTCAAAATGCAAAAAGAAGAAATGGGAGTGAGAGAGAAAAAAATTGAGGAAGCAATTTATTGCAAACCATCATTAAACTGAAATAGGCCGTTCATCAGCTGATCAAAGGTTTAAGACCACAGCCTTTAAAAGACCACATGGCTGCACCACAACCCCAGCGCATGACTGATCCACCACCATACCACCAACAGTTGATGAGGTGTTTTTGTCATGAAACGCTTCTCCTTTTTTTCCCCAACTTTGCTTATTGTGACCTAAAAGTTTTATTTTCACTTCATCAATCCAAAGCACTTGTTTCTCAACTCATCGGGCTTGTGTCAATGTTCTGCTGTATAGTTTTAATGTTGTATTTTATGAGGGCACAGGTAAGGTTGGAAACTACAAGCTGATAAGGCTTTGCTGTCTTTTTGTAGTCCTCCCCCTGCATTGTGGGCATCAATAACCTTTATTTTCACTGGTTCACAAGGTTTATGGAGTCATAAAATTTAAGAAACTCTGGCACCAGCTGCTGCTCCCTAATAACAATTGTTGACACATACCCCAGGCCTACAGAGATGGTAAAGGTCTTAGCTTGTAAAAAGAATGGGACACTTTGAAACTCTCAGGGTGAACAAACTTTTGCAAAGGCCGAAATTATGTTTTTTTTTAATTACTTTTGTTCAATATATGAATAAAAAGTAACTCTGCATTAAGGTTTCTTGATAATATTGTCTTTTTTGAAAAATACCAGACTGTAAATATAAAAATGAACTTTATAATATATAAAATATGCAGTTTTTATGGGGGTACACATAGTTTTTCATACAGCTATATACTTCCCTTCAGAGTTTGATTCTACCAAAGTCAAAGATATCACAGAAGCCTTTAACTGTGTCAACAAGCACAGTTTCATTACTTGGAGGTAGAGCTGGTTTATGTGCCAGGACTGTGGCAGAGGCCCTCCAAACTTAAACATGTTGCCCATACGGTTCCAGGCGAGGAACGCTGGCCCAGAGAAGAACTCCTCGATCTCCGACTGGTTCAGCCCAAGAGCACGGTAAACCTAAAAACCAGAGAGATAGAGTGATAGAGTTAAGAACATGCAGTATTGAGGTATGCAGCGTGTTTCAGATTTCACAAGTGAAGGGAGAGTGTTAATTCAACACCCTGCAGCTTTATCAGAAAATGTCCAGGTGTAGTCTCACCTCCTGCCACAGGGCTTCTTGGCCAGTAAAAGCCAGAGGAAGATTGATCCCATTGAGGGCCATCCAGTCGATCTCCCTCTCCCATCTTGGCCAGTCCCACCACACGGAGGAGTAGCTAACTGTGCAAACGTTCTGGTAGTACCTGAACCTGGATACAAACACACAAATATAGTTCACTCTAAATTCAACTTTATTTTTATGGCACTTTTTAGACAAAAAAATGCAGTTCAAAGTGCCTCACAGAGGCTAAAAACAACAGTTAACAACAATAAAACCCAAACCTCCGACCCACACACACACACACACAAAGACACACACCCACCCTCACTCACCAACACATACACACACACAAGCGCACACAGTGTGAGAATTTAAGATATATTGTTAAAGGGACATGGCCTGACACCGAGATATTAAGTGAGGAAAGAGCTACCTTTGGGATCTAAATCTGAAAAACGACCAATACAACCAAAAGAAGCTGTTACCATGGTAACACAAGCCAATGACAGATTTATTCACATTATTTTTGAAGTGCCATTTAAGACAAACTCTTGGATGACATCTACAGCGGGGGACAATGTTTATGGAGATTTAAAAAACGTGTCACTGCAGAGCACACTCAAAGAAAACAGCTTGAAGGACTCTCGGGACTTTCTGCAGTTGATGTGGAGAAATATCACAACAGAGGAGGTTAATGGAGGTTTGGTTGCAGCATCAACTGATAGCAAGCTAAAGCAGCAACACATGCAGCATCAACTGTTTCAGCAAAGAAAATAAATAGGTGCAACGCTGTGTAAAAATCATTATCAAAGGGTTTGTGAATCATTTAAAGCCTTGGTTTATCTGAAAATATTACAAAGTCAACATATCAGATGTTAAAACTGTTAACTCTTAGTGTTTTATTTAAAGTATATACTCATTTTAAAGCCACCATGAGGAGTTCTTGGCTGATAATGACCCAGATTGATACCAACAGTGATGCCTCTTCATGGCCTAAAACAGCAGACAAGGCAATCCAAGAGTAAACTGACACTGATATGTAGAGGTGGGTGTCAGACCAGATGATCAAAAGGACAGTAAGGATTCAAAACAAGTGACACATTGCTGCCAAAGACAGTAAGATATGTTATTTTTTCTTAGATAACAAGTACAAGTACAGGGGGAGTCAAAACTGTTCAGAAAGTTCCCCACTGAAGCTTTAAATAAAAACTGAAGACAGGGGCATGTTTACCATTTCCTCTTCTTTTGACAACGCCCTAAAAACATTAAGAAAGACCAGTTTCAGGAGTTTCATTCTGGCCTGATAAAGGATTTCAGCTGCTCAAAAGTTCAGGTTCTCCTTTCTCATTTTTGTTGATTCAGCGATGTGCCAAATATTTCATCAGGACTGCAGCTCGATCATTTTATCAGCAGGACTCCTCGATTACAAAAATCCCTGGAAGCTGTGGTTCGTCATTGTCTTGTCACCACAACAGCATCACATGACAGTTTCCCACTTCCCCCTCAGATCACTTTCACTTCCTCAACTTTCTGGACAGTGGTTTATCAATGGTTCCCTTTTGCATTTTTGGATGCAGCAACAAACTGTGTTCAAAGATAATGGTTTCTGGATGTGATCTAAGACATGCAGTGATTTCAACGACAGAGTCTTGTCAGGACATGTCCTCCTGTCCTTATGGAAAAATAAACCCTCAAATGGAGTGTAGTGAAGTCTGTCTGTGTTTGGACTCAGTTAATTGCTTCATATTAATCAGACATGAAACAAAAGCTTTAAGTGATGCAGTTTATCAATTAACTAGATGAAGTTTGATTTGGGTCAAATATTACAATACTCATTAATCAGCATTCTTTACTTAAACACAAACTGATTTAAAATCCAAACAGGCCCCACTGATCCCTAAACTCCTGGACCACAACCTGAGTCACCTTCAGCCTGTAAATCTCTGAAGCCTCGGCCCGCTCACTAAGAATCATAGTCATGGGAAAACTAAACTGTGCTATGCTTGCCGTGGCGTTTTCAATCCAGCTTCTGTGCACATGACATAACTGGAGTGAGCCGATGCGGGTCTAATGCACAACAGATAATTGAAAGAAAGGTCCTTTAAAGGGCCAGGCCGCATTTACAAGTGTTCATAGCGCTCAGAGTAAACAATGAAAAATAATGTGTGACAACGCTCCATTATCATGCACCCATGGGTTTGGCTGTGTTGTGTTGCAGTGGGGAAGGGGGGGTTGAGGTTACAAGCCCACAAAACACTGCCATCATAGAACACAAACACATAGACATGCCATGCCTTCTTTCTTGTACAGTATGGTTGTACAGTCACTTTATTATGATGCTTCTCGTTCGCTGGATGACATGGAAACTAATAGTCCTGGTTGCAGAGAAAATACACAAATCATCTCAGTAACTCGCCAGCTCTCACAGTCACTCAGGACAGATAGAGTCTATCTGCTGAAGCTCTGTAGCTGCCAGTGAGAGGAGCTGGCACGCATCCAGTGTACAGCAGAGTGAAACAGATTCGGTGGGAAAAAGGACATCTCCAGAGTTGTTGTTGTTGATGTACATAAATTTGCACAGTCAGTTGATTCGGCTGAGCATTTACATCAAATTTGCAACAGAAAGATTGAGAACGAACACAGCAGGAAGGCTTGATTCTTAACTATTGACAGGGGATGCATGATATCAGCATCAGCAAATAATCGCTTAAAGCTTCTCAGAGGAGTTTTTGGACCTTGACAAAATAGACAAAAATTCATTCTGATGCTTTTCTGTGACGTACAAGTTAACCAGACCAGCAGCGATAAGGCAAACTTTTTAATAAAATAAGTGGAATGGAGTAAGTGTCAGTGCATTGTATAAAGAGATATGACATTTGCACAACTAAATGACATATTTGACTTTGTGAAGGGCGCCAAAGCTGACAGAGTTCTTTACAAGACCTTTAAAAAGTCAGTTATTGGCAGATATGAATATCAATTATGTGCACTTTATGAAAACTGACACATGCTGGAGGCTTAGAGGTGCTTTAAAGTGTTTGAAACAGACAACAGATGCAGTATTTCTATTGTCTATGTAAGAAAAAACTTAATACATTTTAAACTATCAGGTATAACTCTCTATGATTTGTCCACTTCCATGTCATGCCATGTTGGTCACTCAGAGCAAGGTGTAAGATTTAAAGTTTTGACATGCTGAAGTTTAAGCTAGAGCTAGACCGATTGATCTGGCTTATTATTGGCATTTTGACATAATTGGCATTATATTATCATCAGCCCTTACAAGGCCAATATCACCATTGTCTCTCCAAATGAAGGAAGCATTTGACAGTGTGTCAAATCTAGTGTTCAGTATAAATCCTATTATAATGCTCACTCAAGCTCTTGCCTTTCATGTAGTATCATTATATTAAAACCCACAAAAACACAACATGATATCAGCATCAATTGTCAGCCATTGGCCATCCTCTCTCATTAATGATATTGGCCATTGAAAAACTGACATCAGTTGATAACTAGTTAAAGCGACGTTCAAACTAGGCAAGGTTTGAATGTACTCACAGCTGGTGTCATTCATAGAAATATAGTAACTGTGAGCAGATCTGACACTCTTGTTTAAAAATTCGAACAAAGATTATTGATCTCGATTTATCAGAGGCCATCCTGAAGACCATCGCCACCCTCTTCATGCTGAGTTGAGACTTTTGCCAAAGGGTGGAGTAGGCTCACCTTTGCCAAATCAAACAGATATCTGAGGTCATTTGTTTCATCAACTGTTTTTTGTTTTTTTAAGTTGATGCTGTACAAACAGTCAGGTCTGTTGGACTTTGAGTCGGTGCACAAACATCCTCATGATATCCACAGGAGTTTTTAAACTTCATGTATGGACCCATGTTTGTCTTCTGTTGCAAACCATGTTTTGAATCCCTTACAGCTGTTATTCAGTGAGGCAGCGGTGCATTATTAATCACTAAGCTCTTCTTGCATGTGCAGCTAAGACTTGAGTAGGAGATCTCAAAAATTTGCACCTTTTTTGTGGATTTTACTTCATGCAGTCACAATGATCTACGTAGTCAGATGCATCAGTGTGCATGCATCATGTTGCAACAAGAAACTTTTGGATTTCAGTCCAGCGATGTGAAATTTTTATTCAACTTATAAAAATAGAATTCGGATTAATACACAAGCCAGTGAGTAATTTAGATTTAATATGCTCTTAATGCTGATCTGCTGTTAAGATGCATTCTCAATTGGCAAAAAGCAACAGTGATGTCGTTCTTGTGAAGACCGATGCCGATATGATGCCAATTACATCAGTGCCAAAAACCAGTCTCGTCAAATACAATAAAAAGTAAAACAGAAACAAAAACAAAACCATCAACAATAATGCAATTATCTGCAGTGTATAAATTCCAGTGTCAAGAAAGTTTGGACATTTGTGTAAAACATGAATAAAGAACAGAAAACGATGATTTACAAACCATTTCCCACTTAAATTCTAAACACATTACAAAAGATATTTAATGTTCAAACTAATAAACTTGATTGTTTTTTTTTTGTTGTTGTAAATATTCACTTATTTTTAATTTGATGCTGCAACATGTTCCTAAAAAGCTGTTTCAGGGTCATGTTTCTTCTTGTTACATCACCTTTCCTTTAACAACATTCAGTAAGCCTCTGTGAACTGAGGACACTAACTGTTGAATCTGTGGAGGTGAATTCTTCCACAGTCTTGCTTGACTGTGACTGTGATGGACCATTTCAGATGCTCGACTATCTGGGGTCTATATTGAAGTATTTTGAGCTTCATAATTCTGCACATATGTTCAATGGGGGACAGGTCTGGACCGCAGGCTCCAGTCTAGTCTACCTGGACTCTTTGACTCTGAAGCCACGCTGTTGTAACTCGTGCAGAATGTGTCTCCATGTTATCTTGCTCTGATGGTAGCAGTTGTTGCTCCTAAACCTGTATCTTTCAGCATTAATGGAGTCTTTATAGATGTGACACTCACACAGTCCATCTCAAATGAGCTCAGGTCCAGAGAAGCCTGTAGTGTTTCTGGCTGTTGTTGATATCTGACTTTGTCTTTGCATGGTAGAGTTTAAACTTGTGTTAACTGACAATGGTTTTCTGAAGTCCTCCTGAGCTTATGTGGTAAAATCCCTTACAGAATGATGTGGGCCTGGGGGTTAAATGTCACAGTCAAATAATGTTGGTATCGGGCCGTGCTGCTTACATGCAGAGATTTCTGTGATTCTCTTAATCTTTTGATGATTTTATGGACTGTAGGTGATCAAATCTCTAAATTTCTGCAGTTGTACCTTGAGAAACGTTGTACTTAAACTGTTGGACTGTTTGCTCATGCAGTTGTTTGACAAAGTGGTGAACCCAGTCCCTATCCTTGCTTGTGAAGGACTGAGTCTTTCAGGTATGCTCCTTCTATACCCAGTCATGACCCTCACCTGTTTCCACTGAACCTGTTCACCTGTGAATGACCCAAACAGGTGTTTTTGGAGCAATCCTCAGTTTTCCCAGACTTTTAGTGACCCTGAACCAACTTTTTAAGAATGTGTCACAGCATTTAAATCAAAATGCGTGAATATTTACTAAAAACAATCAAGTTCAAACTGATGTTTAAACTTGAATCGGTTTCAACATTTAATATCTTTGTAGTCTACTTAATTGTATACAGGTGGAAAATGATATGCAAATCAATGTATTCTGTTTTCAACTACCCCATGTTTCCCAGTAGGGGAGAGTGGGGTAAGATGAGCCATTTTTCATATTTTGGATCACTACATCAAGGAAATCATAGTTTTGTCTCTAACTAGTGTATCTGCATATATTTTAAGATGTTGTGCATCCCTGCAAACCAACAATATGAGTGTAAACATAACTTTCTTGATAATATAGCATGCCAAAAAAAGTGGTCTCCTATGGTTACCCCATGTATGGGTTAAGTTGACCATAGGGGTAAGTTGAGTTGTATCCCTACTACTCCCCCACTCTCCACCCCAGCCCTCCCTCACCTTCTCTCTCCCTAAAGAACAGTCACTTCTTCGCATTCATGTGTATTTTTATCTATTCAGGTAAACCTCCGAGTGAGTCCGCTATAAGACTGACCTGTGCTGGGTATTGATGCGCAGAACTCCGGTGAGCTTTGGCAGCGGACGGGGAAGGTCCATCTGGTTCCCGGACCACGAAACATGGCAGTTACAGAAGTATTTCATGTAGTTGTAAATCCCAGAAGCCACGGCCACTCCAGAACTGCCCGTGGCGACTATCTTGTTATTCTTCGTGGACCTCAGCTCACACACATCCAGGCTGTCATTGGAAAGGCTCTTGTTGACTGACACTATAAACTCCGTGGACCTGGTCCCGAGGAGACGCTTCAGCAGCTCCACCACAGCTCTCCCCTGAACCTTATTACTAGCTTTCGGTTTGATGTGGTCCAGAGTGGGAAACTTACAATAAGCGGTCACAAAGAGACACAAAACGATGAACAGAAGAAGGTTAGAGCCGCTTCTGGGTGACATTTTAGTCCCGAGTCAAAAGAGGACCAGTTTCCCACCGCAGCGCAGGTTCAAAAACAACTTCAATTGTCCATTTGCAGAGAACCAGGAAGCGCTGTGCACCGACAGGCTACGGTCCAATCAGAAGGAGAGCTGCTGTCTCGAGCGAAAATCACAGCCACACAAAAACCCATTTAGATGTCACGTGACTACTCTGTCACATGCTGGTGAGGTTAAAGCAGAGTTCAGGTAATATCTGATGCACAGAGTGAGAAGCTTACTCTTTTAAATATATTTATGAAAGTTCGCCCACAAACTTTCTCACAAACCTTCACCTTTATTAGTTTCATTGACTGATATAGGTGAGAAAGATTTGGAGAACAAAAACTTTACCAAGGCTTAAGAAATGTTCACGTTGAGTATCATATCCAATGACCTTTCCAAAGAAAATCCATGAAAAAACAAAAATAGCTGAACTTCGAAATTAAAAAGCATGATGGAGTGATCTGTGGTTGCCATACAAAAGTTATAAAAGATTAACAAGTGCCCTCTTGATGCCTTCCTTTAAGTAAAATGTTGATAAAAGTACCCCCTGGATGCCCTTACGGATTAGAAAACCTGAAAAAGTGCACCCTAGATACCCTTCTAGTTTATAAAACTTAGGGAGTGCTGTCTAGATACCTTTGTAGTGTTAAAAAATGTAAAAAGAAGTTTTGTTTTGTTTAAAAAAAGACCTTCTCTCTTAGTATTTTAACTATTTAAAAAATACCCTCTGGATGCTTTCACAGTAGTTAAACCTTTTTCTTTTCTTTTTTTTTTAAAGTGTCTTCTAGATGTACTTCCATCTAAGTAAAATGTTAAGAAGTTCTTTTTCGATGTCCTCCCAGGATTCAAATCCTCAAAAAGAACCATCTGAAAGCCTTGTCATTATGTAATATAGAAAAATATCCTTTCTTCCAGTATATTAAAAAGTATTAATTTCCTTTAGATGCACCTAGTGCTCTCTTCTAGTATAACAAGCAGTGTAAGTTCCATCTGAATGCAACTGCTGTAGCTTTAAAAAGAGTGACATCTAGCTGCCATTCCAGTAGTTATAATATAAAGAGTTCCCTCTAGATGCCTTTAAACCATTTTAAAAGAGACTCTAGGTGTTGTTCAGTGTACAAAACACAAGAGAGGGCCTTATTGATTCTCTGTCAGTATAATACACTTGAATAGCCTTTAAAGGATATCTTAAGATTCAGTTGGAACTTTTTTTTTTATTAAATAATGAATGAAAAGAACCCTGTAGATGCTCTTCCTGTTGATGAAATGTTAAATGTGCCGTTTGACCTTTTGGTGACATCAACAGAAATTAACCCCCTATGAATTCCCCTTTAATGGACTGGTACAATTTCAGTAATTAACCTCACGTTTAGTTGACATGCGAGGTTTGTGTTAAATTTATTACTTCAGAAACTATTTTTAAAACTAAACTTTGTGTTAAATCAGTTTGTTTTATTATTTGATTTACTCAATTTGAAATTATGTTGTGTAAAATAACAAATCAATAGATGGAAATGCAACACAGGAGGTAGCACTAGTTTTTTGTTAATTATGTATTAATGATTTTGTATTTTTTCTTTGAAATTTTTACCATAAAAAGTTTTGCAAATATAATTTAGACGGCAGGGAATGAAGTGTCTCATGCTCAAAATTTCCTGGTGGAGTATAAACAACAGGTAGATAGTGTCTTCAAGTGTTACCTAATCAGCCAACAACCCACTCAGCTGATAGCACACAATGTGCAAGTGAACACAGAGCAGCTACAAACAACTAACTGACACATCATCGCTGCTATTACATTATAACTCCATGTGTAGTGGAAAATTCCTGCTTCAACACAGCTATGAACAAGAGGAGATAAGAGAAGATAATGTGAGGTCTGATGATTTAAGGATGACAAAATCTACTTTTAAACTCCTGACATAACTCACTCAGTCAAGATACCAGAAAAAAATGGAAACAAGTCTGACTTAAAAATAAGCCTCTGGGGGTCCTTTTGGTGAATATTAAAACTCACCATCTGGATGCTCTTCCAGGGAGTTGGCAAATTCTTCTTCTTCTTACAAAAAAAACCCCAACTCTCTGGATGCCCTTATTGAGAACAAATCACCAAGTACCACTTGGAAACCAATCCTTTGATTGAATCCTAAAAGAACCCCTCAAATGCCCTTTCAGTTGTGTTTCAACAGAGTAAAGAAATTGAATTTAGTGTGCGGATGTATAAAGTCTATATTGGTTGAATTAATATTGGGTTCAAATGAACATCTGAGTCATTATCATGATGCAAAATGTTTGCTGCTTAAGTTCTTGGGTCTAAATGACACATTTTCTCACCTATTTCCTTAATCATTATAATTAATTTTTAATGTGTATCATGACAGATGTATCCTTGTATTGTAAAAAAGTATTATGGAGTACAGTACATGTAAATCAAACTTTGACTTAAGGTACCCAATGATAGTCTGATGACCTACAATGTTAATACCAGGCAGTACACTGACATCCCCTCTTGTGACCTTCTAGCCTATGAAATGTTCAGGGTATATGTAATATAGATAAACTGAGGCAATAACTCATCAAATAAGCAACATTTTAGTAAGAGTCTTGATCTTAGTCCCTACCCCGTCAGGGCACAAACACCCACACAAAAACACACACATATATACACACACATGCTCACACTGAGTCGACTTTAATCTTTGTCCCTTCATTGTGGATCAATGGTGAAATGAGGGAAATCCCTGGTTCTGCTATTGGCCAGATCTTGTTCCACCTCTCTTAAAGTTCCCATAAATACAACAAAGAGGAAATCTGAGGAAGTGTCCAACATCCAACTCAGAGAAGATGAGACAGCTACTGGTTTTTCTGGCCTTGCTCTGCGCTGGTCATGCTACACAAGAAGGTGAGAACATAACTTTTTAAATTATTGATCGAGAGGACTTGTTTGAAATTATTTGGCTAACAGGGATGGGAGTACATTAGCAATAGAAAATAAATGATGATAAAAAGTAATTTTCCCTTTTCTGGCTTATTGATCAAATTTTCGAAGACTTACATGAAAGAATAACACAACCATGTCTCTCTTAGTTTTAGGTTTTAGTTCAGGCTAGTCTAAAAGACAGAGTTCATCCTTGAAAGACCCCTAGAAACTGCTCAAAAAACATTTTTTCATTAGTTTTTTTCACCTAAATTTGTGACCTTCTGATTACAAAATTTAGAATCTTCTATTTGCTTTTTTAAGTTTTAGAAACCCAGATATTTGTACTGAATTCCATGTTTTTTCAGTAAATGTGCCAGTAGGGATTGGAGGCCACTTTTGAAAACTATGAGGGGGCACAATAGGGTCAATTTGGGATGCTCCTGTCCAAAACCTATGAATAATCGAAAATTTAAAAGACTTGATGCACATAAATTTGTTTGTGAGTTTTTGAGCATGTTAAAGCTCTCAGGAAAACCAAACTAACTACACAAATAAGAAAACAAGTACAGAGTTATAATACTTCGAAATGGTATAGCAAGACTACACATCTCCTGTACTTTTAAACCAAGATTTGAGTAGATTATATCAATCACTTAAGGAGTTAATCCTTGAAAAACCCCAAGAGATAGCCTTTAAAACACCCCTTTTACCTGCTTTTTTTTGGAATATGATGAAATGTTTAGACTTAAACATAAATTCAAAGGATTTTTAGTTTACGTTTCTGTAACTGTCTTTGAGGACTATACTTTTACAAACTGCTTGGGGGCACTATTGAGTCCAGAACCCATAAACTGTTCAATAATTGCCAGGTTTGATGCGCATTTAAAGTTTAGCAAGTTACTGAACATGTGATGGTCCTCAAGAACTCAAACAAATTCTAAATAAAGATGAAAAAAAAAACAAGAAAAAGCAGAGCTGTAACACTTTAAAATTATTTGGGAAGACTTCACATCTCGTATCGCCTCAGACCAAAACTTAAGTAGATCAGCTCAATTCATCCCAGGACAAATTAAATCTGAGGAAGATTCTTGGTAATGGCCAAAAACAAAAATTTTTTTTTTTACAAGGTTTTTCTAGGAGACGTCAAGGTATGTCTTTAATTATTACAACAGACAAATAAAACGCTGTCTCTTGGATTACCTTTCCCCTGAAGAGTGTTAAGTTAAGCATGTAGAGAGGGTGAGATGAGCCACAAGGGGATAAATCGCTTCTCTCTTCGTTTAGTAAAAGTGACCTTTCTTTTTGTTTTTTTTATTTTTTGTTTTTTTACCTTGAACACTGCTGTACCAAAGCAAGAAAAACCCAGCATGTCTCTGGGGCTTTATTTAAAGATAAAAGGTTTCAACTTCAAATGCAGGTTTTTTTTTTAATCAGGTTTATTTCCAAACTAGAATCAAATCAAGCTCAAACAACTAATGCCATTTTGAATAAAATACAAGAAAGAAAGAAAATTGGATCAATTTTCCTTGCTTTAGCCGCTGGTGGTTGTGGTGAATGTCCACGTTGAACTGGGATAAATATAAAAACAGGTGTGCACAGGTTTTCCTTAGCTAAGCCATTGACTCAACTTGCCTTTGGGCCCAAATGATCCCATCCCAGACATTTGTCAAATTTGTGTCATTGTTTTGGAGTGAACTGTTTGGTACCTTTCTTTTAAGACCAGCGTCAGATTGCCCTGGTATCATAACCATCCTTATGTGTCTTTTCTCACTGTGGTTTGCAGATCTTTCAGAGAAGGTTTTCATTTTCCCCGTCCAAAGTGCAACATCTGCTGTTAAGCTCGTTCCCTATGGCCAGGGGCCGTTCAGCAGCTTAACCATGTGCATGAGGTTTTTGTCCTCCACTACCCGAGCCCAGAGTCTGTTCTCCTTTGCAATCCAGTCTCAGCACAATGCCTTCCTGCTCTACAAGCCCTCTGTTGGTACATATAGGATGCATGTCAATGGAGTGGCTCTTGACATCACAGGGCTTCCTGATAAAACTGATGAATGGAACTCTGTCTGCTGGACGTGGGACTCCACTAATGGTCTGACGGCTTTGTGGATCAACGGGGAGCGTAGCACTCGTCGAGTCCTGGGAACCAAGGTGTCCCTCGAGGGTTCTCCCAGTATCATTTTGGGTCAAGAACAAGACAGTTATGGTGGAGGCTTCGATCAGAGCCAGTCCTTTGTTGGGGAGATCACAGATGTCCACCTGTGGAACAGCGTCATCTCCCCCTGTGAAATCAGGGCCTTTATGGATGGCAGCACCTTCACTTCTGGAAACCTTCTTAACTGGAACAACATGCAGTACACCATCACCGGCCCTGTGTATGTGGAGCCCAGTGACTTTGATAAACTCACCTGCTTATAGACTCGATAACCAGCAGCAGATTTTTATAACCAGGTCATTGGAAATGTTAAACACCTGTTGTTGTTTTTTTTTTTTTTTTTTAAATAAAAGCTGCCTGTAACTTTGGCCTTGGTGTCTCTTCTTGTAATTACTCTTTTAGAAAAAGTTATATCAGCTACATAGTCATACATGATCGTGTATATACTCTTTTTTACTTCTTAAAGTTGACTTCTTGACTGTATTAAAATAGACCTAGAGTGAGCATCTGGTTGGCCTAGCTTAGCAGAAATACTTGAAACAGCCAGCTGGGCTTCTTCAAAAGTGCAAAAATACATTCACCAGCTGGTCTCAAGTTCCCAATCATCATGTTGGGAACAACCATCGAAAATTTGTTTCTATCAACTTTTAACACAAAATTTTGGCATTAAGGTTGTATACAGTATGAATAAAAAGAGCATGAGGGAGGAATGACCCAGAGACATACAATAGATTTATCATACAAAGAGAAAGACTATTTTTGTGAGAATCTTGATGTTTACATCTTACAGCTCATGAAAATCATAAATCCATTCTCTATCCAAACACCAAAGGACGGATTTATCGAACTGAAATGCTAACCTTCTGGAAAACAATATTAATTCATGCTCTCAGTTCTCGGTCGAGGTTTCTTCTGCATGAATTCCTGCCCCAGTATGACATGTCATGGAGGTGATCAGTCTGTGTCTCTGCATTTATCCTACTAACCCATTAAAACCAGAACAGCATGTACGCATTTAAATCTTCCAATCCGGGAGGCAATTTTTTTGTTGTAGGCCATTAGGGGAAAGTCCCGCCTTCTTCACCTCTGATTGGCTAGAAAAGCTGGAAACGTCATCACACACTTGAGTCAATCGCGGGCTGTCGGCTCTGTACATCGAACAGAACATTACAGAACATTATCGCACTTCTAGATCTCCTAACCCTCATCCTAACCCTAACCCTAACCCTAACCCGACAGAAGATGACGTTTCACAGCCATTAGGAATAACCAACCGGAGCCAGTTTTTGGAGCTGTTTCTATGGCTGTGGTAGATGAGTATCCTGAACTAGTGGATAGAACAGAACACATGGCTGTCACTTTGATGTCAACAATAATGTTTGAGTAATCAATGGATAGAACAGAGGTCTTAGTGCACTGTAGTCAGTTCAGGACTGGTCAGAGTGTTTATACCTGAAGACAGGAAGCATCTCAGTCTGAGCTTTTACAAACTTCAGCTAAAGAAATGATGAAATAGCCGCAGAGGACAAATGACTTTCTTAAAATACCAACTGGTAGGACTCAACACAGTGTCTGAAAATGATGCTGAATGTTTGTGTACCTGTACCAAAGAGTCTGCAAGACAGCCAGCCCACAGCAAGACAGGTATGCACAGAAACACTTCAAGTCAACGTGTGATTTTCTTTCTTTCTTTCTTTCTTTTCTTCCACTTTCAGAGATCTGTAATATCATGGCTTGTCAAATATTTAATCCTGACTCAATCACACCTGTTTAGACGGGCATATTTATGTTGAATCTGTCTGTATGTTCTTAAAAATGTGTTTTGATTTAATGATACTATAGTTACATTTATATATGTAAATATATTTTTTGCATTGCTGCTTGCTTTTAATTTGCTTTGTATGGTGACCTTGATTTTTTTTTAAATGCGCATAAAAAAAGTGTAATATTTTCAGTATTAATATTTATGCTGGTAGACACTGGTAATCTGACCAAACTCGGGACAATGCCTTGGCTGAAATTTCACAAAGTCTAAATTTTGTTTTTATCCATACTTCACAGTTTTCTGATCTTCTGTGTAGTGTATTTTATATTCATTTGTCTTATTTAACATTTATGGTATATTTCTTTTAATGCTCTGAACATGAACAGAGTTTTGTTATCAGCTCTGTGAAGCTCTTTTAAGCACTCTCTGTATGAATTATGAATTATAAATATATTAAGGGCTGTGTTTTATTATATTAAGTATATTAAGTGTTGTGTTACCCTCACTTCTCTTTTTTGTATCATACATCAGTACATCAGGTGGCGCCATTGTCTTGGTGAAAGGTTTTATTGCTTATCTACTGGGGTTAGGTTTGACGCTCCTGAAGGCCAATATTTTCAGCCTAAAAACAAACTTTAGATGAGTGAGAAGTTTGAAGGTTTTTGAGAATCCTTTTGAATTTTATTGACATAAAGTTTCTCTTCACAGTCACTTTACCCTCCAAAACAATGCATGTATACTTGGCACAGTGAGCTGTGGGTTTAACTGAAGCCCTCTCTGATAAAACACTGACACAGAGGTGTAAACAAGACTGACAATGTTACTACGATCTCTTTACTTGTTAGCATGCCTGTGATCTCTCGAGCCTTTGCTGCTGCCACTTGAAGTTTCTTAGGATTGTAGAAAGTTGAAACTGAAGTTCGCTGACCCCTAGTGGATTTGATTAAGATCTGGGTACAACTGAATCACAGATGGTGTTAAAGCTCAGGACCCAGAGACCTTTACAATTAATCCACTCAACTCAAGTTTCATCCTGCTGTACGACCTGAACCACAGCTGAACTTTGGACAGAGCGACAATGGACCAATACACCTGACTGGAAGACATGTCTGTTGTTTGTCTTGTCATCCCACCCCCTCACAGTTTGTCTAACAAAGAGCATCTGACTTCAATACTGGTTGTCTTCACAGTGGCTGATGTTCAGCAAAATCCATTAATTCTCATTTTTCATATTTAGCAGAAACTAGTAAAAAAAAAGTTTAAAATAAGATTTCCTGTCATAAGAAGAGGGGATTTGTTACAGTCTCTTGAACTTATGTTGACTGTGTGGACAGAAATCCTCTACAAGAAATGAAAAAATCATTTTCATACAGAAGTCCCCTACTGCCAGCTGAATGCTCATCGGGCATTTATTAATACGGGGCTGACATAAAAACAAAGTTCTGTATCAAAATTCTATTTGCCAAATCCAGTTAGCCCCACACAACAACACAGAGAAACTATGGCAAGAGTAAGAGGACATTAAATGTGGCTAACATCAACTCTTTCGAGAGATGTACCTCCACATTACAGTCTAGACCTGTCTCTGAAGTCCTGATGTGGATCTGCCACAGCGGCAGATATAGGCGGGACACTGTTCTGTGGGGAAGTCCGGTAGGTATTACAGGTGTGTGTTTGTATCAGGTAAGACCAAAAAGCCTGAAAGTTTGCAAGAGGGGTAGCTCCAGCTTCAGGACTGCTGACTGCTCCACTGGTTGGCTATCGGCCGTCGGAGCAGCTCCTCCACGTGGCGAGCCACATCCATTGTATCATCCAGGTCAAAGTCTCCATCTGGATCCAACATGGCGTCACCCCTGAGAGGACAGTAACAGAGAAGGAGGGCGCACTTTAAGGAGGTTCCTGGGGGATGCTTCACAAAACAAAGATCACAGTCTAGTGCGGGATTTTCTACTAATTCTGGCTGAACTTAGCCCCGACTCAGCTGCACAAAAGCAGGGGCACATTAGTTACCATGGAGATTTATTCTATGGCGATGACCTTGCCTCATGGGGGATAGAGGTTGTCTAATAACTGTTTTGCATTTACATAACATGTATACATTATAGTGAACACAGAAAAAAAGAAGTGCACTTACATCGGAGGATAGACGTTGAAGTTGTTCGGGTGGCTCACTGAGGGAGAAGCCGTCTGATCCATGAAAGCAGGAGTTCCTCCACTGGATTCAGGGTTCTGGGTGGTGAATCTGTCACAGACATGTCTCACATTACTTCAGAAATCGTAAAAAAGACTGCTACAACACCACCAACTGATCCCTCATAACCTACAGGGGAATCTACAGTCAGATAAACCAGGAAATACTCTGGGGAAAATCTAATCTTTAGACAGCAGAGATGGAGGGATAACACAATAACGCAATCCATCGACAACTAACCTTTAATAGACAACTTTTTCATTTTCATACCAAACAAGGTGGGGTGTGGCATCCACTTTAAAACTGCTCATAAGATCACCAACTTTCTAAAAATGCAAATAATTTCACTCTAACTTCGTGTAGCTCAGCCACAACCTGATGTCTGGTAATACTTTAGGATAATGCTGAAGGACAAGCTCACCTGGCAGCTCTGTAAAAGCATGCCCACCATGAAGCTGTAAAGTCAGTTTCATTGTTTGTCCTTCTCCTCAGCTCTGAACTTTGTTGTGAACTTTTGTTGTGTTTCACACTGTGAAAAGTTGCCCTACAGTGTTGTTTTGTAATAAAGTAAAGTCACGGCTATTTTGTCTTTCCAAAGATGTTGCTGACAGTGCTAATTAGGGGGTTTTAACTAAAGAGCTGTGTGAAAAGTAACACTCAAATGCCATGTTCAGGTGCCTGTTTGTAAACCTTTAGTAGAAAAGCAGCCCAAACAAAGTCTGAGAAGTGGAGGCTAAGTGAAGCTGAAATAAAGGGAAAATCATGCAAATCTACTTTGTAAGTGTCCCACTTCATGACAACGTAAAGTTTTGCTGCTCTTTGCAGTCTGCTCTGGTTTTTCAGGTTGTGGAGATGAGCTGTCAGCATCATCACCCCTGGCTGAACTCTGTGTGTTCTCACCTTGATTCACTAAACAAAAGGTGTGACATAAATGTAACAGTTTATATTCCCACAAATAAACCGGCAAAGAGGAGCATGTTCATATTTAACAAATACTACATTGAGATTAACAACACAGCCAGTTTGTTCAGGGGTTGAGCAACAAGACAGTCCCAGACTAGTTTAACCCCTACTTATCGTAATGTTTATGTCAAAGTAATATCAACAGGCTTACAGTCCTGGTATATTCACATTTAGGTCATCCAGCAGTAGATTTGTCATAATTACTGAGATGTTTGAGCACATCACCTCTTGTAAATATTGTGGATTTGTATTATATTGTGGCGCAGCTATTTCCAACCCCCAGCAGATGGTTGAATTGTCCCTTTAATTCTGTTTCTGAATCAGGAGTTTTTGCAATTTGGCTTCCTCGCAAAGAACATTAATTGCTGCTGTATTAATTCATCGTATCTCATGTAAACAAGACTGAAGGTACCTGCTCTGGAGCACAGTTTGTGGTGAATTAAACCCTCAGCTCATGCTTTCTGAATCAAACTACATGTTTTATCTCGTCTGCATGTTTGGCAGGAATAACAGCTCAATGATGGAGAAATGTTTTTTACTCATCGAAGGTAAGAGAAGGCTTGGGTATGAAAAAGTCTTTTAGCCCTTGGTCCTTCAATAGAACAGAAGTGGTTGATGCTTAAATTACAAGAACAAATTGAAGGCTGGTTTCCATTTCTATTTAGCTGTAGACTTTTTTTAAATGAATTCTAATGACAGAGCGACATCAAACTGAAAACAAGCTTCATGATTATTCCTGTAGGTGATGATGGTTTCCCGCTGCAAGTTCAGAGGAAAGAAAATGTGCAACTTACTCTGGCACAACTTGTTTGATCTGTGGCTTGACATATCCATCCACGGCTTTTGCTGCAAGAAAGACACGCTGCCTTTAGTTTTTCATCCATGCACTGATGATACAACTGCACCACACTTTGATCAAAGCTGGCAAAGGCACCACAGAGCGAGATAAACAACAACGTCTAGAAAGTATCTCTGGGAGGATGGATCTTTCATGGCACGAATTTACCTCATATATTTTGTTATTGAATACATACAGAGAGGAGGGGTGTAGTACTTGGCGAAGACCTCGTCTTTGGGCCGGTCAGGGTAGAGAAACAGAAGATGGTTGAGGTCACTGATCCGGTCAGCCAGAGAGCGGATGGAGAAGTCCTTTGTGGTGTAAGGCAACAGATTCCAGACCAGCCGTTCACCTTGTAAATGACAGGAACAACCAAGCATTGAAACCACTGTACCACTACACCTGTTAACAGGAGAAAAATACACCTGCTGCGATAGAAGTCGCATTAAATTGCATGCTATTTTATCTGATTTTTTCTGCATTACTTCAAAGACCAAGACAGGGAAAAGGTTTTCTTTTCTATTCTATTCAAATTTATCCCATTTCATTTTATTCTTCTCCTTTTAGTTTTCTTTTCCGTTGCATTTCGTTATTTCACTCCCTTTTAATTCCTTTATACTCTGTTTTTTTTCTCTACCCTCTTGTCTTCTATTTTATTCCACTCCACTCTACATAACTCTATTTTTATCCATCATATTCTATTGTATTATCTTCTTTTCTGTTCTAGGAAACCAATCTCAGATCAAGCTGATCTGATTGAATCCGGTGACACATTTAAACCCTCTAATATAAAACCCTGGTTCTGTGTAAAGCAAAGCTTCTCCCTGAATGAAACTAAGACCACGTTGCTCACACAGCTACGGTTTAAACCTGCAGACCTCTGAACGGAGTTATGTTTCATTGCAAGTTTCACCATCTCTCAGTCCATGTAAAAACAGTCTGCAGTTTGGTACCTGGTTTGTTGGGATTCTCAGCTACCCAGGCGATGGTGATGCCTCCAATCTCTGAGTCACTGAACCGCAGCAGGAAGGTGCCATTGGGTTTGGACAGCAACATGTCCTGTGCTTGCTGCTTGTTGACAAAACCCAAGATAGCCCTGGACACAAACACACAGATTATGTATGATTATTAGAATCACTTCATCAGCCAGTGGACTAAACTTAATTTTCAATCACTAAACATGGAGTACCACAAGGTTCAGTTCTGGGCCCACTATCGTTTACATCACAAACTCTGCACTTCACTTCTACTCTGTTGATACTGTAATTTACTGCAGTGCACCTAAGATGACTCAAGCATGTGAAATCTTCTAAAACATTTGATTTAGTACAAGATCAGATTTGTCACAGCAGCTTGTTCTAAAATCAGTTCAAATGAACTGGTTTCTTACACTTTAAAAACAGTTAAAAGTCTTTTCTGGAAAATTCTGATAAGAGGCGGTTTTAAAAATGGCGCTGGTATCTACTTCCTTATGACAGCTTGTCTTTTCAGTCTGTTCCTATGAAGCTGAAGGTTTTACTGGATTTTACCACAGAAAAAGGTCCTGCTTTAACTTCACCATGACTTATTTATCTGTCTTCGATTAAAGTGACGTGTTGTTGAACATAAAAGCCTTCTCACATTAGTCAGACTTCAAGAAACACAACTGTGTGCAATTTCAGTCAAAGACATGTGTTTTCATTGGACTTAGTCAAGTTTCAGTCTGACTGATTCTTTTAACACCATGAAAAGACACTGTCCGACTACATTAGCATTTTTACCTCTCTGTATATCATACTTTGAGTTTTTCAAGATTCTCAAAAAGAAACCAGTTTCTGTGGCTGAGACAGCATGAGTCATTACCCGTCGTTCCAGTGAGGTTTGAGATGTTTCTTCATGAGCTCCACAACTCCATCAAACCACTGCCAGAAAGTGAAGTTACGTCCAGGCAAGCTCTCCTGTACAAAAAGACACTTGCTTTGTTAGCTTGGTTACATGTACACAGGTCTGATCTGTAGTTTGTTTGTGTATCTGTGTGTGTGTAGGCCTCTGTGGTGATTCAGGGAGTGGGAATAATAGCTTGGTGTTTATTTACTATTAACATTGATTTGAAACATGAAAAACCTTTCACTTCCACTTGAGTTTTATTCAACGTTACCATCCTTGTGTTTCTGCAACGATGGTTACATTCGATTGCAGAACTGTGGAAGTTGTTCATGTCTGGGTTAAGGTGAGTTTGTGTCTGTGTGTGTGTGCCTCACCCGGTTAAACTGGGCCCAGGATATAGTCATGTTGCGGTATTCTTCAGGGTTGTTGCTGCTGCTTGTAAAAGCTTTCTGGGCCAGGAAGACCAGGTTATCCTCTGACAGGCCTCGCCCGCTGTGCATCTCTGCTTTGTACTTCATGTCGAGGGCCTCACACAGCTGAGGCCACAACACCTTGTCTGGTACGATGAACGGCACCCTGCCCTGGGGAGAGAGGAGGCAGAAACAGCATGGGTAAAAAGCAGGGCTGTAGACCTGTAAAACCCAAGATTTTATTAAAATATATCTGCAGACCTTTCAGCTAAATCAAATGTGAGAAATCTCTGTACAAAAGGCAAAAGGACCAAAACCGAGACAACTATTTTGGAGATGGGAGTCGTGTTCTTGGTTGGTTTGATTCTTAAAATCAAGTTTTCTTGTGCCTGTCACTGTGTGAGGTTATGAGTAGGGATGCACGATATTTATCGGACCGATAAAATATCGGCCGATTTGGGGGGAAATTACGTCATTTTTTATCGGTCCGATAGGTGCATTTTTCCGATAGAAAGATCCGATATATTAATGAAATTACGAGTAACGTTTGCAGGCGGAGTAGCCGCCCGTCCGAGACGCGCTGGTTACGTCATCTATCGCGCCTTACTCGCAGGTCCCAAGCCTGACCCCGTCACTACCTGACAGATAATAAAATGTCTTCACCAGCATGGTCGTTTCTCTCAGTGGCAGAAGATGACAACAGCATTGCAATATGCAAAACCTGTTAAGCGAGGATTCCGAGAGGAGGAAAGAAGACGTCAAGTTTTAACACAACGAATCTGATAGCTCATCTGAAAAGTCGCCATCGCGGCGAAGCGGTAGTAAAAGAATATGAGACAGCCGCCGAAGCTGCTAGCGGTACTAAAGCTAAGACAACAACACTACGGAGGATCGATGTCCCCATTCAGCAGGCGTTTAAAAACTGCAAAAGCTTCTCAAGAGACAGCGAAAAGGCTAAAGCCATTAACGACAAAGTGATGGAGTTCATAGCGGTCGACGACCAGCCTTTTTCCGTCGTTGAGAACCCGGGTCTTCGCAAGTTAATAGCACACTTGGAGCCACGTTACACTCTCCCAAGCCGCCGCTTCATCTCGGATGTGTCTCTTCCTGCACTCTATGATATTGTCGCCACATACATTAACAACCTGATCGACAAGAACGGACTACACGTGAGTTTTACCACAGACATATGGACGTCAGATGTTAGTCCGGTCAGCATGCTAAGCCTAACGTCTCATAATAGCTCCTTTACAGTTTACAGTTCTGTTGAACAGTTCAGGGGATCAAATGAAGTTCTGCTTTTTGCTCTGTTATTGTTATTTATAGCAAATGACCACATTTGAAGAGCCAAAAACTTTTGTTTGTTGTTCTAGATAGGCCAGAGCAACAAAAACATCAGTTTTCAATCGCTGCATCCTGCACAAACTGTAGATTATATGAAGATTATAATAAATGTAAAAATATGAATTTATCGGTTATCGGTATCGGCCATGAGAAGAAGAAAATTATCGGTTATCGGTATCGGTTGAAATTTTTCATATCGTGCATCACTAGTTATGAGTAAATACAGCTTGATAAAGGCACCACCGATCATGGAAAAGAATTTTTTTTTTAAAGTCAACTCACAGGCTCAGCAAAAGCGTTGTCCCACAGAACTGTTGCTGTAGCGTTGTTGTCCTGACTGCCATGAACGATCACCACCACAGGTAGAGATAGGGTCTGCAGGTTACACACACAACGAGAGGGAGAAGTTGATTCTGATTCATAGAAATGTAATGTTACAATAACAGTTTTTTTGAAGTCATAAAGTCGTTACTTTGACATGAAAGACCAGCTCGTTTCCTCCAACACTGAACTGCGACTCAAACAGGACTGTGAACTTCTCCTCCGTCACTGACTCTGCTCCACGACGGTCTGAACGCTTGATCCTCTTCAGTGACTGCAGACACAAATGGGTAAAATGTGAGATGTGGTGAGAGACACACTGTTTTATTACACAGGTAATAATAATAATGATGATGACGTCTTTCAGGAACCCTCTCAAAAGTACATGCATATCAAAATCTAGACCTCGATTTTTCTGTGGCTAAATATTTAAACTCAAAGCCTGTGAATGGAAACTAATCTGACCGTCTACTGTATCATACAGATGTTAATCTGATTATTGCCAGTCATTGGATTAATGTGATCACGCAAACACACTCAGATATGTTCATGTATGTCCCTGTATTGTCTAGAACATTGTTGCTGTGATTCTATGATGACTTTTATTGGCCTGCTTTAGATGTTTTCGTTCAGCCTGTTGAACAATTAATACCTCTCTTTAGTTCAGTAACTATAAAATAACATCAGTTACAGCCACATTTTATTGGAGTATAACACATGATGAACAGTTTTTTAGATTAAAATTAAATGTATGGCCCTTTTATTTCTGTGATAAAGAAAACACAGATCTCAGGGTTTGACAATAAAAATGGAATTTTGTTGTGAAAAAATACACAATTCAGGGTTAAAAAACATGGGGTTGTATTCTTGTTATGGGGAAAATCAAAATTTTCAGGGAGTTATCAACAATTAACATTTTTAAAGATGGGAAAGTTTTGAACTTGCATTTCTATTCTCAAGGATTTATACATTTTTCTATCTATACATGTACGTACAGTTGTCATCCCCTTTTCATTCCACCTTAAAAATGTGCTGCCTATCTCCTTGTAACTTGTTTGTATCTTGTCACAATTTCAAGCCCTGTATTTAGAGTTTCATCTACAATAAAAGTGTGTTGTTGTTTTTTTGGTATGGAGTTATTTTTCCATCCAGCCTGTTGCTGATTATTAAAAAAGAAACTATGAAACTGGCAGCAGAACTTCAAGGTTTCACATTCAACTCTGTTGTGTAAGTTCCTGTTCATTCACAAAGTACAGTTCAGTTGGTTATAACAAGTATGACAATGTATCATATTCCTTTTTTGTGATTGTCTGTGTGTTCATTGGAGTAAGAGGGAGTTGTGAAAGGGGAAGTGGATGTGTCCAAAGCTGTCAGCTACCTTCCTCTTTCAGGATTTCTGTCTCTGTGGTAAGCCTCAATTTTTCCCTCACCGTTGCTATGCTCCAGATGCTTGAAGATGAAACATCAGCTCAAGTGATAACCAAGTGGTTCAGGTGCTACAGAGGCTTTTCCTCACTTTGTTAAGACTATTACAGAAGACAAGGAGAAACTGGTGAGATGAAAGATGACCAATCCCATCACCAGAACTGATGTTTATTCAGGAAAACAAACTCAAATGGGATTGTCTTTGCTTGGCCTATCTGTCAATGGAGAAGTCAATGACTGAGGTTCAGAATGGACGCAAGAGCAACAAGAGGTCCTTTAGACAAAGCGGGTCTCATTCATGAAAAATGAGCAGAGCAAACTGGTAGGTACGGCTGTTGGTGAAAGGAAACTTACAGGTGATCCAGCATTCATCAATATTTTAAAAGCTTTGATTAAGTTTGAATTCACAAAATCTGCACCTGCTCCTGACTCTCTGTGGAGTTTTTGTAAGTGAGGAACACATAAAAATGTCACTTAGATGTCACAGATACCTTTGAAACACGTGATTTAAATTTGATCAAAAACAAATATGCAGATGGAAAAAACGCTTCAGAATAGGTTTAAAAGTTAAGCGGGTTATATTTCGTGTTTTTTATAAATTCATTTGAAGTAAAGCTGCAGTCACTGGCTATTCAGGGGCGGGGTTTAATGCTGATTGTTGACTTGGAAGGGCACACTGTCTCTTTACATTTCATAATCTTACACACCTTCCGACATTCAAATCTTAGTCCTCTGTAGCGTTCACAAACCTGGTGTCAGTGTTTTCGCACTGAGGACTTAAGTGAGCAAATCTACACAAACATTTACTGACGTCTTATGAGTGAGACCTGATGAACGTGACCTAGTCCATTTTTAGGACCCTGACTCTGAGCTATTTTGTTTTCACCTGTGTGAACTCAACTCTGAGCTGGCCCAGTTTTAGTGTAAACCTGCACAACACTGTTTTGGACAGTATGGCTAAAAGTGAGCAAACAGAGCTTACCATGTTTCTGAAGTGTGCGCTGAGGGTTCCCGTGGCCTGATGATACTCCATCACACAGTTGTTGTTGAGGATTTCTCCACTGCTTTCACTACCAGGGCCAAAGGAAACAGAAAGAACTAGCATGCAGATTAACCCCCAACTCATTTTATTTAAGACCAAACAAAGCAAATGTTCCCGTCCCCCGTTATCTATGAGCTTTGTATCTCTATTTATCACTTAGTCCTCACCTGTGTGTGCTCTCGTTTTTCAGCAGAGCTTTGGCCTGCTGCTCACTAACAATCACAGCTTTGACCTGAGGCGGGTTCATGTGGACGTTGAGCTTCCCGCCCACCAGGAGGCGCACTGTTGCTGCAAACTTGGTCTGGGTCTTCAACACCTGGGGGGGCTGCTTTTCAATGATGAACGTACTAAAAGAAAGAGAAGGGAGGACAGAACACGATGTTGTTAGGGATGGTCCCTGATAGGGGTGTATGAGCTTGTGTACAGACAATGCAGATCAGGGTAAGAAATACTGTACAGTGACTGAATTTGTGGGATTATTGGAGGAAAAAGTCCAAAGTTCTTACGACAGAAAAAGCTTTCAAATGCAAAAAACAGAACTAAGCATTTTGATGAGACTTTTACTTTCCTATAGAATAGTGACTTTCAAAAGCAGAGTCAGGATGCAGAGAGAAGTGAAACTGTGACCTGACCTAATTCAGAGAATGCACAATGGGTTACTGCTGTAATTCTGTGGTTGAGCAGCAGCTCAGATATGGACGTGCACTCCAGACTGAGTCAAAAAGAGAAGTCTGGTTCTCACCTAGTGACCAACGCAGAGATGATATCAGTGATGTCAGCGTTGAGTTTGCTCAGCAGCTCTTCCATTGGACCCGGCAGAGGAAGCTGCTGAGTGAGGTGTTCGCAGCGTCGGATCTGCTGCCGGTTCTGCCAGATCAGGTCTGCGAGCTTCTCACACCTGATGTTGATGGAGAGGAGGTGGATTTAGTGGTGGTGGAAAAATGTGGCTGCATTAGTCCATGCAAGTTAATCTGATATATTTACAGTGTACATGTATGCAATGACAAAAACAGAAAACAACACAAACACAATTCCATAAAAGACACAAATGAAAATGGTTTGAAGATAACCTAAACTGACATTTAATACAAATCATTATTAACAGTCAGAGTCATGTTGAGCAATGTGGTGCATCACCTCTTCTTTTAAATCTCTCTTTTGTATGAATCAGAACTAACAGATCCTTCCCAGATGTGTGAACTACCCGTGCCATGGGAACTCGTGTATCCCACACTATCAGGGACACTGACTTTTAAACTGTACGCTGATACCAGGCTCCTTGTTTTCTTCACAGCATAGAAAGTGGCGTCAAAGATTTTTGATTTCTTAAACTGCAGGACAGTTTTCCACTTCACCTCAGTCAGTCATGAACGAGCTACCACCCTGGTAGCACATATCCAGACTTTCTGCATATCTGGTGTCCTCTTTGTGTCCACTTGTGGATGCAGCAACAACTTCTGTTCACAGACAATTGTTTGTAGAATTTACCGCAATTCAGTAGAAAACAGCCTTTGCTTCTTAAGTGCTGACAGGGTGAGGAAACAGTCTCACATCTGTTCTGGATGAACATGATGTTCTTGACAAATTTCAATCTGGCTTCCACCAGCAGCATTCTACAGAGACTGCTCCTCTCAGGGTAACTAATGATTTGATGATGAAGGGTGATGCTGGGGAGTGTTCAGTGCTGGTCTTGCTGGACCTCAGCGCAGCCTTCAATACTGTGGACCACAGTGTGTTGATCCAGCGGCTCAGACAGTGGGTGGGAGTCTCTGGAACAGCATTAGACTGGTTTTACTCCTACTTGTCTGGTAGATCTTTTTTTTTTAGCTGCGTCTGGTAAATATGTCTCTGCAGTTGGGAAAATGGAATCCCTCAGGGTTCTGTCCTGGGTCCTCTGTTGTTTTCTCTGTACATGCTCCCTCTGGGTTATCTGATGAGGACTTCTGAAGGAGTATCTTATCATTTAAATGTTGTGAAATGATGCCACCACTTGGTTTTAAGTTGCCCGAAGCTCAACATCATCACATGTTCACAGGTGCTGACTGGGTATCAGAAGATCAGAGTCAACGGCAGAATAAGCTGTCTGGCACTGGCAGAGATAATGTGGCGACTTTTTCATGGATGCAACCCACAATCTCAGCTCTTCTGCTCATCTCACAAATGCATGTTCCTCACAAGTGTGGCTCCATTTAAATACAGCAGGATACAGGACATTCAAATATGACTTTCCTTACTTTTTTGCTAAGTTGTACTTAACACTTACCATGACTGCAGAACATCTAGTGCCCCCTCATGTGGACCCCCATTCCCTGCCAGCTGCTGCCTCCTCTTCCACTGGATGAGCTCTTCATCGAGGATCAGGGTCTGCTGCTTCCTCAGGAGGCCCAGAGTCTTCTGATGTTGTTCTGACAGATCCTGCAAACACACCACCGGCCACACACTGACAAACACGTTCACGTGTAAAAACAGCGTTTCCCCACACATAGACTTTACCCGACAGGCTACCCAAGTATATTTACGACAGTTGACGTATTTCTCTCTTTTGCAAGTGTAAGATAGATAAACTAGAAGCTCTCCCTTCACTCATGTGTGACAGGTGATCAGATTGACAGAGAGCGAGGAAAGTTACTGTAAATACATAAACAGTGGTGCAACGTCTCAAGTTTGAAATAAAGCTTGTGAGACTTTTAACAGTTTTGTGTATCTTGTTGCTGCCAGTGTTATTCTAAATTCTTTGTTTGAGACTGTCTTGATACACAGAGATTAACACGAAAGCCTGCAGACATGTTAATCACCTCCTGTGATAACAGATTATCGAGGTAATTCCTTTTCCCTGAATATCTTAATTCATTTTCTACACTCTGTGCACTATTTTATAAATTAATTTCCTGATGATGATTGATTGTGTAGCTGGGAAACTGAATTTCCTTCAGGATAAATAAAGTATCTATGTATCTTTCTATCTATCTATCTTGATAGATTGATTAAATCTATTAGTTAGATTTAATTAAACTAAGAGGGTCATTCATTTTTTAAAGGTCAAATAGACCCCCTGTGGTACAGCCACCAACAGTCCAGAATCTTCCTGTGAGAAACACTTTATACCTGAGTAAAACTATCTGATACAGCATATGATCAATAACAAAAGCACAGCGTCAGTGAGAAGGACAATGATGAGGAAGTTACTGTCAATGTGGATCAAAAGGAGAACAAACAAAGAGCCAAGAGTGGGCTAAAAAGGATGGTTCACAGCTGTTAACACCTGCTCGGATCACGTCTCCGGATGTGTCTGCAGTGATCACTGATGGGATCTTCACATTCAAAAACATACAGAATCTGTTAATTCTCAATTATGAAGCCTGATGCTCCTTTTACACTTTTGTAGTTCTTTATTTGATTAAAAGGATGTCAAAGCAGACTGGAGACTCTGCCTCAAATAAACTGTCTTAGACACACCCAGAACCACTTTATGAAACTTGCTTTATTACCAAAATCTACAGAGAAATAGATCATGCATCTTATCAGGTTATGCAAGTGGTAGAAAGGGTTTAAATTAAGACGTTTAAAGGACAAGGAACAAACCGGTAAAAAATGACAGATCTGCCTCTCACCCCTCAAATTGTTCTAATTATGATCCACATCCAGTATTACTTTGGTGTTGTCCTCTTTAACAATAACAAGAGCACTGCGTTTTTGTTGTTGAAAAAAGCTCAAAATCATCACATGTAGCAGTTTAAGTCCAACAACTCTCTGCATTTACAATATCAATGTCAGCGTATGGCTGAGTTACATTTTTGAGCCTTCTCAAATTAAAGAAACCTGTCATGTTTTTTGGTACCGCAGACGTCTTAAATATATCAATCTTAATCCAATAAGGTCAGCATGTTTTGTTATACGGATTTTCTTCTGATTTAAGCAGATGGCTTTTAAAATGGCACTTAAGTTTTGTATCAGGCTGTCTCAGAATACAAACTAACAGAGCTCTAAATGAAGACCTGTCCTGTTTCTTTGTGTGTCTGTGTGCTTCAAAAGGAGTGTCCTGTCCTCATACAAGCCTGTATTTCTGTAGTGTGCTGGCCTCTCTCGTGAGCCAGGCCTCCACTGTGGCTCTTTTGCTCTGTAAGGAGGTCTCCCGTTGGGTGCGCTCAGCTGGAGGCAGAGACGAGAGGCTGCTCAGCTGGGCTGTCAAAGCAGGAAGCAGGAGAGAGGAAGGATGTCACAAACACTGTTTACTTTTGGAGAGCTGTTCCCTTCAGGAAAAAAGCAAAGTAATCGGCTGATATTGCCATGTTTGAACACAATAAGCCCGACACTACCTTTATTCCTTTTCATATCTACAAATGCAAATCAAGTCTTTACGCTTACAATAAACGTGAATTAGCTTTATAATAGAAAAAAAAAAAACAGAAAAGGATTGTATCATCGTGGCAGGAATAAATGTTTTCTCTCAGCGACTCATTTTTTTATTTTGAAGCGAGCCAAATTCAAATTAAGAAATAAAATTTTAAAAGGTAAAAATATTTATTATATCAAGCTAGCTGTATGAAAATGCAGTAAAGCATTAGAGAAGGGTGTACAGGAATAATCATGTCCCCATATTGATTCAACAAAGGACAGTGCATTATTTTTCCAATATGATACAATCCTGTGCAGGAACGAGAGGCTGGACTGACGCTTGGAGGCACAACAGAGTTGTGACCCAGCAGGCGGCCATAGTTTGTCATAATGCAAGGAGACAGGAGCCAGTCTAACACAGATCTGTGTATTTTTGCTATGAACAGGGTCTCCATCCTGCACTGAGGTTCATTTACTACTGTGTTAAACCAATTTACAGTATGACCACATTAGGCTTCATTATCAAGAGAAACTTAGTGGTGAAGGTGGTCTTTATTTGCCCCAGGTGGGAACAGAGCCATACACTAATGTTGAAGCCCTGTGACTGCGCATGTGTCCCCTGTCCTCACCCTGTATGCGCAGGTTCTCCTGGTACTGGATGATGAAGTACTCCTGACTGTGCTGCAGCTTCCTCAGTTCATTCTCCGTTTCCTGTGTGGCAAGGCGGAGCTCCTCGAAGGCCTGGTTGATCTGCTGGTGGCGCTGTGACAGGCTGTCCATGGCTTGCCCCCCACTCCCACAGCTGGCCTGAACACAAACATTGAAAGGGTCCAGATGTTGCTTTTAAGCATTTTTTCCCTTCTTTCTTCTTCATGTACCAGAGACACTTATAAGCATTATTTATCTTATTGAGATAATTACTACCAGTAAGTTCTCATAAACTCTTCCCTTCTCGTTAAATTAATCCCTGTACACAATAAGAGAAGAATGCAGACACATCTGAAATAAATAAGAAAGATGTGGAGACAAAAGTGAGCAAATTTTACAGCAGGGAAACTTAACTATCTGCTGGCTGCGAAACTCTAATTCCTCCGTGTCACACATACATAAAACCAGCAGAAAATAAAATTAAAATAGCCCGAGTCTAAAACCGCTTTAATGTTCTCTCATACATGTCCTACAGATGATAGCATTATCCTCAGTCTGTGTCATAGCCAGAGCTGTTCTGGATTTGCTCTCAGTAGATAAAATGAGGCCTCCATGTGAAAACAATTATAAAGACATACTGCTCATGAATGTAAGTCTACAGTGTTTGGCTCTTTCACTGAAAATTCTGCTTCAAGATGCAAAACTTCACTGTTATCAACATATCAAAGAGATATTTCAGTGTTGTATTTGGAGAGGCTCTCACCCGAACACTCATATCAGTTTGTGTACGCTCTACCTACACCGTTTTTTTTTTACTATGCCATCAGAAACCTGTTTGTTTTTGCACTGTTTGTTGACGCAGCACACAAAGACGTGTTCTTCCACCTGCGGCAGGATCAGCTAATCGGGTCTATGATGTAAAAGTCACTGACATATCATGAATGTTGATATTTTCCCTTTAACATTACCAAAATATTCACAGCAGTCCCTATTTATGACAGTCAATTCAATGAAAATATCTGTAAAGAAAACTACTCCTTCTGTGGTTGTGCTGTAATAACTCTTGCTCTCTATTTCTTTGCCACTGTTAGTGATAACCCCCTGACTAAGATGCCATCAGGACCCAAAATAAGGGTGCAGTTTTTCTTGATATTTTGTCCCATTCAAAAGCACTGTGGTGGTGTTATTTTTAGATCATCCGTAGTGTCTTCCTGCTTCCCTCTGGAGTCAGGAAGGAAAATACCAACACCACGGCACATTTGAGCAGCACAAAAACTTTCAGATTTCTTGGTTGATAAGTCAAAAGTACTAAAGCCCAATGATGGACACCACAAGCAAAAACACTATAAGATAATCACTGGGGACAAGTGCGTAGCTGTTGTAGACTTCTGTCTGCTTATGTAGACTTTTCATATGCTTATTTGACCCCTGTAGAAGGAGATTCTGGAAGAGAAGTCTAAAGAGGCTGAAACTCAACAACAAGTTCATTCATAGACATCTGCATCTAAGCTTGTAGCCTTAATCAGTATCATTATAGCACATACAATTAGCACACAACATTTAAGTTCAAGCGAATGCATCTAGATGAACGTTGGCCAATGGGGGCGCCACCTTTGTGGATGCATGTGGATGTTTTTGACTGTTTCCTGTTTCAACTTTCTCTATCTGAATGTTGTTTGCTGTTGTATGTGTTATAATAACTGTGATTAATCCAAATGCTTATCAAACCACGCAAAGACCTTAATTTTAGCTCATTTTTTCATACTGTACTTTTTGATGACTGGCAAAGTCTGCAGTTTTTTTGGTCTCAAATCCCACAGGACCACAAATGTCATACTGGTAACTTCAACAGATGCTAACCTCTTTATTCGTTATGGACGGGCAGTTGGCAAACAGCTTCCACAGACACTGTGTCTACCGTTGCAGCCAGGCGACTCCATGAAAGTCATGTTAACCATATAATTTTTTTTTTAAATATCGACTATTTAAAAACCATATAATTTTTTTTTTAAATATCGACTTTTTAAAAATCACGACTCATCCTTAATTTAAATCAACAGCAGACTGTGTGTCAGAAGTACTTTGAACCATCACCTGAGCTAAACATACAGGTGCTGCTGATTTGATTAATGTCCCTCTGCTGGCCCATTGTCTCTGCTGTCAGTTCAAACTCAAACACATACATATGTCTGTATGTACTTGTGTATAATATACATACAACTTGGCCAAATCAGGTGGACACTAATAACTCACATTTTAGAGCAATTTAAAAATGTGTAAATAAAGTTGATTTTATCTCAACTAACTTATCAAATTAGGAAAATAATCAGTTTAGAGCCCCTGGTATTGACCTGTAAAGAATACTTCTGGATATGTTCACTTGACTCTACTTCTAGAGACAACCTGCTTCCTGTTCATGTGTATATTTAAGGTGCTGTCTTACTCAAGCAATACTTTATTTACATTCTCAGTGTTCCTTCAGATGCTGACAGAAACTTTCAATGCTCACATTAGTTGCTTCTTGAACCAGCCTCTGCTCCGAGTGCAGGATGTGTTTGATGCATCGCACAAGCTCCAGAGGACATCGATCATAGGTGCTCTGCAGAGAGATCACATAAACACAAATTTAATTAGGTCACTTTGCAGCACATCACAAAGAATAACATTCTACCCCTGACATGCCCTTACCGTTACAAGTTCTTGCATCACTGACATTAACCACCGATGTTGAAATCTGCTTTTCATTGATTGGATTTAGACAGAAATGCAGCCCTAAGAGTAGGTTACATTAGAGTACGCACTCACAGGGACCCAAGCCAACCATTCACAAGATAAAAAGGTCAATCCAATACATTAGCACAATTCTGTTAATGTTAGATCCAGAGCTCTTTCTGTTCAGCTACCCTTATGAGCTCTGCTCTTATTCAAAATACGGAAAAGGGTTAGAAAAGGGTCCATTATTTAGAGCTTAAATATCACTGAAAGAAAGGCTCCCAAACCCTAAGCTGTGGCACAGCACTGAAGAGCCAATAATCATAATAATTAGAGTTACTATTGAACTGTAATAAGTTTCACAGGCTTTTCAAATCCAACCCCAACTCCACAACAGACTGGACACTGTAGAATGTAGATTTGAACTGAAGTTGATGGGTTACTAAGCATTTACGCTAAATGTTTAATTGAAAACAGGTTAAAGATCGCACGTTAAAAGTTGAAAAGTTGGGACATGGATAAAAAAAAAAACTTGAGTTACTTAAAAAAAACCTAGAAGAGCATAGGTTTGTACCAGCACAGAGTATAAAGGCAAATCCCATAGAGGGCAGAGTCTCTCAGGTGTAAAGATCAGGGAGGTTCACCACTCTGTGAGAGACTACGTGAGCACATAGTTCAACAATTTTCAGAGTAAAGTTCCTCAGTGAAAAAGTGCATTTAATTTGGGGGTTTCTTCAAGCAAAGAAGAGAAACAGGGCAGAAGACAAAAACTGAAAAGCCTTCAGGCTGCACCACGTTTAACTGCATCCACGAACACAGCTCATCACTGAATCCATGAATGCTGGTCAAAGAAGAAGCCACATATGAACAAGATCCAGAAAAGTCTGCTTGTGGAGAACTGTCTTGTGGTCTGAGGCATGAAAATTTGAAATTCCTTTTGGAAACCTTAGACCCCATGGCACTTGTCCACAGGTGAACTAAGCTGTCTTGGTTTCGTAAATGTTTTCCATGAAGATCTCAAAATCTTTGTGAGGAAAACAGAAGCTTGAAAAACTGTCCCGGAGTTTGACAGATCCAATAATGACCTTTGTGGAAGTCATGCACAGCATGGGTTACATTTTTCATAAGACCAAAACTCTTAAGTTTCAGTATCTAATGTGTTGTTTTTGAGCTGTTGTCAAGTAAATACATGGTTTAAAAGATCATGTTCTGTTTTCAATCTTTTTCTGAAGTGAATTTGTCATTGAAACCGGACATCTGTTCTGCATCTGTGTTGAGTATTTGTTTAAAAAAAAACAAGATCACACTAAAGGACACCAGTCAGTAGAAATGTTCAAACAGTAAATGGTTTCAGAGTGTGTAAATAAATACTGTGACAGACGATCAGAAAAACTCATGAATGACGGACTCCTACGATAAAAAAATGAGGGTATGTGGTAGCTGACAGGTACCTTGAGCTGGTTAGCGCAGTGACCCAGCTTTATTTTGAGCAGGAAGCCATCCTCTCCCCCCTGGACTGTGGCTTTCCTCTGCAGTTCAGTCACCAGGTTGTCGAGAAGGCGCTTGGCCTTGACCTCCTCAGCTGGGTTGTCCAACTCCACAGAATCCCTGTGAATGGCATAAACACATTTTTAGATAATCAACCAATCCAAATCCAATGTAAAGCTCAGCGTCTAAAAGCTGGTGATCAAATCTTTGAGTGAAAAATCACCTTGTCTGTGTGGCCTGCGCCTGTCTAATCTGTCACAAAGAGAACTAAATGATAACACCTCTCATTAGTGTTGACATCCATCCAGCCAAACTACGGAGAGGTGAAGCGAAACAGTAAGTCTCACTTACTCTCGTCTAATCCAATCATTTTGCCTTCATATTTCTTTTACACACACACGCACGCACGTACACAGCATCAGGCTTTTTTAACCTGTAATGAGATAAATCAGATGTGATGAGATAAATCAGATGATTTAGTTGCCATGATACTTTCACGACAAAAAGTCACGTTACAATAATCTGTCTGTATTCACACCATGTGAGGGTGCGATTTTAGTTTGTATTATGATGATGTGAACACAGCTAGAGCTTCACTCAGACATGCAGCAGTCTGTAGGGGGGAGCAGGATGAATGGTTTAAAAAATCTCTTTAATGGTCTAAAAGGTTTGCATGCAGCTGTTTTTGGTTGTCTTAAGGGTGTTCATTAAAACAAGGTGTCCTTGAATGCCCCTGAACTGAGTAACACTCTTTCCAGCCAATGGGAGACACACAGGATCAACCATGGACATGTAAACTTCCCCACTGTGGGATAGAGAAAGGTTTATCTTGACTTGAAGGCTCACCACACGCTTTATTTCAGTTTAAAAATCTGAAGCAGCGCAGGAATAGTTAAACCTTGTCAACTACTTATCAAGAGACAGATGATTGATCATACAGATTGATGGCATATTGAAATAATCAGAATATGAGAAGGAGAAAAGAGTGATGTTAGCGTCCTGCTTTCGCCACAGCTGGAGACTTTAAAGAGGAGAGGGTCTCAAACACAGATACAACATCCCAGCAGAGACAGAGGAATGGTGGATAGTGGTCCCTCGGCCACGCAGCTGCTTCCCAGCAGGCTAAGAACTCAACTTGGTCCCACCTCTTTGTCTTTTCTAGGCTGATGGAAAGTTTGGTTGAGTCAGAACAGCGAGCTTCATCACTTGGCTTCAAACTCCTCTTCAGAAAACAACATCTAAGAGGTATGTGTGGTTTTCATACTGTCCAGTCTATGGTTACCGTCTTTGACACCAGGAAAGCAGAAGTGGGCAGCAACACATCATCAGGCCTCTTTAAAATTCATATTGAAAGTATCACAACTGTAAGCCACTTGGTAGGAATTAATCTTTCAAAGGCTTGGCCCGTTCATCCTTATGAGTTGTGCTGAAGTACTGGGTTATTTTATAATGCTGGCACATCATAACATCATAAATCATTTTTACTGAGCGCCAGACTGGTATCTTATTTCATTTTAATGTACTAATTTCTGGACTGGGATGAGGATGGAGTAGGAGACAGTCTGCCCAGCAACCCTAAACAATCCTAGAACCTCTCAATACAGTTTCAGTAAATCCTGCAAAAAACACTTTTTAGGGCTCCTGAGGGACAGATTAGAATTTTAAACCCTGCAACCCTTCCTTGCCTGTCTGCCTGCAGCCCACCTCCTCCCCTGGTTATAAACTCAGAGATTAGTAAAAGCAAAGCTAAGAGAAGTTTAAGACTAATGTTTTACTTTTTACACTTAAAAAAAAAAAAAATCAGGCGAGGCAACAAATGTTTTTTCATGTAAATACCGCAGTGAAGTTAGTTTTAGGCTGGATATTCAATTGACATTCACGGCGGATCTACCGGTGTCTTCTCGCTCTCTCCATAATTAGGAATAGCAACAGCAGCACGGTTAAATCTACTCAGCACCCCCACTGTCAACATCGGGTGTTGAATAAGGGACCATCAATAAATTACTGGTTGATGTTCCCAGAAAGGCTGTTTTCCTTCAATAGCTTCCACATCATGTAACCAATTGACCTAAAATAGATTTCAAATAATAGTACTAAGGGCGAAGGATAAGACACACCTCTTTTTTTCCCACAAATTCATCCTTCAAGAATGTTTGGGTTAAATTTAAAAGCAATTTCTAGTGTGCCTCTATAGTTCTTTGTGTGCTCCTTACTTTCTCAACTTAGGGGCACATGTGCTCCTTGAGAAAAAAGTTAGTGTCAAGCCCTGCAGTGACTCTCCCGCCAAATACTACTGCGCAAATGCAGGTTTCAGGAAATGGAAATAATCCTGGAAAGCAATTCGGCCTCAAATCTGTACAGGAACAGGAGGCGGAGTCATGTTGACCATACTATCTACAGTCTTTGAGATAATCTTCTCTCATAAAGTTTTAATGACAAACTGTGCAATAAAGGTTGAAAACAGACTTTGACATCTCTGATGATACAAATGTGGTGCTGTACTGAACACATAATTGGTTAGGGGATATTTCAACACTCCGAGACCCCCAAATAAAAGTTTCATATTTGTGTACAAAAACATACTGCCTTATTCTTACAGTACATGTATCTTGTCTGTGACATACAATCATCATCAAATACAGTGAGCAGACCACCTCTGTTACAGGTTTGCACAAAAGAAGCATTTTTCAACCAAGAAGCAAAACCAGGCAGAACACCTGCCAGAAAAGATCCTCACCCCACCCCACCCCCACTACTCTCAGGGAATTATCCAGAAGATTTGCTGCAGTGTTCTCGCATGAGCTCACCCAGACTCTACCCCGAAATGATACTAAGGAGCTGGCCGGAAATATTCTGAGTAAAGTCGGAGTGAAAATCTCGGCTGTTTCTGTTCACTCGTACAGCTCACCCACAGGGTCATTTCGGGGAATTTTCAGGAAACTTTGTGCATGTCTGAAAGGGGTAATAGTTATTTCTTTCTCCTTGGACCTGAGCATTTAGAGAGAGAAAGAGCGAGTTTTATAAATTTAACTGAAGGTTGACATTTTGCATTCAAAGCCTTTTTTTAAGGTTTAATCTTCAATCTATACTAGAGGTGCCAACATCTGATATGGTGATTCTTTCAAACTCGTTTTGGTGGAAGCAGAAAACGCCAAGTCTGTCCTACACTACAGTTAATCTGCTACTCTACTTAATAGTCATTTAGTTTCAAAAATAGAGAAACAACATTTGATTCTTCCACAAATCATCATTGTAATTTCCTTCAGGTACAGATTCACTCCAGTAATGTGTCTGCTGTCTGTTTCTGGCACTTACAAAATTCTTTCATAAAGCCGACTTGTTGAAGCTTGTTGTTTGTGCGTGTAAGCTGGCACCGTAGGCAAATAACTAATGCATAGCTTAACGGATCAGCAGAAGTTTCCGATACTGCCTATACACGTAGTTAATTATGCCGTATTTCATAACCTGTGTGCGCTCTGAAACCTTCAATCTATTTGGTTACATTTTTTTCAGGTTTTTAGAGCAGCTGGGACAACAGTTCCGAGGAGCCACTTGAGTTTTTTCCACCCTGGCAAGTTCAAACACATTTTATTATAACGTTTAGGAAAACTCAATTCATCAATCAAATCAATTTAATGTACAAAAAAACAAAACAAAACAGTGATAAAGATTTATTGCATACCAAAGCTGACCCTCAATCCACTGGGCCAGGTAATGTCGCACCTCGATGGGGAAGTGCTGGCCATATAGAGCCTGCATCTGGTGTAAAGCCTCACCCTGCAGCTGCTGGGCCTGGATCCACATCGCCATGGTGCTCCTGGAGAAGCAGAGAGATGGTCTGAGAGGGATCGCAAAACAGTCAACATAATCTTCTACTTAATAGCAGCCTCTTGCTCGACCACATGGAGGAACTGACCGCTGCAGCAGTGTCTGTTTGTCATGACTGTAGAATGTAAACACGCACATAAGTCAAGAAACCTCTACCACCACAGATTACCAGGAAATGCTCGTTGTTCTGCTCGTCTCGCTGCTCATTAACATTCAGTATGTTTACGCTCATATAGCTAAGTTAAGCTATGGTGAAAGCTTCATTCAGCAATTTTACTAGACTACTATTCTTGTTCCAGTTTACAAGCATTAGGCAAGAATGAAATTATTAACAGAGGCCTGCCCCCCTCTGATTTGGTAAGCAGTAACATGTGCCCTTTCAGCTCCCCATTACTAGGTTGCTTAGGCCAGTTTCTTATAGTTGGACAGAATCGTCTACACATGCAGTCCACGTACATCTTAGTGAGGTGAAAATCATCTATAGAAGACGGTGAGTATTTATTCAAAAAGGAGTCACCATCACAGAGCTTGTGACGCAGATTTAACATCATTTTTAACTCTGACAAAAAGTACAGATTACGAGTAAATCGTTTCTGTTGATTGATATAGTCAGGGTCTGCAGTGTGTCAAAGCGAGTACTTTAGTACTATATACTATATACAGCATGAAGAAAACAAAATGCTGTATATGTTTTTTCCCCTGTATCTTGCAGTCCTAGTAGTACAACATAGAAAGTGTGTATAATAGCTCATACAACACTAACAAACTTCTGTCAAAGTTTTTCAACAAGACAAAGTCCTGCATGGACATAAGAACATCTCCGACAAAGTCCTGATAATCAAAGATAGTTGAGAAGGATCATGTTCAGAGCTAATGTGGAACATGTGCATCATCTAAGAGTCAGCTGACTTTATTTGATGACACGCTTAAATGTGACTCAAAATAAATCAGCCCAGGAGAAAAGGCTGGGCAATCAATCAATTAATTTCAGCTTCGCTTTTGGTTCTCTATGACGATGAAAAGAAGATAATAAAGACTAAAAACTGTGTCGACAGCCAAGTTGTTCTTATTTGAAACCATCCTGCTAACACAGGAGGAGAAAGATAAAGCTATCAAAGGAAGGAGTGGGTGTGTGTTAGTAAAGCAGATGGACAGAGGGAGCACACAGCTCCCTATCAGGAGTTCAATACCAATTCCAATAGGGCTGCAGCTATCCAACATTTTAGTAATCGCGAAACAATTGCAACAAGCATGTGCGTAAGCGGATTGCAATGCTCGTCAGAAAGCTAATTACGATATTAACTTTCATCATGTCCCTAAAGACATTAAAGTCTGAGAGCTGATTAGCTCCTACGTTACCTACTTCTGTTACTACACCGGCATTGTTAGGCAGCAAACTACCGTGAAGAGGAGTGTGCAGGGCAGCGCTAACTCCGCCCTCAGAGGCGAAGTGCTAATGAGCTACTGGAGCTCGGCAGAAGAAAAGCCCCTCTCATCATTCAAAACCGTGCTTACTCCTCCTTCTATCGTGGTGACATAAGTGCGTTGTGTTACCTTGAAAACAATCCATGCAAAACAGTGGCGATTTGAGCTTATAAACGAGTACTCGAGGCAGAGAAAATTCCTCGAACATTTCTTGTAATCAAGGTACTCGAGGAATCGTTTTAGCCCGAAATTCCAATAACTGTGATGATGATGATATCCGCCATAATCCAGCAGCTCTACCTGAAAAGTAGTTTTCGCCGCATTCAACACAAAAGAAAATAAACTGAAACTGCCATTAAATGAAGAGAAAAGGATGACCTTCAACTGGTTACAGTTGTAAAGTCAGATGGATGTCGTGGCAAAGAGCTACTTTAAAAGTCACTGCTTTCCAGCTCTACTTTTTAACTTATAACTAAAGAGTGTATTACCCCAAACTGAACCGTTTTTATAGAATAGGCTGCAAAATACACAATAAAACCAGTGGTGGTCATTGCAGCTGCCCATAGAAGACAGAAAGAGTTTAAACAGGGGCTAATCCAAGCTAATCCAGCTTGAACCCGGTTGCTCTACTACTACTTCCAGCTTACAATTGGTCACAGGAAAATGGATTGGGAGAAATGGGAATCAGGCTGATCCAGCACTGAGAAATCAGAGATGGCTGTGCCAAAAGTACAGAGACCTTGCTCCATCACAACAACCTTTATCAAGATATCTGGATCATACTGTGAGCCAGCAGAGAATAAAACACAGATATATTTGTCAACATTCTGCAAAAACCTGCTCCTCAAAAACTCTGCTGAGCTTTCCTCGTACATGTTGTTGTCCACCGTGATGGTGGCTTTGTACTCGTGCTCAACAAACGCCATTAGCTCAAACGCCAAAGCCTTCCTCTTCCAAGAAAAATTAATGGGAGCATGTCACCAGTCCCCATTTCCAGATATTCGGTCTTGTCCTATATTTTACCACAGCTTTACAATTGTAAGTCAACTCTATATCCAAAGATAAGGTAATGTACTAAAAACACTTCAAACACTACTGTGATAGCTGGATGTAAAATGAGATCACAAAATGTTTATCTCTTCCTCAGAGAAAATTAACAATCAATGACTCACATATGGTTGTTCAAAGTTGCCTGAATCAGCACAACATCAAACCTCTGGATGCACCGATGTATCAGTTGAACACTGGCACTGACAAATATCGTCCCTGCTGACAGACATCAACCCATCAGCAAGTAAAAGTGTCATGTACTGATGCCAGCAGCTGATATCTCTTTCGCCGAGCATCCTGTTATTGTTTTCATCACACTGATGTAAATCTGGACAGCTGTTTCACCTCACTGCTCTTCCAAGGAGTTTTACCGAGCAGAAGAAGTCCCCTGCTGGTCAAACTCATTTGCTTTGGGAGGGAAAATTGGCATCAGCTGTATTGATATTTTGAACATCAATAGTAGTATTGGTACTGATTTTCCCAACAAAATCTCTATCAGCCCTGAAAGGTTTACTATCTATCAGCTGTCTCAGTGCTGTGAAGAGCTCTGATGCTTTCCAAAGATGCTTTTTTCATACACACTGTCAAGAAGTTGAGACGCATCACTTCAGACAGGAAAGATGATCTAACGGGAAGTCCAGGAGATGAAGTCAGGGTATTTTTTTTAATGTTTGATATAAAAAGGAAGAATACCAAACACCCAGCTAATAATTGAATGGAAGCTTTCCAGTCAGTGTTGAAGTGATCTTATCTGCCTACAAGTAGAGCCTGCTAGCTGACTAAGCTTGCAGCAGGCAATCTTATTAAGCATTATCTACACAGCAGCTGTCCAAAAACAGTCCAAAGATGACAGCAGGTGATCAAATCAAAGTGCGTGCTTGTCAGTCAGGAGCTGCGAACAACAAAGGTCATTTTTTATTTTTGCAAATATGAGATAAATTCCTCTCAAAGCACGAATTTATGCAAAGAGCCCCCAAGTCAAAACATACCAACTTCAGACCTAAAAGAGGTATTCTTAAAGCACAAAGACACGATACTTCAAAGTCCTACTTTGTGAAATGGTGGCACATGGTATATATATATATTTTTTTCCAAGTTTGCCATGTAATCCAGACTGAAAAGACAAAGACTTTTTTTTTTTACAGTTTTTCACAATTGTTTAAAATTTCTGGTTGTCTGACCTGAATCAGAATCTTATACCTGAATCTTCCGATCAATAGACATCTGTAGTAAGATGCTGCAGATGTTTTATCAGTCTGTGGTGGCAAGTGTTCTGTTCTACGCTGCAGTCTGCTGGGGAGGAAGCATCAAACACAAAGATGCAAGACGTCTTAACAAACTGGTGAAAAAGACTGGCTCTTTGGTTGGACTCAAGCTGGACTTTGTGGAGGATGTGGTGGAGAGATCTACACTGAGGAAGGTGGAGACTATTCTAAAGAACATGGATCACCCACTTCATAACACCTTGATGGACCAAAGGGCCAATGGTGATGGACGGCTCCTCGCTCTTCGCTGCAGGACAGAAAGATTCAGAAGATCTTTTGTACCAACAGCCATCAGGCTTTATAACTCTTGTGTAAATAGTAGATAACTTTTTTAGACATATTACATGAGACAACAGACAATTGAATTTCCCTTTCGGTGATCAATAAAGTTCTTCTTCTTCTTCTGAATGATCAGTGGCCTGAGCCCATTTATTGAGCTGCTCACTCTGAAACACTTTTACCCGAGTATACACTGTTGGCAGATCAACTGTGATGTATACAAGTAAACAAAGGGGGCAGTCATCGCAGAAGGATGGAGACAATCTGAGAGGGAGAGGAGGAAGAGTGTGAAGGACCAAAAGGAGGAGGAGGAGGAGAGGGCAAGGATGACCAAGACCAAGACTAAAATCAGACTGTCCTTTACTATATTAGACTTATTAGTGAACATCATTATAAACCCTGATGATGAATCAGCATGAGCACCGCAGCCTAAAGAAACATCAGACTATCTTCAACCTGTAGTGCAGACCAAAGCGTGAAGTAGCCTTTTTATGTAAGCAGTAGGGCCTGACCGATTCATCGGCGATTTTAGCCCATTTGAGACTAATCGGTAATCGGCCAAAACTCACTGATTTTCGCTGATATTTTCAGAAATAAAATGCGGAGAGTAAGATTTGGTTTCACTTCGAAAATGTTCCGCCATTTGAAAAGGTTGGAAACGCTTTTCTGGTCCGAGTTTGATCAGTTGGTCTTCCTGTCAGCGTGAAGAGCAGTAGCCTACAGTATATATATATTTTTATAACTTCATAAAAATAAAAATAAAAAAACGGCTGATTAATCGGTAATTGGATTTATTTCCCGCCTAATAGTCAGTATCGGCATCGCCCCCCAAAAATCCGTATCAGTCGGGTCCTAGTAAGCAGTGTGGACTCCTCTCCACCTGTCAAACAGGTATATTAATATTTCTTTTTCTGAAAATTAAAAACAATTTTAATAATTGAATCATTCATTATAAAAAAAAAAACCTGTACTCTTTCGATTGCTTCTATGGGTTAAGTGACTGACAGCCTTGCCATGTATTATGTTACTGTTTTTGCGATGGCAGCATATATTAGGAAACACGGTTTTATTGTGATCAAAATTAGAGAGCACTTGAAGATACCTCCCAATAATTGATGTTAGTCTGGTACCTGGTGCTGAATTCCCTCATTATCTGACGCACCCTATTTTACTGGCACCTAACTTTAAGTTCTCACTGACCTCACACGATGCTGAGCCATTCTCAAGTGACTAAAACGCTTGTGCAGCTGGACAGGATAACACAGAGAATATCAGTGGAAAATTGGTTCAACACTGCAGCTGGAAATGCTCACCAGTTCAGTGCTGAACAGGGTAAGACTCTGTTTCGCCATACTGTGTCTCGAACCTCTCATTTGCAGAGAGAATCAAAAGGTTTAACATTTGCAGAGGAACGTGTTGTGTGGACAGAAGAAAACTGGTTTTAAGTTCACTTAAGTGATGAGAGCAAGTTTAATTTATTTGGGTCCGATGGAAAACATTGCGTTTGTCATCAAACTGGATACAGACTGCACCCAAAGTGTGTAAAGAAGTCACTTTGTGTAACATGTGAAAAAGAAGTGAAAGGTAGGGGAGGAAAAGTCATGGTTTGGGGAATGCTTCCTGCAGCAGGAGTTGGGCCTCTGACACAGATACATGGCCGAGTGAATGCAATTGTTTATCAGAACCCTCTTCAGCAGCATATAATTCCTTCTCAGGGTTCATCACTCAGTCAGCCAGCAATTTTCATGCGGGACAATACTCCCTGTCACACTGAAAAAGTAAAGCAAATCCTTGAAACTGAAAACCTTGAAATAATTAAGTGGCCAGCTCCGAGTCCTGATCTAAACCCAATAGAAAGTTATAGTCATGGCCACAAACCGACTACAGTCAGCGAACTGTGGAAGAGACTGGAAGAAGAGTGGACCAAAATCTCACCAGAGCGGCGCGAGACTGGTGATGTCTTCTGGCCGCAGATGTCCACAAGTCATTAAAAGCAAAAGCCTGTGCACTTCCTACTAACTTTTGACCGTCTTAACCTTCTGAAAATTTTGTTGTAATTTTCTTTTTGCTAAAAGCATTGCTTTTCTTTGATCATCGTGTTTTCTGCAAAATAAAGTCTTTTTTTGTTGTTGAAGTTCCTTGTTTTTTTGTAAAACACTGTTCTAGTAACACGGTATTGCCACAACAAAAAAAAAAAATCCACAAAAGCATTGAGCAATGAAGATTACATTATTTAGGAATGAATCAAGTGTTCAGTCATTGTTCTCTAATTCTAATCTCCACTGCAGTATTGATAGTGTTCATGTCACATTGTTGCAGTTTTTGTTTCTCTGTTGTTCATGCTCTTTTGCTTAAAAAAAAAACACAGTGGTACCATAGTAATAACAGAGCTTTCTTTTTTTTTCATCTAAACCCAAATACTCTTGTATTTTTTCCCATTTTAATAAGTACAGATGGCTGGACAGAAATCTAGCAGTCCCTTGAGGCGATCTATATCTGAGCCAAATATTTCTCTGTCTACATTTATTTAAAGTTGCTGTAAGGAATTATTTGGATGTCATGATATAGAGTTCAGTTCATATTTCAGACCTTTTATGGTTTACAAAAGCAAACAAGACCATCAGCAGCATGACTCAAGATTTTTATATTGTAGCGTTTAATGCCTGAAACTGGTGTGAGCAGGGTTAGTGAAGTAGCTCTAGAAACAGTCCCCCTTTTTTACACTGTCTGCGTGAGATATGAACAATAAATGATCTATTAGACCATTTATTTAATTTTTACATGGGGCCACATAAGAAACCAACAATAACTTCAACTTCAAATCAGGGGGGTTCACACATACAGAAAAGCAAGCCCAAATAAGCAACTACGAGTTAAAAACAAGCCCAAAAAAGCGCACCCGCGATTCACAAGTTTTCATAGCAACTTCTGAGAGAAACAAGCTTTAAGTCGTTTACAATAAGTGGACTTGGCAACTCTAAGGCGTCTACGAATATTTCGCCGATGTTTAAACTTGTCTCTGTTCACGAATGCAGATCTAGGATGTACGCACATGCGTCCAAACAGAAATAAAACAACAGCTAGGTTTTCAAGATAAAAGTGACACCCTTTTATAGCGTGTTGATGATTTGATTGACGGACCTTACGAAGGGCTGGGCAGGGACATCCAAAGGGCCAGATGTGGCCCTCGGGCTGTAAATTGCCCAGGTCTGCATTAGACTGTCAAAAAAGGGATGATGTTTTTGTACGAAGACACTACTTTGAAAACAAGATTAGCAAAGACTGCTTTGTCCACAGGGGGCACTAAAATTGACATAAACCAAAAGTTGCTCACAAGGAGCTTGAATAAAAAATGTTTGTTCAAGTTCAAAAAATTCTGTGTCTTATTTGTTAAATTGTTGTATTTTTCCATAGACTGTATATAGAATGGACAACGTCTGCCTCCTTGCTGGGTGAAGCCACTCTGAGAACAGCACCCTCTGGTGACAGGCTGCAGTATAGGTCATAAATCCCACCTCTGCCAGCAAAGCTTATGGAGCTGTGGACAAACTTTAGAAATTTATTACACAGAACATAAATTTTTCTCCCCCGTGCTTGCACTGTTGACATGTAGTTACAGTAAGACTGGTTTGTGCTCGTCTTTTTTTTCCTGTGAAGCTCCGTTTTTAAAAGTTATTAGGGGGTTTATGTTTACTATGATTGACACCTGATACAGCCTATTGGCGTTCAGGGATTGGGTAGCTCACCCGTTGGGATAGCGTTATCACAGCGACTCTCGGTGACTCTCCCGCCGAATGCGCACAACGCTAATGCGCAATGCTGGTTTCAGAAAATGAAGAAAAATCACGGGAATACCGCGAGCTTTTCGGCTTCAAATCCGTATATGGGCGGGAGGCTGAACCAAGTTGTCCATGATTTTCAATGATTTTCCAGATGCAAATAAATAAATAAATATATGACAATAACTTAATATCTGCTTTATGATATGAGCATCAGCTCTCTCATAATCAGCATAATTAATTGAAAAAACAATATCAGTGGGGATAATGACTCAAATATGAGTATTGGCGCTAATATATACACATTATGTCTCTCCTGTTATAGAATTTGTTTACTCTTAGCTAATATTATCTGTTTAAAAACAAGACAAATCAACCATCATAGTTCTCTTATTGAAATATACAGTAATGTTCATATCTACCAATGCTGATATTGAACTTTTTAAGCTATGAGCTGCCAATACTCACAGTGCTTCCCTAGATATCAGTCAACCACGATTACACACCATCTAGTAATTGCTTTAATGTAGACATCTGCTGATTCTGAATTATTTTAAATGCTATTGATTGTCTCCATTGATTGGCTTCTTTAATTAGCCAGCCGATTAATCAATCCATCTCTAGTTTCAAGTCACAGAATCAGAGGTTTTGTAGTCTGGAAACTGGGGTGTTGTGTTCAGATATAAAAAGGGTTACATTTAGAGAAATGTGTCTTACTTAGCAGATGTGGGAAAAACTGAAAAGGGAGCACAGTAGTGACTCATTTGTTACACAGCAGACTGGATGTGTCTCGGTAGTGTTTTTCTTCAGGTTTAAGTGAAAAAGCGGAACGCAGTAGTGTGCGGCTTTCTCTTTCGCCAAGTTGGAGGAGCAGCTTGGCTTGCAAACTTCATGCCTGATGAAGGGAAATGAGGTTTCTATGCATTGAACTTACAAAGGGCGATCTCGAGAAAGAGCTTAACAGATGTAAAGCTGCACAAGCTTAATGTGAAGGTTGTACATTCACAATACATTTCTCTGAATGATGAAACCACACGGTGCAGCCTTAGCTAGCTGGTGAAGGTAACGTTAAAGAAGCTAGCAACACTCGACCAAAACTTCACTTTCATGCGCCACAAGTAGTAAACAGCTAGTCTCTGTGACGGTTTTAACTTACCTTAAAAGAGACTTCAGCCAATGTTACAGCAACACCATGAACAAGCAGCGGACAGCACGCTCACATCCAACTTTTAAAGCCAACACAGGTAAGTTAACGTTCATGTCACATCGCAAACAACTTTAACGCCTTCTGGTTTACTGGCAAAGCAGCTGTTGTTGTAACGCGTCAAGCTAACGGTGATTATACAGCACAGCTTCCGGTTAGGAATTTCAAAATAAAGGATATGCATGATTATCCCTGTTTTTGAATAAAATATAATCTAATTATGTAAAATATAAATAAAAGACAGAAAAAGAAAATTCAAATAAAATTTATTTGTTGATTTTCGCTTTATTTAAATGAAAATGTAAAACCTGAAGTTACAATATCGCAGATTAAATACCGGAAAATCAACATTTGCGGTTAGATTCATGCTAACTTTATGGATCTTGAACGCTCTCGTATTTCCGCTAACAGCCCCACCTCTGTGATGATGAATCACAACCACAAAAGACTGCATTTGGGATTTTATATGCTGTTTAAGGAACTTTTAAAAACAATTGTAATTGCACTATAGATAAAACAATGAAGATATACTAAATATTCCCTAGTTTCTGCGATAACTTTTTGTCATACAGTGGCGTTGTCAGGCTTGTTTGAGGGGCTGAGGCTGAGAGTGTGAAGGTTATCTTCTGTATGACATTAGGCTTCAGCACACAAAAGCTGTAGTAAAACAAACAAAGAAAAACTGACACTACACTTACAACCAAGGTTTCTTTTTTCAAATACTAGTGTACAAGCAAGAAGAAAAGAGTCTCAGTGCTCTCCCTTAGAAAAACTTGAGCATCGAATGTATCTTTTCCTACCAATAATGTGTGGTAGAAATCAAATTTATGTTTATGAAAAATACAAAATTTTATTTAATCAGGTAATAAATAAACTGAAATATATATATATATATATATATATATATATATATATATATATATATATATATATATATATATAATATCTTATATAAAGAAAAAGAGCAGGTCTTGACCACACTTATTGTTTGATGAATTATCAAGACCCAACCTAAAATGGGATCCGGCCCATTTCATCTAACATGAGTGACGGTGGCAAAATTAAGTTATTCATATTCTTAAATAAATGCAACTTCCAGTTCTCATATATTTACAAATCTGTGGTGTAAAACATGCACAAAATGATGAACTGACCTTATCATCTGTGGTGGCCTCTGCCATTTTCTATGGGGGGGTCTGCTGGAGGAGCAGCATCACAGCAGCTGACAGGAAGAGGCTGGACAAACTCATAAACTCATAAAGAAGGCCAGCTCTGTCCTGTGGTGCCCTCTTGAACTTGTGGAGGAGGTCAGGAAGAGGAGGATCACAGCCAAGATGTCCTCCATGCAGGACAGAGTCAACCCCTCCAACACACACTCACTGCACTGAGGAGCTCCTGAAAAGACAGGATGCTCCACCCGAAGCGTGTGACGAAAAGGTATCACGGGTCATTCCTTCCTGCAGCTGTCAGACTCCACAACAGAAACCTCAGTGTTTAATAAATTATATTTATATGTATATGCTGTACACATTTTTATTGTAAATATGACTCATTTATATATCTTTTTTAACTTTCTATTGACTGATTGAATTGAAAAACAATACAAGACTAAACATAAGTATGAAACTTAAGCCACAAACATGGCATAAAAACCACATACAGAAATAAGACAGTCAAATACACAACGAAGCACTTTGTTTCCATTTCAGTAACTGATAGAGCACCCAGAGGGCACTATGTTTACATTTTAGTAACTGATAGAGCACCCAGGGGGCACTTTGTTTACATTTTAGTCAGTAGGCAGGAGAGGGCATGTTTCATGCAAATGGCAAACACCTGCCCCCGTTTACTCCCCCCAAAATAAAACACTATTCTTCTTCTTCTGCTGTGCTTCTCAGTGTTATTATTATTATTATTATTATTATTATTATTATTATTACATATTTTTAGAATAAAAGCTCTTTATATGTTATGGTAACTTTATTCAACTTATCTGTGGTTTACCTTTTGTTGATGATGTAATGATTGTCCTTTAAAAGATTATCTGACAGTGCTTTAACTCAGTGTGAGAGACTGAATAACATTTTGTTGTGTAGGTGTCGTGTGTATATTTAACATTGAATGGCAAATGGAGCCTTGGCTTGGTGTTGCAGCCAGGTGTGGAGGCAAACAAATGTTTAACCATGCTGGTTTACAGTGTGTTTGAGTTTATTTGTTGTATGTTATTAGAACCCAGGACCAGTTAAAGGTAGGCCTAAATTACTGCGTAAATAGATGGACTACCTTCTATATAAAGTGCACACATCTACTTCTTGTTGAGCTGAAAAGGTGATTCAATCAATTAGACATTTTTTGGACAGAAACAGTATAATATTTCAAAAATGACCAGCGTGAATGTCACACAGGTCAGCTATATGTCATTAAAAGCGTATCCTGTGTTCATTTATTGTGTTTCTGATGATATTTAAAGAAAACACGCAAAGAATCTGTGAACCAAATAGCTTTTATTCATTAAATCATTAGTGGTTAAGTAATGAAACATTATACAGGAATCAGTTACCAACAAAACAAAAGCAAGAAACAGATAAGTGTGAACTACATTTTGTGCTTGCTGTTTGGGGCCCTAACAGAGCTGCATGTTGTTTCTACTTTCACACACATTTTTAATCTTCTTTGAACGGCAGACCATTAAAACAATAAAGAAACATGTAATGTTTGATCACTGTTTACATGCAGGAGTGTGGATAGCACATGCTGCACAGTGACATTTCTGCAAAAAAAAAAAATTGCCAGAGAAGCTCTAAATGTAGAAGAGGTGCAGGCAGAAGAAAGCATAAAATCATAATGCTGATGATCTGCATTGGCAGTGATTCACATTATATACATAAAGAGAAAAAAACAAGTAAAACTATCAGTCATTTCAGACAGAAACTAAACTTTAACAGCAGAAATAATATGGCAATAATGCGGTCTTTGGTAACTGTAAATCTCATATTTTATTTCACTAAATTCTCTTGAGTCTACCTCTTTGCTCTTTGATTGACTGCTCATCAATGCAGGATGAAGTTCCCATCATTATACTTCAAGGTTTTATCACCCTGACCTGCATTTGTTCAGAAAATGCATAAAATCATGCAAACAGAATGTGCTATAAAAATGCAGTCAGAGCAGAACATTCAAGAGTGACAATCATTAGTTCTTGAATCAATTCTTCCACGGCACTTTCAATAAATCACCAGAAATGGTGAAAATACAAAAAATATTCATACATCTTGTTACACATCTAAATATGTGGACTTTTTAATGTATCAATTGAAAGAGAGCCGTTAAATACCAGGTACTTTTAGAGTATTAGTATGATGGTGAGATGATTGAACACTAGGGGGCAGTGTAACACCACAGCTTTGGCCTACACGTTTGGAAATTTCTGCACATACACTGGACCCTAGAGAGTCTTAGCTGGTTCTATCAAAGACTTGCAGAAAGAATTGGTCCTTATCTCAGTTAAATGAAAAACATCTTTAAAATGCAAAAACTCGCTGAAAGAGGATGAAAGTGTCACCACTAATGAGTGAAATGCTATGGACCTATGCATGAGCTATCTCGGCCCTATGATTTGCAGACCTTCATTTTCATGGGCGCTGTTTAGTCTTATAAAAAAAAAAAAAAAACTGGCTGTAAAACAAAAGCATAAAACAAGGTGAGCTGACAGGACGACTATTCAGCTGCAATCTGTATGAATAAAAAGGAGATGACATCAGCTGTGTGTAAATTATAATCACGTACAGAATTATACACAAATATTCAACTGAGAGCTCCAAAATTAGACATCACAACAGACTGGATGTGCTTCTAAAAAAAGAGGAAAGTACAATAACACTAGTTTCAACAGCTGAACAATGAATGAGTTGGAAGGAATAGGTTTGTGTCTGTAAAATGTGAAATATTAAAGACTTCTAAAAGATGTACTCAATGTGTTATTAAAAAGTTGGGAATCTGCAACCCCCCTAAGATTTACTTTCTTTATGTTAGACAAGACTAATATTCAGTGGGCAGGATGATGAGTTATTTCCATATTTGCATGCAGGGGCGTGTCCAGACAGATGGCCAGGGTTGCCACAGCTCCCATATTCTGATTGGTCACCCCGGGTGCTAACTCAGAAAATCCTAAAAATCTGGGCTGTAACCATTTAACATTTTCACCTCAAAGTTTGACCAAAAGAACTCACAATAAGGTATTTGCAATATTTATGGAAAATCTAAAAAATTAACAGTTAAATTGAGGAATGGTAGAGCATGGGTGGAGCGACACATTACTTTAAATACTTGACTGGCAAAAGCAGTTGTCTTACCAGTCATTAGAAAGTATAAGTGTCAAATAAGTTGAACATCAACCCTCCAAAGAAGCACAAGCTTTCCAAAAGATGGTCATACACTGCTTCTTCTCTGCCTCCACCCACCCAATTTTTTAGCGGTGAATAACCTGACCACCCCTGCCTTTGTCAGTGCCACGCCCCTGTTCACATGCCACTGATCATAAGTGGTTAGTACTTTGATTTAAGAAATGAAATGTTCAACAGAATGGTGAAGTTACATTTTCCTACAATAGTCTTGTCCTTGTGATCCCCCGTCCCCAAAAATCATCCTCACCCGCCCTCCCCTTCACTCAAAATAAAGTTGTTGTACGTTTCCTTTCCCCGTATCATTTTCTTCTTTTAATTCATGATCATCAAACCAAACCAAGAATCTAAACAACCTTTGAGTGCTTTGACAAATACAGTAAGATTTTTAATAAGCCCTTAGGTATGGATATTTTTAAGTAATAATCTTTTTTCCCACATTGGTCTTTTTTTGTATTGATGGCCATTATTCCTTAAGTTAATGACAATAACACTGGCTTGAAGAAGTTATCACTGCTGAAATCTGGGATTACTGCCATTAGATAGGCTACTGACTTCTTAATCTTTACTCAAAGATCACAATAAAGGGCTTCGTTTGCATTTTTATTTTGTGGTGTTGTTATTTCAGCAAATATAACACCTGTAAAGTGTTTCTTCTTTGGACTCGTGCTGCTCAGTAAACCAGTGATGCCTCTTGATCTGAGACTGATCTTAAAGAGATAAACTGGCAGCAGTGATGCTGTATTCCCACATCTATGCAATACTATTCCTCCGCTCATGGTTTTTATTATTTACTAAAGGAATAATGGCCAAAATCTAAAAGAAAGACCAAGTCATTCTTTCAAAGACCCTCAGGGTTGGTGCAATGTTGGTGATCTCTTTTTCTTTATCTAGTCGCTGTCTCTATCTCTGTCGTCATCCTCCTGCAGGACATCTTGGCTGTCCTCCTCTTCATCCTCATCAGCCTCCACCTCATCCTCTCCTCCATTCATCATCTCCATTTCCACCTCCTCTGCTCCCTCCTCCACTTCTGCATCCACCCCACTGAAGGGCTCCTCCACAGGGGACACCTCAACCATCTCGGTGCCTTGGACCACCTCGACTTCACCCTCACGAATTTTCTTGACGCGGAAGGTGAAGGGCGGCACCTTGTACACGGCAGTCTTGGACCGGGCGTAGACTACATGGTCTGGAGTGAAGGCCTTCTTCACCTTTTCACGGGATGTCTGCATTTTCTGCTTGCGGTCAGGGTTCATGCTCATGCGGGTTCCCAGTTTTCCCATCTTCTTCTCAATGTTATGCTTGGTCTTCTCGATGTTTTCCTTGGTCTTCTGTTTGGTCTTCTCGATGTTTTCCTTGGTTTTCTGCTTGGTCTTTTCCAGATTGTCTTTTGTCTTCTGCCTTGTATGCTCCAGGTTCTCCTTGGCTTTCTGTTTGGTCTTCTCCAGGTTCTGTTTGGTCTTGGCTTTGGTCTTGTCCATCTTCTCCTTTGAGAAAACTGTTTTCAGGTTTTGTACGCGCTGCAGGCTGCTGCGCTTGATTCGCTCAGCACGGGTCTCCATTTCGATGACCTCCTCCACCTCCACTCCCTCCTCATCTGAGGAGAGGTCTACATGAGGTTTGTCTGCCTTCTCGCCCTCTCCTCCCTCCTCTGCAGGTTCTTCATCACCTTCTTTGAGCTCCAGCAGACTTCCTCCTCTACTCCCTGACACTGTTTCAGACACCTTCATTGATTTGGAGACGCTGAGTTTGGAGGGGACCTTTACTTCATCCTGTGGAAAGGAGAACAGAGAGGCGATTAGTGTTTCTTCATGTAAACTAGGTTAAAAATCAAGTTTGACACATAGAAACAGAAAGAAAACTATAATATAAGCGGAGAGCAAAAGGAGCAATGGTGACATGTTTGTGAATCTTAGTCCAACATTTTCTTTCTTTTTGATTTGATTTGGTCTTTATGGACAGTAAAATATCCCCTGTGTTTGCTCCTAGAAACTGAGCTCTTATTAACCTCCTCCACCTATAGCTTCATACTTTATAGATGTGTGCACTGTTCTTGCCTCACTCTTGTGTCTTAAATCGAGCATTTTATCTTTTATGTTTGATCATCACATCTCACTTTCTTATGGATTATGTGGCTGTGTTAAAAACTTCATTCACATGGGCCCAAAGCCCACAACAACATACATTTATTCTCATTAACAAAACCAGATCACACTTCCTCACACTCTGGAACTGTGAACTCTAGATGCCTTCTTTACCGTTGTCATGCTAGAAAACTGTCCTCATGGATAGGCTGTTCCTCTGCTAAAAATTACAAATCGTGAAATATGTTCTGGACCCGAAAAGTTTGAAGGCAACATAAAATCTGAGAAGAGCCGGGCGATACCAGTGGAGTAAAGTTGCTCTTTTTTGTTAATCACATTGGTCTAAAAATTCTGTCCATAAGGAATGTAAAAAGGCTGCTATGTGCTATGTAATGCTTTGACAAATTCAGCTCAGGGTAAGTCTCTGTTGCTTTTGCAGAGTGAAGGCAGGGATGGACTTGAACTGGGCTTGTATTTTTGAGGGTTACAGGATTTGGCCTGAGAGTTATTGGGATTGTGTTATTGGCAAAAGACTGGAGTGAGGCAGCTGAGGCGATTATGAAATACTTGTGTGTCTATTTGTGCAGTTTCCCTTTCTTGTCCAATGTGCACATGCACACACAGGCAAAACAAAGTGTTAAACATGACTCACCAGCCAGGGGTTAGCTAGCTAGACAATGAAGGCATAAGAGCCCAGCCTAAACAGAGATGTGATAACATTTGTCTGAGACTGAGAGCATGCAGGAGGAATCTGTAAGGAGACTCCCGGGTTTGTTCATTTCTGTCATTCCAGAGAAAATGACAGAGAAAACTGTGACAAAGGAATGAAAAATGGAAATGGAAATAGAATGGGAGGGGTTCTGTTAGTGAAGTCTTACACAATAAAACCGCATAATGAGTCAAAACTGTGCATATCCTACCTTTCATATTACTTAAATATGTAGACACGTACAGTACAGACACATTCGCACATTCATAAAAGCAAAAGCTGAAAAGACAGCTCAAGGACAGTTATCACAGCCAAGGTGAGATGAAGTTTTGTGGTCTATTGTGTTTTTCTCTGCAAGTTAACACATGCTCTGAGTCTGAACAATGAATAGGTTTCATACAGAGACACAAGCTAAAAGCACCAGAAGAGAAATAATGTAACACTGACACCACCCAAGAGTGAAATCCATGCTTCTATGAGAAGAGGCAGAAACCAAGATCAAAGATTTCTACTAGCTATGGTTTATTTAGTCAAGTTACTGCTTAGAAATGACTCATTTGGTCTAGCTATGAATGTTTTGAGCCTTGCTGTTGCTGCTGTTCTGTCCACAGAAATGCTGGTGACCTCTCTGGGACTGAGCCCATTAGAGATGGACCAATGAATCTAAATTTGACACTGAATTCTCCCCCCTAAAGAGAAGGCTTGCTACCTGCACACAGTTCAAAGCCAGCATCCCTAATGGACTGGGGATCATCAGAGACCATGCCTTGGGTATCTTCAACATCTGTGAAGGCTCCATTAATACTGAACAATATCTACAGGTTTAGGAACTACATCTGCTGCCATCCAGACATCCAATCACTTTTTAAAGGAAGACCTTCATATTTCAGCAAGACACTGGAGCACCACTGCTCAGAACATCTTCTGATGCAGTGGCCAGTGTTGAGAGTCCCCAGCTTGACTTTCCATCTTTGTTTCAGAAGTATAGGCCCATTCAATTGTGGAAAACCTTCCCAATAGCACAACCCACACAAGACCACGTTAGATTTCCTGTGCAAAATTCCATGCATTGTCCTCCTGGGATAAACCATTTCAATTTGAATCACCACACAACCTTCCTCTACCACTCCCCTCTGGGTAAAGTAACACTTACGACTCCAGGAAAAGCCGTTTCCTCACAGTTAAAAACTTTTCAGCCAGTGTAGGCAGTGAAGTTTGGATTTGGGTGTTTAGTTTTCTTACATAAATGTTTTCCACAGCTCAATTTTTACACCTCCTACACAGATCATGAGTGGACTCCACCTGACCCTGACCAACCCTGATAAAACATTCCTGCGCAGCAACTCTCAGCCTATCGGTCCCTCTTTACCTCTGGCTCCTCCATCCTAAATCAACCTTTTTTTCCTTTCTGTCATACTTGTATCCCTGATGAGGGAGCCTTTCTTTCCAACTCTCTCATGTGCCCCCTTCACCTCGTAAATACAATGCTCCGGCTTCTAATGAAGGGGTGGAAGGAGAGGTGAGAGGAGGGGGTCTTCCTCTTTCCATCACGGCAAATCCTCATCCAATTGGGCTCCTGAATGTCTGCATGAGGGCCAAAACTTGTTGTACGTATTGTCTTTTCCTCTCCCTTTACGCAGCTTTTATGGTCAAAACAGGAACACAGCCGAGCCCGAACAAAGGACCTCAGGGAGAGGAGGGGGTAAGGTGTGGAAAGGGGAGATATTTTTTCTCCACTGCTGCATGAATCAAGTAACAACAGAAGTGGGATGATGCTTCAGAGTCTTGGAAAAACCATCTGCTCAGCAGGAAGATGATAGCATCAAAGTGTTGGAAAGTGGAGGTATGTATGCAGAGGGCGGGTGAGGGGGGTCTCTCCTCTATTGTGTTCTGGTGGAGTGTGATGGAGGTTTTATAGGGGTATTGTACTGCAGTATCTTGGGTAAACTTGACCTTGGATGGAGGATTTGGGCTTTCCTGAACAGCTGTGTGGGCAGGCGGGGATAATGGAAAATACCTGTTCTACAGTTACGTCTTGTTTCAACCTAGAGGACAATGCAGAAGGTGTTGAAAATCGGTTAAGCACTGTGTGGTCCAAGATATGTCTCACACGGTGCGTCTACATGCACAGTACATGTACAGCTGAGATCTCCTGGTCCACACATGACATGCTTTTATGACGAGACTTGGTGACCTGTCCTGCCCCATCTAGTTTATGATAATTGCCCGTAGCTACAACACAATCACCCTGTGAAATACTACAGTTTAGCAGCTGAAGAAGCTAATTATATGCTAAATAAACACTGTGAGCACCCCAAAGAAGACACTGGGTGCAGTAGTTTCTCCTTGTGTTAAAACATGCTGCTTATTATGCGCTCTCCATCTTAGCGACGGCTCTGCAAAAGCTCAACTGACTTGCGTGGCGCTCAAGCTAACTGCTGCTAATCTTTATTTATGTAGCACCAATTCACAGCACATGTTACCTCAAGATAACACTAACAAAAGGAGCTGGTCTGGACCCTACTTTTCATAATATTCACAGGAAGACCCCAGGGTATCTCTATCTGCACAATCGCTAACATAATACAAATGAGCGGCTCAGAGCTCTGCTGTTTTTAATGATCTAAACGCTCATAATGGTGGAGCGTAAATATTTTTTAAGAGTTTGGAGCTGTGACTTTTTCAGCCAGTAAACCGGTAACTGGGCTGTGCTTTTGTGTCCTCTTATGTCCAGTTGTGTGGGGTAAATTATCAGTAGTTCCACACTCTGCTATGCAGAGCTGCACTGCGCACTCTCATCCTCAAAGACCTCATGTTTGTTCACATTCAGCTGATGAGAAAAGGCCTCTGCATCAGGTGAAAGCATTTCAGCTTATTCAAAGACATGCAAACAACATGGGAGTATGACACACGCACAAACACACACACAAATGTTACAAAAATAAACACATGTGTATTTAATGTTAATAGTTTTGGCCCATCTGTTTACATGGAGGAGGCGAGGTTAATGACTTATGCTGTAGTCAGCCAGTAGAGGGAGCTCCAGATATTTTGGCCTCACTTTAAGGAAGCTGCTATATCTCCCACCTCATTATGCAGTCATGATAAAAAATGGCATTGTTTTATTAGTTTTATTACCAAGATATTAATTCTCAAACATTTTTATATCAAGTTTCTTAGACTTCTGTCGACCTGTGACCTGACCTAGAGCCACAGAGCATTTGCCTTGTTGTTGCATAGAAAGTAATCCATCTCAGTCCCATGGATTACTTGGGGAATGACGTCTTGATGTAAATGATGGCGACCTTGGACCACAGACCATATAACTGTGAATTCAGAAGCCTTGGACAGACAAATCTGGAGTCTCTTTGTGGAAACTAGAGCTATAAACTTGAAGCTATTAGTCAAATTAATGTCTGTTGGGTCTGTGTCCCTTGCCAGATAACTTATTGCGATGGTAATGGAGCTTATGACCAGTCGACGAAAGCCTTAACATTTGCTGCTCTCTTTGTATCACAACTGGAAAAAACAGCATGTGTGGGAGAGAATGAGTGTTTCTTTTCTGGTGTCTGCTTGATTACAAGCACATGGTAACTATGGGCAAACAAACAAAGAAAAGATGAATCACTACCTGCTGTAAAACTTCTAAAAGATTTGGATCTGGAGTTAGAGAAACAGAGTCATCAGTCAGACAGCAACAGCCAGTCAATGCCTTTGGTGAGGCCCCAGAGTGATTTGACATCTGGGGCAAAGTACTAAGCATATCGCTCGGTATAATCCACCAAATGAGCTTAAAACAGCTCAGTGAGGTCTCCCCCTTTTATATTTGAGGAGCCAAAATGATCAATACACCATGTAGTGGCTGCCTGGGAAAGCCTGGTCTGTCAGACAGGAGTGTGGGAGGTCAAAGCCGATGTGTTTGCACAAGAAATATTCGACTGCAGCCGGGCTACAGGAGGGAATTCTGAGCTGCGTGCGTGTTTGTGTGTGTCCACAGTACATGGAAAGAGCAGAGGGGGAAGTTGAGGCATTCACCTTAGTGTGTTGACTTCCTGACCCTCCTAATTTAATGGGACATTGTTCTTCCCTCAGGCTGCTGCGCCTAAGACAGGAAGGTACACTCAGAGCCATGGAAAATAGACCAAAGAGGTATGTAATGCTTCCATGAGTAAGTGTGTGTTTGTGTGTGAAAACATATGTGTTGCTTTAGCTCTCTGAAAACACTCACAAGGATGTACGTAGCTTTCATATCTGGTTCGTACTCACAGAATAACAGTCAGGAGGGAAGTTACCACACTGGACTACAATGAGTGTATCTGTGTGTGTGTGAGAGAGACAGACAGACAGTGTGTCTTGCTTCATTAGCATTCGGCGTCTTGTAAATTGGCCGTAACAGGCAAGATGGGTAAGTTGGTGGCAATCGATTTGTAAAGCGTTTTATGACTTTTAAAAGCCTCATAAATAAATGCTACAAAGTCATGGCACACCCTCCCCTGTTTGGGATCAGGCGGTCAGGCTGACATATGACTGACAAGGATTGGTATTTAGTCAAGGCAGGACATAAAATAAGCCCACTGAGCAATACACGGCAATTAAACGTCTCGAATTTTTGTAGACCTAATTTCAACCGTCTAGATTCTGTATATTTTTAGACATAATTTAGACGTTGCGCTTTAACCCATTATTCGAACTATTTATTTCAAAAGCAACTGTGAGTTGATCTCCAAGTACTTAACCAAAATAATTATGATAGCTGTTGATCAATATACAGTGTAGTATAGAAATAGCCCAGATTTAGACTTGGTCTAAACTTGGTCGAAATTTAGACATCTAAAAAAAAACTTTCATTTTTAGACCTGTGGTAGCCTGATTTTAGACCAGCCGTCTAGGCTACATTTAGATATCTATTAGACCTCTTTTAGACCAAAAAATGCTCAGTGGGAGACTTATTCCTGACACGAAATGAAAGATTAGAGAAATCTGACCCATTTGTAAAACATGATGACATCCGGTAACCCTGTTTAGCAGTTTTGCCCTCAACCTAAAAATCTCAAAGTCTCACATGATCAAACCTGACTTCATCTTAGATAACGCTCCTGTGAGGAGGTTTTCGACCTTTATAAAATTGACTGAAATTCATACTGCTGCATATCTATGAAAGTATGGAAGATGTCTGTATTCAAATTCAGTGGTCTTTTGTGCATCATAAAACAGAGGAGAGGCGAAGAGAAAGCAGCCGTTGCTAGCTCACTAGCTTTAGATTCTCTCTGAGAGGTGATTAGACGTTTTGAAAAACTGTCATGAATCCATAAACAACGTTAAGAGCTGTTGCCTCTCCAAGTTCATACTGTCTATCATTTCTTTTAACGGTTTTCTTATGGTCTGCCAGAAGTGCTGTACTTCAAATTAAAAGCATAGTTCTACAGTGCAAGAAATAAGGTTACCTAAAGCAAAACTGAAAAAATATCAAAATAAAAGCATAATAAACAAAGTCTTCTCTAAAGAAATTTCTGTCACAGGACTGCAGGATAAATGAAAAATTTGAACCTAATTAGAAAAGGATGATGTTTTTATAAGTAATATCCATCTGTTCTCACTTTGACTGGTTGTGACGTTTTGATTTCAAGTTTTCCATAAATATTTCAACAGTATTGTAAATGTTCATATGTCACAGCTACAATAATCTAAAGGTGAAAACATGATACTGTGACAGTCCTATGGGATGTGTTTCATAAATTGTGCACAGCCTTTTGCTCAGACTGAAGCCTATAAGTGTGTGTGCGTGAGTGTGTGTTGCTGAACTCAGCGAGTTGCTGCTCTGTGTTGTCAGCATATCTGAGTCTCTCTGTTACGGTGACCTCAGACTCATGAAGCCTGAACCTTTCACGATGTGTCACACTTTAACTGGTTTTACAGCTTCAGACTCTAAAAGATCCTCTTACAAAAAAATAAAGAGACTTATTTCATATTCAGGAGATGTGTAAGACAGCATCTAGTGTGGACACAGCATTACAGCTCATTACAGCTCAGCTCATCAGCCCATGGTTCAACAGTCTTTGGTCCTGGTTATTGGTTTAGTTTGAGCAGCTGGAGAACTTGTTTAAACTTTGTTTTTATACACATTCATGGTGTATTATATAGGATTAGATGAAAAGATTATGTATGTGGTATGGTATGTGTGCACATAAGTTCCAGGCTGCGTTTCGTGACTTAATTGACACATAATCATGGTTTCAAATGTTTCTTTATTTTACCTGTGGGTTCAAACTGCCCAAAAAAACATGATCAGATTACTGCCCCGTATTGAGGCAATATTGGCTATTTTTGTCCAGATTTTTCGAGATTTTCAGAGCACAGTTGTTATACAACCAGAATGAGGTCGTAAGAAATTGAAGTCCTTTTTATAATAAGAATATTTAAGTGATATAAGACAAATGTTTTCATACTATAAAGGGAAATTTCATATTTGTGGAAAAGGGCATTTTCCTTCTTTGCATTTTAAGTATCTTTAATGTCTTGTGCAAAACTTGCCTCAGATGTGTGATCTGTGTGTCTTCACTCATATCAGTCACTGTGTCATCATTTTTAAAGACATAATTCTTTGCAGACTTTTCTAATTCATCTGCACTTTTGCACCATCTCTGTTGACAAATATCCCTACACTGCCAAAATTGCAAAATACAAACTGGATGTTTACTGACAGATTTCAAAACTCAAGCGCTTTTCTGATTATTCATGCCCAAGCTGAGATGAATGGAGAGCAATAGTTGCCTGGCATCAAAGTAAACAAAGTAAAAAGGAATGTCGAACTCAGTCTTGCAAATGTTTGGCTGTTTCTATACAAACCAGAATCCCCGCCCCTGAAAAAATAAATTGGTAAATGTTACTACAGTGATCCTCTTTCACTGATAAAACACTCCTTTGAGAAACTCTGATGATTCATACTCTGCTGGAAGGCTTTTAGCTAAAAAGAAATAGGGAACATGTCACTTCTAGCTTTCCTCATCAGGCTCAGATTTGTCTTTTGGGAGGATTATGAAGTTATTTTCCTTGTTTACTGAGCTTTTAGTGATTTGAGACAGGCCCATGTTATTAAAGAGAGGGCTGATAATCTGATTTAGATACACTTCTTGTTATTCTGGTTAAAATTATCTTCATGTTTCGATGGCAATCAATACATGATGTGTTCTTAAAAAAGAGCAAAACATAGCCACTATATACAGCAGGAGTAAAACTGGGAAAACACCAACCAATCACATAATGTGGGTTCTACATTTTTAAACCAATCAAATCCCATGCTCGCCTCCTGCTCATACATGTCTACCTATACCCAGATTAATGGTGCACCTGCAAAAAAGAGCAGGAAAATAAAGATGGAGGCTAGACGAAGTCCTGAGAAAATGCTACATTCAAATTCATGCTAGTTTGCCGTTATTACCAACCCTACCTTTAATTCTTTAACATTTTATAACCATCGACAGACTTATCGAGCCTTTGTCTGAATACAGAATCTCTCAGAAAGAACAGATCAGAGTTCATCCGTCTAAAATTATTCACCAAGACAAAAAACAATTAAAAAGTCCAATTAAAAATGCACTGTTTGATGTCAAAGGTTTGTTTTGTTTGAACAAAATTTTAAGAAAAATCCATTCAAAATTGGAATGCTCCCCAGCTCAACAATAATGATGATTATGGATAAGAATTGTTATTACTTCTGTTGTATTTGACATTGATTATAAGTCTTATCATGATTAAAAACTTTATTACTGTCATTAACACACACACAAAAAACTTGCACCAATTACTGTGTGTGTACAGTTTAAGGTACTTTTGCAACCACCCTCAAGTGGACACTTAAGGAACTGCATTTTTTTATGCATTCAAATTATTAATGTTTCTTAACATATTAAATGAATCATTTTTTTAATTTATTTTTCCAGTGTTATTATTTCTTTGTCACCTAATGTATACTATTTGTAGTTGTTGAAACAGTAGTGTTTGTTGTATGTTATTAATGATATTCATACATTAGGTTATTAAACAATGTTATTATATTTTCACTGTTAATGAAGTCACTTATTGGTTTGTAATTTTTGGTTTCCTTAGTAACAGACTGATCTCCTGTTACTGTCAATCCTCACAGTAGAACCATTAATGCCAGAGGGGTTACCTCACCCATGACTGAGCCAAGTGTGTGTGTGTGTGTGTCTGTGATTGAAAACTCTTCACTATAATGTTTATCTGAATTATCTGAATCTCTTCTTAAACACATCATGTCTTTGGTATTAGTGTACAGTCTCTGTGAGTGCTTTGAATAAAGTGTTCTTGTAAAAATCCTGCCAGGACAAACAAATTTAACGGCCTCCTCTGGTGGTGAAAAACATTTAGTTGTAGTTTCGTCTCCATAGTAACAGTGGTGAGCCTGACGGGAACTATAATGTTGTGCAGATGAAAGGAAAAAGAAAACAGACGAGTCACAGAAAAGCTCTACCGTGTGTGTGTGTGTGTGTGTGTGTGTGTGACTTTGTATGAATGTGTGCAATGTGTGTATGATCATATGAACATGTGCTCCAGGGTAACAAAGTCCTTCAATGCACATGTGCAAACGGACATTTCTTAAGACTGTGTCTGTTTGGTTGTGTGTGTGTGTGTTTGTCTATGTGTGTGTGTGTGGGTCGGTTTGTGGACGAGAAGTACACCATGAAAGCTTTCCACTCGGAGCCCACACTGCAACCACTCACTAGCCTGACGTAGAGAAGGAGAGAGAGAGTAATCCTGCTGTAACACACCCCTCTCTGTTTCTCTTTTCCTGTTTAAACTCAAACCACCAAGAACTCCCCTACTGCTGTGGAAAAGACAGATTCATACACACACTAAACACACTCACACACTCACACACACACACACATACAGAGGGGATTTTCCAGTAAATCCAGGAAAACGGGGAATCCTCACGCTACGGCTGCTGATGTAAAGAGGAACTGAGACGCTCCGAGAGGCAAACGAGGACACTGAGCTGCTTTTTCTGGAGCGGAGGAATGACACAAACCCGCTCACTTTGGAGGGAAAATAATCTCACCACAAGCTCCATTAAGCAGCAGCTCTTCAGCTTTCATTCAGAGAAAATTATGTCTGTCCATTTATCAAGTTGCCGTGGAGACACGATTATGATAAACATTTAGATGCAACCTCTTACACTAGTGTTGGTAGAGGGGAAATTAACATGTGTTGACTTTATAAATACCAAGGCTTTAAGGCCGCTTTATCTCCAATAGTATGGTAAATACTTGGCATACATTAATCACGATGAATTATTGATTATAAATACAGAAAATATTGGTATGAGTATTTCACCAATCCATTGATTAAACAATTCTTATGTATGTTTAAGAGTTATCTAAGCTGCAGATCATCAAAAGCCACGCCATAGGGGTCCAACCTGAAGAGAAACACTGAGGAATAAAACTGATATAAACAAATGTTGAATTTCCCTTCAGGGATCAACTAAGTTCTTCTTTAATGGACCATCAATGAAGACCAGGCTCTACTGAGTATTAAAGATACTTTGTGATTTTGACACAGCAAAACATGTTGTCAACAATCATTGAAAATATTTCCTGCCAGCTGGTTACACTGAATATCCACCACACAAGGAAGCAGTGCTGTGAGAAAGTGAAGAAACTCAAACAAGACTAGAAAACCAAAGCAGATCTGACAGGAAACCAGCAAGAGGTATGCTAAACTGGACACTCTCCTCAGGCAATGACTGGCGCGCACTGGTAATATGCTCATTAAAGGGATATTAAAATTAAGTTAGGGTCAAACACATCGTAACACCGAGTTAGACACCCCGTTGAAAGATGAATGTCACCGACCGCTTGCGTCTCTAGTTATACCAACTTTAGTAACGACCGCAGATAGCAATACACAGAGCCACGCGCTCAACCAAAAAGCCACTCTATAGCCACAAATAATGCTCAGAACAGCACTGAACTTCATTAACAGTACATATAGGGTCCCGGCCATAGCACTAGCCACCAAACATCTCATTTATGATCATTACTTTATCATTTTCTTGAAGTAATAATCACCATATTAATCATTTTGCACTGCAGACGCGGTAGTTCTTCTGCCTTGGTGTCTCAGTCTGATTGCATTTCCATTTTAACTTTCTTTGGCTTTCTGTGTCTTATTTATTGTCTGAATTAAACATGCACTGATCTCAGTGACATTATATAGTTGTTCTGAAAGTAGGTGACAGTTATTGTTGGTGGTGGTGGTGGTCGCTTTATTGGAAACGCATGCCTCTAAATATCTTTAACACAAATGATTTATAACAATTTAACCCCCTGTGAAGTGTGTACGGATAAAATAATTTTCTAACCAGAACCGGATAGTTTTCTGAACTTCGCAGTTAACATGTTAATTTTTGATGTTAAAATGGGCTGTTTAGAATGAGTACGTATGTAGTTTCAGGTGTTTTTTGCAACCAGCCTCTAGTGGACACTTAAGGAACTGCAGGTCTAAATGATTTAACATTTAGCTTTGCTGACACAAAGTTATTTAAAGATGAAGGCTGCCAGTGTTAGATGCGGGATTTTAATGCTCTGTAATTTCACTCTACAATGCTGACGGTGTCTCATTTCCAAATAAACCTAAGATGGCCTTCATTTGCATAAGCCAACAACTCTTTTATTACCAAGAAACCCTCTACTTAACAAACACATGGCTCTTCATTCTTGCTGTTTATGTTGTTGTATGCAGCGTTGCTATGACTACTATAATGCCAGCCCTTTTATGTCCATCATGTTCCTATTGGTGGTGAAGGTATGTAGCCTGTGGAGCTCCCCAGTGGGCAGTTCCTGTATCTGCCCTCCCATACATCACCCTGACCTTGATGCCCGTTCTGCCAGACCGGCTCTTTTAGCTGATTGATGTTTAGGCACACATTACTCCAACCAGCCGTGAGACTGTACATGTGTGTGTGTGTGTGTGTGTGTGTGTGTGTGTGTGTGTGTGTGTGTGTGTGTGTGTGTGTGTGTGTGTGTTTTTAAGTACATTTCTCATGTGAGCGCCATGGGAAAGAGTGTGATGGTCACACACAGCATAAAACTCTGGGGAGAGAACTCCCTGCTCTCCTCCAGTTTTCCACTCGTCCCCTTTAATCAGAGAGAGGGAGAGATTTCTATATAAAGTGATGGCATGCTGCACGTCCCTGAGGGGGGAAGAGAGCGATGAGTCACCAGGCCTGCTGTTACACTGAGCACAGAAACCTTTTTCTTCTTTGCTTTCTCTCTTATGATCTCTCTTTCCATTCTCTCTTCATTCTTCCTCATTCTTTGTGTCTCTCTACTGTCTGTGGTTTCCTCACAGTCATTTTTAGGAGGTAAACTTCAATCCTCAGATCCCCCAGGAATGAGACAGATCAGCGTCACAGCTCCATGGAAACCAAACAAATATTTCTGGGCCAGTAATGTGCCAGATCTCACTCAATTTCATTGAGGTTTTCAGAGTCTTTGACCCAGGGCACTAAAAACAGGGTACTCAGTTTACTCAGAGAGCTGAATTTAAAACCCCTCCTAAAGAAAGCTTTTACATTAAAGTGAGATTATTAACTTTTTGTTTAAGGTGTATTTCCACAGTAGACAAGACTGGCTTGATTTCTAGTGTGCATGTGGATAAATCAGACTGTTCAGACACTCTTTAGTGACATCCGATACATCTCACCTATATTTTTCAACAGGCCCCATGAATCTCTGCTAGAAACACACATGAAATGATCAACTAAAGGCTCTGTTTGCTCTGTAACGGCTATTTTTATGTGGCAAGCATTAATAATTCACCGTGGTTGTACTTCTGGAAATCTTTTTCAAACAAAAGCCCCCTTTTTTTAAACACAAGGCTTTTATTTTTAAGTTGTGTCCAGGAGAGTTATTAGGCCAAGAAGTAACTTTTCTACATCTGTTAACAATGCAGACTGATAAACACTTACGTTAAAAATTTTAAATTCATTGTGATTTATAACAGTAAAGCAGCCCAGTGTTTAGACATGAATGTGAGTATTAATGTTAAATTCAGTGTTAATTTGGCTTAGCCTGGTGTTGCCAGACTTTTCACAGTCAGCACACATTCATTTCTGTCGTCATTATAAACATTTACCCTCAGCGTCAAATACACCGGACCAATCACAATCCTTTATTTATTTAACCAAGATGGAGGGTACACTGAATCTACTATGGCGGCTGTTGTAATTGGACTTGCCAAGAATGAGCAGCGACACCAAGTTTCCGCAAATAAACAACCAGAGTCAAAGAGTACAACCGAAGACGTCAGCAAAAACAGGTGCATGCAGAGAACCAGGCTTCCAGACTTTTAAATGGGGATTTACATAGAGTCGGACTAAGTTTTGCAGCTTAAATCAGTCTGTAGATTGTTGTAGTTGGTAGCCAGACAGGAAAAGACCCTTCTGCAACCAGTCAGCTGTCTGTTGTTCATTATCCCTTTTATGCACACGTTAGTATAACTAATCCTTTTCATACCTTTAAAGTTTTGGTTTTCTGACAACTCGCTACCACTAGTTAACGCGCTAGTGACAGAGTTCAGTTTGGAGTTTTTATACATATTTTATAATACGGAAGATTTATGGTACAATACCAATATGGGAAGATGGTGGGAAACAGAGGTAAAATACTTTAGTTTCCCAAAACGGGATACTTGACAGCTATGATCCTTTTGAAGATGTTCAGACTCAGACTTTGATAGATTAGCATAAATAGGGTAGTGGCAGGGTTCAGCATAAAAACTTGAAGCAAAGCTAGTCTGGCTCTTTGCGAAGCTGAAAATTACACCCACCAACATCACCCTCCAAAAGTTTATTGTTTGGTCTGTCTGAGTAATGCTGGATCTATTTCTGGTCCAGGTGCAGGTCCATCCAGGTGCACTGACTGCCTGCTGCTTCCTGAGGATATGTCATCATTTTGGGGGTTTGCAGGTTTGGTAAGACTGTCACAACTAAAATCCAGCAGATGGAAAAACTGATGTCTGCATGAAGAAGGCCCAGAGGGCAGCTCAGAGCTCAACAAAGCAAACCTGCAACATGAAAAAGCCTTAGGATCTTTTCCACGCCTTTATGCTAATCTAACGACATCCAGTTGTATGTTTGAAATCCAAACGTGATACAGAAACAATCAGGAAGCTCACTGTTCCTTTAAACGTGTTTCGTCATGTCCATCCTCTCCCCTCCTGGCAACATGTCTCCACATTGTGTTATTCTGTGACGACAATATTTCCTACAGCGCTTGAAGGCAGCACAACATGTTTCTTTGTGAATCCAGGATGCGGAGCCTCAGGTTTGCACAAACTGCTTTTCAGCGAAACATTGGAGCTTTGTGAGGATGGACACATGAATGTGGCAGGAATAAAGATTTCTGGAGGAGTTTCCAGGGCTGCAGACACATGTGTGTGAGGCAGCTCTGCGCTCACTCCTTTCAGCTCCCACTGCAAGACACAGCATGCCATTGTTGACTATCACTGCAGTTTCTTCTTTACGACATACTTTGGTTTGCGGGTATTCTAATCATGTACTTTCATGTAGGAGCAGCTGAAATTCACACACACACACACATGCACATGCACTCTCTTTGTAGTGGGTAAACTCTAAAACCCATCATTATTAATCCCTCCTGTGTGTAATAACACCAGAATAAGCACCATGAACCACCCAGAGCCGAGACCAGACAATAACACAGAAACACCACATACACAAATCTGCTTTTTACTTTCACACCGGTTTTACTTTCTGCCTGCTCCCTCTCTGCTGGGTCTGTGTACAGTTCCCCACGCTCGGCTAACACATACTTTTGGACAGCCAGGGATGACAGTACTGGTTACCATGGCTACCCTCTGTTACTCTTTCCAATAACAATGGAGGAGGTTGGTGTTTGTGGAGAGATTTATGGAGCTGCAGAAGAAGTGGCTTGTTCCTTTGCTGTTTGCTCCTGTCCACTCCCTCCACTTCAAACCACAGGAAGGTGAGAGCACCATCACAGAGATACAGTCCAGTCTTACTTTTCTGTTTATAATAGCACCAGCTCAGATGAAGCTCGGTTCACTCAACTATTATAGGGCAGTGACTTACAATCTGAGGGGGCTGACCCTTAAAGCCAAGCACACACTCTGCACTACAATGGAGCAAAGTGCAGGTTTTTTCTGGAAAATTGACTGGCAGCAAACATCACAACCACAAAAAAACAATGAGAGGAAATGACAATCATCTCACCCTTTGATTGACCTCCAACAGAGGGCTACACACTTGGTAACATTAGAAAGCTGCACTTCATTGTGTCACTTTGTTCATCCAAAATTAACAATAGTATACTTTTTTAGTTTAACATATGAATCTTTCTTCATTTTTTCCTTATTATGAACTCGTGTTTTATCTCTCTCCATCCTTTGCTCTTCAAAATCTTATTTATTTTGTTGATTTCTTGTATTAACTGTAAACACAGATAAGGATTCTGATTATTTTAATCTATTTTCTGTTTACGTAGAGCACTTTGTGCAACTTTTTGTATGGAGGGTGCTACACTAACCAAGTCTGACTGATCCATAAACTGATTTCTAAAAGTGAGGAGGAGACATTGTAAAAAACTGTTTTTGCAGGATGCAGAGTGATGACACAATGTGTTGATTTTCAGATATGCAAAATTATGGAGCCTGCTGTCACGTAACATTACATAACCTAACTTTACATAGTGTAAATCACTGCAGTTTAGAGCAACACAATGCAACTTATTTTATGAATGCATTTTACTACTATTGCTATCATTTGTTCTTGCTCGGTTCTTGTTCGGTTCTGGCATTTATTTGTTGTTCATGCATTGTCATAAGGGCAAACATCCAAATTGAGTTTTATTGTGAAATCTCACTAGATGCAAGCTTGACTGCAAGCTGTGTTTGTGCAAAATGGATGCTAAAGAATTACTTGCTTAGAGAAGTTTTAAATATTGAAGTTTTTCTGTCATTTAAAGTACCAATGACGGATAATATCCCCCAATGAGATACAAAGAAGCTACTATTAGCTTGTTAAATGCAGTGGATGTCAGTATAACTGGAGCCCCTGATAAGACAAATAGCCAGACATGCTTTAGAGAGAAACCAAACAAATGTCAACCAAAGCTCCCATAAGTCACCATATAAGAACTGCAAATACAGGAGCTAAAAGTACTCATCTAACAGACTCCAGAGCCAAAAGTCTGACTGGGCTGCCACTCAGCATTGTGTGGCTCATTGAGGAAAAATGCAACACCTCCTGAAATTCAACAAATTGGGTGTTTTGGACTCACCAATGGAACAAGTAAAAGATTTAAAAGAGCTGTTTCGAGCGAGGGAGGCAAGAACACAGACTGAAAATGAGTGTTTCCAATTTTAAAACACTGAGGGATAATGAGAGAACAATGAAGGAGGCCATTGTGGTCCAAAGTACAGAGATGGTCCACTAAAACTGCAGCATTACAGAAATCATGCACACTATAATGTTTTCCATTCGCATCATTAAGAAGTGAGTACATTATGAGGTAAGTGTGCAGTTACAGATGTTAGTGGTTCTTCAGTGTGTCATTATGACAGAACCAGGGGGTCCAACATGGAGTGGTCAGCCTGAAGACAAAGATGGAACAAACTGAGCGGGGGCACAAAAGAGACAATTTCCCTCTTCATCACACAGCTTTTCCTTTGCCCTTCATCCAAACTGTTTGTGACTCTCTTCGTAACAGAGACCAGTACAGGACTGGATTTACATCTTAGATGTTACTAAAAACCTAAATCAGATCCATCCAAAGACCTTCAATGAAGGCTCAGAACCACAAGCTTTAAATGACATTAGAAAAGCAGCTAACGTAACAGGGGAACTGAGTGAGCACTAACAGCTTCATCAAAGCTGTGTAAAAAGTAACACCCACAAGCTGTGTCTAATGTTATACTTATGGGAAAGAAGCCAAAATTAAGCATTTCAGGCAGACTAAGCAGTGCTTAAATGAGGTTATTTTTTCAGAAATGCTTTTACACTTAATGCTTAAGTAATCTGAAATAATCGAGTTGCTCTTGGATGCAGCACTTTTCTGTGATTGGAGTATTTTCACAGATGAATATCAGTGCTCGTGTAAAGGATAGCTTCAACGCTATCCCCCTGTTTAAATCTACATTTCTTTATGTAGCGAGTTAGCCGTTACACCCTGACAATGAACCATCTTACAACTATCTTGAATTTACCTTCGGGGATCAATAACGTTCTTCATCGTCTTTAGCTTACAATTAGCTCAAAATAATTAAATTTCCCTTTAGGGATCAATAAAGTTCTTCTTATCTTAATTAGGGATGGGAATCGAGAACCTGCTCTAACAAGCTTCAGCCATTAACATCGTTCGCTCTCTTATGGATGCTTTCCTCTCAGTTCCACACGCCCTGTTAAAACAATGACATGGTGCATAATGATTGTGTGTTTTATGTGAGTTTCTTGCATTTATAATGCGTATACATGCATGCCTTTATCTTGGTGCTTGCAAGACTCAAACTTCTGAGTTGTCCAGGCCCTGTGTGTGTGTGTGTGTGTGTGTGTGTGTTTGTGTGTGTGTCTCCTTGTTGAGTTCCCCCCCCCCCCCCCCATGCTTTTTATCCACAAGGTTTGTTGCTTCTTGTTTGCACTGTTGTCCTCAGTGTTCACATTTTTTAGAGTTATTTGTATGAGTCATCCTGACCGCATGCCATCAATAGAGGAAGGAGACCGACATATGGCAGCCCTGTCTGAGCTTCACACCAAACAACTGGGACAACTGGAGTGAAGTCAACCTTAGAAACTCTCTCTTGAGAACTTTCTGTTGTTGAAAATTGTCTCTCAGTTTGAAAAAGGAAGTCTCCAGAATTTATTTTTGGTAGTCCAAAGTAGCTCAAGGAAGCGACTCACACTAAATTGATTTTGATGTCCTCTGCATGAATGTTGTGCATGAAACACACTTCATTTACATGAAATTTTAGAATATAGATTTACATGTAGGCTGCAAAAACTGTCCAATGCACTCTGGGTAATGATGCTAAATGGCTGCATGGTTGATTCCTCCCACACTCTCCTTGTGTCATCCTGAGCCTTATTATTTTCTGCACAAGTGAGGAGTAAGAGAAGACAAACAAGAAGATTTTTGAAGGACAGCTAACTAGCCGTTTGACCTCTCTACCCAGAGTGCATTGCACAACAACAGCAGCAGCAGCTACATGTGATTTTTATTTCTCCAAATAAGGGACTGTAGTGTGTTTCACTGAGCAACCAACATTTCACAGACTCTCATGTTAATTCAATAAGATGAACCCGTCCTGATGTGCAGAACTGTCTTTGAAGCTATAAGACAGACATGAATTCATTTATCAAATTAGATTACCAAATCATCAATGAAAATAATTATGAAAGCTGGCAATTGTTACTGAACACAGGGAGTGAAAAGATCCTGTTCTGAGTGATGACCCAAAAACTGGGTGATAAAGTTTGTTTCTGGTCTAATAACAGACGTGTCATCACAAAGGGCGGCTGACAAGAAAGCTTCCTCTGTTCAGGACAAATAAAAATGTAACTATGACTATGAGAGGATCTTAACTGGCATCTTGTGACTGAGGGGATCATATGAGGATCCAAACTAATTTTTTAATAACTAAAGCTTTTGACTCTGAGTCATCATCATCTGACTCATGTGGAAAAGCTTCATTCTACCAAAAGAACAGAGTTTGGGTAGGACAAAGCATCTGAAATATCATGTCTCTATTGATGTCAAGTGAGCAACAGCAGCAGCAGGAGAAGTGTCCTGGTTTTTTGAGCATGCAAAGGTTTGAAAGAGCAGAAACTTTGACGCGTTTGCCAGAGTTCAGTCTGTGCAGAGGAAACCTGCAGCCTGAGTGGTAAACAAGCTCAAAAATTAAGAATGACATAACCTTCTTGCACCACATCCAAACTGGGCTGGCTTCAAGTTAGAGGACAAATGTGTTTCCAACACTAACTTTTAGGAAAGAAGTGATGTAATTCTGCAGCTACAGCAGCTCCTGGCAGATTAGGGGTCCGCTGAAACTAGTTTTTGGGGCCAACTCTCTTAGTGGAGATGAATGGGGACACAGTCTAACATGACCACCAACCGATATAATACAATACAATACAAGAACTTTATTAATCCCTAAAGGTAATTCATTGTCATATTTGTCATAAGTCATAAATCGATGATGACTTTATTTTGTAAGTAATGCCTTGATCCAAAATTTATTTTGTGAAATATTTCTGTCTTTATGAAACTGTATCATGTTTTAGGACATATCTAATCATTACCTTCCTTAAATTTGTGCCATTGACCTTCATAAGAATCTATAGCCATGGCAGTGCTCCTAACTGTGGACTCTGTGGAGTTGCCTTTAAGCTAAAATTTAGTGTGAATATATATAGATGGCTTTGGTTGGTAGCATCTGCTTCATATCATGGTCTAGTCTCTACTAAGTGGCTCATTAGACCAGTAATCGATGTTCAGAGCCAAGGCTGGTAACCAGTCCATCACTATGGCAGGTTACAGTGAAACTTCTGTGGACTGTAAGATTCTCACTAAGGTTTGATCTTGGAAGATTTATGTTGCTGTTCGAGACCGAAATCCACGTGCCTTCCACATTTCTCAGAAATTTAGAACTGGTTCTCTGTCCCCAAGTCAACTTGAGGGGAGAAATTGGTTCACGGCCATCTCTCAACAGGGTCTGACAAAGCCATGTCGTGAACAGAGAAAAAAGCCCATCGTTATCTCAAACCTGGGACATAAGTCTGACTTTTTTTGCACTTAAAAATAAGTCAATGTTGCAGCCTGAATGTCACTTCTGACTACTCTGAGCCAAACAGGAAGACGATCTCCTAAAGGCCCCTTCCTTCTCACAATCAAACAAGTATGTGATAGTTGCTATTTTTAGGCGTCTCTCTCTCTTCTCTCGCATAAGCCCTCTGTTACCTCCTCTGCTGTGCACACCGCCCGAACAGACTGTACCAGAGCTTAAACCACTCCACTTGGAGGCTTTGCTCCCAGCTGAAACAATGTTACACACGATCTGGCTTCTAAACCGAGCTGGGAGCAGAGATTCTGCCTCAAATGTCCTTATATGGAGCGGCTTCGACCTGTGTGACCAGAATGGCTTCACTCTTGATGAATTTATATGTTAAACATTACTGAGACTCTGAGCGCTCTCAGGCCGAGGTTGAAACATGGACTCTGCAGAGCTGCAGATCTGGTTTGAATCTCTGAAATATTCAAAATACCTCATTTGTAAACCCTTTGGATGAAGACAGGGGCACAGTCAAGGATGATGGCATATCAGAACAGTGTTTTGGGTTTGAGTTAAACGAGGCGGGATAGAGCAACATCTGCTCTGATAGGTAGTTTGAGATGATCTGTGGACTGACCAACATCCTGATTTCTTCAAATGTCACAGGAAAGAGTAAGAAGACAGAAAGCTGCAGTGAAAAAAGACAAAAATACAGATTTACAGTGAACAGCGTGACACTGAAGTCTGCCGTACAGAAGGAGAGGCGATGGTGGGACAACAGCTGGTCGACATTGATGAAACTCTTCCCAGTGGTTTGAGTCGGAATGTTCTCTAACCCCCCAAAAGCCTACAAGAGCACATATGATAACCATATTTGATGACAATGAATAACATCCATATTGTGCTAAAATTAGGCAAATGGTAACACGATGAGTTCAGAGTGGTCTTAACGCTGGTTGCAATGTGCCATAACATGGAAGAAAGACAAAGAAGACAAGACAAAGAGCCAGCTGTAGCAGCTTCCTGAGAGATGATTAAATACTACTGACGCTTTAGATTTTTTCTGAATTCAAAAATCCTTTTAGTTTGTAATTGTACGACTTTATGACCATGATACACATAAGCATAATAACTATATAACACAACTGTGTTCTTGTAATGATGGGGTTTTATTCTCATTCTCTTTGGGTCCAGTCTTGTGATATTACTGCTTTATTATCTAATTCAACATAATTTATTCCCAGTTTTTCAAATTCCCCTAGTCCATCATTGACTATAACGAATGAATGAAGACAAACTCTATCTAAATAAACACATTAGAAAAGGTTCCAGTGAAGGGAGAAAGAGTAGAGAGAAGGAGTAGGGATGTGCCCAGGGCGGGGCAGGGTGAGGAGGACAAGATGTGGAGTGAATTATCCATGTGGGTGGAGGAACGGTGAGGAGGGAGGAACAGGGCTGTGACTGGTTCCACATGGGGAAGAGGAGGAGGAGGAGGAGGCAGGAGGAGGTTAGCCTGGAGAGCTGTGGATGCCTGCGCTATGAATCAGCTGTCTAAATATGTTCCCTGCTCTTCATCTCAACACACCCATCCACTCCCTGTACAGAGATGATGGACATCTCCTCTTCTTACAGTTTATCTCTGGCTTTTAGCCTCCCACATAGTACATTATTCCACCTTCAGGTCAGTCTGTCAGAGACTCTCAGCCTGCAGTCTGTCTGCAGTGTCAGTACACAACATGCACAAACATATCCAGGGTCAAAAACATGTGCAGAGGGCATGCACCTGATCATCTGAGTCATTGCTTCCAGAGCTCCTCGGTGCATATGCTGAATTCCAATATTGTTTGAAAGTTGCACAACATGTAATTAGATCAGGCCCAATGCAAAAATGTCTTAAGCTGTTCCAAATGCTTGTCCTCATGGGAGAGATGCACAAATAAAGACTGAAGGACAAACTTGTAGAGAGTTTGTCTGTAAAAAAAGTGCAGGCAGAGACCGACATGAAAGAAACGAGGGAAACAGTGGTTTCTAAGTCGGCAAGAAGAACGTCTGCTTTGCTCTCCTCTCTTTTCGGTTTTCCAATCACTGGATGGACAGAATGAGCACAGTCAAGAAATATACAACAAAATGTGTGCTTCTGAAGCTGATTTATCAGAGAGGACCAAAGCTTTCGTATTCATGAAACATGACAAGTCTTTTCTTAGTGAGATCAAACAGCAAAAACCACCCTCTAAAAAAATGAAGATGTGGAGCCAGAACAAGTCTTTACTTTGTTCGTTGACATTTGGCCACTCAGAGGCAGCAGACCAAGTTTCAAGCATAAAAGAAAAAGTCAAAATGTCAAGAAGAAGAGGCAAAATAACGCGGTTGCTGGGTTGTGACAGCACGTCCACATCAAACAGTTTGCATTGCATCATGTCTGTTAACTACAGATGAGCATTTAAAAGACCTTCATTTGTAGTGTTCATCAATTTTCATGAGATGAGGAAGAAAAAAAAAGTACTGACTGGGGTCGGTACTTTCAGGAAGATTCATAAATGATTGAAAATAAATCTTGAACTTGTTGAAGATAAGAACTGAAATCAACAAATGAATTCTCCTTCAAAGCCAACGCCCTTAGCTAAATTTGTAAAGATGTGTATAATGAGATAGAGAGGGTTGTTTTTTTATATCTGAATATAATTGTTATTTGATGGGCATATTTAAAAAAAAAAGTTAATATGTTTAGTGATTCTAGAGGCAGCATGTGCCATATAAAGCCTACAGCTCGGGTCGTCTTCCTCTTCCCCTCCTTGCTGAGACTTATTTTCAGTCAAACCTCTGCTGGCTAAGCTGTCACTACTGCAGGATGGGTTGGTTTCCTTCATTCATAAAAAAGCACCAGTCAAAAACTATTTCATTTTGTCTGCATTTGTTAAGTTATTAGCTAAATACTGTTGACCTTGTCTCTCCACTCACAGGCAGCAGGCTGCACACTAACAGTGTACCTGTCTATCACCCATCTGATACTGGAAGGGGAAGCACACATAGTTAGGTAGTCAAAGTCTTGTAAAAGATTTCTTTAACAGCCTGTAAACTATAGGATATAATGTTTATGTGTTCATACACCGTGTCATGTCACAATCAGGTCAACATGTCCATCTGGAGGATCCATTACCTCTGAGGTTATCCTGGAGAATTTTTCCTGACAGGGTGTGTTGTTGTTGTTTTGGATTGTTGCAATACTGGTTTCATACCATTATACTACTTTTCTACTTCTATTGCTGTTGATAATTATAATAATACACTTGCATGAAGAAACTCTATTTGATACTTGATAAATTTTACTTTAAGGTAAATTTTCAACATTTTTAAGATGTGAGATTTGTTTGTGATTAATCAAATCAACTATGGATAATAAACTATGGATTATTTAGGATTAAAAAATAATTATTTGACAGCCTTCTTTGTTTGTATTGATTATTCATTTGAAGTAGTGCATTTTGGTAAGAATGTGAGTGCTCTAGCTGCACAAACAGTAGCTCTTTAGACCGGGTGCAATGACCCTGAGAGATTATTCAGCAGCCACCGCAGCTGCACTTAAGCAATCTCCTGAAACAAATCCAAAAGTTTTTAGACCTTTTAACCATTAAAACCTCCAAATCAGTTGAAAACGTCCCACAGTTGACATGTTGCTGATTATCAGTGTGGTTGTCACCTTTACGCTTCGCTCGGGCTGCAGTATTTTTCCGTCACTGGCATATTTCAGGTACGTGCAGCAAGCATTGTTCTCTGGCAGCATATGGCTTCAGCTGCCAGAGAGCTGAACACAGATGTAAGGGAGTAAATCTCAGGCTAAACACACACACCCGAAACACAGACACACACACCCACACACAGCTGTTCATGCTAACAGGGAGACACATACTTCCCTCTGATGTGCTGACAGAGCTGCCACTGATTGGCTTCCTCTTACACATCATACAGTAGCCTGAGCCGCCCCAGCATACCAGCAGCATCATGGCTCACTGTCTGCGTTGTTGAGATTAATCACATATGGTTTTGTTTGCATTGCATAGATATGAGTCTTTTTATCGATAGAGATGGTTCGTGCCAGAAAAAGTCAAATGGTTTAATGGTAAACTCTTTATTAAAACCAGAGGGCGGTGAGCTGAGTCACTAAATCTTCCTGAACCAAAAGGAGGCTGTAATATCCATCCTATCTGAGTTTGATGGGATTATTGTTCCATGAGAAAACAAGATTAACAAAGTCATAAATCCCCTGGTCTGAGCCTTGTTAGGACCACACTTGTGTAGGGGGGCCCAGGAGGGAGCAGGTCGAAGACTGGCGGGTCGACAGCCGTTAATAAAGCAGAGATTAAACAGCCAATGCTCCACTACAAAGCCCCCGTGCTGTGTCCTCCCAGTATGAACGAGCCCTCTCTGACAGTAAACACCCCTCACTTCCAGTCTGCTTTATTATCAGCAGAGCACCAGGGCACGGCTGCTTCACTGGAGTAATCCCATTTTGCTTCACTTTGACTTCTTTCTCTTATTCATGTTGGATACTTTTTATAACTTTCCTAAAACTCTTAAAACTTGAATTTAGTCTGTAGACCCTTTTTAAAACTCCTATAAGGATATCATGTGGTTTAAGGTTGATTTCCTCCTGCATTTATAACCTTTAATTGGACCCAAACTGACCTAAGCATTGCACATGCTCTGTAGTTCACATGCTGAGTGTTGACCTGGGAGCTGAACAACATGAATGTGTTTTAAAAAGCCGGGTTTTGGTTAAATACTTGTGGCAAAGAATTAACTCCAACAACAATCAATAAACGCAGATAATATCTTCAATGATAATTCATTGCTAATTATACACTAGCTAAAAAGTTACTTTGATAGTGATTAAACAGATGTGTGTCCTGCTCTGATTCTGTTTTAGTTAGTTGATTTTAACAAAGGTACTGTCTCTGATATGGCTCGTCATAGTTGGGGATTTTGAGATGGTAGTGCCATTGGTTGGATTGATTGACATGTCAAGATAGATGGGATTAACTGTAGATGACTACTCTGACGGTAAAAAACAAACCCAAAATCAAATTAATAGAAAATTTCGCTTTTAGTCCAGAGTGGGCACAGCACATTCGTTGGGCGGGCACGGCCCCCCAATGCCCACCCATGCCGCTGGGTCTGGATGGTACCTGAATCGGCCAATCAAATAACAGAAGGGCCACCACTTTTGATGCACCTGTGCAACATGCACAACTTTTATTGAGATTACGCCTCAAAATTTGTCACTGAAGACGTGATTTTATTGCAAACCAACATTTTGGGGTGAAATTACTGTAGACATATTTTCAATTTCATCTTCAGTAGTTTCTATAGTTTATCTTAAAATACATACACTCATAAAGTTTTATATACAGTCCCAGCCTGCTAATATAGAACTTTTCTAATCAAATTAACCTGAAAATTTGTTGCTTTAACTGAGAGGTTCTTGGGCTTAAGGATCTTGAGAGGAAATTTTTCGGTTCCTATCAACTTTGGCGCCCCCTGTAGACAAAGCAGTGTGTCCTTCGGCTTTAGTTGTGTCTGTTGATTGGAAAAAACAATTCCTGCTGACTTTTTGACTGTCAAATGTGTCGTTTACTGTTTACATCTTGAGTGGGAAATTTAAGAGGTTGCTTCTTTAGTCGCTGAGCCTATTTAACTTTTGGACGAACTGTAGATTTATAAAAGTCTGTTTTTTGGTGAGATCGGGATACTTTATATTTGATTTTATTTTGAGGTTAATGTTATTCCACTGTGCTCTTTATATATAATTCCCTTGTGGGAAAAGAAACATGTGTTTATCAGAATAAAGTAGGGTCAACCAGAGAGAAATCCTGTTGTTATGACAACCTTCCTCTGTTACCAACAACACAGAAATCTACCATTTACTTTGAGATTTACATCCAGATACAGCTGCCAAAGTTCCTGTTTTAATTAAAACGGAGTGATAATACTGACTCAGTGTCCCTGTAATTAAGAAAACTGTAATCAGGCTTATTGTTTTTACTTTTCTAACTGTGTTGACTCTGCTGCTGTGCGAGGCCTTGATTTGATCCAGCATAGAGATATAAAAGATGATATTTTGACTCCTTACAAAGGCCAAGTGGTTAAATGTTGACACACTGTTTTTGCAGTCAGATAACAAGGTTACAGTTCACTGGGGGAGCTGGTCCAGTCTTTCTCCATCTACTGCTGATTTTGGAAGAATCTGCTCTTAAAGGGCAACAGAGAAGCACAGAAAATTGAAAACAGAACAACACGTTGTGGTTTGCTTTTTTAATGAAGATGAATCTGACGTTATGTCATAGTTGGCAGCCGCAAACAAAGCCAGTGTTTTGAGTTAGCGAGGGAGCCAGAGATCGGCATTTCAGGGGGAGTTTCTGTTGCCACAGGGCCCGAGCTGTTGGCTAACACAAGCAAAATCTGAACCAGTTTTGTTTTTCACTATGTGTTACCTCAAGTAGTGGAAAATCTTGCAGCCCGCAGCTTCTAGACTTTATTATATACTAATTAAAAAGATGATTGATGATGCTTTCAGATTGTGAAATGTACAGTCATCGAATTCCTCCTGTTGTGATGATAGGGATTCGCTCTTTTTCTTGCTGATCACTCTGCCCCGCTCATCTGCGGGTCATTAAAATCTTGTGCCAGAACAAGAGAGCTAGATTTATTGTGTAAGACTGTGAGAATATTATAAATGCAAACCACTCTCAGACGGCGTGGTCTGCCTAAGATGGCGATCTCATTTGACTTCTTTACAGCTATTACAGAGAGAGACTGAGAGTGAGGTCGCTCCAAGCCGTGAAGTCTGAGTCAGGGGTGGAAACTCTGAATGTTCTCGTACCACTGTGCAAAAAGCTGCAAGCTATTACACATCACACTGCAGCCTTACAGGCTAAAAAAAGAACCAGGGCTCCCCTCAGCTCCCCTCAAAGAAAAAAACCCTGCTGTCTCCCTTCTCTGGTGAAGCATCTGCCTCCTCTTTGCTACCGCTCCTCTGCCTCACACGGGACCTTGAGCATGCTTGTGGTATTTTCCATCTTTGTTTAAAAAAAATTAAACGGAAAGAGTGAAAATGACTTTCCGAATGGGTTCCTCATGACTTAGGCAGCGAGCAGTGAGCTGGGCTAGCATGTGAAGGCTTGTGTTCTTATACATGGTGTGCTGTGGAGGGGAGATATCTGGAAGCCACCTGTGATCCATACTGAGGACTGTAGGGTTGGGGTGGGGCAGGGGAGCAACATCTGGACAGAGATAGAGACACTACCTAATAAGAATGCCACTTATGTGCTTTGCCTTAATCGACACCATGAAGTATGCCTTGATAAACTTAATAAATAATAAAAACGATTATAAGAAATCAGCAGAAAATAAAATTATGTTTGATTTTTTAGTAGCACAGCTGGAATTGCTGTATTGTGAGCATGATGAACTATTGCAATGTCAAGAATACAATTGTAAGCTACAAGAATAAAGTTGGTAGAAACCATAGTTATAGTTTTGTTTTGTTTAGTTCACTAAACATAATAATAACTTTGTTTTATCCCCGAAGAGAAATTCAATATGACGACCTAATTCTCGTAAGACAACAGCTTTTTTCTACCAATATTTAAAATTTTATTCCCTTGACGTAACAACTTTATTCTTATGCCATCATGACTTTTTCTAGCAATATTATCCTCATTACAAAACAGCTTTGTTCTCTTCTCATATTAAGACTTGGTTTTCGTTACATTTTCATCTTTGTGATGTAACATTGTGATTCTTAAAAAAAAAATTTTTTTTGTAATGTCATTCACTAAATTATTGACTTTAACCAATTATAACCAATAAAAGTTTATTTTCTTCACCTAACAACTTTTTCCCCATTAAGTAATATTTTTATTTCTGTTTCCACAAAATTTGAATTTATGGCAGAGCTGTTGAAGCGGATTTCATTCCAGTTATGTAACAACTTTCCCTCACAACATCATGGTTTTATTCTGAATTTTTTTTTTCTGTTTCAGTGGCCTTTCTGCTGTCGCATCCTTCGACATGTGCTAAACTTTTTAGAGTTAAGTGTTGTGCATATCTTTTAGATACACTTACCTACATTTGATCAAATGTACCTACCTTTAGAAAGTTTTTTTAATCCATTCATTCGTCTTTGCAGCTTAGTGAGGTTTGGGTGAGTGGTTTGCAGTTTGACATCAGAAAGTTGCCCTCAACCTACGTGTGGTCACGGTTCCCTCTCAAAACCACGTTAGTTTAGGTTAAGGATATTTTTGGACTTTTTTTTCACTTCATCTGTATACATCATCAGACCTTTATGATATATAAGGTATACAAGCACAGAAGCCATACTGCAAGAAGACAAAGAATCAAAAGGTGAGGAGGAAACTTTTTCTTCTTTAAATGATCCCTCTTACTTTCTGAGTGAAGGTTTTCATTGCCTTAGGAGAGATAGCACAGCCTGTCACTTGGGCACTTGCCAGCAAGACTTTGAGGTAACCTTTAACCACTCCCTGCAATCCTCAGCACCTCAGCAAAGTGAGGAAAAACATCTTTGGCAAACCAACGCCTTCCTGTTCCCTCCAATTAAACCCTCACTGATACACACCACAGTACTGCAGTTTTTTTTTTGTTTTTTTACAAACTGATGCCGACGTGACCAGAGCCAGTGGGCCACACCCATCCCTAAAGTGAGAAGGTGTCATCTTCACACACAGCCTCACATCTCAACCACACCTTGCTGCATACATTTCTACACACAAACACTCTCTCACCTGGTAAACCATGACTTTAAAGTTGCGTCTCTTGAGCAGCTCAGCCTCGTTGTTCTCCAGCTTCTTGATCTGGCCTCCTTGCTTCTCCAGGGTGGCCCGCACCGTCTTCACATTGACGCTCACCTTCCGCACCTTCTCCATCATCTTGTTGACGCTGTTGGACGTGGTGCTGTGGCTCTTGGCCAGTTTGGTCAGCTCGCCCTGGATGCTGGTCACCGTACGCTCCATGTCCTGCTGCCTGGTCTCCAACCCATTCTGGGTCTGCTGGATCTTGTCCACTGCTCCGATGATCTTGTCCAGCAAAGTCAGCACCATGACCCCATTCACCTGCTGGTCCCCTTTCGAAGCCTCGTCCTTCTCTTCAGCGGCGTCCCCCTCAGTGCCCATGGTGGACAGCTCTTTTTTGGCTGCAGCCAGGGCATCGTCTTCATCATCTGAAGGGGGGAGGTTGATCTCATCGTCTGAGATCTCTTTGAAGGCCTGAAGGTCTGAACTTGAGGGCTCCAGTGCTTCCATGGCTGCCATGTTGGTGGATTTTAGTGGACAATCAGCTGATCAACCTTTCTTCACTTTGGATTTTTCACCTGCCGCTCTGTTTCTTCTCTTCCTGAACCGTTGAGCTCTTTCCCTTCTTCTAAACTCACTTCTCTCTTTCTCTTTCAGGCACACATGCACTCTGTCTCTCCGTCTCTCAGTCTGTCCGGTCTGCTTTCAACCCCTGGAGTCAGGCCAGTGTGCAGGAGAAGCCAAGCGATGCTGGATGTTACAACATGAGCGTTAGGATGTGAATGCCACACCAGGCAGAGAAACCCTCCAGTCAAGCTTCAACCGGCAGTTTTTTCCCCTCGAGCCCCCCCTCCTTTTTTTCCATGGGACTCTCCTCCTCTCGCCGGACTCCTCCCCCATCTCCTCCCTAAATACACACACACACCAGCAGGACTCCACCTCCAGCAGCCAGCTCCAGCCCCTGGGTGATTCACGGACACACCCCTCTGGTGGAGCCGTGTCCCAGCAGCATGGTTGGAATAGTTAGCAGAACTGCACTGATCTGCTTGTATACAAGCTCAGGCACAGCAGAGGGAGGAATGTCAGGCAGGATCTGTCCCTGTTTCCACTCCTCTCTCTTTCTACGTACAGTATGTTCACTTTATTGAAGGCAGGGCTGTCCTTATGGTGGAAAAATAGACACCTTGAGGACATAAACATCCAGGACCTAAGCTTCAAGACAAACTAATCTGCTGATAGTTCTTAGAGAGGTAAAGACTAGCCATGTGTTTGGGTCTTCATGTGGTCTGAGGACTCAGCCGCAGGCTTTTGAATGACATGGGGCTGTCCTGTCTGTTAAGATGACTTGATTATCATAGTTTGATTGAAAAGGCAGACAGATTAAAGATAAGTTTAACAAAGAACAAACGAAAACAGAGGCAATAAGGCATCAAAGTTTATACTGTAAAAACACAGAATCTTACAGATATCAGGAAGAATCTCAGTGGGTAATCAGTCAGTTAGTTAGTTAGTTAGATAGCTAGTTAGTTGGTAAATTAGTAGGTTAGTCAGTTAGCTAGCAAGTGACATCTTCTCCCTGGTGGATTGCAGCATTTTTAATAAGTTAGTTTGTCAGTCAGTTAGTTATTTAGAGATTTGGTTCGTCAGTAAGCAAATGACACAGCATTCTTAATAAGTCAGTAAGTAACATTAAAGATAAATCTTATAGGCTTTTCTGTTCAATGTGACAGCCTGTTTAACTTTGATGTCCTGCTAATTCAAATATTCTTCAAACTCTTTCAAATTTTATACACACAAGATCAAGGCTCCCCACTGAACACATCTCTATAATTATCTTTTAATTACAAATTTCACAGTTTTGATGATTGGTCCAGTCTGAACTCTTCCACATGTATTTCTCAGTCATAATTATAGCGCCATCTGTTGAACACAAGTGGTGAGAACTCATGTATACACTTTAAACAGGTTTGCAATAGTAACTGTTTCCTAAATAGACTCTCATGAACATATATGATGATAATAATTTTTAATTTCAGTCAGAGCCCTTCCTACTGGTCAAAGGCAGAACTACAATATCCACTCTGTTCTTGTAACGACCAACAACTCTCAAAGGGGTAAAGGAAGTAACATAAACCAGAAGGTAAAAGTTAAGGTAAGGTAAAGAAGTGTTTTAATAAAATAACAGGATAAATGGAAAACCAAGGATTTCTCTAGGTATACAACACAAATCACAAAACTCCAAACAAAATCCATTCACAATCTAGGGACAAGCACCAAATACAGCCAGGTGTGGGAAACAGGTCACATTAAATGCAGTCGCCCTCAAATGAAATGCCAACTGGAATTTTAAAGGAGCAAGCCACCAAGTTGCCAGTCCCCGATTGGTGAACGCTAGCCACTCAAATCACCAGATGCTCCAATCACCCATCTCCATCCGGCGGCCTTTGGGGAGGGAGCAAACAAAGCATGCATGCGCACATACCCATACTCTCTCTCTCACACACACACACTCTCCACAACCTTTACAGGTGGGCCGTAATAGTTCTTTAAATTGTATGCCGACAGTGTTGGTCCTGGCTTATCTACTGCCCAGTGTAAACAAAGGCATGAGGACCAGTTCATCGCCACTTATGACTTTAATTCTGAGGTTTTCCCTTGGATGGTTTAATTTTGAAGCTCATGCTGATGAGTCATCTTCACAAGTATCACTGAGTTAGTTCCTTTGACGTTTTTTGTGCATCTTTGTGATACGCTCTGCTTTGCCCTCTGCACAACATGCAAACTCATGACAATCACAAGGAACATTCGGATGCATACAAATTATGAAAACCACATGGCGGCATGGAATGAGGCACACAGAACTATCTTCAGGCGCGTGTTTCCAGCAGAAATCTGCCACCATAATTTATGTACATTAAAGGAGTTCCAAGCTACTAAAATTGCCTGTTGGCAGCCAGCCAGTGTCCTGGTTTAAACTCTGCACCCTGTACAACTGAGAGGGGGTGAAAATCTACTCTGGCTGTTTGTAAGAGGAAAATTTCAACAGGATCTTGTTAGTTCTGACTCAACAGTTGGCCAATTGTGGACTATTCCGCCACATCTGGTAGACCTTAATCTGAGGACATTTTGAGAGGGGGTTTTGGTAGCACACTGTTAATGGTTCAAAACAAACATTAAATTAGAGGTACAACTGAGTACATTATTATCATCTACTCTGAGCTCGATACTGCGCTGACTTGAGAAATAAAGGGGACTGACATTTCAAAACTCTTGAGAAATTCAGAATAAAAATGTTGCTGTAAATATATTTTGATGTATTCATGTGTCTTATGCATTGTTTTGTTTTTATCAGTGATTTGTTCCTATTGTGTTATGCAGCCCTGTATGTTTCTTTGTTTGAAGGAGTGTCGTATCTGTGAGTGTGTGTCTGCCTATTAGGCACTGATGCAGTTCCTACCTTTGATTGGCCAGCTTGGACAGACTGACCGCTTCAGGATTGGATGAAGATTGTCTTAGAGGCACCAGAATAAACCAGGAAACATTATCGATCAGGATAAATTTGGGGAAAAAAAAGAAAACATGACCTGTAATGACTCCACAGATTCATTATCATTTATTTACTTTCTTTTATTCTTTGATTTTAAGACTTTTATTTAATTAACTTTTAACGTTTTATCACCTTTATTATATTTTATCATGGTTTTAATGTTTCAGTCCTAGATCCAGGGTTTTCTCATCTTTTTTAACTCAGGATAGCGTTTCCTCAGTCATCTGTGGCAAGTTAAAAAGTCCTGGTCTTTTGTGTATGCATCTGTGTGTGAGTGTGTGAGCACTGTATGTGTCGGATGGGGGTTGGGGGGTGGGTGGGGTTTGGTATTTGTATTTGTATTTATTTTGTTGTTTTTTTAATATCCTGGGCGAATGGACAGCACTTTGTGCTACATTCCATGTATGAAAAGTGCTTTAAAAATAAAGTTTGATTGATTGATTTAAAGACAGTTGTTAAGCATTAAGCTTTAAGAGAGAAATATATATTTCAGTCATGGAAAAAGGCAAAGAACATAAATATGTGCTGTGATAGATATGAAATTTACCAACAAAACAGCAGGATGATCAAGAAAATTGAAGTGAATAAGGTAAAAACTTATTACACACTCCAGAAATGTTAAAATCTCTGGATGAATGGGGTTTAATACAGTTTTTTTTAAATAAACAAACATTAGGTTAACAGAAGAGCTGGGGTTTATGCCATGTCATTGATAATCCTTGATTATCCGCGTCAATTTATCGGTGGCCATATAAGCATCCGGTATTCGTTTCCAAGATAAAAGTACTGACACGTTAGTGAACGTAATCTAGAGAAACTAAAAGCCACAAAATGGTTGACAAGATAAAAAGATGTTTCCAAAAAGTAGAAAATAAAACTGTAAAGGTACTGGTTTCATTAATGATTCCTAACATGCTGCCAAAATAAATCATACTTTTATTTTGAAGTCACCGCTTTCTGTGGCAATTTCCGGGACAAGTCTCTCACTTGACGCACCGCCCTGCTGGACCACCGCAGCATCCAGCATCCAAGGGGGGTTTGACAGATCAGGGGAACTGCTGGTCACTCAGGTGAGTAAAGGGATGATTTGAATGCAACAATTTAGCTTTTTCAATATATTGCAGTGTGTTTTATAGTGTTGTAAAGCATACTGAACCTCGGCCCGGGTCAATATTTGTCGTTTGGCCATTGAGGACGGTGGTAATATGACACCATCACCTGCCTCTGTCACGATAACGTCTGTTAACGGTTCATCTGTTACGTTAAATATGAACCTTTTTTTTAAAAAGAGGATATTTGTTATTTTTGTGTAATAATGGTGTCTTGTATGTAAAATCGGACATATTGAATGTGTGAGAGGAGGAGACAGATAGGCCGGATTACAGCAGCATCATGGCGTCCTTGAGCAGTGAAGGGCAGAGCGGCAGCAGCAACGGAGGAGGATGCTGCGGCACCAGCATTGCTCTGATGCACGATGTTAGATTGTGGAGAAATTATTATATGTATACACATATATAATTACTATATGCTTAATATCTGAACGGTGATGTCGTGTGTTACATTATTGGAAAGGCTCGTCCATCTTCAGCCAATAGGCGCTCCCTTTTCCTGATCACTTGTCATGTGATCATCATACAGAAGCCTACCATACAGTTCATCATGGAGTCTACAGATGAGGAATGAAGCACTTTACTGAGCAAAGAAGAAGGCACGACTGTTTATAATTATCAGCAGTATATGAACATGTCTTAAAATGATTTACGTTTAGTTGGAGATGGACTGATAAATGGGTCAGGTTATTAAATTTATTATTAAATTTTATGATCGTCTTCTGCAGATACCTATACGCTATATGCTGAGTCAGCCACTTGATAGTTGGTATAGGTGTGCTAGATTTCCTTTTATTTTTATATTTTACATAAGTTTGTCATCAAAAATTAACAGGAAAATATGTCTTGTAGTAGTTTTGGGAAGGTGGTGGGATTTAAAGGGATATTCCGCCATAAAATTAATTCAGGGTCAAACACACCGTAACACTGAGTTCGACACCTCCTCGAGAGATGAATATTGCCGACTGCTTGCTTCTCTAGTCATACCAACTTTAGTAAAGACCGCAGATAGCAATACAGAGAGCCACGCGCTCAGCCACAAATAACATGTTACTGGCTAGGATGGCTTTGGGTATCAGGTGAAACAGAGGAGCTATACCTCACTTGTTTCTCATGTGTTGTCATTAGACTGTCAGAATTTTATCAAATGCATAAACCAACTACAGCTCCCAGAATTCTAGTTATTTGCATCAGCCATTGAAAAAACAATCAGCTGACTCCTACCCTGTGGCATACATGTGAAACGATAATGTGACTATAACCATTACCACTGCTTGATGTTCTGTTGGGCTTTTTTCCTGAACATGTTTAAGATCTAAGTTTGATACGGGACCCTTCATCACTCACAGTATACACATATAGTGGTCCTAACCAGCTTTTTTATGGCTGCTGATCCTGATCCAGTTTATTAGAATAGAGAGTATCTGCTCATACCGAACTTGTTTCTGAGCTGCACACTGTCACTTGGTTCAGCTGAAGTAACATTAACCTGAAGATGTCTTCATCTTGGAGGACCTTATCCTGTGTGCAGTAAGGCTCCGCAGCAACATGGAAAAAACATGCGAGCATTCAATGTCTGTTTTAAAACTAACAGCAGTCCCATTATGTTTGAAATGGCCTTGTACACTAACAGACGTTTTTAGATGTTGTTTCAAATTGCTAGTTTTGAATGCATCTCTCAACTGCTCACAACAAGACAGTATTTGTTCTTAGAGGCTGTTGAACTCCTTTATTTTCACTTTCTAGTTTCTAGCTGTCATTTTATCCGCAGGGTTGCTAATGTTAAGATACTCTTGAGTGTGCGATTGGTTGCAAATTGTGCTTGGTTAACACGCATGTCAGTCAGACAGCTAACATAGATGATGGGGGGGTTACAATCCTGATCCCTGGTCAGTCAAAACCATAGACTGTATATACTATGGACAACCTGGTTCCGCCCACCGCCTGTATACGGATTTCATTTCCTGAAACCAGTGCTGTGCAGTAGCGTTGTGCGCATTCGGCCGCGCAGTAGCAGAGAGTCACTGTGATGACGCTCGGCTCAAACAGCGTATCCCCCCGGAGATATGTTGTAGTTATTGTGAGAATGGTTTGTGCTCAAGTCCTCTTTTTTCTGTACAGCTCCATTATTAAAAGTTATTAGGAGGTTCATGTTTTCTATGATTGACACCTGATACCGTCTATGGGCGTACAAGGATTGTGTAGCTTGGGCGATTTTTTTTTTGTAGGATGGTAGGGAAAAGTCCCGCCTCCTTCGCCTCTGATTGGCTAGAAAAGCTGGAAACATCATCACACGCTCAAGCCAAAGGCAGGCTGTCAGCTCTGTACTTCAAACAGAACATTATCACACTTATGAATCTTCTAACCCTAACCCTAATCCTAACCCTTACCTGACAGACATTGACGTTTCACAGTCATCAAGAATAACCAATCGGAGCTCAGCACCTATAGCCAATCAGAGGCGAAGGAGGGCGGGACCTTCCCCTTACCATCCTAAAAGAAATATAACCACCCGGGGGATACGCTGTTTGAGCTGAGCGTCCTCACAGCGATTCTCGGCGACTCTCCCGCCGAATGCATACAACGCTACTGCGCAATGTTGGTTTCAGGAAATGGAGAAAAATCGCGGAATTACCGAGCGCCTTTTGGCTTTAAATCTGTATACAGGCAGAAGGCGGAACCAAGTTGTCCATAGTATTTACAGTCTATGGTTGACCCACCGTACACAGTACAATTTGTTTGCCGCTTCAAAGTTAGCAGAAGACAAAAGTAATTTATCGTTTCACTTATCTGATTCTTGCTGGTTAGCGGAAGACCGGTGAAGCGCGTCAAAGACGGGCACTCGGGTATTTCTCCTCCATGAATCCTGAGGTGTTTAATCATGTTGGTCGTTCACCCTCCTTTGCATGATATAACTGTGTTGTTAATGTTGCACTGGGATAAGAGTTCATTCTTCCTGCTAAAGTTAGCCAAACTTTTGAACGCAGCCGCTGTGGGCTGCTGTGTACTCTCTTATCTCTCTGTGTGGCTTCTTCGTCTCATGCGCTTCGGCGTCTTCTTGTTCGTTGGTGTTTGGCGGCGTCTTCCTCGTTCGTGTTGGCCGGCTATTTCTTCCGGTCGGCGGACCCCAGCATCGAAATAAGGAATCGAACTTTTAAAATTTGTAAAAAATTAAAAAAAAACGGTTCCGGGAGAATCGGAATGTTAGTCCCTGTCCCCACCGATGCTCGAGACTCAATGCCCAACCCTAACTGTATATTAATATTGCTAGTAAAAAGCAGTTTCTTTATTTGTCCTTTGACCTGACTTTTAACTAAAACCTCTATTTTTCTGTCACAGGTACAGTGTTTCTTTGTTGTAGTCGAAGCAGACTGAGGTTTTCATCATGGGGGAGCTGTTCAGGAGCGAGGAGATGACCCTGGCCCAGCTCTTTCTCCAGTCAGAGGCAGCCTACTGCTGCGTCAGTGAGCTGGGAGAACTGGGCATGGTCCAGTTCAGAGATGTGAGTATGACACCCTGAACCCCTGCTTGGTAAACATTATCATATTCATGAAATGACAGACAGGTTTTATATCAAATTAAAGGGCATTACTGAAAGACAGAAGTAGACAAAAAGTGCAACTGCATTACTGAGTTGAAAGTAAAGATGCTGCTGGTCAAATATAACCCCAAACAAGCAAAAGATGTTCAGTCTGATTATTACTTGAGTTGAAGAGCTGGGTACTAGCTTTTAAAAATACTCAAGTATTACAACGCAAGAAAAATACACTCATTAAATGTCTATTCTGCTGTGCTGTGCTTGTTCTGAGAACATTATCTACATGTTTAAACTCAGATGAAATAGATATCCAGATTTGCAGATCTAAAATAATAAGAACAATTGAACAACCTGCCATAGAATAAAAATGTGCACCAAACCACTCTAAGCACAAGAAAGCTGGTTTGAAACCTGCATTTACGAATTTTGTAGCCTACCAAATGGTTCCTACTGTTGCACCTACTTATTTGCAGGGTTCTAAGAACTTTGGCAAGGCTTTGTAATAATTTTGACTTTTTTTTCCCATCACAGCTGAATCCAGATGTGAACGTGTTCCAGCGCAAGTTTGTGAATGAAGTGAGGAGATGTGAGGAGATGGACAGGAAACTCAGTAAGTAACAATACAAGGCTCAGCTAAGGGTACAGTACAGCACCTCCCAGTGATCAGTCCAACCTGAGCTATTGAATAAAAATGCAAAATATCCAAGTTTCTTTCTTTTTTTTTTTTTTTTTTTAAATCAAAATTTCAAAGAAAAACTTGATTTACAGATGAACGTATTTACAAAAGGTCTTTCCTGTTGAACAGGGTTTGTGGAGAAGGAGATCAAGAAAGCAAGCATCCCAACTGTGGACACCGGAGAGAATCCAGAGGTGCCTTTTCCAAGGGACATGATCGATCTGGAGGTAATTAATCTGCAATCAGCCTCAACATAAACAAGTGTTGATAAAGCACATGATGAGAGCTCCAAACAGGAGATCTCTGGTTGTGAATAAAATATTACCAGGTGTATGGTAGAGGGCTTTGAGTTCACTGATGCAGGCTGGGTTCTTGGGGTAGTTTTAGATAGCTGTGAGTGGAAATGTGTCTGTGAAGAGATAAATCCATAACAGTGTGTTTCTTTCATGCGACTGCCAGGCCACTTTTGAGAAGCTGGAGAACGAGCTGAAGGAGATCAACACCAACCAGGAAGCTCTGAAGAAGAACTTCCTGGAGCTGACGGAGCTCAAACACATCCTCCGTCGAACGCAGCAGTTCTTTGACGAGGTTTGCTTATTTCCATATGCATTTTCAGAATGCATTATCAGACGGTTTCTGTAGATGAAGAAACAATGGTCTCTGTGATTTCTTGGACAGATGGAGGATCCTAACCTGCTGGAGGAGTCATCAGCACTGATGGAGGGCAGTGAAGGAGGCCGAGGGGCTCCACTGAGGCTAGGGTAAGACCTACTCTGAATCATATCCTCTTATTTTTTCCTGAATGTTAGAGGTTATCATGTCAAATGAAAAACTGCCTTTTACAATTTGAATTATCACATAATAATTCCGTAAAAGACACATCTGATGGTTTTTAGATCAGATTCTTTTATCCCTCTATGATCGTAATTTCATACTCAAGCAATAAAAAAGGATTAGTAGTTTATTTCTGCATTTTTTGGCACTTGTTGAGATGTGAAAAGGCTCTAGATGGTACATGTAGTTTTGAGTCAGCATATGAGAGCATTTCCAAGCAGTTTATAAATCAAACATTCAAAGCATTGATTTACCACACTACTAGAGGTCAGAAATCCCAAAGACATACATTCCCAGTTATATCTTATTGATGAAGACGAACTATGAACACACTGTGGTATGTTTATTCCTCTTCTGACTCTTTCGTCTGGTTTTGCAGGTTTGTGGCTGGAGTGATCAGCAGGGAAAGGATCCCAACCTTTGAGAGGATGCTGTGGAGGGTGTGCCGCGGTAACGTCTTCTTGAGGAAGGCAGAGATTGAGGACCCTCTGGAGGACCCCACCACGGTATGTATATGTAAAAAAAAAAATCACAAGTAGAACTTTTACAAATTCACAGAAATAGAGACATTACTCTAGTGTCAGTGTAGGGTCTTTAACAACTTTGTTTTTTCCAACAGGGAGACCAGGTTCACAAATCTGTGTTCATCATCTTCTTTCAAGGAGACCAGCTGAAGAACAGGGTGAAGAAGATCTGTGAGGGGTGGGTTTCACAGATGATGAATATGAAGCCTCAGATTGAACAGTTTATGCTTTCATTGCATTTTCTTGGCCTGCAGTAAAGTGTATTCAGGTTCAAGAGAGAGAAAAGGAGAAAAAAAGAAGGTTTAGACGTCATGGGCTGACTGTTGGATTCTTTCCAGGTTCCGTGCCTCACTTTACCCGTGTCCAGAGACCCCACAGGAGAGGAAGGAAATGTTGGCTGGAGTCAACAGCCGCATTGATGATCTCCAAATGGTATGTTTGTAAACAGTTACTTAGTGAACTCCTACCACTGCACCATTTTCTATCATTGAATTCAATGGTACATTTCAAATAATAGAAGTTGTGACCTGCTTCTCCTCTTCATTTTTGTGGCACTTGTCTCTGTTCATATTAGGAGCATCATATGACATCCATTGTTTGTTTGAAGCCTTTGTTTAAATTCAGACATGTGCACATGATGTGCTTCACTGGCTGTGTTTATAATTTCAGCCATCCATACAGTGGCACAAGGAGCAGAGTCCTCCAGTCCCTCCTGTCACTCAGTGTTTCATGAATTTCTTTTATATTTCATCCTGATCAGTTTGTGTGAGACTGTAACATTGATCTGTTGTGTTCACACAGAGTTGATTTGCTCATGCACATTAAGCTCCAGCTGATTGTTAATCTGCCAGTACAGGAGTCACCTTTTTACCATTGGTCTTGAACAGGAGTTGATGTCCTGCTTGGTTTCCTCTCGTTCTTTATGAATCAGATGATAGGTGTCAATAAGAGCTTTAGCCTGACCACATTCAGACCTCACTGTTTTCTGTGTGCTGCTGTACGGGGCTGTGTCCTGACTTTTTGATAAGCTACAGCACTATTCTGAATTGCCAACTTTACTTCTGTGTTTTGTTTTAGTCACTATTTTCCCAACCAATATTATTAAAGCCCACATTATTATTTTGAATGTTTTATGATTGTTCTTTATTTAATAAATGATGCTCTAATTAAGGTTTTGTAAAAAAAATAAATCTGCATATTCCTGTCATGCTCTGATATTGAGTCAATAACATGCACAGATATTGATCAATATCAAATCAAATTGTGCCCCAAGGAACAGAAACTGAATTGAATTGTGAGGATTTTGACAATACCCAGTCCTACTGTTGTATGCTGTTGATATAAGGAAAATCTTCCTTATTCAGTCACCCTTCTGTAGGCTACAGCTTTATCTTTACAGCTCTGCTGATAAGCGCGTATGTATTGTTGTTGTGTTATCAGCTCTGGCCGCCTCGTCACTGAGACGTAGTCATGCCCTGTTAGACGTATGCATGAGTCCTGCTCATTGTTTTGGCACTAAACCATTAGCAGTGCAGTTCTGTTTTTGCTTTTACTCAAAGGGGACATTGTGCTCTTTGTTGCAGTGCTGCTCAATAAAAAAAAAAAAAATCATCCAAAACCATGCACGACAGGAAGCCTGCTCAGGGTCATTTTACCTCGATCTAATTTATTTCTAATCAAACGACAATGGCCCACATATTGCAGGGAGTTAGTTTTCTTATCTGTGAAAGACCTTTGTCCTGACTCACAGTGTTGTGGTTCCCCAAAGTGTGCCCTTATTAAGCCTGGAAAAAAGCCCTGGTTCTGCTTGAGAGGTCTGCTGGAGTCTGAGCCTGCCAGCCAGATGTAATGAATTACTCTCCGCTACAATGGAGTATTTTACTCAGGTTTACAAAGAAACTCGAGCTCTGTGCATAAACATGTCAGAGTCCGCCAGTGTTGTTGATCCATTCATCAAATCTGACAACATCTACTCGTGCATGAAAATGCTGCATATTCTATGTGTTTAATAAAGATTATCGTATATAAAATGACCATATTTGATGATCAAACCACTGCAAAGGGAGAAAAAGACTGACTTTCAATTGATGGAAAGAGCTTTGACTTTTTTGTCCTCTAATCAGCCTTTATAAAACCAAATATTCCACATTTCCTCTGAAGGTGCTGAATCAAACAGAGGACCACCGTCAGCGGGTGCTGCAGGCTGCCTCAAAGACGATGAGGGTTTGGTTCATCAAGGTGAGGAAGATGAAGGCCATCTACCACACACTCAACCTCTGCAACATCGACGTCACCCAGAAGTGTCTCATTGCTGAGGTTTGGTGTCCTGTCTCAGACCTGGACTCCATTCAGTTTGCTCTGCGCAGAGGAACGGTGAGTTTGTTTTCTTCTTGTAGTTATTTATGCTTTTCATCAGCGCTGTTATTGTAATGTTTACGTCAGCAAGGCGAGCATCAGAGTCAAACTTTTCCCTCTGCTCTGGCAAAGTTAAAATCTCAGAGTCCCTCTGCCAAACAATAATATGATACCTTATTATCAATATGTTTTTATACTCCCTGAGTAATAAAACAACACATTTAAGTTAGATAAATGTAGTAGTTTAATGTGCAGTAGCAGTCCAGAAGAGTTCTTGTTGTATTAAGAAAACTATCGACACTATTGGCCTTGACAAAGGGTTAGTTGTTCACAATTAAATCTCAGTTTTCACCTGTTTCCTAAAACTCTGTATATCTCCTGAGGAGTATTTGGTTTGTGTTGATTTTGGCGCCCCCTGTAGGTGAAGATGTACAGCTTATCACCTCGCTGATCTTGTTGTTTTAATCCTACAAAAGTATTTTCTATGTACTTGTAGAAATGTGTAAATAGTGTTTCCTCATCAGAAATCTTGTGCTGCTATCTCTGACAGTCAAATATACATTCCAGTGAGAATCCTCGCCATGGAAAATGTTAAAGAGAAACAGCTGCTTTTCTTAAAGAGTGCACAGTTCATCACTTTATCTGACACCTACCCTCTGGCTGTGGTTTCAGGCTTAAAGAATAACTCTGTAGTAAAGAGTTATCTTATCACTGTTCATCGTGTTTATTTTACTGGTCATACAAAGATATTGGTATGAATTTCAGTCAGCTGGAAAACCTGCAAACAACTCCACAACTTTAAAGGCCACAGAAAACCTTGAACAGCAACACTGGGATGTTTTCTTTTTGTGTGAACTATGAAATTACATAAATTCAAACAGGATTTTAAACTATATTTTAATTCAGGGTGTTGTTTTTTTTACATAGATATAATCAGAGCCTTTCATTTCACAGGAGAGGAGCGGCTCAACTGTGCCGTCCATCCTCAACAGGATGCAGACCAAGCAAACTCCACCGACCTTCAACAAGACCAACAAGTTCACATCAGGCTTTCAGAACATCGTTGACGCCTACGGCATCGGGAACTACCGGGAAATCAATCCAGGTTTGATTTGAAGCTATGACTCCTCCCGTTGTCTCTCTCTGGCTGTCCTCTGAAGAGTCATTGATGATATGATTCAATTAGAGTCGTTAGGATTGTTGGTTGACATTCTTCCTCCTCTGTGTTCCAGCACCGTACACCATCATAACCTTCCCCTTCCTGTTTGCTGTGATGTTTGGTGACATGGGTCACGGCCTGCTGATGACCTGTGCCGCCCTCTATCTGGTCATCCGAGAGAGCCGCCTCGTTGCCCAGAAGAGTGATAACGAGGTACGCTAAACTGAAGACAAGTGAATCCCATAAGCAAGACTCGAATGGTTTAATATCAAGGAGAGAAATGAGAAGTCGTTGTCTGTCTTTGCAGATGTTCAACATGGTGTTTGCCGGTCGGTACATCATCCTGCTGATGGGGATCTTCTCCATGTACACTGGCCTCATTTACAATGACTGCTTCTCCAAGTCGCTCAACATGTTCGGTTCTGGATGGAGCGTCAGACCCATGTTTAGCACCAAAGGAGCCAACTGGTCGTAAGTAACATTCTGCTCGTGCTATCACATGAGCTCCTGCTGTCTGTGTACTTAGAACAGGATTAGAGGGAATGTCAGAAATTCACACAGCCAATGAAGCCAATGAAGAAATGCTTTGAATCCACCTTTTGACATATGGAGGGAAAACTCCACAGAAAGAAGCAAATGTTTTCCCTGGAGTTTCTGGTCTTAAGAATGGAGTCCTCTGTATTTAGACAGATTTTTATTATGTGAATGATAGTCCTCTTCACAGTAAGACAGGGTTTGCTTTCAAGGGTGGCTACTTAGATTTGTCATGTCACGACCACAACAACTTTGTTTTCATGCATTCACTTCCTGCTGCTCTATCCAAGGTTTGAGACGCTTGACGGGAACGCAGTCCTTCAGTTGGATCCAGCTGTCCCTGGTGTCTTCAACGGGCCCTATCCACTTGGAATCGATCCGGTAAAACCTCTTGGCTTCCCAAACCACCTGACAAAATTCCTGAGTTAACAGCTGACTACGTTATCTCATGTGCAAACTTGACCTCGACTACATACATGTGCTGGTTATATGTTACTGTTTTTCAGTGTGTTCAACTTAAGTAATGAAATGAATAACCAATAGAATAACCACAAAAAACATCTCCTGTTAAGTCCCCAGTACTTTTGATTTACAGATGTGCACCTCAAGGTAAAAAAAAGAGAAAACTGACACACCCTCTTCTGCTGGTATTAAAGGTTCATTCCTTTTGTTCATCTCTGCAGATCTGGAACGTTGCCTCCAACAAGCTGACCTTCCTGAACTCCTTTAAGATGAAGATGTCTGTGATCCTTGGCGTCATCCACATGATTTTTGGAGTGTCACTCAGTCTCTTTAACCACCTGTAAGATCTGAGCACATGCACCTCAAACTCTGGTCTCACTGATTGATTTTTTTAATGGTTACGACAAAAGCAGCTTTGTCTCTGTTGTGGACTGTCCATCCTCAGGTACTTCAAGAAGCCTCTGAATATCTTCCTGGGCTTCATCCCAGAGATCGTCTTCATGTCCAGCCTGTTTGGATATCTGGTTTTGTTGGTCTTCTACAAGTGGACGGCCTATGATGCCTTCACTTCCAAGGATGCTCCCAGCCTGCTCATCCACTTCATCAACATGTGTCTGTTCAACTACAGTGACCCTACTAACAAGCCCCTCTACGCAGGACAGGTGCTCCCTCCCTCATCCTCCCTGCTGCCTCTCCTAGCTTCCTACCCCCTCTAACATTGCATGGTTGAGCCTTGTTTCAGAGATTTACACCAGCTTAAACTGAACCAATACACAATAGTGATTACATATAATATATTCTCTACCGATCAGGGCAGCACAGTTTGAGTGGTAGTGTTTTTTGATACTTCTGTAGATGTTTTTCCTGCTCGTAGAGACGTGATTTGAGGGCATTCAGTGACAGGACTGACTTTCAAACTCCTGAATTTCCCTCTCTGGTGGCAGAGGTTCAGGACCATCGAGGCGTTTGTCATTTTTAAGGTCAATCCGTACGTTTGAAAATGTTCTGGCAGAGTGTGTTGATGTACTCAAATACCAACTCAAGGCTAAGTTATGCTCTACGTTAGATACACATACGGATAAAGAAAGAGCCTTCCATCTGTACTCTCATTTCGTTTATGTTTCTGCACATCCTTTCCAAACTTGAGGATACAGACCAATCACTGTAGTAGCATTGAAAACTGTTGGGGCAGTAAAGCTGATATTTTTAGGTATTTAAAGGGCGTCACAGACCACTGTCTGCAAACTGCCTCTGATTTGACCTTCCCTGACAGATACATTATGAATATCTCTGCTATTGTTGCCGTGTTTGTTGATGTCCTAAACTTTTGACTCTTTTTTTGGTAAACTCTCCTCGCAACACCATAAAGCAGATGTTGCAAACAGCTTACAGAAATGTGATTGGCTGCTACGATCACACTAATCAAAACATATGGCACTATTTTTGTAATAAGGAGGAGCATAAACGAGCCCTTAACAATTTTAGTTATACACTGTCCATGCAGTGCAAATGTGTACCAATATGGATACATGATGAACTAAATGTAACTCAAATCTAAGGTCCCCATATGCACCATAAAATAGGAAAAACTCCACACACACAGCGCATGTGTCGCCCTTGTTATAGGATAGTGAGACAGTGATCTCAGTGACTTTCTTAACAAAATACCTCAAAAACGTAGAGTTTGAATTCTTTTTTTTTGTCTGTGATGAATCTAAAAGTTTTTCAGATTCCATAAAATGTAACAAAAGAAGTGTTAGGTGAAAGGTTTCTTGAAAAAGTACCAAACCAGGTTTCAAAACATTTCGTACCAGTACCCTCCGGGTTCTGACTTTGCTGTTGCTTTTGAAGACTTTTGGCACAGCAAGTTTCCTGATATGTACCAGTTTACCAAAATAAGTTGAAAGATTTCAGTTTAGAGTTCTTGGTTAGAGGCAGAATAGGATAATGGGTCCAGAATTTGGTTTGTTACCTGCCAAAATATCTTCCTACAAACAGCCTCTTTTTTTCACATAACAGCAGCTGAAGCAATCGGTGGATATGAAGCTGCCAGTTTCTGTGCTAACAGTTCAGCAGAGGCGAAACTTACTCATCTTGACCTGTACCAAAACAAAAGCATGTAGTGTGCTCAGCCCCTTCGTTTGAGATGGTCTGTCTGTTCTCTATGCTAATTTAAAACAACAATTTGAAACTATGTGAAACTATTGACCCTATCAACATTTAATCAGAGTTTGTATTCTTCTGTTCCTATCACCAAACTCTTATCAGGAGCCTGAACTTCTCTTTTTTTCATAGTAGAAATGCAGGAATGTAAAAGTCGGCCAAAGGAGGGACCAGCATTCGCTGTTGTTACTACTTTGTTCACCTTGTTGCCAGATGAAGCCCAAGATTGAAACCATAGAAATACTCTAGCAGAAAGTGTGCAGTCTTGGCTTGCAGGTCATATCAGCATTGAACAGTTGCTGGATGAAAACAAGGATCTTTTTTTAAGATTTTATTTATTGCACAATAGCAAGACTAAAGAGACGTGGCGTTTGCAGGGTTTTCTGTGGTCGTAGTTTCACAATAGTACTTAGTGTAGTGTTTTCTGACCACTGCTGCACATCACCAACACCTTGTTAACCTCTCTCTGTTTGAATCTGTAGATGGGGATCCAGGTTTTGTTGGTGCTGATTGCCCTTGCATGTGTTCCCTGTATGCTGGTTGTGAAAACTATGGTGCTTCGGCGTCAGCACCTGTGGAAAAAGCACCTGGTATGTGAATCTGACCCCACCTTTAACCCTTATTTCTACGTCTGAAGAAAAAAAAGTTATAACCTTTTCTCTCACCTCTATTTTTGCCATTCATTTCAATGCACATTGTACTGTGTAATGTGGTTGGTTGTGTTGCCATGAAAACTGCTTAAAGCCAGCCTCAGAAACGCTTATATTTGATGGACAGTGTTAAAAAACTCAAACTGAGGGCACCTTAACAACTTCTTAATCGAATGATCTTGTCCAGCACACATAGAGCATAAAAGTGAAGTAGATACAGTGAGGGAACTTATCATGACTAATGCACTATGGTGATATTCCATTTTGTTGTCAGTCCCAGCTCAAACATCACAGCCTGATTGGTGTCTGTGTACCTTAAATGACAAATTTAGGTCGTATTCAGTTAGTACAAGCCTAGTCCATGAGACTCTCAAAATAAAGCTTACTGAGGAAAACAGTCATGCTTTATTAGTTTTAATTGTGCATCAAAAATGCACTCAAGATAAACTATATAGAAAGGTTTCAGGCATAAAGAATCGATTGGTTATGTTTTCACTTATGTCCAAAGTTACTCCGAATAAGAGCTATACAAATAAGAACATATTTAATTATGTAGTTCAGAAAATTCACTGTTAGGAGTTATTAATGTAACTGTAATTGAAAAAGAAAAGCCAAACAGTTCAAAGTCCTCTGAAGTTTTTCTCCGATTTTAGTATTACTCTCAGTATGTTTATACAATGATAAAAAGATGAAAGATATTGTTAAAGTTAATTTTTTTTTAAATTCATATAATAAACACATTTGTTTACATACCTTTAAAACGCAGCCAGGGATCCGTTTTCTTTTGTGTGTATTCACTTCAAACGGACTTAAACTGTTAGAATCATTCTGTGAATACCCCACAGTTTGCACATTCAGCTTTCTTCTTGAGTTGAAGTTGAATTAAATAAACACATAAATAGAAGCCAAGTAGAGCATAGGGATGAACAATTTACTCAATTAATGGCAGCCAATGCCTGTGTATACGAGGCGCTTTAAAATATGAACAGATAATATCTGCAGACTCTGCTGGCAGCTTCATCAGTGGGCCTGCTGTTGGACAACAAAACCATGACTTTCCCATCTGAAATGAGAGTCACTGGCTAGTGTTTCATGTAAATTCTGTTATGATGCATAGAATACTAAAGTTTAGTGTTGCCTCTGACATAAATATCAGTCATGTCCTTAATAAGGAGCCCAACTCACCGGGTTTTTCTATTTTGTGAATTAACTACAAATCCATCTTGAAACATAATAACAGCAAAGATAAGCATTTAAATTAGATATATGCACTATTGAGTCACCTGTTTTTAGTTATTGCTTTCTGCATTGGCTGTTTAAAAAAGTTTTAAAAAAGTTTAAAAAAAGATTGTTTTGGTATGTGACTCAAAAGGTAATCCATGTTCAGCTGAAAAAGGCGTATCACCTCCCACCACCTTAGAGGAGGCAGACATGCCTCTGTCGTGACTTGGACTGTTATTCAGTGCTTCTATAAACAGCTCAAAGATGTTACTTTGAGAATCTAAATTTAAACAGTTAATTTTTTTCCTGATTCGTCATAAATCTCACTCTGGAAAGATCGCCCTCACTGTCTTTGCTCGGTGCCCTTACTTAAAGAACCAAATGAAAAAGAAAGCGTTCAGTCTGAGGCTTGCTTTAAGCTAGACACAGCTCTTGTGGCTTTTGTATCTAGTCCCAGAAGAGGGAAGAAACCCCTGCAGAGAATCTAGAGCAGTCTTTAGAGCAAACAGGCGTGTCCTCATCATGCACCGGACTCACCCAACAGGGCACGCAGAAGTTCGGAGGGGTGCGGGTGGGCAACGGACCCACGGAGGATGAGGCTGGCATCATGGACCACGACCAGCTCTCCCAGCACTCAGAGGAAGGAGATGAGGTAGATACTGATTTTTATTTTGACTTTTCTCTGTGATATCTGTGTGGCTGAAGATGCCATACCCCAAACAAGTCAATATGATGCAAAGTTTTTTTCCATTTTTACAGATATTCTAAAGGCATAGTGAGGAGTTTTGAAAAGATTTTCAATCTGTGCAGCTCTAAACACAGAGGCCTCTTTCTGTTTCATATACATATACTGCCACTAAACTCTCTATTGCATCTTTGTATCAGAGAGCAGAGTTTCTCCTGTGTAGTAACATGAGAAGTGGGTAATGTGGGCACAACAATGTGCAGAGAGAAGGAGAGAGTAAGAGCAGGGCTGGAGGGGAGCAGATAAGAGATGGATTTTCCATTTCAGAAACATAAACAGAGAGGTGGTTTTCATGAGAACCAGCGAGTGGAATTCCTGAGAATACCACCCAGTTTTTTTCTATGACTCATACTCCTGGTGTCTCCTAGGTCTCCTACATAATAAATCTCTCAATATTTATTCTGGGATAACAAATTGCATAACTGTCATGTGATAAGGCTGCTTTATTTCAACATTATTCCAGGCATATGATACTTCTCAGTGACATTACCTATCAACAGGGATTTGGAATGTGATATTGCAAAATTAACGGGAGTATCAAGTGAATCAAGCAGGGCAGCCCACTGTAAATGTTATTGTTCAGGTACATTGATATTTTGTCTGACTCATTCCTCTTGTATGACATCATAAAAACACTAAAATTGGTGTTTTCTGGCAGCGATAGCTCTTAAAGAATCCAAATTTGTGGTGCTGTGGATAAAGCCAAAGGTAGTTTAGGATCTGAGGTGTTCAGAGTTCTGCAAAATCCTCAAACCGAGACCCAAACCTTGCATGGTCCTGCAGTATGATTTAAAAGTTGATTTTCAAATTAAGCTCAACATAAAACTTACATGCCTTGTGTTAGAAAACAAGAAGAAACCCAAATTTAAAGTGAGTTTGTGTCTAGAGATTAGGGGTATGAACTGCAAAACATAATTCACAGTTCCAACAGTGAGGTCTGGATTAACCCAGTTCCTAAATTCAGCCACTAACCTTTGACCTTCATTTACTTTTAAGCACGCAGAGGAGGAGCCGGTAAGAACTCATGTTTGGTATCATCATAGCATGTCTATACAAAGTCTTGTTTTCTTGTTTAGTGCATCTCGTAGCAAAGGTGGTTTTCTTTGTTTGACCCCTGGTTGACCCGTCTAAAACCGTCTTCTCCTGAACCGTCTACCCTCCTGTAAAAGGCATGTCTTGTGTGTCGGACTGTGAAAGTGTTTGTGAAAGAGGTTTAATCGTTTAGAGAAATGTTTTTAAGTTTCATTTTCAATGTAATTTACAAGTGTGAAAAATGAAACTGAAATCATGCATTTTCATGAAACGTCTGATTTTTGAATGTTTTTTCATTTATTTTACTACAAGTGAAAGTTTACTGACGTTTCGGCAGATGTCAGTGTTGTGCAAAATACATGAAACAAAGAGTTTATTTGTATTTCTATTACTTTTCTTTTTCACTCTTTATCATTGTTTTTACACTGACGTACACGTTCAATCTCATTACTCCATTTTCCTTTGCAATGTTCTGAGTCAAAGTAAGCAAAAGGGTTAAAAGTTTCCTGAATTTTTTCTCACTTCATAGAAAGGAGATAAAACTTTATAAAAAGAGAAATATCTTTTACCTTCTCATCTTATATAATGTAGACAGCCATTTGCTCAATCCTCTGAAATAGTCTCCAGGCCTCACGCCTTAATGGTAGTGTTGCACAGTATACCAAAATGTGAGTACATTATCTTGACTTTAACACTTGGTGGTATAGCTTTAGAATTTTCGGACATTCTGTACTTTATATAAATCAAATGGTTCAATATCAATCATGTAAGTGACTGAGAAAGCAGTATTTTTTTATCTGAGGCCACTGGCAGAAAGAAAAGCAATGCCTCTGACACAGAATGTCCACTACTGACAACAACAGTGGGTCATCAAAAAAAAAACCTCCTCACTTTGAACCAAACTCACTTGTCAAAACCTGTGTGCAGAAAGATGGTGCAAAGTAATGCCATGCAAGGGGAGGAACACTTCAAGCCTCATCAAGCTCCTCACTGACAGGGGTGTTCAGATAGCCTAGCGGGTCCCTCATGTTGGGGACCATGGTCCCTTCTAGGCAGTTCAAGTCCAGCCCTGACCCTGTGAGGCATGTCATTCCCTTTCTTTCTCTCTATCTCCTACATTTTCACTCTGTCCTGAACAGAAAAGGCCAAAAAAAGGCTCCTCAGAGACACTCAAGCTCCTTAAGGACACCAAAGTCCATGGATTGCTTCTGAAGCATTTAAGAGGAATTGGTCTGTTAGTTGAATCAAGTTTTGTTCAAATATAAACTCGAAACATGAGGTTAGGTTTGTTAGCTTCTTTAGAAATCAGAATTTTACCAGCAGGCTAACATACCAAACCCTGAGGAATTCTAGTACCATATAGGAAAGTGGCAAAAAAGCACAACATTTCAGTGTGAAACATTACTTTGTTCTCCACATTAATGATCCTGGAGCAGCAGATAAACAAACTAACGTTAGACACTTGAAATTTTAAGGCAAACCATTAAAAGATAAGTTTTCGCGACACAGTTCAAAAGAGTTTGAATCTTACAAGTTTTTTAAACATGTACTTTTATGTTTTTCTTTGTAAACTACTTGCTAATGTGCAACATGTAACCATGGTTACATAAAGTTCCTGTTTTCAGGGGCATGAGGCAAGTTTGTCCCAAAGCTTTTAGCAGTATCTGATCCATCCACCTTGATGAAGGGCGATTCAGTCAACTGTGGGTGTGACTTCAAACAGAGAGCACTTTGTAGCAGAGTGGAAGTGGGGAGGGACCAGTTCGAGCCTTGGATCTCAATAACCCAAGACTGAATCAAGTTTAGAGTGAAGTGTATTGATGATGTCCAATTAATGAGAATTCACCCCATATTTAAGACTCTCCCTCTGTCTGAAATAAGAGTCTTTCTTTGGAGAAATCTGCTTAGCATCGTGAGGCAGGATCACAGGATCGATTCCCAGTCCCAGGATGATTTGGTGCATGTCACCACCCCCCGACCAGAAAGTGCCACTTGTGTTACATGGTCAAGCTTTTACAGAACCAATGCAGTCCATTGCTTGTTATTTCCTTTACATATTGGTTGAGATTTTAGCTTGTAAAAAAAGAAACAGTCAGACCATCCACTCTCTAGACTTTAAGCCTGTGAGATGGACATGACATTAACTGCTCACTCCAGGTCTGACAGGCAGCTCAGATGTTACCAGGGTACAGCTAGTGTGAAACTGCATGCATGATCAGGGTTTACTGTGCCATACCAAACCAAACCGAACCAAACCAAACCAGATTACTTGGTGGAAATGCACCTTTAGTATTTTCACAACAACCAACCTCTGTCTAAATGTTCCACACAAAAGCAAAACCAAACCAAAGTCTCAGAAAGTAGCTTATCTAATATTTATACCTCATCTTTACGCTCCAGCATGAGTTTATTCTGAAACATTTTTTAAACACACCAAGTGAATTAGAAACTTTGGATTGAATTTAATCCAAGTAGAGACTGGAGGTGAGGTGTCCCACACAAACCCTTTCTCAAATAGTCTAATATTCAAACCAGTGACTGATGCTAAGGGTTCTCATGCTCTAAAAAACACAGTGTAGCCCACATCTGAAAGTAGGCATATTCATATAAAACCTTATGCCAGTAGGTCTCAGTAGGACTTAGTCTGTAATCCAGTCCAAAAGAATCCATCTTCTACTCTGAAAAGTAGCATTGACTTGAGTTTTGTTTGGTATTTATAAGCGATGAAGGTGTAGCAAACATAAAGGTTTCCCATCTGTGCTAATAGATGGAATCTTATTTATTTCCTGCACTATAATCTGTTCAAAACAGCATCTCTAATCAGAGCCCCTAGCCTGTGTATATTTTGCCATTACAGCATGCTAGCCGGTGTTGTTTTCATTAGCCGCTCTGTCCCAGACCCTTTCAATTGGAACAATAAGTGCTACTTCCATGAACTCTATTTCATGCGTCCAAGGACAAAAGGCAAGCATGGAAAGAGGAAACCAGATCAGTGCCAAGCCAAACCATACAAGAACAGTACAGAGCAACAGGCTTCCATGTTTGCCCCTCCCTGCCTGTTCCATACAGGAAAGGCTAGTTTTGCTCGGGGAAGGAGAGGACGGAGGAACTCTGTTGACTTTACAATACACAAACATGCTGCTGCTCTGTGATCCTGCAGGGAAAGAGAAGAATCAGACTCACACGACACAGACATTTCATCCTTTTTTTATCTGTTCAAACAGAGATCAGTGCTCAGGCAGGGGTCAAAGGTCAGAGGAGTCACTCATTAAGATGATGGACACTTCATTCCGTGTAATTTCCTCTCTCCACGTTGCCCTGACACCTCAATTGTTGTTACTGGCCACACTGTGAATAGCAGAGCTGGGTGATAATCATCTCTCAGTGTTAAATAGAAAGCTTTGTTTCACATGCCTCAGCTGATAAGTTATGATGGCTTGTGTGTAGGTGTTGTGTAATTTATGTGTCTGTTTTTACCGAAAGAAACAAAACTTCTCTAACCAGAAAAAACAGAAACGATTTTACTGCAATATTTATGGAAAACATGTAAATAAAACAACAAGCACTCAAACTGAGGAAAGGTGGAGCAACACTTCATAAACTAAATCAAAGCAGAGAAAGTCACTCCCATGTCATCACCCTTATCTAATTATATTCAGATTTATTATCCAGCAGAAGACATCACTGCTTAGATCAATTTTTTGTTATGATTTTATTTTAATTATTTTTTTGTCTTGTGTTAATGATAACTATTTTATTTATAATACACTTAAAAATGCGCCGGATTGCTTTATTTTCTGCATCATCACAATCTGCTGTAATTTTGAATTTGACTATTTCCTGTAGATCTGAAGTCGCAGAACTGAATGAAAACTATTAAAATAAAATTGTAAATGTTTGATTGATCAAAAACCTGAAGAGTCACAAGATCTAACACTGTTTTGGATTCACAGTAAATCTTGAAATATCAAATTTAGAGTCAATTATCATCAAAACCAGTCTGCAGTAAACTGTAGTTTTTACTACAGTCATGTGACATCAGTTACATCTGCTGAATATAAAAGTAGTAGGAAGACAACACTGTGGTTGGCTTCCATATCCCTCTGATGTTTTCAGTCAGGGTTAAGGCAAAGAGGATAAGAAAGGACTTAAGAGGCATGATTTTACTTTACACCAGTAATCATTTACCTTTAAATGCAGGTGATAATGAATTTGACACACCTTTAAATGAAATGTCAAACTGAATTAGTTATGAAAAGATAGTTGATTATGGTTCATCTCTCTATGACTACAGCTAAGTTTTTCAGATGCCAGTGCTCTCTGGATGAATGATATCATGAATGCATCTGTTTTTATTTTTATCAACTGCTAAAGTTATTGAAAGTCAGCCTGTTTGTGTGTCCAGCATCACCTCCTCCATTTCAGAACAACTCAAACTTTTTTTTGCCTGGAGTCTAGCATGAAGTTTGCTGTTGAATTTACACATTTCTGAAATCTTTCTCCTTTTCTTTTTTAATCCTGTGTGATTTCTGTGTATGTGCTGCAGTCTCATACTTATGTATGGGAAATAAAGGGGTGTATACCTTTTCTAATTGGAAACATCAAACACAAGCTTCAGACTTATAAAGACATGGAACTCACTAATTTGAGAACACTGGGAAGATGTTGGTGGATGACTTTTTCAAACTCCTCCTCTAAAGCCTTATAGACTCAGTAATAAACTATGAAGCTAGCAAGGCAGCAAATCATCTTTTTATCTGCTTTACATGATTTCTTGGTATTTCCTCATAAGTTTAAAGGAAAAACTGTTATGAGTCCACTCACATCTGTACCTCAAGACTTTTCTTTTCAGCGCTGTATCTCAGTGTCCCTGTTTGTTAAACAAAAAGATCATCAAACATCAATCTTTCTATATCCATGCTGCATAACATCTTGTCTTTTCACAACAGTTTGACTTTGGTGACGTAGCTGTACACCAGGCCATCCACACCATAGAGTACTGTCTGGGATGCATCTCCAACACGGCCTCATACCTGCGCCTGTGGGCCCTCAGCCTGGCTCATGCACGTGAGTGAAGTCATGCAAACACACACTCAAAGCATGCACAGTCTAACAACACCTGTTCTGCAAAATCATATTCAAGTATGTGAGAGTAAAACAGCCTTTCTGCGCCCTGCCTGATTTTGTGTTACACGCTGTGATGTAAACTTTGTTATCACCACTTTGTGTTTGTGTGCAGAGCTGTCAGAAGTGCTCTGGTCCATGGTGATGCGTCTGGGTCTGTCCTCACGGAGTGGGGGCGGGTTCTTTGGCCTGTCAATCATCTTCTCAGCCTTTGCCACACTTACTGTTGCCATCCTGCTGATTATGGAGGGGCTGTCAGCCTTCCTGCATGCCCTGCGTCTGCACTGGTGAGACATGAAAAGACACACACACACACACACACACACTCATATTCCAACCACCTGCACACATTCAGACCATTTTTGCAGCCAAACATGTTTGCGATGTGATGCACCGCTTGCTCTGCACATGACAAATGCAGAGAACAAACTCTACCACATGGCTGCACAGTCAATCCTGCGTTGAGCAAAAGCATGCACTCACCAGGAGGTCTTTCTTCAACTGAAGCTGCAGCCTTACATGCACACAAGTTTTTTCCAGCACATGAAATGTAATGATCCCGGAGCATTCAACTAAACGTTCAGTGTACAGACCTCCAGATAACCTCGCACCCTCAAACCCCATCGCCTCCTAGCACCACCTGCACCCTGCTGAACCAATCTGCACAGATGTAAACTACACTGACACATGGAGAAGTCAGTCATAATTAGACATACAGGATGTTATCCAGAGTGGAGAGAGCACAGACCATCAAAAACACACCATGATGAGTAACACTGACATTCAGGCCTGTGGTGATCACTATGTGCTGTATATATTATTGAAAGATAAAGGCTGCATTCATGAATCATTTTAATGCATGTATTTACATCTTCTCAACTATGTCAGAGATGTGGATCCAGAGTAAGTACTTCAGATAACTATGAGGAGGAGGTGATGTAAGGCTAATGATGATAAATGCCGACTTTCCCAGGAGGGAAACATCCCCTTCAGAACATAGTAGAGAGTTAAGTACATGTAGTAGCTTTTAAAATCACATATGAAATCAGTCAAAGGGTATAGGAAAGGGTATTGTTTAAACTGTGTGAATGCACAATGGCTTACTTAAACACCAGTGCACAAAAATGCTATTTGACCCGCAGTGGAGTTTGTGGTGCGTTTAACTTTTGGCATGTGGTTTGCAAATGAGTCGATATAAATCAGACAAGACTTACACAGGTTTTGCAGCCACAGAAGCCATGCAGTTCCTTTGTGAATCAGGCTGGAGATTATAGAGTTTTTCCATTTATTCATAATCTTCTAAATGTGCTTTAGGGAAATCAGGATCGCTCTTGTACTGAGCTGCATCCCTCCAGTGAGTTAGGTTGCTCTTTTCCTTGGTAAATTCATTCATAAAGTAGTCCATGTGCGTCTGTAATAAACTGGGTGGCTCATTTTTTTAAGTTTAGGTGTATTCTTGTCTCCTGCAGACCGAACAGCTGATCAGAGTTCCTGCAGGTCACTCCAGCCTAGCTTGCGTACCAGCTCTCTGTAGTTTTATCATCAAAGGAGCTGACTGGCATCCATTGTGGCTAGTACACTTATAGTTACATGTTCCTCACAACCACACTTCAAAATAAATACTGAAATATCCCATGAAGAGCCATTCTTACAGTTCTGATGTATTTGTTTTCAACTAAGAAGTGTTTTGCTGTTAACCATGCAGTCAGCGTGGTTCATTACTCTTACAAACTACATGATTGTGGTTCTGATTTCATGTGAGCAGCAGTGGCTTTCTCATGGTAAAGTTCTGTAGAATAAATACGGTGCACTTTTACTTTCACTAAGATTGCTGTTTGGGTTTAACTTTCTTAAAATAAGTGAAGTTATGTTGTAAAATTGGCCCTGTCTGCAGCTGTTAGTGGCCTTGCACCCTTCCTGGTTCTCTGCGTGGTTTCCGAAGGGGCCAAAGCTGACCGGGTTCCCCTGTGGGTAGTACATTTACTGTACCACATACAGCCCCACCCCTGTGTGGTTGACTGACTTTGAATGATGCTAGGTTTTCAGACTACTCTGACTTTCATGATCAAAATTTTGAAGAATCACAAACGATTTGAACAAGTTTTATTTACCTTATCGTGTCTGATTTGGTTCCTGGTCTGATCACAGAGCATTACATAAGGGTTTAGAGATGAGCAGATAAGAGAGGGAGAGTGTTTTCATTGGACAGAGGTATGGTTTCCCCTCTAATGGCTGCTCTTGGCCGTACTGTTGTAAGCACTTTAAGAACAAGCTGTCCGTCTGTCTGTCTGTCCGTCCTCAGTCTGCCTGTTTCTTCTGTAAACTCATGGAAAGTTATCCGACCACCTTTCAAATATGAGCCCAGCTGTTTTTTATCCAGACCGTGTTGTTCTTCAAAGGAGCCTACAGTATGTGTTGTATGGACCCACCTCTCTGCTGAGGGCTGGCTGTATGTTCCAGGCAAGAGGTCATGTTGTACCTAGCTTTAATGCAGACCAGACCCCTATGGAAGAAACTGTAATCAGCTGAAAGGATGCAGAACGGTATAGACAGACTAGAAAGAGCAAGATTAAAGGACCAAACAACACGCCTTTGTTTGTGTGATTGCTCAAGTTAAGTTACTTCAGACGAATAATTTCAGAGCTAGTATATTGAACTATGGGAATCATTTTTGGTTTAAGATACTACAGACCTAGTCCTATTTATGTTGATTTGGACTGAGATAGACCTCTTGATGTTGATCTAAAACACCATTAAACCCAGCTAAATTCAGTACTCTAACAGTCTCAAACATCAGTAATAATGTTTTCAAAATTTAAGTTCCTAGAATTGCACTTACAGACCGTTATTTCAAGGCAAGAGATAGGCAGGTCTTGTCTGCAGTGTGTAACGCTCAGAGGTGTAATGATGGGATGAAGTCGCTCCTCTTCTGATGGTCCCTCAGAGGTAGTAACAGAGGCAGAATGATGGGGAAAGATGTTGATTGTGTGTATGTGGATGATTCAGTGTGTATGTATATGTGGAGTTCTTGATGTGTGTTAACAGCCCTGCCTCGAGTGGTTCTGCTAGTGATGAGTAATCAGACACTGGCACACCAATATCACGGCAATTTGAGGAGTAGTGTGTAAGTACAGAAATGTGATAAAGGTGGAGCTCTGTTCCAGCGCTGTTGCAGGGTTGCAGTGTGCAAGAGGCTTGTTGAAGTCTCAGTTAGTAAGAGGTCTGAGGGTAGAGTAGTAATTATATTGTGCTCACATGCTATTTTCTTGTGCACAAAGTTTTAGTAATTTTAATGTTTTTTTTTTTTTTGATGAATTATCTTGGGTGCCCGGCAAGAAACAGCGAGCAGGACCAAATTACTAGGCAAGAAAAAATAATAGACTTTGCTGTATAAAATATGCTACATGCAGTGGAGTGTATTCATTGTGCAAAAATGTTTTGTTTTTACCATAGACTGTGTATAAAATGGACGGCGTCTGCCTCCTCACTGGGTGAAGCCACCCTGAGAACAGCACCCTCTGGTGGCGGGCTTCAGTATAGGTCATAAATCCCGCCTCCTCCAGCAATCCCTATGGAGCTGTGGACAAACTTTAGAAATTAATTACACAAAATAAAAATTTTTCTCCCCCCTGGTTGCGATGTTGACATGTAGTTACTGTAAGACTGGTTTGTGCTCAAGTCCTCTTTTTTCTGTACAGCTCTATTTTTAAAAGTTAATAGGCGGCTCATGTTTTCTTTGATTAACATTTGATACAGCCTTTGAGCGTACAAAGATTGCATAGCTCACCCATGTCATCACAGCAACCTTTGGCGACTCTCCCGCCGAATGCGTACAATGCTACTGTCCAATGTTGGTTTCAGGAAGTGGAGAAAAAATGTGGAAATACCGAGAGCTCTTCGGCTTCAAATCCATATACTGATGGAAGGCAGAGCCAAGTTGTCCATAGTATATACAGTCTATGGTTTTTACATGTCTTAAAAGGTCTTGAATTTCATAAATTTTAGTTTGAGAATCATCCAGCAGCCCTGTTATGATTCTGTGCTAAAACCATTCATCATTTCCTGCTCAAAATACTTCTGTAATCTGGGCACCCTTTGGTCTGACCATTGACCATTTGTGTTCTAGCTTGAACACAGAATATTTACAACTGGCCTTATTTTCATGATTAAAGTTTGTAATATCAGCTGAAGCCATTTAGTCCCAGGACGGGGTCTCAGTGTCTGTGTTCCTTGTGGACTACTGAAGACCTTCAAGTCTAACACTTAGAGCCTTTGAGAAATTAGTGAAGTAAGGCAGAGTTAAATGTTGGGAACAGCTCAAGAAGCAAAAGAGCATCAGGAACGATGTAAAATCACAGTTCTCCTCCTTTGAAACACTCTAACGTGACATTTATTTGTTTAAAAACTTTGTGTTTGTAGTTCTGTGGTGCTAATGCAGATCACTCCAAGCTGAGGTTTGCTTCACTGCACCTCTCAGGCTCAGCTGTGTGTAGCTGTAAGAGGGTGACGCACCTTCATAATGCAACAGCATCAGCAGCAACAGTGTGTGGGCTCGGCAGGTCTCTGCTAAGGTTAAAAGGAGTAGTGGAGTATTTTTCACAGAGGAGAGTGAATGGAAAGGTTCAAAGTAAACAGCAGTCAATCTCGACCCTCTGCTCTGCTGTCCACTCTTCACACACACGTGCTGATGAGTTGTCTGCACACACAATCACACACGGCAGAGTGAGCGAAGCGAAGTGTGTGCTAGGTACCAGCATTTTTTCCACCTCCACAGCTGTGTCGAAAAAACAGACCAGAGGATTTCTCTCCTCGTTTTACGCGTTGCCCTCTCACAGCTCGGCAGGCCAAATATTTGCCACGGCTGGGAGACATTCCTGGGCACTCCCCGAGCTCACTGAAGCCAGGAACCAGCAGGAACCGAGAATCTGCTCTTATTGTTTTCCTCCTAAATGAAGACATCAGTGGCTGTCATGATTTCAGAATTACAGCATTTGAACTGAAGATACGAGTACATACCCACGGCATATCAGAGTAAACATGGCAGATGAACTCATAAATGAAGAGCAAATCACTGGTGGGGAAATCTGTAATATTCTGGTCCTGGTTTGTATTAACTCTCAAGATTGTTTTCATCTGGCAATGGCTTCTTCAGTGCTGGATTTATTTATTTATTTGTTGTTTTTTTTATATAAAAATAGTGAGTTGCATCGAGTTGGCCAATAATTGTAAATGTTTAGTGGCTCTTAACTTACAAGACTAAAACAGAGATGTATGTTCACATAAAAGTTCCAATGAGGAGCTTTTGGTTTTCGTAAAGTTTGGTCGGCTTAGTTCGACTTTATTGGCAAGAAAGTTAAAACAATCTTGCCAAAGCATCAATAATATTACATATTGATCACTATGCAGTAATTAATTTAAAAAGCATAACAGTCTGTGATTATCTTGTGTTTTGACATAAACTTTATCCTGCTAACTTTAAAAATTTAAATCATCTTAATCTTATGTGTTTATTTCCTGCAAGGACTATATAAAGACTGACGCGTTCATTGCTTTTATTTTGAAAAGAAATGCACTGGAATTAACAGTAGAGAAACTGCTCAAACAGTATGTATAATCTAAGGAAAGGATCCCTCACAACGATACCATAAGTGGTTTTCTCAGGTTTAATATGGCAGTGTCTGGGCGAACAATGACACTACAACTGTAGTGTTGGTTGTGGTTAACGCAAGAAAGCATTGAGTTTGTAACACGTGTGAATCACTATTTATTTCATATACGATATATGTCAGGCTTATGTGGAAAAGATGTCCAAAAAGATGTTTTTCATGTTATTTGTTCTAAAAGGATTCATTTTATGTGTTCATTTCAAGCTGATAATAATAAGCTGAACTTGGAGTTAAATTCATGAATAGATAAACCAGTTCAATTTATAATTCCCCAATGGTTTAAAGATATGTATTATAATGGCATTTAAAACTTCGAGTATTAAGGATTAAGATGCCATTTCGTCTGACAGTGGCTTTACCAGGAAGTTAGACAGATGGAGTGACCCTCAAAGACTTACAACTCTTGATCGGTTGAGCTTTGCTAACAGTGAAACAGTATGAATTATTGTTTGGTCTCAAAGGTCGTAGAGTTTACTCCCAAATTTAGGATACACCTTCACTGAAAAACTTCCAAATCCAGAGAGGATGTACAGAAACTGTATTTTTAAAAGTGCTTTAAACATTCAGCATGTGTCCTTCTCCACAGTGATCCAAACTCTGGTTGACATTAGCAGATCAGTTTTCTGAAAACACTTTTTCAATTCATAATCTATGCTTCTCAATATCTCAGGGGTGCATGCAGCACTCAGTATTGGTGGAAATGCGGGGAGGTGTCAGATAGACTCTCAGCAGCCATATTTGGTCACATAGCAATCTGAGCCTGTGCAGACCATCAGACTATTGCTCATAAATGTCCCTCTCACCGACTCTCACAGTCCATTTCTATGTACTGATGTCATGTCTGCATCTTCGAACTTTGGAGCTACTGTACATTACTGTGTGTAAGACAGAGTTTAGGCTGCATCCTATACACCAGTGCAACACAGCACTGGTATTGAATACAGAGGTATTTTATAGTGTCACAGTAGATTACTCTGGAAGTGACGCTCAAAGTTCAAGTGACCACTTTGCTGCCAAAGTGTGCTGGATACACAGAGAGGAAGAGGAATGCAGCAGCACTTCATTAAATCAGTTTTCCTTCTCTGTAAGCTCCTGATCACGCATTCAAAGAAAAGCGTGGTACACAGTTTAGACAGTCCTTTATGTGCAGGAAAGACTCTTCAATTTGGAACCACAAAGACCAGCTGGGGAAGGACAGGAGGCTCAGCAGCTTGGCTCATGCAAGTAAAGCTGAAGGAACTCCCCAAAACACTAGCCATTCATCACTATTATGGAAGCATATTAAAGACAGGAAATAAGAAGAGGGGACTGGGTCTTAAAAAAGGATACTGAGAGGTACAAAGTCTAACATTTGAGAAAATAAGTGTGAATTATGAGAGAAAAGGTGATAAATATGACAGGGGTCATTAATGTGAGAAAAAATATAAGATTTTAAAAAGTCTTCATTATGTCGGTCATAATGTCGACATAAAAGTTACAATAATGAGACATTATTGAGATAAAAAAAGTCATAACTCTGTGGAAATAAGTTGAAATTATAAAATAAAAAGTCACAATTATGTTTTTTATTTGAAATTATTTCTCAAGAAGTCATAATCTTGACCTTTTAATACCGTAGTTCTACTTCTTTGTGTCTCTATTGTGATTTTCTATCCATAATTATTCAATTTTATTTCATAGTTATGACCTTTATCTTATTATTATGACTTTTATCCCATACTTATTGTCTTCTGTCTTCACTTCCTGGAACCACCACTTGCGCAATAGTATTGTACGCATTCAGCGGGAGAGTTGCTGTGATGACGCTCGGCTTAAACAGCGTATCCCCTGGGTGAGCTATGCAATCTTCGTATGCCCATAATGCATCAGATTTTATAGTGCTTTTTGTCATTCATTCGCTCACACAGTCACGACCTAGTGGTGGTTAACTACCTTGGTGGTCACAGCTGCCCTGGGGCAGACTGACAGAAACATGGCTGCCAGTTTGCGCCTACAGCCTCTTCGACCACCACCACACAACACTCACATTCATACACCAGTGGAGGACACACACTGAGGGCAAGGTGGGTTAAGTGTCTTGCCCAAGGACACAACGGACAGACTAGGGATAGGACAGGGCTCGAACCGTCAACCTTCCAGATATTGGACGACCGCTCTACCTCCTGAGCTACTGCCGCCCAATAGGACCATAGGCTGTATCAAGTGTCAATCATAGAAAACATGAACCCTTTATAACTTTTTAAAAAAGAGGACTTGCGCACAAACCAGTATTACAGTTACTACATGTCAACATCACAACAAGGGGGGAGAAAAATGTATATTCTGTGTAATAAATTTCCAAAGTTTGTCCACAGCCCCATAGGGATTGCTGGAGGAGGTGGGATTTATGACCTATACAGCAGCCTGTCACCAGAGGGTGCTGTTCTCGGGGTGGCTTCACCCAGCGAGGAAACGGATGGCGTCCATTTTATATACAGTCTATGGTTAAATATTATTACTATCAGAATTGCAGAAATTGACTCCAGGTTTTGTTGTTTCAATGTGGAATAAAGATTATTCGGCTCTTTAAAACAGGAACTTCTGGATTTCTGTTCAGTTATCTGTAATTATCAAAATGGAAAAGAAAACTGTCTCTCTTCTTCTTAATGGTCCTGTTTACTTCTTTAGATCATAAAGAGACATCAGTATCGCTTTCAGCTTGTTTTATCACCAGCTAAAAACTCCTGACTAGAGCTTTAAACTCAGTGTAGAGAGGTCAAAGGTCATCATTTAGAGGGTCTAGTCAGTCACATCTGCTGTTGTATTCTGTGTAAGGAAGTGGATCCTGACTAAGGCTGCGACCTGTTGGAATAGTTAACAAGTCTCTGAAGTTCCTCTGTTCCCGGGCAGATTTCCTGTGTTGTGTGGGAGGATTTTTCTTTGGTCTGTGAATTACTGTGTTGGAATGTGCCCTGCCTCAGAAAACAGTACCTCCAAAAGATTTTATCAACCTGCACTAATTCCAACCTGACAAATATCTGATTTATGTCAGAGGATCTTTGATACTACAGCTCACATTGAAACGCTCTAATGAACTCCTGGACCTCTGCTGTGCTGTTGTTCTGTTTCATCAGATCAGAATTTAGTCACAGCAGTTCTTCTCCTGCCTGTGCTCTTGTGTACTGCACATACACTCAGACTTGATGCCATTGCTATTAGCTTCAATCAATCAATCAATCAATTAATTAATTTTTATTCATATAGCGTCAAATCACAACAGTCGTTATCCCAAGACGCTTCCAGTTTGATGTATTACAAAGACCTAAGCTAAAGATGGTGCTTCAGCTGCACCTTCTGCTGAGAGCTGCATCTTCTGCCCTGAAATAGTCATGAACAGATTTGTGCTTTTTTTGAAACTGGGGTTTGAGCTTCACATCAAATAACCCAAGAAGAGGTTAGAGTTGCAGTTAGACTATTTGTGAATTAAGCTACTTTTTTCTTTTACTGCAAGGACTCGCTGCTGCCTCTCTGCCCCTGATCAGCTGAAGTAATATTTTAAGTTTCATGCATTAACAATCTAAGGATACGCTTTGCCATGAACCTTTTACGCACTTACTCATCACTGCTTCATGTGGGCTCCTGTCGGCTGGCCTGCATCTTTATCCATACACTGAATCACTGGTGTGTCCAGGGCTGAAGTAGGACTCATTTTCAGTCCTAGAGTGTTGTGTATTTATTACCGTATTTTCTGCACTATAAGGCGCACCGGATTATAAAGCGCATTAAGCCAAAAAAAAACAGTCAGATAAGTCAAAATTTATTTAACTCATTCAATAACTCCACGAGGCTACGGTAGCTGCAGTGCTCCGACAAGCCAGGAGGATTTTAAGTGTGCCTTATAGTGTGAAAAATGCGGTAGATACACAACAGAATAAAGGGAGGGTCTTATCTCCACACCAAAGTGATACTATGATGAGCTGATGGGGAGCCAAAGAGCTGGGTTTTGTTGCCAAGCCAAATGATCAGGGATCAGTACATGTGGAGGAACAAATGTAACTGCAGAGCCGCTAACCTAAACTTAACTGTCTGCTAATAATGAGCAGCCTACTCATACCCCTCTTTAATGAGTGCAGCATATACAGTCACTTTAAACCAGCTCTGGCTACCCTGCTACCAGCCCAAGACATTCCCTGGTTCTTCTGATTGGCCAGTCTGGACCTAAGCGTGTCCTCTGTAGCTCCTTTTCACTGTCCAAAGCTCTCTTTCCCACATAAACCATGTGAGCTGACAGCTGAATCCTCCTCTTCATTCTGACTAAACTGATATCATTCATATTGATCATGTGATTTACTGATGTCTCTGCTCTTGTCGTCCCTCTTCAGGGTGGAGTTCCAGAACAAGTTCTACTCCGGTCAGGGCTTCAAGTTTGTCCCCTTCTCCTTTGAGAGCATCCTGGAGGGACGATTTGACGAGTGATCAGCCCTGAGCTCTTCTGTCCCTCCTTCTCCTCCTCTGTGTTTGTGTTAGTGTGTGTGTGTGCATGAGCCCAAGTGCAGCCCTCTTACACCCTCTAGTGGTCATTTTTGTAACTGTTATTGTGTGTGAGCTATACTGTAGTCCTTGTCAAAGGTTTTTCCACCCCACATGTGCCAAGCTGTACTCATACTGGAGCTTCTATTGCTGTGGCACAGTACCATGACTGTACTGGACCGGGTTTGTTTGCACCTCCTCCGCCAGCTTTCCCCCTAACATATCCATCACTCAGTGCAGCTGCTGAGGTCTGTGTTCATGTAGATGAATCTGGAAAGAACCAAGCCGTGTAATGGTGATGGTAAAATCACTCCTTCACCGTAGCTTACAGAAACTAATGGCCTGACTTATCCTCACCTAACCAGCTGCACTACACCTTCAGAAATATAGACACCAACTGCAGGGCATCTTTAGCTTATCTACATGGAAGAACTTGTTTCAGAGCAGCACACTCCTTCTGCGAACCAAAACACACATTTAGCCCTCTGATGCGACGTCTGAGCTCCCTCAGGTCAGCAGTGAATAGTTGGGGGTTTGAAGAGCACATTCATTGACTTTTCTAAAGAAGAGCGTTGTTTTTAAAACCCACTCACCCTGTTTTTTAGGAGATTGTGAAAAATGTTCCTGTCTCTTTTATCCTGGCCCGGACGCACCTAGACAGGTGATTTTTTAAATCTCTTGTCTATGTTGATTCTGGCACCCCCTGTGGACAAAGCGGTTTGTCCTGAATGCGTCTGAAACATGTATTTTTCACAAAAAAGAATCCCATTTGTCACTCAGTGAAAATCTTTGTCATGGAAGATGTTTTTAAAAAGGTCATTTCAGTGACTTCCTGTCAATAATTTTGACCGAGACCAACACGCCCTCTGAGTGTGTCTTTAAATGGATGCTCTTCTTTGCTTTTTGAAAGGCATAAAGACACATTATCATTTGTTTCAGTCTGTTTAATGGTAGACCAAAAACATAAGCTTTAAATAAAAGTAGATCAAATAAAAGAAAATCTGCATGATAAAAACTAACAGTCAGAATTGTTGACGTGTGTTTAAATTTTATAGTTTGACTCTGTTCAATCTATAACAGGAAAAAGATAACTTTATGACCTTTACTACCAACGGTCACCAGGGGGAGCTCCAAATGCCCTGGCTTCATTCTGACAGCTGAAGAACGCCAGATTCCTGTATTTCGCCCACTGTGAGACTCTTATTTCTAAAGGTGTGCTGTTTTTGAGGATCAGGGTCGTATCCGTGTTGTTAAGTTGTGTCCGGTACAGTCTGGCACAGTGTGGATGTAGGAAAACCTTTAACTATTCATCAGGCTGGTGATAAACTCTGTCAGATTTACTGACATTTTTCTCCTGCAGAATCAGAATCAACAAACAAGCAGCCTGAAAATCTCAGTGTTCACTCCCACATGTAGACCTGTCTCTGCAGCCCACATTAAAAATATGTGTTGGTGATGATACCTGACTGGGATGACTCAGTGTTTGAAAGTACGTCCAAAAAATCCTGCCAAACAGCTAGTAGAGTTAAGAAATGAAATAAGTGTATTGGTTTGTGATGATCTGACTATGACACAGTGTTATATGAGCGCTCTTGAATGGAAAAATCGCAGCCTCCAGATGATGAGATGAAGACATATTTACCTCTGTGCTGTGTCGTGAACCCCTCTGTGCTCTCTCTCTGTAAATTATTGTGAAACAATCGAAGGTCTGAACTGATTATTGTTAAATCTAAAAGTTTGAAACATTTCCAACTGCTTCAGAAATGTTAGAGGAGTTTGTGACACACATAAAATTCAACATATCAGAGCTTTAATTAATAAATGGCATGAATGTGCAATATTTACAACAATCAGGACACAGCATCTATCAGAGCTAAGGAAGGATGTTGAGTTTTACTGAAACTCAGAAAAGTAATCAAATGATCAGAGTCGTAAAAGTTCATAGAGTTTGATGTCAGTTCACATAAATTTACAATCCTACACAGCTGATGTTGGTCTGTGACTGGTGAAGTGAACGGTGATGTGTCTGTGATCAATAAAGAAGAAATCTATTGGATCATCTTGTGTCCTGTGTTTTGTCTTATTTTAACAGCTGCAGTTCAAAGAGTTCAAAAGTCCTGAAAAAGTTTATTTGTTCCCATAATCTAATTTAGAAAGTGAAACTTTCATATACTCTGGATCTGTCTCACACAAAATGAAAATTTTCATGTTTTTTTTGTTTGAGTCCTGATGATTACGACTGTGGTAGAAAAATTTCCTGTGGGACGTATTCCATATAACCCTGCCGTTGTTTTGTAGGGAAGAACACTGGTGAATAACCACTGAGAGTTATTGTTCAGGTCATAAAACTGAAGGTCAGTGGTGAGAGGAGAAGTATTGCGTGTAGAACTGCAGATGTCTGATGACCAATGAAAAGACTGAGAATGTGTTGATAAATATTGTCCAATGAAAACATGCATGTAAAATATCATAAAGAGACAATGATGTTAGAGAGTGTTTAAATAGGGGAAATGCCTTAGCTTCTGTGAGACCTCTCCATTTTATTCACTCTGTTAAGATAGGTCATTTGCTTGAATTTAGCTGATAATATACAGCGTGCGTACGACTTTTATTCTGAAAGACATCACCGGAAACAGTATTGACGTTAGCTTGACTAAAACTTTAGCTAAAGTGTTTTGTAGATTCTTCGGTGAATTTGGTTAAGTCGACAGTCGGTGTGGCAGTGAAAGTTATTTCATGGCAGTAGTCTTTTAAAGTTTTACTAACCCGAGCTTAAAGTGAAGTTAAATAACCGGGGCGGGTTAAAAGTAACTACAAGAACTAGTCACGGCGGAACAAAAAGGTGGACCACAAGCCGAGTCCTGTGGCATTTAACGCTACCTCGAGTTCAATCTTCACCGTCGATATTGGTAACCATTTCAGTAAGCTAGTTGAGATTTCATCAAATCTGCATGTTTCCCTGTGTTTTTACGTGAATTGAAGCCGTGGGATCGGAGAAAACAAGTGCAATGTGGTCTCCAACAGTTAATGGTAAGTTCTGCAGCGACCTTTTTCATTGAACATTAAAGTCACCAAACTCCGGTCAGAAATATTCTGATTGTTTGAGAAACTTTATTAATAAAAACTGATCTTTGTCTCTAAAAGAACAAAGGTAGAATACTCTGATTCAAATAAGTTTCTTTATACTCAAATCAGCATTTATTTTTAATAAAGCTGTACTTCTGTAGGGGGTTCTCCTCCAAACAATCCTGTAGCAAACATGGACGTACTTCTTAAGTAAAACTGGAAAAGTTTGATGAATCATTCGTGGCCGAATAATAAAGTGTGTCTTTTTGACTTTATTTAAAGGCTTCTTGCCTGAAGGGAAGGTAACATTACATTTAAAAAAAACTGCTTTAAGTTATTTGTATTGTGAACTGCTCAGTGGTTTGGTATAATAGTTCGTAAAAGTAATATCAGGAGCAAAAATCAGAGTTTTTTTTCCTGCATAGACATTTTGTCAGTAAAAACTTAATTTCATACTTTAATAAAGTGGAAACATTGGTGTTTTTGGATAATGATGAATGAATATCTGCATTTGCACCATAGATAAAAAGATAGTGTTGTTTAGCAGGGGGGATGAGTACTAAACTTTTCTACTGAAGTAAAAGTACAGCGACTTTATTGGAGGAAGTTAACATACTCGTCTGGTAATCTGGTGAAAGTATTTTATTTGAAATGTACTGCAAGTTTTGAGTACTTACTTATAACCCATGGCAGTGAGGATGGAGGGAGTAAGATATGGTCCACAAACAGTGTAAAAGCACACTTTCCTGTCTTATTGTTGTGATATAAGGAACAGCATTAATGTGTACTATGATCTAAACTCTTTACCTACCCAGTTTGAAGCTACTAATTACTTTTGCAGCAACTTAATCAGTATAGCACCAAAAGTAGTTTAAAGTCATGGTTGGTTGTGCAAAGAGGATTGGCCTTAAATATGTTCAAAGTAGATGAATATTTATATTCTATTATTGATTTTATTATATCAGGAGAGTAAAGTCTGATATCTAAATACTGAATCTCTTCGCTCATCTGCCCCACATGATTATAATGTCAGGACTCTGAAAAAATGTGTCAAATTGTTGCCTAAATTAACAAAGTTTGTCTTTAACATAATGAATTAAATCATAAAACCTTGATGTATTTTTTCCTGTGGCACTAATACTCGGTCAGATAGATTAATCACAGTCCTTTATTGATTTTTCGATGATGATTTGATCACTTGATTCTTCGAGGGCGTTCTCCCTCCTCTGCCCTCTCCTCTCTCCTCACATCTTTGTGTGGTGTTTCATTTGCAGATGGGGGAATGAGTGAGTTGTTGAGCTGTCATAAACAGAAACCACTTTCTGATGTAATCTGCAGAGAGGCCTCTATTGAGCAACATCCGTCATTTTGAATGTGGATGATTGAGTGATTGAATTGGACCTAGACTGTCATGTTATACAAATACTGCATAAGGTAGAAGCACAGGCCTGGTGGTCGCCTGTCAGGCTTGATCATGTTCTCTGAGCGTATGCAGACTCTTCAGGCCTGTTTTGATTGGTGTTTGCAATATTAATAATAGTATTGTCAATTTTCTTATTGTCAAAACATAAATTAAGCGATTAGCGATATGAATTACTGTTTATTACACACCCCTATGATCAGTAGTCCATGTCTCTGCAAAGTTGTCATGTGTACAGTGGAGCCGTAGGTGATGATTTTTAGACATGTAAGCCTGGACTTAATTGTGAACTGGATCTTGTGTGCTTTTATTGTGAAGGAGAAGTCAATGTGCAGCCAATCAAGCATGAAACCCCTTCTTTTCTCTGGTGACTGGTTGACCCCAGCAGAGAAATTCATGCCATATGGTCTTTAGAACAACCACACCTACTCTCTCCACCACCCAGAAAGGCTTGTGATGTGGTTTGTGTTTACGATGCTGTATTAATCTTAATCTCTGCCTGTGAATCTCGCAGGACTCCATGTGATGGTGTGAGGATGAGACAGGGTGGTGCTAGCAGCGGCTGCAGCCCTGGAGGCTGATGAAGCCGCTCTGTCGGCCGGTCAGGATGCACATAGCTTCAGTGGGTTTCAGCAAGTTCTGCTTCCTGCTCTCCCTCGTGTTCTGCGGCCTCCTGCTCCTGCTCATCCCTGCCCTCCAGCCCTCTGCGCGCCAGGCAGACCTGCCCCAGCCCCGACCCCAAGTCAGGCCCGCACAGTTGAGCTCATCACACTACAACAGACTGCCAGCAGGATCGATTCACGAAAGAGAAACAGACTCTATCACAAAGTTAAAAAGGAGCTCGATAAGACAGGGGGCATTTAGAGACACCAGGAAGGACAAATATGATCCGAAGAGGAGAACAGACCCCAAAACAGGAGCTCTTACTGGAGGAGAGAGTGATGGACTCGCAGGGTTCAAGACTCGGGACCTGTTAGAGTTGAAAGACATTTTTATTGCAGTGAAAACGACAAAGAAGTACCACAAGTCCAGAGTGGGGCTGCTGACCCAGACCTGGGTTTCCCAAGCTCAAGAACAGGTGAGTTTAGCTGTTTATTATTTTTTTACACCATTTCAATCCATTTCATGATTCAAACAGGAAGAAGTTTCTCCAGAAGAAAGTTAACGTTACCCAACCTCTAGATTGCTTCCTCTTTCAAAGTATTGGGGAGTCAAAGTAAACAGGTATGTGACAAGATCTGAAGCCAGAAGATCTTGCAAGACTTTAGTGTGACACAAGTTGACATTCATGATGTGATGGTGGTGGTGGTGGTGGCTGTATCAAAATAGCCAAAGAAGAAGAGGAAGAGTACGTTTACTACTGAGAGCGTCGGCTTGTTCATGCTGCAGATGTTGGCGTCACTGACCACAGCTTTGTCCAAAATAATCAGCTGATCTCTTGGCAAATCTTCAACCTGTGTAGGGATCCTTCATTTGAGACAGCTGTACGAATTTGATAAGAGAGACCTGAGATTGGACTTCCATTTCATATAACAGAACTCATAAATAGAGCAACAGCAGCCACAGTGATCAAATGTTTGGTTTAACGTTTGCACTGATATTCACATTCATTTCTCTGGCAGAGTTGGAGTGTAACACTAAGTTTGATTATTAGCTGAATGAATATTTAGCAGCACCCTCACATCTTGGTTACAGGTGGGCTCTCCCTGTCTTATCAGTAATTATGACATGATAAACTATAGTGAACACGTCTCTAAACCGTCTCATAACTTAGCATACACGTTGAGAACAGCTTAATGCAAACTGAATACGATAACAACCCCTGTGGGAGAGAAGTGTTGCAAGAGCCTGAACCTCTGTTACCCAAGACCCTCACCATCCAGTGTGGGGTGTGGTACGTGGGCGAATCACCCTCTGTAATGAATTCACATTTCGTGGTCTCTGAATCTATGTGCTGCACACTGACAGCAGCTCAAACACTCCGAGCTCATCTCTTATATCAACACATTCCTGCTCCATGTCCTTGTTGACATTTCGAGGAACCACAGGACGTTTATAGGAAAATAAATCTCGACTTCGCCCCTCTTTGCTCTGTAAGAGTCCCCTCTAACAGACCAAGTTGGTTATTGAGGTCATTTGGGAATTATTTAACAATCTCAGACGCCATATGTTGCTCCTCACTCTGAGTCTAACACATCAGATTTAACTTTATGAGCCTAAACCTCATGACCCTGACCATAAAACAGAGCACTCTTTTCAGTTTGATCTTCCTCTGTAGTGCAGATTGTAGGAATTTGGACTGTACATCAGGGATGGGCCGTATGGGCTGAAAATTTATCAAAATAAGATGTGCCATTTTGTCGATAACGATTAAAGTCCCATTAAAAAATATTATAGCTCTAATCTATATTTTTGACTCATTATGTCTTGAGAACACCAGTTCATAGAGTATTAATATAAGATACTTGGCCACAAGTTTGAGTGGTAGGTTATGAAGAAAACTAATGACATCAAACAAGTCTCAAATGTGAAAACATTTCCAACATTTGTTAAAAACTCTTATTGGACAGAGTTAACAGCAGCAGCTGATCCACTATCCAATGTCAGGCATACCTGATTGCGCTCGTCTAAACCCCGGTCTTGAGGGAAATCCCTCATGTGGAGCCTTGTTCAGTAATGAGCTGCTCAGAAATGTCTTCTTTATTACCTTCAGCCATGTTTGTTTGTTATCCTGCTCTGTGTGGGCTATGGCTGCGTTTCATCAACCTTACCACCTAACTTCATCAACAGTACATGTACTGTTGATGAAGTCCGCTTGTTTGTTGCGAGACCTCAGGTCAGTCCATTACGGACTGCAGCGGGGTGACGCAGCTCAAGGAAGAACATTTATGAACATTACTTTATGATTTCCTTGAAGTAATAATCAACATTCTAATCATTTTGCACTGCAGACGCGGTAGTTCTTCTGCCTTAGTGTCTCGGTCTGATTGCATTTCCATGAAGAAATGATCATAAATGTTCTTCCTTGAGCTGTGTCACCCCGCAGTAGTCCATAATGGACTGGCCCGGGTTCTCAAACAAGTGGCTGCTGGAAGAGAGTAGGTGAGTTGTGTTTAGTCTCTTTGCTAAAGAAATTAGGCAAAGTTAAAAAGATGTTTGATGGTTAGTACTGTGGCTGGGACCCTAGACCCTGGAAGTTACTCCACTCATAGACATGACTTTGACTTCCAAAAATTGACTCACACCCATCTCTGCAGTCCACTTCCTGTAGCAGGCTCAGTGTTATCAGTGTTAACCCTGACCTTCCAATAATAGAATCACACAGCAGGTATATTTCTGTGTTTATATTTTTGCCCTCATAGTTACTCCTTCAGTACTAGCTTATTTCCCAAGAGCACACAGAGCGACCAGGGAGATGTCAATCAATCTGTGTGCGTAAGTGTGTGTGTGTGTGTGTGTGTGTGTAGCCTTCAGTCCTCTGACTTCATGTGAACTGAATGTACTTGTCCTAATGCTGTGCAGCTGTAAAGCAGCCTTTGCAGAGGCTGTGCATTCAGACAGTCATCCTAAAGCAGGAGAAAAAGCCTCTCCACCCACTTTAACAGATATTCGATGTAGAACTGATGTGTGCTGTCCCCCTTTTCTTTTATTTCTGGGCTTTTTTTAAACTCTTATTAAGAGTACAGGACATGAACAGGAGGAGAGAGCAGGGAAGGACATGGAGAAAGGAGAAGCTAGAACTGAACTTGGGTTGTTTGCATGAGGTTTAACCTCCATGCTTGATCACGCTTGAACTGCCAGGCCAGTGTCACCCTGGTGTATGCTAAAGTACTCAAACAAACAACTTATTAATAAAGAGGCCAATCCTCTGATAGGCTACTGGACTAATGCTGCGTTCGAGTTACCTCGGAAGTCAGATGCCTGAGCTGAAAATGACGTCACACTCATGTTCCCAGCATTTCACTTACCAAGTCTGAAAAAGCAAAATCAGAAGCCTGAAACAAGATGGCTACATCTACGAAAGCCAAGCACTAAAATAACTTTCGTAGATGTAGCCATCTTGTTTCCACCTCCAATTTTGCTTTTTTCCAGCTTGGTAACTGAAACGCTGGTAACTCGGGTGTGACGTCATTTTCAGCTCGGACTTCTGACCGAGATAACTCGAACGCACCATGAGACCCAACAAAGAACAGCCTCGACTAAGCGCCTTAGCTAACCATACATACTGTGTCCACATCACTGTGGATCACTGTGCATTTTCCACATTAAATATTTAGTCTGTTTTCTAACTTAAACCAGAAGCTCCAGACTGAAGTTAAATTCTTATTTTTCACTAATAAGAACTGTGAAGAAACCCTCACGTTCATGGACTGAGTTTGATTTCTCTTTGTCACTTCAGTCTGTAAATATCCTCCACTCTGCAGCTCATGCACTTGACCTCAGCTCTCCTCTTCAAAGTCTGCAGCTCTCTCATTTTCGCACTTTAAGAAAATAAAACATGAATTGTTTTGCTCGGTTTTAGAAAGGTCCTAAATATTCAGCCGGCTTTTCACGAGCAGTCTTCACTCTTGGCTCTACAGTGGTCCAAACCGCCGTCTGTAAAGTTTGACGTGTCGGACACAGAGAGCACTGTGACCAGCTCTGTGTTAAGAGCCGTTTAAGTAATTAGTAAGTCCTTCTGCAGGACAAAGAGCCCCACTGTGGAGGGAAGGAGGTTTAACTGCAGAAACACTTCGCCCCACTTCACCCAGAAATGTCCCAGTCTGAGAGGATGGAGGAGTTCCAGTTCAGCTGCTGCTCCCAGTACCAACAGCCCGGCTCTGAGTCCAGGTCTGCAGCGAAAGGGCTCCACTGTGAGTCTGCTCTGTGTCAGCCGTCCACTTTAAGGAACCATTTAAGGTTTGACACCAGAGCCGTTAGAGGTCAGGCTGTTAAATAAAAAGCTGCTCAGACCAATTAGAGTCTTAAGTTAATATATCAGTGAAGCTGCAGTTCGAACAGGAGTCTTCACATAAAGAGACAAACCACTGGTGTTTTATAAGTGAAGGTGTACTTAACCATGCTCTTTGACTCAGTGAGTGAAGGTTAAAGAGTGTCTCTGAAGAGGCTCTATGTCCTGTACGCTCAACATGACTGACTGGATGCAGAGGTCTGCAGAAAAACAAACTGGAGTTCACCGATCAGATGTGGATTTATTTGTTACCCTTCCAGACATGCATGAAGTTCCTGAAAAAGCTTTACCTTTTAATAACACAACTAATGTGATTCAAAGGTTTACCTTCATGTACAGAAAATCCACCCATGTTTGGTGCTTGTACTGCACAGCCCTGTTTCCCACTGTCACTGTTGACCCCTGCAAACAGTTTTCCCACTGTCAGGAAGTAAACATGACTTTTACAGCTTTTAACCTCTCTCAGCTTCACACATGTCCTGAATAACCGGTGAGAACAACGAAGCTCTTCATGGACTGGCGGTGTGAGGGCTTCATTGTATACAGATCTTTGCTGAACAAACAGTTTTCAACAGTGTGTCTTTCTTCTTTTTCAGACCTTCATTTTCACCGATGGTGAGGACAAGGACCTGCAGAGGAGGACGGGTAAGACATGAGTCAGAGGAGTGGTTTCCCAAAATGTGACTACGTCTGTCTGTTTAGTAACCAATCAATTACTGAGAAACATCGATAACTATTACTTAATCAATAGGGGCGTATTCTTGATTCTTTGGGTCACAATTTGATTCAGTTCAAAATCAATGTGCATCAATACTCATTAGTATAGATGACAGAAATATTCAGATGTCTCATTACAGTGACATCTAATACCTGTATAATTATCAGTTCAGCATCGTTTGTAACAAGTTCCCTTTGTTGCTTCCATGGTTTGGTGTGGTACAGTACAGTCTGGTTAAGGTTGGTTCAGTAAATCCTGACATTTCAATATCTTTGCTGCAGAGCTGTTTGGTTTTTGACGTGCAGATTCGACCTCACTTGATTTTTTTTTTTCCCACAAAGCTTCAAATCTGGACCAAAAACACTCAGTGAAATGATCAACTGAAGGCTGTGTTTGAAGGACATCAATTATGTTTTTGTCACAAGTGTGAAAAAAAAATACAACAGTTGCATTTCTGGACTTCTTTTCAAAGTAAAAGCCTGATCTGTTTTTGTCCTTGGATGGACACCCTTCTCTGTGTCTGGGACTGTTGTTTGGTTACAGAGGTGACTGTCACAGCTCTTAGGTTTAAGCTTTAGTTAAACATTTGCTGTCTTTGGTCAGGTTGGCTGCAGGCAGGCCCACAAACAGAGACTTGATTTAACGGTCAACCTGTGGCACTCGTCTTTAAATGATAACCTTTTCTTCTTGTTCAATATAAGAGCGTGTCAAATCTATAACATTTGGGGGCAAGTGTATGGTATGAATAAGTTCATGATGAATGAAACAAGCAGTTTATTGACATAAATATCAGTCATGTTTTCAACCCAGCTTTTCTTCAGCTTTTGTTTAGTACCAGTGAACTGAATCCAGGAACTTTTAGACTGTACACAGCTGCGTGAAACTAAACTTTGTTGTCCTCTACTGTCTCTCTCTCAGGAGCGAACATCATCAACACTAACTGCTCAGCAGCTCACACCCGACAGGCTCTGTGCTGCAAGATGTCTGTTGAGTACGACAAGTTCATCGAGTCTCAGAAGAAGTGAGTGATCAGAGACCTGAACCTGACCCCAGCAGACGAGTTCAACCACTAACAGTCAGCGAGTTCAGCAGGCTGACGGGGAGCTCTGTTTTTCTCTTGCAGGTGGTTCTGTCATGTGGATGATGATAACTATGTGATCCTGCCCAGCCTGCTGCGACTGCTCTCCTCTTACCACCACAGCCAGGATGTGTACCTGGGCCGGCCCAGTCTGGATCATCCTATTGAGGCTGCAGAGAGGGTCAAAAGTGATGGATCGGTGAGTCTTCCTGCACCGTCTTGTGGATTTCAGAAATTTGACTTTGTTTGTAATCTCCTGATCTTTATTTTTTATCCTTATTTCAGGTGTCTGTCAAGTTCTGGTTTGCTACAGGTGGAGCAGGTTTCTGTATCAGCAGAGGGCTGGCACTGAAAATGAGCCCATGGGCCAGGTAGGTCATAGTCTCACCTGGGGCCTCAGGCTGTTTCTCACAAGGACTGTCTCTGTTTTGGATTTCACCTCACGGTTATTGTGGCCATAAAATATCACACGATAGTTTTGGAAAACTAAAAATAAAACAGTAAAATTAGTCAAACTGATGCATGCTCCACACATCTTCATTGGTAGTGTAAGAAGATAGATACTTTATTGATCCCATTCATTCATTAGCTGCTTTGCTTCGACCATCTTTGGACAAATGTGGGCCAGTAGGGTCCAGAATATGAAGCTGATCCAGGTGTGCTGATCACCAGGTGGATCATGGTTCATAAAGGGAACAATGTCTGAAACTACAGGCACATCTACACACGTGGATTATATTTCATTCAGGCCATTTCTGCGTCTTGAGCCCCCCTTCAAACAGTGGTATGTTAGGAGGACAGGGTACTCATGCTGCAGCAGTTAGAAAATAAACCTCCTTGTGGTGATTAATCTGATCAGATTTTTAGTCACTGTCTGGGTGCAGGAGTGAGGTGTTTTTGACGCACTTCTAATACAATCCAATGACCAATCCAAGGTTATTCTTGAGTTATCTTTATGCCATTTATTGATCCAATGAAAAACACAAACAAAAAAGACAGGTACATTCAACTTACTATGATGGTGATGAGGATGAGGGTAAGTGTGGTGTTTGAGATTAGCGGTAAAAACTGTGTGCTCTCCCTGTCCCTGGATCAGTGCTTCACCTGTGTCCCTTTTGTCACATTTACCTGCCCATTTCCCTTCAAGTGCCGCTTGTGTTGATTGTTCTAGTAACAAAACAAAACCCAAAAATGGCTCATACAGTTTTATGAAATCAATGAAATACCCTCTTTGTAACCACTTAGGTATCTGGAGAATGATATGAGAACGAGTGTATGTAACTCTCAGAGAATGTGCCTGAACTTGTTGCCGTCAGTCTCAGAGAGAGAGAGAGACAGAAATAATCAGTGACGGTGAGGTCAAGACAACGAGTGATGGAGAAGGTTTTCATTATGAGCCGTCATGGAAATCCCCCTCTGCCTTAGCCTCTTCAAAGTGTAATACCAAAACTGAAGGATCTGACAGATAAGACCGAAGCACGCTGGGTCTAATCAAGAGTTTTGGTCCTATTTTTTTTTATCTGCACCGTTTCTTTTTGTAGTTGCAGCGGGCTTCAGTTTTTTTTTTTTTTTTTTTTTTTTTTTTGCATGTGTAACATCTGTTGTGGCTTCTTTTTTTTTGCATTCTTTTTTATTTGCAGCAGTGGCGGTTCTTGGCCACCATAAATATAAACCAAATAAATGAAAAGAGGTCCATAAAATAGAGAGATTGATAAATGTCAGAAAGCGCAGGTCACTGATTTCACTACATCAGAAGGAGAGAGTTTGAGGGGGTGAAATCTCAGTGATGAACTCTGAGAGCGTGTCCTCTGGTTTCAGTTTGGGGAACTTCATCAGCACCGCAGAGAAGATCAGACTCCCAGACGACTGCACCATCGGTTACATCATCGAAGCGCTGCTGGAGGTGATGCTGACTCACACACACCTGTTCCACTCTCACCTGGAGAACCTGCAGAAGCTGCCCACCGAGACAGTGCTGGACCAGGTCAGTGTGTGTTTGTGGAGAGCTCAGCCTTAAATCAGCTTCACCAGCAGTGTTTTTATCACTTTTGTGTTTGTCGTGCCACAGGTGACCCTGAGCTACGGAGGCTTTGAGAACAGGAGGAATGTCGTCAGCATTGTTGGAGGCTTTTCATTGGCTGAGGACCCCACAAGGTGAGCATATAAATGATGAACACGGTTATAATCAACTTGTTTGCCCCTAAATACTGCACACTTTCACCATTCTGATCAACCTTCATCATACACTGTATCCATGTAACTTTAAACTGAGTTTAGCAGAGGTACCTCCCTTGATAGCTCAGGTTTGAGTTTAGGTTTAATCCATTCCACGACTTTTGCCCATAGATGTGCGTCACTTCCCCCCAAATAAAGAGCTCAAGCTCAACCTGATAACTGTCCCCCAGCTCAGTTCACTGTAAACATCGACACCCACTGTTCCACCAGAAGGAGGCGGGGCTCCTAGATGAGTGTCCTGGTAGTGACTCTGCACTGACCAGGATGTGGTCTAGTCCTTGTTGGTCACAAACCCCTTCATAACTCTATTTTTTAACCTAACTCTTTGTAAACCTTTGTTTGATAAATCAGGTTCATGGAACCTCTCTAACTTGTCATAGTTTTCAGAGGCTCACACTCTGCAAACCTGAATTTGAAATGACCCTGACTCAGTCCTCTTCTTGTCCTGCAGGTTTAAGACAGTCCACTGCCTCCTGTATGCAGATACTGAGTGGTGTCCAAAGCTCAAAGCTCGGCACAAACACTGACAGCTCCTGAGGTTTGACCCTGCAGCACTGGTTCCTCCTCTAAGTCTCTCTGCCTCAGTCTCAAAGATCATCCAGAGCAGAGAGCTCACCATGGAAAATGGACTTCACTCATTGTGTCAGTAATTAGCAGAACCAAAGAATGACTTTAGGGTGAAGAGAGCAGAGGATGCATCTCTTTGACTGTAAATAAGATTTGACAGTTGACTATTAACATGAGGGTCAATGTTGGACAGAAATACAACCGTCTCTATCGTCCCAACACGACTCTGTGATGATATGAAGTAAAGCAGTGTTCATGATGTTAAATGGACTTGAAAGAACGTCGTCATGCCAACCTTTTAATCATAGTTTTGGGGCGTCTTAACATACCAGGTGTCAACAGCAGGTAGTTTCCTATGATTCAGAAGGAAAGCATAATGAGTGCATTAGTTAACTCTGAAATAGAGCTGTCACCATATCAGATTTTTATCTCGGGTTCATCACAGCCAAAATAATCACAAAGACATTATTGTGATTAAAAACGGGAGACTTGAAGACACTATCAGGCAAGACAAGAGTGGAGCAACACGCTACTTCAAAAACCTTACAGAAACACCCGATGTCCTACATTTGCCTCATAAAACGATTGTCATGCTTTTATTTTTTCTGTCTTGCGTTGAGGTTGCTTTATTTCTTGTATTGTAAAAACTATGCTTTTATTTTGAAGTATACTACTTCTGGTAGGTTAGGAGGTGTAAATGTTAAACTGATCAGTTACATGAGGAGTATGAGCTCTGAGGTTGGTTTTGGAGTCACCATAAACCTCTAACATCAGTTTGTAAAAGCTGGATCATCTCTCAGAGGGATGCTACAGCTACTGCGCTGGCAGCTGCTCCTTCACTTGATGGCATGTGGCTATCTGCTTATTCTGCTTATCTGCGTTATGAATATTTTACATTTTAAATAGATGGTTGTTTTTTTTTTTTCTGGTATATTGTGACAGCACTGATCTGAAACTCTGACCCTTTGGTCCTCTTCCTCTGAGTTTGGAGCCACTTTAGGTTAATGCTCCTATAAATGAAGGACAGTATCAGTATTAGTCAATCTTACTCAGTCTGAGTGTGTATTTCCAATGTGAGCTTTTAACTCACATCTCTTCCTTGTTTTTAATGTCACTATTTTAGTCTTTTCTGATGAAAGAAGTGTCCTAAAAAGCAGTACAATTTTAGAGTGAGTTGATTACTGAGGCTAATTTTAAAGGCACTGATTATTCCTTAGTCTCGACATGGACCGGGCTGACGTTGGATAGAACCACAGATGAGAGACTTGTAGTTTTGCATGTGATGCTGTAAATATCTGCCACAAACCTTCTCCTTGTATTAGCTCATGTCTGGCTTGCCCATCTCTGTGGTTTTGCACTATTTTGATCTAAACCTGTTCATTACTGTGTGAGTGCAAATATGAGTGAATTTCATGAAGAAATCTGTCAATATGTAGCTTTGAGTTTATGTCCACTTGTTTTTAAAGAGTGTGCACTGATCATTAGATTGTTGGAGCCAAATGAATCTGCACCATACTCTTATACTGATTAGATGTGAGCACATATAAAAATAACAATGGTAATTAACCAAATTAACATTTAACAAATCTGTCAACAGTCTGAGTTTCAAACTTCAAAATGTAGCTGCTTGAATATTAGTCTTCAAAGTATTATCACAGTTATTTTAGCTACTTACACTTAGCAAATCTGCAACAGTAACAAAACAAAAGTTCTGCCACCCTCATGCCTTTGCACTTAAACATCGGACTATTTAAAGGGATATTCCAGCGTAAAGTTAAGTTAGGGTCAAACACACCATAACACAGAGATAGACACCCCGTTGAGAGATGTATGTCGCCAACCGCTTGCTTCTCTAGTTATACCAACTTTAGTAATGACCGCAGATAGCAATACACAGAGCCACGCGCTTAACAAAAACGACACTCTATAGCCACAAATAATGCTCAGAACAGCACCTAACTTCATCAACAGTACATATAGGGTCCTAGCCACTAAACATCTTTTTTTAACTTTGCCTAATTCCTTTAACAAAGAGACTAACCAAACTCACCCTCTCTCTGCCAGCAGCCGCTTGTTTGTAGCAAGACTTCCGGGCGAGTCCACTGACTACAGTAGGGTGATGCAGCTCAAGGAAGAACATTTATGGTCATTTCTTCATGAAAATTCAATCAGACCGAGATGGTAAGGCAGAAGAACTACCACGTCTGCAGTGCAAAATGATCAATATGATGATTATTACTTGCGTCACCCCTCTGTCGCTGATGGACTCCCCCGAAGTCTCGCAACAAACAAGCGGCTGCTGGAAGAGAGACAGTGAGTTTGTTTCGTCTCTTTGCTAAAGAAATTGGGCAAAGCTAAAAAGATGTTTGGTGGCTAGTACTATGGCTGGGTCCCTAAATGTTACTGTTGATGAAGTTAGGTGCTGTTCTGAGCATTATTTGTGGCTATAGAGTGGCGTTTTGGTTGAGCGCGTGGCTCTGTGTATTGCTATCATGTGGTCGTTACTAAAGTTGGTATAACTAGAGAAGCAAGCGGTCGGCAACATTCATTTCTCGAGGGGGTGTCTAACTCAGTGTTATGTTGTGTTTGACCCTAAATTAATTTTACCCCCGGAATATCCCTTTAATGGCACCGATTCAGTATAACATTGTGGGATTTTACACACAACAGCAGCTCAGGACACATGCACACTAAGACATGCATGAAGATAAGTAACCACTCAGTCCTCACCAGACCAAATATGGAGACTGCACAAATATTCAACTTGAAACTCAGAAGTGTTCTGAGCATCTTCTCTTTTTTTCTCTCGCTCTGTCTTTGCTGAAGATATATTTTTGGGCTTTATTCAGCGAGGATGAGACAGCAAGAAACCAGGAGAGTGAGAGCAGGGAATGGTGGGCAGGAAAGAGGTCTGATGCATGAGGACTGTAGCCTCAGTACACGGAGCACATGACTTAAAACCACTAGGCCAAACAAGCATTCCAGAAACATCTCTGAGTAGACAGTCATGTTTCTCGCTGAAACTAGTCAAAGTTTTTACTCTGAATGAATTGATCAATAAATGTCATCGTTAAATTGACAAATGATCTCCTTCTGTAGATATCAAAACAACTTGTCCGTCTTTTGGCTCCAATAAGCTGATTTTCAGTATTTCAGCTTGATAAGCGCTTCCCCGTGTCTGGGTCCCACTGCAGGTCAGTGGATGAGACTGAGAGACGTGTTTTTGTAAACCTTTTCACCGCTGACGTATTATCTGATGTTTCTGTAAGAATAAAAAGTTTCTGCTTTCTTTGGCATTATTGAAACGGAAAACGCTGTGAGTGGCCCAGTACTTTGGCAGGGTTTCTGTTGTTGCTAACAGAATGACGTCTGGTATAAGTGACTCACAGATCTATAGGAGCTTATTTCATTAACCCTCCTGGGAGCTGTCTCTTTGAGATCAGTCGAACCCTGTTAGACTGCTGATGAGCTAAACTCTGACATATACCGTCTATACACAATATATGGTGTATAGGATGAAGTGCTCTATGTGACTCAGCTGGGTGGGTAAGGAGGATGAAGAGGCTACGGCTTGGGAGAGGTCTTCTCCTAACTGTGTTTATGGAGTCAAAGGAGTGTCCAAACAGAATAAATCTTTACACCCCTGCTGAAAACTGCCATGGACAATACAACAGTGGCGATTGCTCTAAGACTGCAAGGGAAGCTCGGCTTCCCTTAAAATGTCACCCCCCAAAAAAAAGAAAAAGTGGTGAAATACGTACTGCTGTGTGTACATTTCATTAACTAAATACGCACTAGAAAGCCTTCATCTTTTGTTCAGACACTGTGATAAGAAGCTGATAATTATAGGTAACCGGCATAACTTCGTTCTCATTCATCCTCGCAGCGCCTCAGCGCTTTAAACAGCCGGACGCTGGGCTTCTGCTGACTTCAATGTGGAAGCTAAAAGTGGGTTGTTTCAGCAGCGAAACTAGACGCTCATTGGATAAATGCTGGGCTTTGTCCCGCCCAATGGAAGCTAAGCTTCACTGGAGTTCTATGGCGAGAGGGCGGTCCCGACTTTCTCCCGGACTGCAAGCTTCTGCATCCATGATTGGATGAGCTGTCTGAGGCGAAATCCTTTTTTGATTGACAGCTAAACAAGCGAATCAGCGATCTTGAAGAATAAAACATCTACCAGAGCATTTTCCAAGTCATTCATTCCGTTGTTCTTAACTGCTCCGGAGACTTTACCGATCCTCAGCGACTTCTGTCTTTATTAAAAACGACTGCCGTTGTGTTTGGCGACTCTGTTCTGTTACATACTAATAAACAAATACAATTATGATGTAGGCCAGAAAAATGAGCTTCCCCTCCTTGAAAGACCAGCAGCCGCCACTGCAATACAACCATCTTATGAAAACAAGTTACAGCCTTAAGAGAAAACACTTAATACACACAGGATAGTAACTCTGAAGACTAGATGTCTTGTCCCTATAATGAAAAAAAAATAGCTTTTGGCAATGAGTAATTGTCCTTTGCTCAAAGGTTATGAGCTATAAGAAGGAGACCTGAATTTTACACACAACAATTTCTGCAGGATGACTTCCACAGACAAGATACTGACCTGTTCTGACAAGATTAGATTATTTTGTAAGAACAAGTCAGTATCCTTTGTTCCTAGACAAAAAGATAACAAGATGACTAATGTGCACAAGAAATTTCCCAAACACATGTAGGAAAATGTGTTATGTTCTGATGAAACCAAAGTTGAACTTTTTGGGCATCACTGCAAAAGGTATATTTGGCGCATAAACAACACTGCTCATCACCAAAAGAACACCATACCCACAGTGAAGCATGGTCGTGGCAGCATCATGCTTTAGGGCTGTTTTTCTTCAGCTGGAACTGGTGCCTTAGTCAGGGTGGAGGGAATTATTAACAGTTCTAAATACCAGTCAGTGTTGGCACAAAACCTTCAGCCTTCTGCTAGAAAGCTGAAGATGAAGAGGGACTTCATGACCCAAAGCACACATCTAAATTAACAAAAGAATGGCTTCACCGGAATAAGATTGAGACTTTGGAATGGCCCAGCCAGAGCCCAGACCTGAATCCCATCGAACATTTGTGGGGGTGATCTGAAGAGGGCTGTGCACAGGAGATGCCCTCGCAATCTGTCAGATTTGGAGCGGTTTTGCAAAGAAGAGTGGACAAATATTGCCACATCAAGATATGCCATGCTGATAGACTCCTACCCAAAATGACTGAGTGCTGTAATAAAAGCCAAAAGTGCTGCAACTAAGTATTAGTTTAAGGGTGTGCATATTTATGCAACCAGGTTATTTTTAGTTTTTCTATTTTATATTTTTCCCCTTCAAAGGTTTCAGTTTGTTTTTTAACTGCATTGTACAGGTTATAGGTCACAATAAAGGTGGAAAAAGTTGTGAAATTATTTATCTTGCTGTCATTTTCTTACAAAATGAAAACCTGGCAGTTGAACAGGGGTGTGTAGACTTTTTATATCCACTGTGTTTTTCAATGTGAGCCATTAAGATTCACCCCACACATAAAGGTGATTTTTCCAGTTTTTTTCTTTATTTATCTGTTATAGTTGGAAGGCATGTGTCAAACATGCTCTCCTATAGCATTAATTTCGAGTGAACTTATCATTAAACATTGATGAAAATGTTCCTGGTGCTTTCTGCCTCTTCATGGTGACTGTGCAGGACTGACCTGGAACAAAAACAACTTTTTCCCCCCTTTAAACTTTGGTGGAAGTTTAACCTTTGAGTCCTGCAGAAGAGCTGTCGCTGTTCATCATCCTGTAACCTGCAGCCTGAAACGAGACCTGAGTCTGCTGCACAGTCGGTAAGAACATCCACCTTTTCCGTGTTTATAATGTTAGCAGTTTGATTTCATGGAGATAACGATGGCGGAAGATCAGCACACTATTGTACAGACTGTCAACATGAAGTAGTCACGTGACTTCCCCATGTGACTAGTGTGCGGATTTCTTCCTGTAGTTCATCCCTCGTCTCTCCGTCTTCTTGCGCACTTTCACGTCCAGCTGATCTGTGCACGGAGCGAACATGGAGATCTCCTTTGCAGGGAAACGAGCTCTGGTGACAGGAGCAGGAAAAGGTAGAGAGATCACTTCACAAACACAAACACACACTCACTTAGCCCGCTAGACACACTTCAGAAACACAATGTGTGAGAACACGGCTACATGAGCTCTACGTTTGTTAAATACACATAAAGTTCAATATCTTTTGTCAGCGAGGAAGAATAAAAAAGTTTTGGCTGCAAATGCTAAGTAACATTTATTGTTTATTTTACCAATAATAATTCAACACCTTCGACAAACCCCGCCCCTTTTCTCTCCTGAACACTTTGAAGATAAAGCCTGAAGATACTGGTTGATAGGCTTACTGATAAAAGTGATCAGAGAATTTTTGTCTTTGAAATTCTGGACAATATTACATATTTTTGGTTTATGTTTGACCTGTAAAAAAGGGTTGACTCTTAGCATCTTTACAGTACTTTTTTGATGTTGCATCTTCTGCAAGTAAGTTAAAATCAGGATGGGAAGCAGCAGCAGTAGTGGTTGTAACAGTGATAGTAATGTGCAATGTCCATAGCTTATAATCTTACTTTTTAAATATTGATGCTTAAATTTAGGCCTCAGCGATTTGGCAAAAAAATGATCACGATATATTTTGTCATATCGTCCGATCTCGATTATTATCAAGATTTTTTTTTAACTGCCAGTTTTAAAGCATCTGTACTAAAAACTAAAGAAACTGAAGATTAGTTCAACATTTTATTAACATACAAAGTAAATAACAAAGCAAATTGAATAAGGTACACTGAGAAAAATATAAAAACCATTTTAACTCAACAGTACAACAAATGTAGATAAATACTAAATAATACAGTGAATTAGTTCACAGTGTTTTTGAATGTTTTTGCAGGTATGCAAGACCCAAAATAAACAAATCGCCCCCTCAGAGATAATGAAGATGCCTTGAATGTAAACATTAGATGATTTAAACGTAGATGATACGATTTATTATCACAACTGATTACGATCATATGATCGCCCAGTCCTACTTAAATCATAAAAACTCTTCTCTCACCCACCCTGGGTGATATTGTGTCTCTTCAAGCTCAGGTCCTCTACCAGAGACCTGAGAGCTTGAGGGTCCTGCGCAGTATCCTTGCTGTTCCTAGGACTGCACTCTTCTGGAGTGAGATGTCTGATGTTTCCCCAGGGATCCGTTGGAGCCACTTCTCTAGTGTGGGGTTTACTGCCCCGAGTGCCCCGATGACCACGGGCACCACTGTTGCCTTGACCTTCCAGGCTTTCTCCAGCTCCTCTTTGAGCCCTTGGTATTTCTCTAGTTTCTCGTGTTCCTTCTTCCTGATGTTGGAATCGCTTGGGATGACGATATCTACCACAACAGCTTTCCTCTGCTGATTGTCTACGATTACAATGTCCGGTTGGTCGGCCATTACCATTTTGTTGGTCTCTATCTCGAACTCCCGCAGGATCTTGGCTCGTCATACTCCATCACCTTGGGAGGTGCTTTCCATTTTGACCTCGGGGTTCCCAGTCCATATTCTGCACAGATGTTCCTGTACACTATACCGGCTACTTGGTTTGGAGACAAACTCAGGGTACTTTAATAAAGGGCTCATCAGTAGATATTTATTTATAAGTGCAACCAAAATAACAAGAAAGATGCGAAATAACATGAAACAGGTGCTCTAAACATAAGAAACTGAGAAAGAACTTAAATTCTTGGTGTTTCTACCTGACTGTTCTCCCCTGACTTCTACGTCTCTTAGTTTACTTGCAGATCTTAAAACAACGTTTTGGTGTAACCACCTACTGTACTGGAGTGTACAGCAACAAGACTGCTATACTTCAGGTTATATTGTGAATACTACAAAAATTAGAAATAATCTCTCAGCACCAGGGAGAGAACGAGTGCTACTTGATCCCTAGTCATGTACCATCATTTAGAGTTATGAAGCTTTCACTATATGTTTTATTTGTTGGTATATTGTGCATAAATCATATGATAAAATATCCTGAAGGAGTCAGAGAGTAGGTTTTTTGTGATACTCTTTCAACATTTATATTATTCATGAAACCAGCCCAGTCAGCAGAGTCCTCCTCGTTCCTCCTGTAAGTCACCACAGAGCAGATTTCTCCGAACTTTATCCCGATCAGCTGGTAGGAGAATGTGATCATGCTTACCTCAAGATGATTCACTTGGGCTCGTTATGCTCTCATTGGTTACTCACCTCCTGCCGTGAGTCATCCTTATACAGTCTTTCTATTACTTTGGTTGAGTGAACTTGACAGGACCTCCTTTTTTTCCCTCTGTAACACTCTGTGATTATGATACATGAAGCTCAAGTGTTTATTTCAAATGCTAAAGGTGTGTCAGTAGTTCCTCCCTCACACAGGACAGTAACTTCAACCACCGCAATGACATCATAGAAAGCTTAACAGGAGTAAAAATGTGAGGCAAGCTCCTTTTTATTTAGATTTCTCATGACAGATTAGTCTGTCTGTTGACAAAGTAACTCACCCCTGACTCCAAGACTTGAGATGAAAGAAAGTAACAATAGAAGTAAGTGAAATTATAACCATCTGTGTTTGTCATTGCTGTGCAGTCTTCTTTTGGACCTCAGAATGTGCCAAAAGAGTCTGCTGCTATAAAACAGGAATGATTGATGAGATGTTTTGATTAAACAAACAAATAAAAAAGATTAATTCTGAGCTAACATGAAGGATGATTATTTCTAAAATTCCTGTCTCTGATGGAGGAAAAGAAGAGTTTAAAGGGCTTTGAGATGGAGTGGTGCGAGGTGTCAGCCTGAGACGTGAGGAATGTGCGTGTGTGTGTTTGTGTGTGTGTGTCAGCTCTGTTGTCACAGTAGCTCCTCGCTCTATAATCACTCTTTGTCTTTATGGATGTTTGCTGTCTCAGGCATTGGCAGGGCCACGGCTCTCGCTCTGGCACGCTGCGGGGCAAAGGTCACAGCGGTCACACGCACGCAGGCTGACCTCAACAGTTTGGTGCAGGAGGTAAGAAATTCCACCCCCGCCCACTCACCTCTGACCCCTCCATATTCCTCTCTGTTTCATCTTTCTCATTGTTCTCCCATTCCATCTCCTCACTTGTCATCATCTGATGTGTCTGTGCTTGCTTCCACCCTGCTGCTCTGTTCTTCTTCTATTGTTGCTCCTCTTCAGCCTCATCGCTATATGTGCAAATGAAGAGACTCAGCCAATGACTCAACTACTTATTTAGATCAGTGGTTCTTAACTGGTGGGTCCCGACCCAAAAGTGGGTCACGGCGACATTCTGGATGGGTCGTGAACAGCTGGTCAAAAAAGTAAATTTTTAATGCGCATCTGATGTTTGACATTTATTTTACTTTGAAAAATAGCTTATTTTGAAAGGCACGCCCTACGTTGTAGGGCTTTATATTTAGGCTGCTACTGGAAGTCATATGCTGTTTTAAGTAAGAAAACCAGATGGGCTCATGGATCATCTGCAGAGGAATTAATGCTCCTGCCAGTAAAAACTTGCAGTAGTAAATGTGTGAAAATACAAGAGCCTGTGAAAGTGCTTTGTCAGGTAGGGTCTGATCCTCCTGATGTTATAGAGGGCAAAACGGTCCTGCCAAAAACCTTCAAGGTTTTCCTTTAATGTCTGTAACAGTTGAACTACTTTGTGTGTGTCGGTCGTCGGTTTCCAGAACGCATCCATCACTCCAGTGTGTGTGGACCTGGGAGACTGGGAAGCCACAGAGACGGCTCTGAAGGATGTTGGTCCCATCGATCTGCTGGTGAATAATGCTGCATTCCCCTCCTTGCAGTCATTCCTGGAGATCACACCTGACCATTTTGACCGGTAAGACAAATCACAGGGTAATACAAACCAGAAATAAACAGTATACACCAGTTTACAAACTGTAAGAGTCTGAGCTTGAATTCTCACCTGTTGTGTGTTTTCTGTCCACCTTTAGGTCATTTAATGTGAATGTGAAAGCTGCTCTGCAGGTCTCTCAGGTACATGAACAGCTCTGTACTTTTTCCTCTGTTTTATTTTTTTTGTGACCTTATCAGGTGAAATGCAGATTCTGTCTATGTGGAGGATATTGGATCTGTCCATACATTAGCCCAGTGGGAAGTTGGCCGCCTGTCCATACTCCGCCTCTTGTCCAATGACAGCTGAGATAGACTCCAGCCAGGATGCCCCAACATCTGAGCTTTGATGTTAAACTTGTTGTGTTGAACTAACAGATCGTAGCTCGGGGTATGAAGGCCAGAGGATCTGGAGGCTCCATCGTCAACGTGTCCAGCCAGGCTTCACAGTGCGCCCTCAGAGACCACACAGTCTACTGTAAGAAACACCGTAAAGCAGCTTTGTGCAAACGCTGACTCACGTCTCTTATCTTCAGAGATGCATGCAGACTAGTGCAAAAGTGTCTCAAACTTGGATTATGTCTAATGACTCCATTCGATGAGAAAATGGCTCTACTCTGCACTTACTTTATCCCTTTTGTAGGCATGACTGGTCTGTGTAGCCAAGTTGTCCATAATATATATAGTCTATGGTTTCTACGCTGTATTTCTCATTTGTTTGTTTGTACCTGTTGTTGTTCAGGTGCCACGAAAGCAGCCCTGGACATGCTGACTAAGGGGATGGCCCTGGAGCTGGGACCCTACCAGGTACACAGCATCAATACTTCCCTTTAAAATCTGAAATGTACTTCAGCCAATGAGACTTTACACCAAGAGTTTTATCCACAGGCAACAGCTGATCTACCCCAAATATTCTGACACTAAAATCTATTAGTTTCTGTAGTTAAACTGTTGAACTGTTTGTGTTGTCTTTTTAGATAAGTTGATATTTACATTTTTTAATTGGTTTATTTTTAATTGTCTTTTCTATTGATTTCACATATAAATATTCCATTAACATTTTACATATATTATTATTTTTTTTACATTTTTTTTCCAACTGTACAGAACATTCGCACACTTCTCCACCGTGGAGCAGAGACATAGTTAGACATAAATTCTCAAGTCAAGTTACAGTAGAATAACTGTGAAGTAAAATAAAACACTTTTCACTCATGTCCTTATTTTCACACCTCTCTTGCATTGTCCTTTTTCTCCTAATAGAGAACCCTAACCCTGAACATAATAAACATAACAATGAACAAATTTGTAGCCTGAACCAATGGGATTAATAATCCCTTACTGGACAAAGTCTGCTCTCAATGGAGACACAAAATCAACCTAGTTTTTCCAGTATTTTTTAAAAGTATCTGTTTTTAGTCTAGATGAGAAAGTCAGCCTCTCCATTCTATATTTATCAATCATTACCTCTACCCAATCCTCTATTTTTGGTGCATCTGTTTTTAGCCGTTTTCTGGTGTTGGCCTATTTAGCCGCCACCAACATTATTTGAAATATGTATTTTTCTCCTGACATTGTTATCTCCTGGTTCTCTTTTCCCAAATATAAACCTTTTTAATTTTTACCATGAATTGGAAGCTGAAAGTTGGGGTGTTCAGTTGTGAGAAAGTTCCTGTTTGTTACCATGGTAATTTAAATTCTGCTTATTTCTTTCAGCTGAATATGGATCAGGGTCATTCTGGTTTCTAAGCATGGCTAACGTTAGCATAGCCAGCACCATAATCCTTTAGTTCTCCTTACAGGTTGATGTCTACATGTCTGTACATTGCTGTGGTTGAGATTAGATGGTCAGCCGACAGACAAGAGTGATACCATTTTCTAGATCAAAATACTGACAAACAGCACCGCTCAACTCTGCGTGATTCATAGCATTAATTAACAGTAGCTTTTAACCAGAGCTACAGCTCCAACTAGTGGTGGGTGGCAGGGCTACAGCTGAGCCACAGCATACAGTATGATCCACATTTAAGGCCAACAATAATAAAAATGATCAAACATTTGAATTCTTGAAGATTAAAAGTTAATGTACATGGTGTTGGTGTTGTGTTCAGATCCGTGTGAACACGGTGAACCCAACAGTGGTGATGACTGACATGGGCCGACTGGGATGGAGCGACCCTGAAAAATCCAAGAACATGATGTCCCGCATCCCCCTGGGCCGATTCGCAGGTAAGAAACTATGGACTTCTAATGTACCTAAAGTTAAGTGACTGACCCACTGACTGTGGAGAGAGGAGAGCAGGGAGAGGAGCAGGAGGAAGAGAGAGGAGATCAGGGAGAGGAGGAGAACTTGTGTTTTTAACAACAGTGTAAAGCCCCTCTACTGTAATTGAAAGTTGGGCATTTAATTCAGTTAAGTCAGCTATGTTAAGCTCTGCAGGTGAAGATTTAATGCAATGTTCCTGTTAGCATTAGACCAAACTGATGCTAGAAGAGTACGATGTTTGATATTTGAGGCTTGGGACCATCAGCTTAGGACTGGTTGTTCGAGCTCAAAAATGCTGCATGCTACTCTTTCACAAAGTTTAATGATAGACCACCTCCTCTCTGCACAAAAGAAAAAACAACGTCCTAAAAGTGCCATGCCTCTTCAGATAGTTCATACCAGGCTGCTGACAAGGAGACAGATGGTTTATTAAGATTCAGGAATGTCGATTCAGTCCTGCTTTTGAAACAATGGAGCGACTCTTCCCCCATGGCTGAGTTTGGAGGATTCTGAGGATCACTGAGTCCTCTTGTATCTCAATGAGAGTCTCAAACTCGGTCGGTACTATACTACATCACTGTTGCTCATGTTTTCATGTGTGTTTGTGCAGAGGTGGAGGACGTGGTGAACAGTATTTTATTCCTCCTGAGCGATAAGAGCAGCATGACGAATGGCGTCGCTCTTCCTGTGGATGGAGGGTTCTTGTCCTGCTGACCAGCCTCGTCTCTTCACATTCAGCCGTCTGCTGCAGCGGGAAACTATCAGTACTACCTGTTCTATCTGCTAACAGTGATGTACACACAGGCCACTTTTATGACCATTAAAATGTTACTTTCCTCTAACCTCTTCTTCTTCTGTCTTCTTGAACTAAGATCTGCAAGCTATAACTACATAGTTTTTGTTTGGTGAGTTATTTCTGGTATTATTAATGAGGGTAACTCATTTTAAATGATAAAAAAGGGAAAAAGTAAAGTCTGTTCAGCATTCAGTACCACTAAATACTTTTTTTTGATACACTCTGATCAACAAATGCCTCATACAGTCTGAACCCTTATATTCAGGAGCTGTAAAAGGAAGAGGAGAAGAAAAATGTGCACCTCTGTGCATGAACAGAAGGGTATATAGTAATATCTTAATTGTTGTTTTAACACTTTGCAAAAGGACATTATTGAGTATGGCACAGATCAAAGCGAGCCAAAGCTAGCATAGGTGCATTACTCTGAGCTTCTCCTGTAAAGATCCCTCAACTCAGTCGATTCCAGCTCTTCCTGAACAGAGCTCCTCTCGCACGTTACTTTCATCAGCTTCTCCTGCACAAATCTTTTTTCCAGGGCTTCCTATAAAACTTTTCTGACAAAGATCTCCTTTCAAACAGCAGTATTTTCCACCCCGGGTTGGCCAGCCAGAGTTTGAGACAGGACGGTGGGGGTGGGTACACATATTCGGTTGAGCCTGGATTTTTTATGCTAATTCATTTTTGCAGGAACACAGAAGTATTATTGTCTCTTTAGGGACCAGTTTAAATCCAGGAAAAAAAGTATAATGGGTATTTGCATCAAAATTAGTGTTTATCAGAAGGGGTAAAACTACAGAACTCAAAGTTCCCCATTAAGTGTCTTTACCAAGAGCTTGATATCAGTCGCTGACCTGTTTTTGATTTTGTGTCCTTTATAACTTAAAGAAGTTTACGAGGAACAAACCAGCAGAGACCAGAGATTTCCTTACATATACATTTGTATTTAGTATACAAAAAATTGAAATATTTCACCACACAGACATGTGAAGTAATAAAAAATAAGACAAACAGTTGGAACAAGTATACAAGTCATCTTACATTACATACGTACATGGCCAATGCATTTCATCATACAGCCTCTCCTAAGAATTACAGTGGGTCAAATAACCAGAGAACTTCCATGCAATAGTAGATTAGAATTTTCGCTGCGTTTCTCCGCTACATTTGGACACCTCAGCTAGTAGGCAGGACCACAACACACGAGTCGACCACACAGTTTGCTATGCCAACCAAAGACAGCGTGACGGAGTGGACTGCAGTGCTGCGTCTCGCCACAGAGGGGAGACAGACACACTGCAGACCTGCAACCATACAGAAATGCATGTCATAAAGGTGCAATCTGCACTGTTTGCCACGGCGACAAACTCCACAGAGATTGGCTCCTTTATTGTACACCGTTAGCAACACTTCTAACTTCAACATGAGCGACTAGAATCCCTTTAGGTTCAATTGTTTTAGTTTTAAGAGCTAAATATTCAGGTACATGTAGATAGATATTCATAATGCATTCCTTTTCTAAGGATTATTCTGTACATCACGGGATGTCATTAATATCCATTTTTTCTTTCTTTATGTCCACAGATTATTGAAAAGTCTCGTGTTTTTTTTTACTACAATACAATATGAAATCGTACCAAAAACTGGACACTAAAAAACTTGGCTTAAAACAATACTGTCGTTTATGCACTACCCCAAACTGTCAAACAGAGCCGTCTCACTGACACCGACATGTGCTCATCCACACACACAAACACACTCACACCAGTGTTCAGACACACATGTACTCACGCACACGCACATACGCTCACACAGAGGAACAGAGACAAGATCTAAACAATGGGATAAATTAAGACAGAATATTTTAAGACCCATGCAAGCTCCTCCACCTCCAGAGGCAGAACTCAGGCAGCAAGGTTGTACAGCCTCCACGTTTGGCATGCTCGTCCGTCACATGTTCACAGTTAGATGAAGTTACCAACAGACTCCTGGCTGAGATCAGATGGTTTTTTAATGCGTTTTTATGTGAAGGAAGAGCCTCAGTGAAGGAACAGACTGGCCTGCACATTTAGAGGAGCAACACTGTGAGGGTTATCTGACAGAATGTTCTGGACTAAAAGATCTGTTTTTCTCATCGGAGGATCAGGGCCACTGTATTCAAAAAACAAAACCAGATTTTGAGATTAGAGCTGATATCTCACGAGAATAAAGACATTATGTGACTGCAATAAAGTCAAAAGATTAGAGGAACAAAGTCATTGTGTTACAAAAATTATTCATCATATTGTCACAAGAATAAAGTCAATTGGTGACAAGAATGAATCAAAATGTCAGGGTTCATTATTATTATGTTTATGCTTTTTTTATGTTGAAGAAGTGAAGTTATTGTTATAATATAAAGTCATTGTGCTTTGATAATACAGACGGAGATGTTACAAGAATAAAGTTATAACGACTGAATTAAGTCTTAAGGTATCGAGAATAAGGAAGTGAAGTTACAAATATAATAAACCGTATGTTATTGGAATAAAGTCATTATAATACGAGAATACAAGTTGTTAGGCAACAAGAATAAAGCTACTAATAAAGTTATGTTTAAGGTGGTTAATTAAAAAGTTACAAGAATAAAGTTGTAATGATACATGAGTAAAGTCGTTATGTTCTGAGAATTAAGTAGTTAAGACTCATTAAAGATTAAATGTTATAGATTAAGTTGTTCGTACTGTTATGTAATTCAAGTCTTTTTGAACGCACAATGTCAATAGGTTATCAGAATAAAGTAGTTATGTCAGGACTTTATCAAACATTATGTTACAGGAAGAAATCATTTTGTTTTTAAGACAATTAACTGTAATGTTGTCGTTATGTTGGGGGAACAGAGTCGTTCTGTTACAAGAATTAAGTCCTCCTATTATAAGAACACAGGTGTTATGTTACGATTATACTGAGGTTACCGAGGTGTTACAAGATTTAAAACAGTTCACTTAGGTTAAGTAACGTTTTGATAGTGAAACCGTCATTACAGTGAATTTTTAGCATGTATGTTTCTGCTGTTGTGACAGTGGACACCTGATGAGCAGTCAGTCGGTAAGATGGTGTGTCTAATATTGAACATTAGCAAAACTTTTACTTACAGTTTAGAAATCCATTCCTTCAATAATATGAATTTGTATTTTTGTAACAATATGACGTTATTCTCCTTTAAAGTTATTTTTGTACAACTCTTCTCATTATTCTCATCATCTTGATCTCTTTTCTTCCCTAATGTGGCCCTGATCCTCTGTTGTACTCTCTAGACTGTCTTCAGAAGCCTAACTCACGTCTCTTCTGTAGCAAAGATGACCCAGAGGAGACACAATGAAAGGTCCTCAGAGCTATGAGAGCAGAGAACAGGAGCAGCCAGAAGCCTGGCTCTGATCTTCTCTGTTTGAGTTTGATTTACTGGGAGGATTTGGCATCGTTGAACATTTCAGACTGTACAAAAGAAGTGTGAAGAAAATCTTTCAGCTGGTTAAAATGAAGTCAGAGCTTCACGGTCTCAGATAAGCAGACACTGCTTTTGGCCACCAGGAGGCGAGTTAAGTTAGCTGGCTGTGAGAGAAAATCATCTACATGTTACAGGACTTATCGCCACAAACTTTTCCTTATCTATTCATGGTCTCAGTCACTAATTCAAAGACTTTGTCATGTATTATGGTCCCATTAAGAGTACATGACTCTATTAAGTCTTTGTCTTTTTCCATGAAAAACTAAAAGGAGGGAGGTGCTCATTTATCAGTACGTATATTGAGTAAAAAACTTTTTCATGATCATTATTCTTTGCCATGGTGATTTTTCAATCCATATAGAGGCATAAGAATTCAAATATGCTCTTCTCTTCAAGTATCATCATCTGTGGAGATCGGGAGCAAAGTTAATTTACTCAACTACAGTACTTGAGTATCTTTACTTTTGTGTTTTTCTTTTTAGTGGGTAGGAGGATTTATTCTCTTTAATTCATTTGCATCTCTGTTTTCTCTGTTTCCGAGCTGTGAAAAACAAGTTGAGGGGTGTAACCGAACATCTGTTAACATTTCAAACCAGGCTGTCTGTGCTTCTTTTAACTTGATAGCTGTTTTTTTTTCTGTTATTGTTCCTGATATTCTGCAGCTGAAAATCTAGAGATCAGCAGCGTGTTAATTAGTACTTGTTAATTAATACTACTGCAGTTTTTTAATAATCCAAATCAGACTGAGAACTTTCACTTGGACCAGACCAATATTTATCCAGGAGTGTCTTTGACTTTGACTTAAGCAAAAGTCCAGTTCTTATATACAGTCTGTGATTTTGACTTAAAGCCCCTCAGTTCACGGGCTTTAAGACGATTGAAAATCAGGAGCTGCTATGAAGCACTTTCCTACATTTCTTGGCTCCTCAGACGTTGTCTTCACTCGACTTGGTGATTAAATTTGTGAGTACGACATCTTACTGATTAGAAAATGGAGCAGAAACACAAAACGAATCCTACTTAAGTGGATAACTGGAGTCTCTATTCAATATCAAGTATCGCTCTCACGTCTAAATCACAAACTATTTTATTTCCGATGTAGACAACATGCTGGATCAGTGAAGTTGAGTGAATGCTGGAAGTAGTGTTCAGCTTTTAACTGTGTTCATGCTGGTACTTTGTGTTCACATGCTGACCTCAGATCAGGAGCTGAGGGTAACTTCAGACCTGAAGGCGTTTTCACAGTTCACTTTCTACTTAAGTCGACACTGCATTAAATCAAGCAAGCATGGCTGAGAAAGAAGAGATGATGTGGTATGAAGACGAGTAATAGAAACCTTTGTCAGCCCTCATGGCAACTTGATGTAGCTGGATGAGTACAAAGTAGGTGGACAGTAAATGTCTTTCACAGAGAAGCTATGAACCTATTCAGTAATGGTAAAAAAATCCAATTGAGCATTGGCTCTTGTCACCAATATCGCTTTGAAAAAACATCAATATAAAGAAAGCAATCTCAGCAGTGCACACTCACTCTCACTAGTTTCTCGCTCATCCTCTCAGAGAAGTAGTGGTTGTTGTTGTTGTTTATGGTGATGTGGTGTAAGTGTTTCAGTAGTGTTTCCTCCTCAGAACATGGTGCACCTTTTGCCCCTCTTCTTCACGGGCGGAGGGCAGAGCACTGCTCGGATGGCCTCGTCGAATACCGTCTTCAGACCTCGCTGGGTCAGAGCCGAGCACTCCAGGTATTTCACCGCCCCTGAGGGAAAAAGAGGCCAGAGAGGAAAGAGATTTTCACAACAAAGCTGTGATTGGCTGATCCACCCTTCTTCTCTCAAGGTGGGAGAAGAACGGTGAAATCAATCAGTCTGATCATCACACTTCTAAAAGTAATTATTAAACTCTAAATTTATATTCAATGTCCAAGATCAATCTAAAGATGGACTCATTGAGACTGATAGGTGTTTGAGTCTGTTCCTGTAGGTCATAAATAACTCTTTAGCCTTTTTAAAGACAATGTCCTCCTCTCTCCTCTCAATAGTTTTCCACTTCAGGAGCTCTCTCGAATGCTCTGTGAACAACTTACATTTCAAAAATCTTGTTTTCAGCTTTAAGGGAGACTCAGTATAAAGAGGATACGTTTCCATTTACATCCCCAACTAACTGAGGCTTGTCTTTGTGAGTACCGGCACACTGGATCACATTTAAAATCCTTTAGATCACGGTTATTACCATCAACAAACACTAGCATAATGAATACTAAGCAGTTTGCTTAAAGATTTAATGTTTTAAAACTAAATAAACTTATAGAGAAAATGTCTGTAGATTTCATTTTTAACACAAGCACAAAGACACAGTCCTCATGGAAGTTCAGCTTATCGTGAGACCTCTCATCAGCAGAAGTTATTTTTACCCTTTAATACACAACTCTATTATGAGGCCTATTTTGAAGAGTTTGAGATCTTTCTTTGAAGCAGGACTGAGACAGCTGTTTACTCACTGACTACTCGGATTGATGCACGACAGAAAAGTTGCTCTCCAAAAATAATACCTTGTTCATTTTTGGCTGCCTATGGTGGATAAACACACATCATTGTTTTAAAAGTCTGCAATTCAAATTTGGTTAAAAACGCTCTGCTCTGTCTGATGATCTTCATCGTTTAACATATTATTAGTTAATATTGATAATCAAGCCTGAGAGGGGTCACCAATGAGGGATTCAGACAGACTGGGCCGGGTTACTGATGTATGCAGCGGTGTTATGATGTAGTTGGTATGAGGTAGGCTTAGAGCATTTATTATTGCATGTTTGTAGTGTAGGGTGACCATATGTCCTCCTGGGGGGCTGTCCAGGGGGGAATTTATAAAATCAAATTTCCGCCAGTGACAAATTTTTTTTGTCACTGGCGGAAATGGGCTTCCATAGTTTTTAATTTTGTGTAGCGTGTACTTAATCTTCACATCAAGGACCATTGTATTTACTCTACATGTTCAATGGTTCATTTGGAAACACACTCTGAGCGTGTATTTATTCATTACAAAAAAGTGCAGCACATCAGTGCTCTCTGCTCCTCCACTCAGTTCCATGCAAAGCCACTGATGAGACACATGCCTGCACTGTCTGCCAGTGAGCGAAAGAATAGGGAGAGACATTTGCATGTGACTGATAATTTTGTTGAGCAGAAATGCTTTAGATAAATGAATATATTGTTTGAGTATTTTCAGTATCTCCAAGAAGCCAGGTTAAATGTCTTTTTGGTAATTCAGAATATGCGTTTAACTCAGTTAGAAACACGTAAAGCACTCGACCCAACCTGAAAAACCATCAAAATTTTGCGCACACAACTACACCCTATGTGGTAATGTCCTCTTTTTGGGGATTCAGAATATGATCACCCTAATGTAGTGACTCTTAAACCCTGTGGATTATCTTTTGTGGATGATTGTGGAGGAATACCTTTTGTGATTTTAGTTTTTTCAGATGTCACAATGTTTTTAATTTTTTTGGGGTCTGATCCCTGACAAAGATTCCATATTACAAAAACTTCAAAACTTCTTTAACCTTGTTATTATTGTTCTACTTTTCTAGTTATAATGTCACAGATACGCAACATCAGCTAATGTTTTTAAAAATTTAAGCATGTATTTTTTCATTATTAATTTATTTATTTATTCTCAACTGCAACCTGATGTAATGACTACATGCAGAATCTTGATTAGGATAACAGGTAGAAGAGGACCGTCACTCAGAGAGAGGCAAAATCGCAAATGATTATGACATAATTGGATGATGACTAATAGAGAAGCTGAGTCTCAACAGGTTCCCCTACAGGTCGCCTCCATTGTTGCCAAAAGTAAACTTAAAAAGTAAAAGGTATAAATGAATCATTTTTCAGACTTTAGAGCTTGCATTATAACACGCAGATGTTTAGTAAAGATGCCACTGCAGTAATGACAGCTGGTTCACTTCTGCTGATTTGTTGTACTGATCTAAACCAGTTTATGTGACATGAGAAATGAATCAATCATATTCACTTGTTTGATCTCTGAATGGTCACTAAACACCTCCTCATCAGAGAAACTGTACAGCTGTTCATGCAGCACACAAGACCTCACCGATCTCTCTGGCCATGGCCAGGCCCTGCGGGTAGGTGATAGGGGACAGCTTCTTGTCTCGCAGCCTCTCGATGGTGTCCTTGTCATCTCGCAGGTCCAGCTTAGTGCCCACCAGGATGATGGGTGTGTTGGGGCAGTGGTGTCTCACCTCAGGGTACCACTAGGGCACCCCACACACAAACGCACATTATATATGTATGTAGAGAAGACAAAGTCAGTGGGAGAGAAGAAAGAGTTCATTAGCGTCTTTACATGACAACATGTGGTGGAAGAAGAAATAAGTAGACTTTAATAGATCTGTGTGAATGGAGGCACAGAAACGGAGACATCCTCGGGCACAGAAACCCCCAATCCCATGACACAATGAGAAAACCTTATCAGACCAGAAGCTACAGACTCTGCAGAGGGACGTCAGACCGTCAAAAGTGTGATTTCATCCAAGAGCGTCTCATGATGCTCACCAGACCAAACCACAGCCGGCCATCACACTCCCCCTGCAGAGTGCGAGACCCGTTCAGACCTCGATTCACAACAGGTCTCTGTGCTGAACCCCCCCGCAGGAGGGTCAGCTCAAAACCCAGACCCTTCTGAGTCGAGGTCAGAGCGGTTCAGGGCGCTGTGATAAACCAGGTGGAGCCAAAGATGTGCCTCCTTGTGGTCAGACTCGGCGTGGAGAGGAGGGGGTTGGGGTAAAGGAAGGGGAGGTGGCGGGTCAGCGTACTGACCTTAGCTCGGACGTTCTCAAAGGAGGCCGGACTGACCAGGGAGAAGCATATCAAGAACACATCCTGGGAGAGAACCAAAGAGACGGCGAGTTGAGATCTAGGTCTATGTGTGTGTGTGCCTGAGCGTGTTCGCTTGTGTGCGTCTAATCCAGACTCAGTTAAATGTTTCGCTTAAATCAGACCAGGTTTGACCATAAACTCGGTTGGATTTTCTGATTTAAAGTCGACTTTCTAAAGATGAAAGCATATCTGTAACGTCCATGATGCCAAGAATAAAACTTCAAATCACTTAATTAACAGGGATGTAAAAATATCGCAATATCACGACACCACAGGACCGATATTGTGTTGAACCTGTGATGGTTCCAGATCCAGGAAGAGAGTGTAGTTTTGTTTCAGCCGCAGTGGATCAGAGTGCAGGGAAAAGGGAACAACAAAGACCACGGTAACAAATCCTGATCCAACGTGGTGTTAAAGATCGCAGGAAACTGGGCGAGGTAAAACATGTTTACATTATGATGCTGTCAAGATCTGGGCGGGAAAATCCCTGTCCAGAAAAGCCATACACTGTGGAGGAATTGAGAAAACATCATAATGATATGCTGAGAAAAAATTAAACTCAGGCTTAAAATTCTAGAAAAAGGAAAGACAGAGAGAGAGAAAGAGAGAATAAAGTTAGTTTAGCCTGAGCTAGAAAAAAAGCATTTTAGGATCAAATTCGTCAGGCAGTTACACAGAGCAAATGTTGTATGTATCTAAATATTTATCTTTTTTAGATATTTTGATAGTTACATCCCTATTAATTAAATGAAAATATAGTTGAAGCTCCTGTGAGGAGATTTTACACTTACTGAACAGGCTGAGATTTGTATTCATATATTCATGTGTCTTTATGAGCCACAGCAGGGAGTGAGATCACCAGAAATAACCTTAACTGTTAGGTTTATCTTTTTCAAAGTGCTGCTGTCAGTCAGTTTTTTTTGCACATTTTTGGTGTTAGCTAACATATTTATTTAGGGCACCAAATTCCACACAAACTGGCAGTTCCTCCCAGGAGCTTTAGTATTATGCTCTTTGTATCTGTATAAGAGCTGGCATCATGATATAAATATGTGCACTATGGTTTGTTGCTTGTCTTCCAATCCTCAATTAGCTAGTTTGACTGGATTTATAACTAAGTCAAGTGTTATATTTTCTGTATTTCCTGCCCAATCAGAACATGAACATTACTGAGATAAATCTTGACTCAGACCTGACGGTGGTCTACAGGCTTGAAATGCTTTCAAGGTTTCAGAAAGGACTGAGCGAGTGTATGTGTGTGCGCGCGTGTGTGTGTGTGTGTGTGTGTGTGGGAGAAAGGGTTTGAATACCGTCTGTGGGTAAGACAGTGGTCTGAGCCTATCGTAGTCCTCCTGTCCTGCTGTATCCCAAAGGCCCAGGTTCACTGGTTTCCCATCCACCATGACATTAGCAGAGTAGTTGTCAAAGCTGTGAAGAGGGGACACTGAGCTCAGTCAAACACCTCCATGTTGGTTTGGATTACTGAATATTGAGCACAGCTTTGGGGACAGGATTGAACTACATCATCTGGATTCTCTTCCAAAAACCAGAAAACCCAAAGCCAGCCCAGGTGTGACCTAGGGGTCGTGTTCACTAAGGCTTTTTCACGCACTGGCAGAGACCACAACATTTATTTCACAAACATTAACTGTTGCTAGGCAACAGAATAGTCCCATGACACAGCAGAGACAATGCGCTAAATGTTTCATAGTTTCTTAAGTCCTTTTTTAAAGAAAACCTAAAACCGGTTTATAGAAATCATGTCAGAGCATGAGCTGCAGCTCTCAATCTGGAAACTCGTACCTTCATAAAACAAAGTTGATCAGTTCATGAGGATGTTACCTAATAAAGACGTTACCACAAGTCCCGCCCTTCTTGATTCTGATTGGTCAGAGGTTAAGATTTGGGTTTGAATGGAAAAAAATAACTTTGATTTCAGTCAGACTTAAGTGTTAATATGTATTTAAAAGGTCCAATTTCAACCAGACGAAAACAATGAGGTAATTATTTTGACATCATATAAACAGTCTGTGTGGCTTGAATTCAGTTTGACACAAAATAATTTCTGATTTATCATCTAAGAGGTTTTTTTTTAAAAAGTGAATTAAATCATTCAAAAGTTATTTTTCACTATGATGTCAGCAAGAAGCAGGGTGACACTGCAGCTGCTGAACTATGGTGTGCAGAAAGGGACAAAATAGCACAATTGAAAGAAAAAAATTTCTTCAATTAGCTTGACTGCATCCTAATGAAGGTATGTAAAATGACAGCCCTAGACACAAACCAAAGCACTACAGAACATCACCACACACTTGTCTGATTCACTGAGTTATCACTTCAGCGTCATGCAGAGGTTTGAGACTGAGAGCAGTGAAAGTCGTGTTGGGTCACAGCACTCAGCCTTAAATACGGAGACGTCCTCTAAAATTAAAGCACTAGCTCTGTCAGGTGACTGCTTGTGTGCAGTGTGTGCTGTTACTCACACAGTGGGGATGTATTCACCAGGGAAGGCATTGGTGGTGTAGCTGATCAGCAGACAGGTCTTACCCACAGCCCTGAGGAGGAGGAAGAGGAGGAGGAGGGACAACAGAGGACACAAATTTATCATACAGCTCAAAAATGACACAAGTTTGTCATATTTTCTATATGGAGAGAGTGTGTGAGTGTGTGTTTGTTTGCATGAATCCATTTACACTGTCAGTCCAAAAGCAGGCCATAGTCCTTTTCACTGTGCCACACAGACACTGGCCTACATTCATGTTGCCTGAGGGACACAGTATCCCCCCTATGATACCCCCGCCCTCCCCCACTCTCTCACACTGACACACTCACATGCACAAGCCAGACCTGCCTCTCCTGCCCACATGCAGAACATGTAACAGCCCCCACACACTCTCACACTCACAGACACACACACACATACAAACACACACGCACACACACTCCTCCTGTGCTGCACTGTACTGGCTAAAGCTGCAGGGTGCCACTCAAATAGGTGGTGGCATGGATGGGTATTGGCTGTGTGCTCATGCGTGAGTTATGAGTAATTTTGTGTGCACGTTGCCATGGACACCACAAATGGTGGTGACACACAGTGCCAATATGTGGGAGGGGCCCATTAGGCTGATTTGAGGTCAGCCAGTGAGCTTCACTGTTCAGAATGAAGGGTATGACTAAAGAAGAGAGGACATGAAGATATGTGGGCAGGATGTCTTTAGATTGAGATATTATAAAGTTTATTCTCTTTACTGACACAGTCCTGTGATTCAGCATGACACCCTTATTTTATCAGATTTACAGAGACAGGTTAAAGGAAGAAAATACCCTAACCTTTAAAGCCCCCAAAACACTTCACACAATTCTCATAATGAAACTGAGATGCTAAACTGATTTGCATTTATACACACACTGTAAATGTTGCATGATGTAAGGTAGGTTAATGGTCAACAGGAGCACAATATGCACCGGGGAAATCATGGCACATCAGCAAGCAAACATTGATCAGCGTTACAGTCTCCCACAAGCTGATCAGCATGAACTAATTAACTCCATGGAAAAACTCTATGTTTCCTCTTGTATTAGTGATCGAATGATGGCTGATAATTTCAAGAACATGGCGAATACTCTGAGTGAAGGCGTACTTAGTGTTTAGTGGGAATGTTTCCTCTGAATCTGTTTTTTTTTTTTTTCACCAACTTAAAGGAATATTCCAGCATTTGTACAGAGACCGGTCGTCATGGAAATGCAACCAGACCGAGACTCTGAGGCAGAAGAACAACCGCATCTGCAGTGCAAAATGATTAATATGGTGATTATTACTTCAAGGAAATGATAAAGAAATGATCATAAATGTTCTTCCTTGAGCTGCGTCACCCCGCTGTTGTCCATAATGGACTGGCCCGAGGTCTCGCTACAAACAAGCGGCTGCCGGAAGAGAGTAGGTGAGTTGTGTTGAGTCTCTTTGCTAAAGAAATTAGGCAAAGTTAAAAAGATGTTTGGTGACTAGTTCTGTGGCTGGGACCCTATATGTACTGTTGATGAAGTTAGGTGCTGTTCTGAGCATTATTTGTAGCTATAGAGTGGCGTTTTGGTTGAGGTTTGTTTATGGCTCCTCATACCACTGTGTATTGCTATTGTGCGGTTGTTACTAAAGTTGGTATAACTAGAGAAGCAAGCGGTCAGCAATATTCATCTCTTGAGGAGGTGTCTAACTCTGTGTTATGGTCTGTTTGACCCTACATTAATTTTACGGAAATTAATCCAGGAATCCATCCATCCATTTTCTACCCCTTATTGCTGTTAGGGGTTGCGGAGGGGGGCTGAAGCCTATCCCATCATCTTTGGGCGAAGGCAGAGGACACCCTGGACAAGTCGGCAGTTCATTGCAGGGCTGACATATAGAGATGAACAACATCCACGCTCACATTCCCACCTACGGGCAATTTGAAAGTGGCCAATTAACCTAACCCCACTTAGGGCATGTTTTTGGGATGTGGGAGGAAACTGGAGTACCCAGAGTAAACCCACGCAGACACAGGGAGAACATGCAAACTCCACATAGAAACGCCCTGAGCCGGATTTGAACCTTAAGCCGGAGTATCCCTTTAAATACAATGTTGGTAATCATAAATTACTAAAGGTACTGATGTCTTCAGGCCTACACACCATTCTCACAGATATCACGAATATGTCCACTTCTGGCTTCAATAAAAACCACATGAGTTCAGCTGAAGTGCCAAATTCCCAGCTTTAAAGAGAAGTCTACATGATGACCCAGCGGTGTACTCAGGCTGTTTGAAAAAACAAATGAAAAAAACACCTGCTCTATGCCACGGGCCACTAAGCACACAAAAGCTGTGATCAACAAAGTCCTGATAGAGACAGCAGAGGACTCATTTAAAAATACCGAGGCACAAGCAGTATAAGAGAGGGTCTACAAGTCCTGCCTCAGGACCTTTAGAGCATTAAACACATCGTTTCCTTCATTCTCATGAGTGTTTATGCAAAGATTTAAAAGGAGAACACAAAACCTCTAAAACATAATTAACAGTGAGATGACTATGACTCAGCCTGCAGGAATATAAAAGAATTCAAATGTAGAAATAAAGATATCCACACACACTCAGTCGGTGTAATTTTCACAGTAATGTGCGAAGCTCTCAGCCTGTCAGAGCTTCATCAGACGAGAGTCGAACAATGAGCAGGTTCAAACCTTAAAGTATTAATGTCAGAACCTGCCTCTAAAGAAGTGAATTGAACAAAGACAGTGAATAATTCACTGCTGCACCTCTATAAATCTATAAAAGGTTGTTTTTGGTCCATCAGAGTCTACCCTGATTAGTTCATAATCCTTCCTAATAAACACCGTGAACAACATCAGCCTCCCGATTGCTCGCAGCATCCATACCAAATGCACACACTCAATGCCGTAAATCTAACCTCAACTGCTGTAAAACCCAGACCTCAGTATCTGTCAGCAAAACATGAGCGCGTTCAATAAACACATTTATTTTAGCACATTCATGCTCACGCTGTTGGTATATCAGCCCCAGAAAACCTACACCAGATGATTCTTAAGCCATGCAGTAGAAGTCTATTGGAGTCTATCAAGAGTCATCACACTTTAGTCATTACCGTGAGGCAAAATCTTTTCTGTCCTCCATCTAATTCAATCAATTAATCATGAACTGGTACTAGTGTTTAAATCTGTGGTGTTTTACTATCTTAACACTTAACCTTGTGGAGTGTCTGGATTCCTTTCCTAGGACTCTCTTACCAGTGCAATGCTGCTGTGCTGCCTTTGCTGATCTACTGAGGTGCTACAGAGGATTGAGCCTTTCATTGTTTCTGTGTGTGTCCCGTCATGTCTTTAAGTCGTTCTTCAATAATTTGCAGTTTATCATTTATCATTTAAATTTGTTCACTAGCGTGTCTCTAAACTAGAAAAAAATGAGGTTACGACCTTAGACTATATCATAGTATATCATGTATTATACTAAAATACAGATGAGTGACTAAATGAACTCTGCACCCTTCAACTCCTCATTCTCTCATTTATGAAACAAATCTATATACGTCAGAGTTTTTATTATTAGTTATGTAGTTCAGCAGGTCATCGTCTCTACTTCGTTAAAAAAAGGGTCATTGACGAACATTCATCATTACAATTTTTGTTAACAAAATTAACATTGCGGGGGCTTTTTCTTTACATTTTTAACACTGCACAGGCATCCTGAGGGTCCTTTGTTTACATTTACAACCTAGAAGAGCATTGTTTACATTTACACACTTGCAGGGCATCCTGGGGGTACTTTGTTTACATTTACAACCAGGAAGAGCATCCTGAGTTCACTTCGTTTACCCCTACACGCTGACAGGGCCTTCAAAGACATTCTGTTTGGATTTTATTCCCTAGCAGGACACCAACAATGTCAGATTTTCAAGTAATTTATGTTGCCAAGGTGTTTTATAATGTTTTATCTACCGCAAAGACACTCAAGATGGCACTTTTGCTGCATGTTCATAAGGACACCTGCAGGTCGATTGCCTCCCTTTGCCCGCTTTATGTACTCCACTGGGATGACCTCTTTTTTTGCTGCTTGCTCTGCGCTCACAAACTATATTTGTTGGCCGAGAACTGCCACTGCTGCAAATAAAAAAAAGAAACGGTGCAGATAAAATTCTTTTTAAAAAAGCCACAATGGAAGTTAACGATGTGATGCAAAAAATATAAGATAAAAATAAAAAAGTTACTTACTGCAAAAAAAAGGATGCAAATAAAAAATAGCCACGACGGAAGTGAGCTGCTGAGGACCAATAATGATGATGAACTAGCGTCTCACGATCCAGGCACAGAAGACGAGCAAAGAAGTTAGTGGAAAGGTTATTGTTTAATTTCACTTAGTAAACTTTTCAATGTGTCATTTGGTTCGGCCATGTAGCGCCTGAGACGCTGTGAAGTTGAACTGGAGGATGCCAGGGTAGTATTCGCTTCAGTTCAACTTGATATCGACTTAGGCGCTACATGGCCTAACCAAATGACACATTAAAAAGCATGCAAAGCGAAATTAAACAATAACTTTTCCACTTCTTTGTTTATCTTCTCACCGTTGTCTTCTGTGCCTGGATCGTAAAACACTGGTGCATCATCATTATTAGTCCCCAGCAGCTCACTTCTGTTGTGGCTTTTTTTATTTGCATCCTTTTATTTTCGCAGTAAGTAACCTTTTTTTTTTTGCATCGGCACTTTTTGTTTTTGCATCGTTAGTTTCCGTTTTGTTTTTTTTAATCTGCACCGTTTCTTTTTTTATTTGCAGCAGGCTTCGGTTTCTTTTTTTACATTGGTAACATCCAATGTGACTTCTTTTTTTTGCATTCTTTTTTTTTTTTTGCAGCAGCAGCAGTGGCAGTTCTCGGCCACCATATCATTACATTTCAAGACCTTTTTTCTTGGAAACAGCAAAACTCTTTCTAACTTGACAGCCCTGTTTTGTAGGCTGCCTCTCCTGAACCTGATGACATCACTGGTTGTTACACAGATTTTAGACAGCTCCCTCCACAGCCAGCTGAACAGGACTCTATATTAAAAGTGCATGAATGACATTACAGCATTTCCAACACGCTCTTTCTGCACATGCCATCAAATTCTGCATCAGTCTAATTTACATCTGAGTAAAAACCTCATTAAAAATCTGAATGAACCACACTGCAAACACACCCTGAGGCTGAAATGCAGAAATATAACATTTACTCTCAGTTAAAATTACATCATTTTAACAGTCATATGACTTTTCTCATTAATCTCACCAGCACTGGCATAAATGGCAGGGTTTTAGTCCACACCTTGCAATGCTATTAAGATTTTAACTCTGACATGAGGACCATCTTGAAACATATTTAGAGCACATGAAGCCTGAAGAGGTGTGGATGCGGTAAGAAAGGCGGTTTGAGCAGAACTAGGGCAGCGGGGCCTGTTTGCCACTGACAGGGCCACAAATTCCTCAGCGTGCATCAGCACTTCAGCCTGCCTCCAGTGGCCTACGAGGCGTGTAGGTGTTCCCCAATAGCATCAGGAGGCGCCCCGCTCCCACCAGCGAAATGCCTCGAAGAGACGCCCGAGTGCTGCTGGTGCAAACACGAAGCAAACAGCAGAGAAAATGTGCCGTTTGCACCGGCGAACAGACGACAGAAAAGCAGGACGAGCGACAGATCGCTGAGCCCAAGCCCATTTTCCTACATAGCATCCTCCCATCATCCATCCACCCGTGGACTCTCCACTGACTCCCCGTGTAATAATGCTGCTGCCGCCGTGTTTCTGTGCTCTTACCCGTCGCCCACCACCACACATTTGATCGCCTGCATTTGGACCGGATCTGGAGGCTTTCAGGGAGCCGGCGCTGGTGCTTCAATAGATCCGACAGTCGGAGCTGAGGTCTCGGATGAGAGCAGCGGGCCAGTCCGCTCGGCGATGGAGCCGCAGTGAAAGGGGTCGATAACGAGCAGCGCCGAACGATGACGGAAACTGCCGAGTGGATTTAAAGGGGCAGAGTCCGAGTAAAAGACAAGAGGACTCACTTCATGTACTTCCGTCTTCGATTAAAGTCTCTCACTCTGTTTCTATAACCGGTGTTTACAGGATTTACCTCCCAGAAAGGTGACTCTCCATATTTCTTATTTAATTCATTAAAAGAAAGATAATATGTTGTTAATCATGACAATAATCCTGAACATAGGTCCTTTGATGACTACATTTCAAGCATAGGTCAAAAACATGCTAGCCTACAGTTGTATTATTACTAAAAATGGTATTATTTATATTTGATTAAGAACTTTTAAGTATTAAACCCCTGATGTCCCAAAAAAGTAACTTTTAAATAAAACAGGAAAACAAGTTCTGCAAACACAAGATGACTATTTTGTGACCACATGATAATAAACTTGTTCCTACAAGATAATCTTGTACGCACAAGATGATTTACAAGAATTTGTCTTGTGCAGTTAAGATATAAGTTCATATCTTGTGCACACAAGATAACTGTTTCCTACAAGATAATCATATGATGTTCTTGAGATAATCGACTTTTTTAATTTTCTCTTGGGCACACAAGATAGTTGACTTATTTCCAATTAAATAAACAATTAAAGGATCAGCAAGATCTTTCATGCAGCACAGACACTGAGAGGGTTTCTATACAGTTTTTAGACTCATGTAAAATGGAACAGGAAAAGGTATCTTGATTTCCTGGCTAGTTTCCCTTTCATGTTCCATTCGACTGATCACATTTTTCAGAAAAATCATATTCCACTTTCTTCTTTGATTTGAAATTCCTCATGTGCCCTGTAGCTTCTCAGCAACGCACATTTTTCCCTAAAGCTAGAGGTGTAATTCAAGTAGATATGACGATTTTTCTGATAGATGTAATATTATAAATGATCTAAAAGGACTCAAACTGATATCTGTCACTATTAACAGATATCAGTAAAAATATTGAAATCTCTGTTAATGTCAAGCAGTAACTTCAACCTCAAATCCAGTCTGCTTATGAGCCTCTGGAAAGAGTGCACAGGGCTCTACTGTGTGTGAACTATCTTGACCGTGTTAGATCTTTGGCTATATTTTAAGACCCAGTGACCTCATGCATCCCCACCCCACATTTACAGCAGCTCTGAATATACTGTAAATGCACTCAAAAATGGACCAATCCAAACCAGCCACCAAAACATCCACAAATCAAAGAAAAACACATTTATTTCACAAGTAGACACATTATATTTAAAAAAGACAACAAAAACTGAGAAAAATGGTCAAAAAGGCACAAATACATTGTTCATCTTTGATGAAATTCAATGACAGGACTGTCGCTGACATTTAGGTAATAGCTGAGATTTTGGGCATAGCTTAAGAATCTGCATGTGAGCTACAGAGACGACTCCTGGTTTGACACAAACAGTATGAAGGCACACGGTATCCAGACCGGAGCAGAATGATTGAGACTGCGCGGCGAGGGGTTCACTTTTTCATGACATATCTCAGTGCCAAAGATTTCTGGCAGAGATCTGAGCTTATATGAAACACTGAGACTGTTAGACGGAGGTCGACATCTGTTTCATATCCAGCTGTCAAATATTTCTTCACATACAACACCCGTATGCTTCTGGATATGGAAGAACCAAGAGCCCTTATTATTTTGTTTTGCCACCTTTTTGATGGACACTTCAGACAACTGTTATGTTCTATATATCATTTTTCTCATTTAATCTGCACCTCTTTGTCATAATCAGCAGTAAATCTTTAACGGTTTGATCGTAAATCCTTTTGTCAGCACCACATGAGGTTCACACTGTTGTGGTTGTGTGTCGATGTAAATGTAAATGTGTTCTTATCAGATCGAGTGAAAAACCCGCTCATATACCCTTTACTTTTCCCCGAAAGCTTCTTGCCTTTCATTTAATACGATCATGTAATTTGTGCATATGCTCAATGACCAAATATTTGAAAACTGACATCAGCCCCAGCTGTCCTCAAAGCTCCTAACTTGCGTGCTACAACCTTATCTGGGGTGCTTTGTAACATTTAGATAAAAATCCTTTTTTATCTCAAGCTTTATTTTTGTGAAACTATGCATTTGTTAAACAGGACAGCTGAATGGAGACAGGAAATGAGGGATAGTAGTTTTGTGTAGTTGATGAAAAAGTCGGTTTGAGCCCAGTGCCTTTAATCACTCATGTGACCTTCTGTCTCTCCAATGTCGCATTTACACTTCTATTTTCTACTTTTCTTCTTTTCAGTTCATCCTTCATACAGTCCTCACCTGTGCAGACACACACTAAGGCCTCAGAGGTTGTGCTGGTGGGGTCCAGGTCTCGGGTCATTTCTTGGGGCTGCTCAGGTGTCCCAGAGGAGAGCCCTGGACATAGGTGAGGATGGCACTCTGCAGGTAGCTGGCTCTGTTGGCCTCATCCTCCCTCATCCTCTGGATCTCTGCGTCTTTCAGCCGAAGCTTCTCCAGCATGGAGGACATCTGGCTCTCTTTGTCCAGGAGCGCCTCTCTGTGGTTACTGCTCAGTGCTGCATGAGAGCCACGGGCAGAGAGAGCAGAATGAGTACTAGAAAAATTGCATTTCCTTGCAGAAAATGCGTGGAAATGCTGAGGTGCTGAAAGCTGAAAAAGCAATGCAAAACTGCCATTAAAAAATGGAGGAAGGTATGAATGGAAAAACTGTTGAAAAGGTGGAGTAGAAGAAGAAATTGTATGAATGGAAGAATTGTAGTATAGCTTAAGGTAAATTAGTTGGATTAATGTACAAATTGTCTGATAGCCTAAGTGAAAAATGTATATGATTGATGTGAATAAACAGAACTGATATGGATAATTGAATTTGAAAAACAAATGCCTTTAAACAATGTGTAACAATGTTCCTATTAAATGTACAAATAGTAAAACAGATTTTTGCAGTCTGCAGCATCCAACCATAGTAACTTGAGAATGCAGAACAGCACCATCTATTGCCCTGCTTCAGTTACTGCCCTACATCTGAATGTAGAAAGTATGAAACAGCTGAAGTTAAATTAATTGTATAAATGTAGAAAGTATAGAAAAGAAAAGCAAAAGTAGAAGAAAAAAAAGAAGTTAGTATGTTAAAAGAGTTAAAGACAATAACTGTAAAAACAAAGTTAATATTGGGGGTGTATTTTCTACTGACAGAGAGACAGTAATGCACACATGGAAACAGTGTGTGTGTGTGTGTGTGTGTGTGTGTGTGTGTGTGTGTGTGTGTGTGCGCGCGCACGAGCGGCCGAGCCCGTGCGTGTGTCATCGAAGCACACAGCCCATGACAAGTGCAGAATCTCTGGCTCTGAACGAATGTATTCACCTCTTGGGCAAACTGTACAATTTGATGACTTCAGACCTATTTTGTGAGAAGCAGGACGAGTGTACCTCCATTTTGATGTGTTTTTTATCGCTGTGGAGTGAAAATTGCGGCCGTGGCTGCAAAATAATCATGCTTGGTCTAGTGAATCCAAAAGGCTCCGCCCGCATCTAGTGATGACGTCACACGCTGTAGCGTGAGTCAGGCTGAAAAAGGCTGAAAACTTCATGTTGCTCCAAGCGAAATTGTGCAAAAACGGTAGGAAATAGCAAAAAGGAGTGAATACAACATTTGTAGCAGACACGTTGCTGAACATTTTAAAGCAAAAATGAGGTCTGTAGGTGAAAGTATGCAGAAGTTATAAGGGTGAGAAGGTGTTATAGCTTTATCTCCATTCATTTGTAATGGAACAAATTTTGCAGAAAAAGTGAAATATTGCAAAAAGTATAAATGGTAGAAAGGTGAAAAGTACTAGCAATAATGTCCTGAAGGAGTGCATTAGTATAAAGTTTGAATGGTAAAAATAGCACAAAGTGGTAAGGAGTTGAAAAGGGCCAAAAAAGGTACGGAAGAATAATAATAAAAATAATAATAATAATAATAATAAAGAAATAGTAGAATAACAATAAGTGGAAATGCTGTGTCAGCATTTCCACTTAATTACAAATTTTTAATGCATCAGCAATCAATGAGGTCTGACTTGGATAAGATAATATCTTCTGTGTTTTCTTTATTTAAAATACTGGGGATGGTTGGTATTTTATGGATTACTTAAAAAATAATTTCTAAAATAAAAAACATGACTCAGTGTCAAGATAAGCAGCCTGCTGACTAGTTTGAACAACATTTCTGATATAAAAAAAACGTGTGACTTCCTAAATCCTGAACTGTAAGGATTAAAATAAGCGATAAAATAAGACAGTAGCAAAGAGTGTCACCTTTGATTTCTCTCTCCAGAGCACTGATCTTCTCTTTGAGTCCCCCCTGAGCCGTCCTCTCGGCCTGTAAATGTCCGATCTGCTCTTGCAGCTCCACCCTCACCCGGCTCACCTCTGCCACTCTCTCCTGGTCCTTACCTGACAGCTCCTGTGACCAAGAAACCACTTTATGATACAGTTTTTATCATGTGGAAACACAGCCTGAAGCAAATCGATCAATCAGCTGACCTTTATTTATACACCAATCCCCATTTATAATGACATCAAGATGAGATAAAGTAGCAGTAAAAAGACAGAACTGCTACAGACTCTCCATCTTTGTGCTTATGCTGTCCCTGGGCTTTTCAGACTCACACTCACACCTGCCTCCTCCTGCTCTTCTCTCCTCTTCCTGCTCTTCTCTTTTTTCCTCCTCCTCCTCTTACTGTTCTCTTCTCTCCTCTCTCCTCTCCCTGCTCTCTTCTCTCCCTGCTCTCCTCTCTCCTCCTTCTGTTACTCTCCCTGCTCTCTTGTCTCCTCTTTTCTCTCCCTGCTCTGCTCCTCTCCTCCTCTCTCTGCTCTCCTCCTCCTGCTCCTCTCTCCTGTTCCTCTCTCCTCGTCTTGCTCTCCTCTCCCTGCTCTGCCCCTCTCCCTGCTCTTCTCTCTACTGTTCCTCTCTCCTCTCCCCTGTTCCTCTCCCTGCTCTCCTCTCTCCTCCTCCTGCCCCTCTTCCTGCTCTCCTCTCTCCTGTTCCTCTCTCTGCTCTCCTCTCTCCTTTCCCTGCTCTGCTCCTCTCCCTGCTCTCCTCTATCCTCTTTCCTCCTCCTGCTCTTCTCCCTGCTCTCCTCTCTTTTTCTCCTCCTGCTCCTCTCTCTGCTCTCCTCTATCCTCTTTTCTCCTCCTGCTCCTCTCTCTGCTCTCCTCTCCCTGCTCTCCTCTCTCCACCTGTGGCTGTCTGATAATTTGTATTGCTGTAGCACAACTTGTTGGCACAAACTCGTGCCACATGTTTGAAGTTAATAAACTTCCTTCTCACATTTTAGAGCAGAATCTTGATCCACTTGATGGCTGTCTATAATCTCTGTGTGTTTTCTCTACCATCTCCGTAGAAGAATAAACATAATATATATCTGGCTGCCAAATGCTCTGTTATGTTTATCAGCAGGTGTGCAACTGTGTGTGTCTGCTGTTTGGCAAAGAGATCAAGCATTAGGCAATAAGCCAAAGAAAAAATATGTGGACCACCACCTAGAAGCAAAACGTTTACTCTGAGTAAAAAGTCACACAGTGCAAACACTTTTTCACCTGCGGTCTCTTGTTGAAAACAGTACAGAAGGTGTGATTTTACCTGCTGGAGCTCCTCGATCCTCCTCCTCAGTCCATCCATCTCAATACTCTGCTGGCTGTTCTTGGCCTGCAGATCGCCGATGGTCTGTTTCTGCTGGGAGCAGTGGAGCTGCACCTCCTGCAGGGAGGAGCGCACCGAGCGAAGCTTCTCCTCCAGAGACGACACGTGCTCCTGCTGCTCCAAAGAATTCAAGGGCAAAATAACTGATTTATTTTCATCAGGATAATCCTCTCTGTAACTGTGAGGCTTTTCAGAGAGTCATCAAAGTGTTTGGAAAAGAAAGATCTGTAGCTCCTACAAACTTTTACAAATTTCTAATACCATATCTTTGAGTGGTCCTTTTACTCGTTACAAGAAGGAGTGGGCCCGGCCATCACCGTTTTGAAATGTCATCAGTAAATTAGAATTTATCACCATTTTAGGCACATTGAAATATCATTTTTTTAGTTTTTGAAAATATAAACACTATAAAGGAACTCATTACATGTTTTAAATGAAATAAATGCAGTGAAATGATTTTTATGATCTTGATTTTTAGATTTATCATTCAAACAACTGCTGCACTGCTACACCAGAGTGGTTTACTGGTAAATCTGGACTCATTTGGGTTGTTTTCTTGTAATGTTGCAGTTTTACAAAGAGTGAGGGGTAAAAAAATGAAGAAACTTGATGACAGTCCGAGAAAAGTTTAGCCCTGTGTATTTATTGGAGGGCTTGTAAACATTAACTGGCCCTCTAGCTCTGTGCAGATCCTCTTTTGTAAAATGAGTGGAGGTAAAACTCCTGGTTTTTGGTGGAACTTGGATTAAAGGTGTAGATGTTTTTAACCCACCTCTTCTAGGCGCACTTGAGCTCGAACTCTCCCCAGTTCCTCCTCTGCCTGGGCTCTCTCTGTCACACATGCTGCTCGAGCTTTACTCAGTTCCTGCAACAGATTTGAAGTTATAACCTCTTGTGAAAGCAGTATGTTTTGACTTTTCATGATGCTCCTGGATCCAAAACAAACAAGGAACATCAATGAATTGATTTGACAGCAGTGCAGGCTCGTGCCAGGATGAACGCAAGCTCAGGCCTGACCCCCCTTTGCTGCATTTCTCTCTCTCTGTGTAAAATAAACCCTGAAATCTGTCTTCACACCTTCCTGGACATTTCTTTCTTTGTGTCCTTTTTGTGCAGTTGATGTCGAAGATGGTAAAAGACGCCAAAATTTGAGGCACCAGTCCAGTCAATTGTAGGTGTTGATGCTCGAAGTAAAACTGCTTTTGTTACTGTGTCGAAATTAAGAGTTTATTGACAACAACAGCAGCAGGCTTTTTCAAAACAAATCCAGCATTACAGCATTTTACCTTGATATATAATGAAAACCATTAAACGGTTCAAGTCTCCTGCCTTGAGATGAGCCTCAGCGGCACCTGAGACGTGGGAAACCACTGATTCGCCCACTCGTAGATTTGAATAACCGTCCATCATTATCTGTAGTTAGAAGGAAATAATCAGGTAGCACTCCGTTTTTTGGCCTCAGCCCCACCAGCTTCTGTTGAATTTTTGTTCAACTGAAACTGAGCAGAGCCATAAAGTTAATCCCGCGGTTGGTTTCTCTCATCTGTGTACAGTTTTCTGTTTCACTGATAGCATCATCTGCACTAGACTAGTTTTTGCATAACCAAAAAAAACTTCTCGCTCTCATTAAATTTTGAGTGACAGTGTTTGCCATGGGGCTCAAACTTGACACCTCCATCACTCTCCCCCCTTACCAACAAAAGGGACCATGGCTTTCAGATCAGCACCTGCAGTCATTTTCATTCCATTTGCAATACAACATTTCGATAATTTCACACAACCTACTGTATTCATTGTCAGGTAATAATTATCTCTATATTATGTACAATAATATATATAATTTCACATACAATACTACTTGCAAACTCTTTATGACTATATTTCTTTTCCAGCACTGTAAGGCGCTTTCACAATATCATTTTCCATACTAGTTAGCAACAATAGAGAGTTAGTCCTAACATTGTCACCACCTAAATGCAGCATAGGTCTGGGTAAATGTTGCAAAAACTACCTGTGAACATTACTGCAAGACTACTATCAATGGTGACATGATAGCTGCCTTTGTAATTTATCAAAACTGGGATCTTACGTGCAGCTCAAGCTTCTTTTCCTCTCAAGGTTTCGAGTTACTTAGATGAGTGGGATGCAGACGTTAAACCACGGGTAACCGTTTTTGATAATGGTGATATCAACATCAATCAAAACAAACATGACTGAGTTATTGTGTAGCCCTGCTTCACTGATGAGTAGAGGGCACGCTTGTGTGAAACTAAAAAAGATCTGAGAGCTGACCGTGTGTTTTCCTCTACACACAGAAACATGCAGCCGTGCTTCCACACATAATGAAGGGCTACAAGTGTTTTTGCAGATACAGTAAAAATAACTGCATTTGATCTATGTTTGCTCCTGCCTATGGGATGGAGAGTTGGTCCACTACTGCCAATTATGTGGTCCGCAGTCAGGAAACAGGAGGTTGCCGACAGTGGGCATGGCATGAGGTTGGCAGGTAAGATCTCGAAATCATTCCTGTAGAAGAGTCCCATGTGGGAAAGCCCAAACCTGAAGTGGTAGAACATTTACATTTGGGCATGAAGCAGGGCCATCAGCACCCCCAATCTACCAGTTTCTGATCGCTGGTGAAGCTGAGTGCTCAGCTTGTACTATTTGGGTACCACCAAAGGGGTTTGAGCTTGAAGAAGCCACTGGAAAAGGGTGGCCTTTGACCCGCAAGGGTAAGTATAAGCAGACATGCCGACGTGCAGGTGCACATGATTTCAACTGACTCTACCATTGAGTCATAGCCACCCCCAGAGAGTGTGTGCCATGAGTCAGACACACCCCGATTCTCTTGGGCAACGCAACTTGGAGCATCTTAATGAATTTGAATATCATAAATGTCAAGCTCTATTGTGTTTGTTTACTCAGTCATGTTGAAGCAAGATGGTACCAGAATTTGCATGGGATTAAAAAAGGTGGCTCTTATTTAGCCTTCAAATACTAAATAATCAGTGACCAGGTACAGCAGCAGTTGCGCCATAAAAACTTAAGGTAGAAAAAGGGGAACAACGATTGTTAACCCAAACAATATTTATATTTGTTATCAGTTGCAACTTTTTATGACCTGGTGCAGTGATTCTCAAACTTTTTCTGCCCCCGTCTCTAGATGAATATATTTTAAGCCCCTCAACTTCTTACCGTAAACGTTACACAGCACATGTCTAATGACTATTTTCACTGAAAAACACAGACAGACATGTCCTTTGATGACAAACCTTATTTTTGGTAGTCGTAGATTTGATGTAGATTCATTATCAGCCTTAAATTTACCCAACAGTCTCAATACTGGCCATGCTTTGTAAGGGGTGTGCACTAACTTGACGTATGTAAGTCATAAACTACAGAGTCATCTCTGAAACTAACTCTGACCTCCTCCTGTTGTATCCGCTGTCCCTCCAGTTTGAAGATGCGTTCCTGAAGCGTCCTCTCGCTCTCCTCCAGATGACGACTCACCTGCTCCACCTGTGCAAAAATTTGGACTTCAGTCTTTCATAAGGAGTCAAAACAGACCACAGACATAAAGTGGAACCCACACCTATGCATTAAAAGGTAAGTAAATCGCAGACTATCACCATTGTAACTCTCTAGTTACACAAGTTTAAGTTAAAGGAAAACATTCTAAATTTAGACTTCAACCTCAGAGCTTGATGGTTCAATAAATTAATTCCAAACTTAAACTGAATTCTCACAAATTAAAGTGACAGACCCAAGGACCAAAGTTACAGTAAACTTAGCTGTCTCATTGTATCTGGACTTGAAAATATGTCCTCGAAAACTACATATTCATATAATAAATACACATGTGAGAGCACCTCCTTCTGGCGAAGACTGTCCATGTCCTCCAGACTCTGTTTGGACCGTCTCTTCTCCATTTCAAGACGATCTGTCAGGAGGTGACACATAGGACATGTCTGTTGGGTTTCATGTGAGACCAAACGACTTTCTATTTGTGTATCAGAGCATAACAAGTGTTGCTGTCCAGGTTGTGTGTGTTTACCTTCTGCCTGAGCCAGTCGCAGCTTGAGCTCTGCTGTGCTGTTGGTCAGCTCCTGCTTCCCTTCAAAAATCTGCTGCTGCTGAGTCTTAGAGCGCCGCTCCGTTTCTTCCACCTAACAAACACGAAAAAGACAACATTTTCTACCAGATTCATAAACCAAAGTAAGGATCGCAGTTTTTCATTGTCTTGTTGAAATAGAAAGGTCTTCCCTGAAAAAGTCAGTGTTTGGACGAAGGCAGATGTTAAGGTTAGGAAACAAAACCTGTTATTAATGGTCCATGATTTCCAAAAGAAGTGTCGAATTTTGATTTAAAAGACCATGGAGCAGTTTTTAATTTCTCCCTCTTCATTCAATGCCTACATCCCACCTGTTAAAAGGAACCAGCACCAGGTATGTGGTCCATCAGGGGATGAACCTCTATGCTGATGATATGTCATTGTTTTTACTTACGACTCAGATATTTGGAAAATGTTGCTGATTACAATATAACAATCAGAACACTGTTGGTGTTGTTGGGCCAGAAACCTCAGTAGAGCTGACGGTCAGCACAAGGAACTAAACTCTGTTGATCTTACAGTAAAAAAAAAAAAAATTAAGTTTCGAGTTTTTATATGCACACTGTTCTGCACAAACTTGACTCTTACCTTACTGCGGAGCTGGGTGTTGGTTTCTGTCAAGTTCTGGATTTCTCTGAGAAGTTTGCCCTCTCTTATTACACTGTCCTGGAGGATGGAAACACATTACTTTGTGAAAAAGCCATATTCTAATACGCAAAAGTGATTAAAGTGTGGTATTCTTTATGTTTTTAGGTTTGGCTGCATCGGTAGATTGTGATCTGATCTTTTTAGCATTAGTTTACTTCTGACATTTTACATGATTTGTTTTTTGTTACTGAAACATATATTTGTTGTTATTCATACATTTTATTTCAGCTACATTACCTGGGTCCATTCAAGTCTGAAGAAGATGAGATTGTTAAGTGCAAACAAAATGTTATTGGTAGATGAATCATACCAATCCGTATGTCTGCTTACGCTCCTACATATTTCTTGGAATCAGTACATCAAATATAAACAAAATGTGTACCAGATGAAAGACTAAAGTCTCAGGTATATATTTCATATTCATGAAATTTTCATATCTTGTGTCAGTGCAGAGTTATAACCAATCAAATAGAGAGTGTGAATATGTGACATGTTGCCCCACCATCGGGTAAGTAGTCTCACTACATGGGATAAGATGTCACAGTGGATTTTGCAGCTAATAAAACAAGGACAGCAAATAGTATCTCTTATATATCTTTCATAGCATTAACATCGGATTAAAGTTAACAAGTGGTCTTTAAAATGTTAAGACTCCTTTAAGTGCTGAAAGAGGAATGTCCATGCAATAAACATGTTTGTTGTGATTTAAGTAAAGGCTCTACTGAGTACATTAATGTAAATAAAAACCTTGTTAAACCTTTAAATTTGTCTGTATGCTGTTATTGGTGATAAATTATCTACAAGTGAGTTAAAAGCTATTTCTAAATACAATAATTAAACCGTATATAGGCTCATTATTTGAATAAACATCCCATTGATGTTAAGGGCTTTAGAAAGTTTCTGATAAAAACCAATAAGTATATTAAAAGTGTAGTAAATGTGTTTATTATGCTTTTATCAACATTCATTTATGTTACTATAAGGTATTGACAGCCGTTTTGATGCTGCTTTAAAAGAAGAATGTGAAAGCAACAGACAAAAACATTCTTTATTTACTTCTTTATTTGGCAGGACAAAGCTGCTCCACACACAGCTGGGAGTGTGAGCTCAGTTTGTTGTTCAAATGGAGATTTACTTTGTATCAACAGCCTGGAGCGAGTGGGGGTTTCCCCTTACTGTTGTTGGATCAATTTATTTCCTTATCTAAAAGCTACATTAGCTAAAGACTGAATCTAACTGTGAAAAAGTGGGTTAGGCCGTTTGTTTGAAGTTTGTTTCCTGATCAGATCAGATTTGAGATGAAACTTGTTTTTGTCTTCTGCTCCTCTCCTGTAAAACATACCTCTTGTTCTTTCTTCCTCTCTCTGCTCTGTCGTTCCCTCTGCTCGTCTTTTTCGGTCTTCAGTCGTGTCAGCAGCTCTCCCATGTTGTGGTTCTTCTGCTCAGAGAGGGCAAGGGCAGCTTCTGTCATCTGCAGTCTGAACAACACAGAGTGATGCATCATGGGATCAGTGAGACTGCATGTGCATGTCACCATACTGTAAGACACTTAGGGTGGTGATGACGACATTTAATGCAGTCTAAATGTCAACGTCATCTGACGTGCAAAAAAAATAATGAAAGGACATGGCACATCTGCAAAAAAACTGAAGCCTAGCTTGCATGTCAGGAGGAGAGCAGGGAGAGAGGAGAGATGAGAGTAGGAGGAGGAAACAGGAGAGCAGGGAGAGGAACAGGAGGAGGAGAGAGGACAGCAGGGAGAGGAGCAGGAGGAGAAGAAAGAGAGGAAAGCAGGGAGATGAGCAGGAGGAGGAGAGAGAGATGAGAGCAGGTAGAGGAGCAGGAGGAGGAAGTATGTCTGTCTGAAAAGCAAATGGAGCAAGCATCCAATCCATTTCACTTTATTTATATAGTAAATTAAAAACAATTGTGTTTTATTCATTGCTCAAAATAAATGATCAAGTTAGGTCTGACTGTTTGATTGTTTCTGCTGCTTTTTATATATTTGGGCATATGTTGTTTCACATACTGCTCCATACCACAGCTGCATCTTGTGGGACTTAAATCAAAAAGTGAACAGAAAAGAAATCAAGAAAAAGTCCTGAGTTACAACATTTCATTTCTAGTAATTTTGGTTTACCTGTCCATTTTCAGCAGCGTGCTAGGCTGTCTATGAAATACATACGTATATGAAATACTGGGTCGAGGTGAGTGAAAAAGAGTTGTGAGTTAAAGTCTCCTGCTAAACTGAGAAGGTTTCAGTAACTTAAACTGGCTGCACTGATGAAATATTCAGAGTGTTTCAGGAAGGCTGAGTCAGTACAGAGGTATATCCAGGGCTCATACTCAAGTCTTTGTGTTTGACTGGTCGATGATTAAAATGTCTCACACTCTAAACAACAGCTGCTCGCTGAGTCGCTCACTGTACTTCTCTTTCTATTGTGAAACTGGAGGAAAGGAAAATGAAATGCTTACTTGGCAGTGAGAGAGTTGACAGCTGACTTCCTCTCATTCAGAGCTTCCTGGAGCTGGCCGATCTGTACGGAGGTGGACCTGATCGCACAGAGGAGAGGTCAAAAGGTCGGCACTATGAGGTCATGGTTACAAAACTGAATGGCGGGGGGAATTAAGCCAACAGAGGAAAAATATGCTGCTGTAGTACTCTACATCTCTCTGGGTTATTTGATTTATATTTTATTGAATGTAAAGTTTTATATTTATCTGGCTCACCTGGTGGAGTGTCCCATCTCCTCTCTCTGCCTGTCAATGGTTTCCATCAGACTCAGGAACTAAAGAAGAAAGAGAGCAACCAAACTTTTTATTCAGTCTGGGGAATTTCATGAATAACCCATGAATAAGTCCAGACTCTAAAACAATGTTAGGTGCTTCAAAAAGAGCCTGAAAGTCTTCTGAGATCTGTAATCTTTGCAGCTGCAAAAACAGAGTCAAGATTTTTATTTTCATTTTAATTCAAGATAGTTCGAGTTGAAGTTTCTATAGATACTTATACTTATTGACATGACATGAGGCCTGAAAACTGGCCTGTATTTGAACCCATTAGGACTAAGCAGAGTTGATTTTCTTTCTCTTTTACTGATAACAGATCTGAGCGAATCTTTATTCTGGTACAAAGTCTTACCTGCCGTCCCTTCTCCTCCTTGAGTTTATGGATCTCTTTGCTGAGCACCTGCGTCCTGCTGTGGCTCTCTCTCAGGGTGGACTGTCTGTCATTGTTGTGTCCTGTGCACTGCTCTTTAGGGGTTCAACAACAAAAGAAAAGATGAGAGAGGAAGAATATAAAGGGTCAAAAGTGGAGCACAGTATGTAAAAAGAAAAGGTGAAGCAGCATGGTTAGTGCAGTAAAAAAAATCATCTTGTGTTGTTTCACAGAATCAAAATTTTGATCAACTGAAGGATGAGAAAGAAACAGGGGGAGGGATTATGTTACTGATGGTCTTGTTTGCTTTTTTAAAGAGATATCACTGCTGGTTTCATAACCAAAAACTCCTCATTGGAGCTTTAAACTAATACATTTCATCTGAATTTTTGTGGTCCCACAGCAGAATGGTCCAGTTTTGTGCAGACTACAGAGACTAGACTAGATTTTACCAAGTGCTCGGATTGTGTCATTGGGTATGTTGTTCCCCGCTGTCTCCAGCTGAACTATGGTCTTGTTCTTCTGCAGAGCCTCCAGCAGAGACCTGCCCCCCAGAAGACCAATGCTGTTCCACCTCAGATCTGTGGAGAGTCAGAGAGGAAGGTCAGGATGTGCCATTAAAACAATAAAACACTGATTACATTTTTTTTTCTTCATATTTCACCTTCACACGGCTTATTCTCCATTACACATTAGTTGGTGTGGATTTTAAACCCATACCCCACCCATCCCTGAGTTCTGAGCACGTAAGGCAACTCATACTGTAACTGCTTTTACTTTGATTTCTGTTCGACAAAGTTCAACTGAAATGCAAATTTCATTTAGAGATGAAAGCTTTGACCTTTCAGTTTCCCAGTCACTTAAACAAAAACAAAAACTACTGGCTGGATACCAATTTTCAAAAAGTTTATACCTAGAACTTTGATGGTGTTGTTACGTTTGAGCGCCAGTGCCAGCTCTGACGCTCCTTTATGGTTGATCTGGTTGTTGCGCAGGTCCAGATGTGTCAGCACGCTGTTTGAGGCCAAACCTTCACAGAAGAGCGAGAAAGCTTCATCCCACACCCCCAGAGCATTCCACTCCAGCACCAGCCTGCAAACAGTGTTTCAAGTCAGTGTTTAAACTTTCAAGTCAGATAGTCAGAAATGAAAAGTGTAAAACAATATTTAAAAAAAAAACATTGAAAATATGTTGGCTTCATCTTTTGTTTTATGGCCAAAGGCTGATTTAATATCTTTTTACTGTTGCATTTTTCTTGCTTTATTTTATGAAGATAAAATGTGTCAGCTGACATACACCACCCCAGCTGTCCTCCTCCTACAGTTAAAATAAAATACTTTACATTGAAAACAGAGAAATCTGTAGTGTGAGCTGGTTAAACTTCTTCAGTTTGGAAGTCCAGCACTGTCACTCAAACATGTACCTCAGTGACTTCATATTACTAAATGAACACATTTACTTTTAATTTCAAAAATCCCGACAGGAGGAGCATTTTTCTCACCTGCGCAGAGTTCTGTTTCGTGCCAGCAGCATTCCTAAGGCCTCAGCCCCTTTTGACCTCAGATTATTCCCCTGTGCACAAGAATTTACATCAATTTGCCATTTAGATAGATTTGCATCTTTGTAAAATATTGAACCCATTTACCAGAATTAGAGCGTTACCTTCAAATCCAGGACTTTTACAGTTGTGTTCTCAAACAGCCCAGACAGAAGTACTTTGACATCTGAGAAAAACACATATATATCACTGTGGTATATACCGTATACAGTAGCATTCATAAACTGTATTTTTATGTTAATGTACTTTATGTGTTTTCAGACTTACCCTCCTCACTGAGCAAGCAGTCACTGAGGGACACCTCAGTAAAGACGGTCTCATTCTGGAGGGCTTTGGCCAGCACAGAGCAGGTTTCTGCAGACAGATTCTGTCCGTTCAGATCCAGTCTGGAGCCCTGAGACCCCCTCATCTCCTGAAGCTGAGCCACAATGCTCTCCTGAGGATCCACCCCCAACTCCTTACACAGACGCAGGTACGTCCGCCTGAAATCCTCCATCTGGACTCAACGGGCCCTGCTGTTCATATGAGAGCTACAGATCCGTCTTCCTCTGAGTTTTATCCTTTTGGCTGGAGACAGAAAAAAAGATTGGATTCATTCACTATCAGTGTGTTCATAAACACTTTGAGTCTGACACAGCTTATAAAGGAGTGTATTCATTTGCAGTGTTTGCTACTTTTCCTTTTTTTAACTTTTCATCATTTTCAGAACAAATCAACAAAATTCAAGGTTTGTTTTGAGTACAAAGCAGATTTTCAGACAAAGATATGCACTGTCACTGCTTCCCCCTCCAAGAACAGAAATGATCAGTCAATCAGCCAAAAAAAAAGGAAGCAAATCAGCAAAAATAGTCATTTAAGTCTCAGCATTGGCCACCAGTATCTGTTACAACTGCTTCATGAGATAATTGAATCGGTTTTAAGCTCTGGACAGTCTTGCTCTGACCCAAATGTCAAATTTGCTCTTATTATATGAGTCTGTGAGACCCCTCAGGCAGTGGTCTTTTCATGGTGTATGGGTGGTGGAGTGTTCATATTATCATTTCGTTTTTTTCTATTGTATCATCATCACCACAGCAACTGAAACCTACCTACCTACCTGCCTACCTACCTACCTACTTATTTATCTATCTATCTCGTGAGTGCAGGCTTCAGCTAATGCCAATTGTTAAAAAATAAAATAATTTTAATCAACCAAATGGTTAGTTGGACTTTATTTTATTGACTCATTTACAGCACTTTTTGTTGTGTAATTGTTGTATGGACAATGGTTTATTAAGTCTGATTGATACTGAGACAGAAAAACACTAATTGTCACTGAAAATATCTTGATAGACAAGATAGATGAGTTGAATTACAAAGACATCACTACAATCAGTTCACTACAAGTCTAAGTCTGAGTAAAATACAACTTTACACCAGCTACAGCAGGAAATGAACATGGCTAAAATCGCAATAAGTTTGAATGAATTATGATTCCATGAAAATGAAACTTTTGTTAATACACTTAAATCAGCCTTTTAGTTAAAAGACAAACTTCATACCTTCAGAAGAAGTTAGATAAGAAACAGAGGAAATCATGTGAAAGCATTGGGCCTAACCCAGAATCTCATGTTAATATATTTAAAGCACTTCAATCTTATACAATAGTTCTGTGAATGAGAGGCATGCCATGATTACTGAGCACATCTTGAATGAGTGTCGAATAACGTTGTAGCTGCTCAGGCGCCGCACGAGTTTAAGGTTCGTGTTTTTTAAGTTGTTAACTAGAGTGCAGATTCACCAAGTGTCACAGAGAGTGTTCTGGAAATATTTAAAAACCACAAACCTCAGACAAAACCGCTCAAACATCTCCCTTGCAGTTATTGTTGTTGTAGAAAGCACAGCTGACAGTTAAAGGAAGCCAAGCGGGAACGTAACTAGGAAGTGAATTCCGCGCGTTGCATGCTGGTCTGAGTAGTTTATAAAATTCAAGCATCTGCCTCATTTTCAGCAACGAAAGCTGCTTAAATTAAACTGACATTGTTTTTAGGTATCTTTGTGTACACATTATTATTCAGTAACATGTGGTTAAATGTGTGGCTCATTTTGAACCCTAAATAAAAATCGGTATTTTCGGTTTCAACCGGCAGATGGCGGGATATCACAACAGCAGGCTTAGTAGACACCGTAGAAGAAGAAGAGTGTTCGCTGGAGAAGAGAAGCGAGCATGGCAGGAAATATCACCAACACCACTGGTCCAATAACCAGCTGTCTTTCTAAACTACAGTCTATTCATGGGCTGTTTGCAATATACAAAAAGAAAGGACCGACGTCTGCGGACGTCTTAAACACGCTGAAAGTAACTTTACTCAAAGGTAAACATAAGAGGTTATGGAGATATTGAGTGCTTATCTGAGACAGTGAGATGTTGATGTCATTTTACTTTTCCATTTTCAGAAGCAGGAGAGAAAAACCCCAACCCGAGGAAGAGGAAGAAGCAGAGCCTGAAGATGGGGCACGGAGGGACTCTGGACAGCGCTGCCTCTGGGGTGTTAGGTGAGCATCCACGTGCTGCTGCTGCTGCTGTCCTCTCAGGTGTGGCTGGGGCAGAAAAGCTCCACAGAAACACTTGATGTGTCTGTGGCATGGTTCCCACAAGTCCAGGGAATCTGCTGAACATTTTCCAGACATGGGAAACGCATCAAACCGAGAGAAAGAACCTCATGCTGCCCTGAAAATTTCTCCTGATTTTCATATCAGAACTGATCCCAAAACAGATGACATTCTCATTAGAGAAGGCTAAATGATGTTAAAGATCATCTCAAGTGGTGATAGTAGTTTGGTGGGCAGCGTAAAGACCAGGCCTCATGCTGTAAACACCAGGATGGATGATATTGAGGTAGCATTAAAACGGTGGTGAATGATGCCTTAAGGAATGTCAGATATCTCTCTCTCTCTCTCTCTCTCTCTCTCTCTCTCTCTCTTTCTCACCCTCCTTCTCTACTCTCTCTCCCTCCCTCTCCCTTGTTCTCTTTCTCTCCCCCTGCCCTCTCTCCGACTCCTCTCTCTGGCTGTCTAGCATGAGTCTGGTCCTTCCCAAGGTTTCTGCCTGTTAAAAGGAAGCTTTTCCTCGCCACTGTCACTCACGTTAGATGAGATTGGCCAAATCTATCCCATCTTAGGTTGGGTCTTGATAATTCATCAAACACTGAGCGTGGCCTAGACCTGCTCTTTTTCTTTGGAAAGCGTCTTGGGGTGACGACTGTTGTGAATTGGCGCTGTATAAATAAAATTTGATTGATTGATTTGAGATATATTATTGTATGTTCTGAAGAATGTGAGTGTCAGGCTAACTGCTGACTGTCATTGTTTTACATGTGTAGATCAACATTGCTTGATTCTCGTGAAAGTTAAACAATGTGAAAATTGACCGTATGGTTGTTCCAGTTCTATTAAGGCTGGATGATGAATCAAATTTTAACTTTGATTACAATTTTGGCTCCCAGTGATCATAAAACCAAGAAAATGTAGACTAGTTGATTACTATGCTGCATGCTGTATTGTGCTTGTTTGGTCCCTTTGAACCCTTTTTTTCATTCACAGCAGAGCACAAAGCAGAGGTGTTTATTGTTTTGATTGTAGTGATATGAGTTACCTGGGTAATCTGTCCCACCCTTTTTGTAGCCTCTAGAATATGACTGGTTGGCTGTAGCTGCAACACCAGTACCTTGCAGAACAATCCAGGCTAAGATGCTTAAGTCCAAATGCTCTGAGCAGTTGAAACATACACTGAACAAACTAGTGTGTTGTATTTGGCAGTGTTACTGGTCGGTTGTTGTTGTGGTGTCCACCCACAGAGGATACAAGCAGGATTTGAATAGATTCATTCCTTATCACCACTAACATATTCTCTTTTCAGTTGTTGGTGTTGGGAACGGCACAAAGATGCTCAGCACGATGTTGGCTGGTTCGAAGGTCAGTCTCTACAGTAAAGTTTGTCAATTTAAAAATCAAAAATCTTATCAATGAGACTTACTGCGACCCGTTTGCACTCTAAATCAAAGCCTGACCATGTGGACATGCTTTTATTTCATCAAAAAGAACAATTGTGCAGAAAACTGGACATTGTGAGTCTGGATTATGTTTCTGTTTAGTTCTCTTGTTGAACTTGTTGTTGTAAGACACTCTGGGGGCTGTTTTGGCCCCTCATCAGCTGTGTCCCTGCCACAAGACTGAAAAGTATACTGTCTGGGTAGTGCCTGAAAGAATTTCATAGTAAAAGCCCGGTGTGTTCTTTTTGTGGAGAGACTACCCTTGTGATCACACAATGCTTTTACTTTAAAGATGTAGTGCTGATTAATTGTTAAAAAAGTGACTTTCACAGGATAAATATTTGGCATAGGAACATAATCCCAGTTAATCTTGCATTGATTATATTTCACAGCAGATTAAATGTCTCTTCACCTTTTCTGGTAAAGATTAAATCCTGATGAGTTATGAAGCCTTGACATTTGAATAAAAGGTAGTTTATGGTCTTAAATTGGGTTAAAGTTTATAGAGAAACAAGGCTGGAAGCAGCAACCGTGGCAACTGTTACTGGAACCCTGATTTGTCCTTGTAGATTTTTATTAATTAACTGGATCCACATGTTAATATAAGGCATACAAGTTTGTACAGCCTTTATATTCTTTGGCTTTGCAATATTGTCAAATTAAATCTATTATGTTGGTGTTGAGAATGTATAACACAAACATTTGGTATAGTCTTTGGGAAAAATCAAACTTTCCTTTTTACAAATCATCAAAATTGATTGTCGACTTAAGAAAGACAGATCCATGCACAGTTTTGCATTGTTTTAACACTCTTTTATATTTTGCTGTTTTTCTTCCAGAAATACGTTGCAGTGGGTGAACTGGGAAAGGCCACAGACACTCTTGATGCCACCGGCAGTGTGGTTCTGGAGAAAGAGTTTGGTAAAAACTGAAGCCCTTTTGACATAAATTCATCTGTGTAGTCCAGCAGTCTGATTTGTATTTATCCCATCTGTGCAGTTTGTGTCAGATGAAGGGTTTTATTTGTCCTTGTTTCTGCCCACAGAGCACATCACCAGATCAGACTTTGAAGAGAAGTTAAAGGGATTTACTGGAGATATCATGCAAGTTCCTCCACTGTGAGTATAATCTGAACCTGAGAAATAGTCAGTCTAGGTATTGAACACATCAGGTCAGGGTTTTATAAACTTTCCCCCTGATTGTAAGCCTGTTTCTGTTTGCGTCAGTCTTTGCAACGAAGAGTCACTGTTGCTCCAAAAGTCCTGTGACCTGTCTCCTGTCATCTCAGCTACTCAGCTCTGAAGAAAGACGGCCAGCGTCTGTCTGTCCTGCTGATGAAAGGTGAAAAAGTTGAAGCCAAACCAGCCAGACCAGTGACTGTGTACAACCTGACCCTGCAGGAGTTCAAGCCTCCCCACTTCACTCTGGGTTAGCTGAAGTTGTTTTATGATCTTCATTCTTCTTTTCTCAATGCAATACTCACTGATGATTCTCCTGGAATATAAATGTAGTTCTGCTGTCTTTATTTAGTCCAGGAGTTTAAAATTGTGTGTCTCTGTCTCAGATATCGAGTGTGGAGGAGGATTTTACGTTAGGAGCTTGGTGGACGATCTGGGAAAAGGTGAGACTGACTCAGGATCAATGAGAACCTCTTATGACTCTGAACTCTGACATTAACCTGTCCGTGTCCTGCAGCTCTGTCATCCTGCGCCCATGTGAAGGAACTGACCCGGACCAAGCAGGGCCAGTTCACCCTGGAGGAGCACGCTCTACCCGAGGAGCAGTGGACGCTCGAGCACATCCTACGGACTCTGCAGCCTTGCGTCGAGGCTGAGCCGGGTGGGAAGAAACCACCAAAGGCTGATACCTGAGAGTCAAAATGGTAATTCATCCAGGGAGAGAGAGAGAGAGAGGAGCGGGACTGCATGATGAGCTGAGATAAAAGTCAAAGCACTGCTGTTTGAAGCTCAATGGACCTTATGATTTCATGTCATTTTGTTTTATTACTGCTCTCCGATGATATCCCAGGCTGAGTTTGATTTGTAAATAATTCTGTATTTAGAAATAACAGACCCTCTCCACACTGAACCCCAGCTTCTGTTGCCATCTGTTTAAATCCCTCCTGGCGCTGCAGGACACAGTGACCAAAAAGTGAACATTCAGGATTTATTTTTACTGAATTAAGATTACAATATGTGCTTAGGAAGACCACTGCCATACACTTTGTATCATTATTTTTTATACTGTGAAGAGAATGTGATATTTTATGATACATTATTGGTACTCAAATTAGTGTCTTTGAGCCTCAACCCTCCAAATAGCTCTGTAAGTATTTTCTTGATATGTGGTATTTTTAGTGAGCACATATCTGAAGTGCTATTTCCAACAGTATAGAGACAGCTGAATGTTTACGACACATCTCTGCACCTTTTTATTGAAAGCACAGTGTGAAGTAAAGGGGAATATCTAGTGATAGATGGTCACTTACATCACCCCTGCTCACCCCTCCCATCACTGCAGCAATGGTGGCCGTAAAGGTCTAGAAGCTCCTGTGATGCCTGATAAATACCCTTCATTTGTTGAATTTTTACCATCAAAAATGTCTACCTATATGAATTATTCAATACACCACAAAAAAACACATTCATTAGTAGTTTGTCCTCTTTGAGCCATTGTAGAAACATGGCAGTGCAAGACGGTAAGGGGCCCATTCCTTGTATAGATAGAAAGGGCTTGTTGTAAGATAATAAAAAGAATCAATTCATAACCAGGTAATTATACACTAATTTAGAAAAATTTATAGATAAGATATTTGATTTCTAAATGAGTAAATGCCACGAAAACTTCCCACTGCACCTTTTAAAGCTGTAAGCGATGAACAGATCACTGCACCTGTGCTTGCCTGTAGCAAGTCAAATCAAATGAAATAAACTTTAATTCTCTGCTGTGAAATTCATTTGGGTAAAAGCATCACTGCAAACATGACACATTGATTGACAGATGTGACAAAAGGATTTAGAGTTTATTATATCTAAATGAGCCCCATACTGTGCATCAGGGATAGCAAGAACTACTCCAGTGCTGTTACCTCCAGGCTGTTTGCTGTTACCCAAATGATTTTTTCCACCTACTTACATGATGGTTAAGAAATGCCAAGAAGAGACAGAAAACTATAAACCATCTTTAAATGATGCTGCCACAGAACAATGCTCATTAATCACAGTGCATTGTGCCTTGATGTCCACAAGGCGGCGCTGTTCAGGCTGTTGAAGGGCCGATGTAACCATGTAACACAAGTCAAGAGTTTAAGTGCTGAACACATACATATTTTTTTCTTTTTAATAAACAATCAGGATTGTGCTAGTGAAAGAAACAAATAAGGTGAAAGTTTACATTAAAATGAGTGAATAATTTTGTAGCACTTTTCTCATGTGTACACTTTAAGGACTTCTATTCAAAAGCCACCAAAATCAGTCATGCTGAAAATTGCTGATATATTCTAAACTGTGTTGAGCCCATCACTAATAACGCATCATAAACTCTTTCTAAGCCTTATCTTTGAGGCTTGATAATGTACCAATAGCTCATTTGCTCGTGGGGAGTTTTGTATTTTACTCCAAAGACATACTTTATACTCTGTTCCCCGCCATGATCAGCAGAATCCATAATTGTGTCATTTCACTCTTTCGTTGTACAGACCCTAAAACCTAAACCCAGGTCCCCTTGAATTGCTGGGTTGGGAGCAAAGAAGAGAGAACAGTTAAAGCATTTATGAAGTGTTACAAGCAGGGAGCTTGTGCCTTAAGAAAATGCATTTTGAAACATTGAATGAGTTCTCTCTATCACTGGAAAAAGTTGTGGTAGTTTACCCAGAATTCAAAGGTCCCTCCCTTTTGTTCATTTTGCATGAAGATGTAATACATGATCATATGAGGGATTAACTCTAATGTTTAAAACACTTCATAAACATTGCTATAATTTGTTATGAATGCTGCATATGAAAGCACTAATAAGGATTATATGAGGCCTTATAAATGTGGGTTTAGGCTACAATGAATATCTACAGATTTCCTTTTTGCATTTGTATTCAGTAAACAAATCATTTTCGTGTTTTATTCTTAAATAGAAATATTAGTAGCCTTACGTGCATTCAGGCTGAAATTTTAATAAAGTATTTTATATTCTTTATTTCGTGGATGTTGGTGAAAATATTTGATGCAGCGAGAGCAGAACAAAATGAACAAATGTTGTGACCTTTTTCTGAGAGGCCCACTTTTGTGACTTAGGGGAGAGTGGGGTAAGTTGAGCCAAAGGCTAAGTTGAGCCACTCCCTGTTGCTTGGAAATGGTCAAAGAAATTGATCATGTGACCAAATATTGTGCTATAGAATTGTGTTCAGACCAAAAAAGATCATGAGCTACAACATGAGGTCAAAAACCTGGCATAAAAGTACACCATTTTAGCTTAGAGGACTAATAAAGTCATAATAGTAGTTCTGGGGTAAGTAAGAAAGTAAAGGAGGCTGATGAGAGGATCAAAGTTTCAGGTCCGATTGTTGAAATGATTAACTTTTTTTTTCAAAAATACAGCTGTGAATGTTCTGAATCACTTGAAGACATTCTCGTGTTAAAATGGCTTTTTACAAAACAGCTTTTTAGCAGTTATATGCAATCATAATAAAAAAAATTATTGTACCAGTTTGATACCGTATAATAGATAAAAATACACATAATTGACAATCTTACCATTAGGTAACACTAGGTTTTCTGGGGGCCCCCCCAAAACTCCTCATACACTTACGGTTAATACAGGTTTTACTTATTTGCGCACATTATGTTTGTGTGTCTCAAGGCCCCCCCTTCGGTCACCACTACATTGGATTAGTCCATTTTACTGCGCATGTGCAGAAAGGATTCAGGAAGACCTGCAAAACATACAAAAACAAACGGCGCGATCCTCAAGAGACAAGAAGAGAACAGAAGAGAAGAGAAAATAAAGAAAGAAACAATGCAAAGAAGTTACTCCAGTAGTGCCGAAAAAAAGGAAAAAGAAGGAGGACAGAAGAAAGCTGATACCACCGAAAAAGTTTTTTTTTCACAGGCGGCAGCAGCGGAGTAAGTAACGCGTTGTCGACACCCATTAAGGAGGGTTAGTCGCGTGGGGATGAAAAACGACTAGTGAGTAATTTATTTTTTCCTGCATTGAAAAGTATTCTGTTAGGTTATGCATTAACCCTAACCTTTACCTGTGGCCATAGCGCCGGCGCTATGCTTTCAATGGCCTGAGTTTTATTACCGTAACTTCGTCAAAGTTTGTCCAGTCAGGAAAATTTTCAACGGTGTTGGAAAGCTGAGAGTTGTGGGCATGCGCACATGTATTATTCACTACGGTAGTTGTAACCATAGATATATAAATAAACGCTCGATGGATTACGACGCTTTTAGCCAATGGAGAGCGACACCCGCGCATGGCGGCCATCTTGCTTCAGGCAGGCCGCCTACTCATAACATTACAGTCTACGGTGCATGTAGCATTTAAATAACCATACATTGCTTAATTTTCAAACGATTTTCAAACGCTTTAGTTTGTAACAAACCTCGGAGTTTTAGTTATGTTCCTACTTACTAAAGAGTAATTTAAAGAGAAATTTTAACCATGAATTTTCATGAATAAACATGAAGCAGATAGGTAGAGCAATAACTATAGGCCTACACAAACAAGGCACTTATATTAAATCATTTATATATAAAACATGTAATCATTCCATGTATGTTATATTAGTAATATTTCTATTATAGGGATAACTATAATAACATACAGCAAAAACATATATAAATATTTATTTTCAATATAAATTTCTGCCTCATGTTGGCCATTTTAGATGTTTTTAACAAACCAAACAACTTGGAAATCATGTGCAACTCAAGTTATGTTGAATCAAAAGAGCATTTCTGCCTTTTCCACTGATGTAAAATTGCTTGGTCAACTTTGTAATAGGTGGTCTCACTCACAGTGAGCCTGTTTAGCCAAGTTAGACAGCTGATAAACACAGCACATCCACAGAGACCGTCACTTAAACAAAAAAGAAATGCTGTCATACAAAAAAATAAAATCTGGATTGTTGTCTCAGCCTTGATAACTCGCGCAAAGCAACTCAAAGTTAGCAATTGCGTCCGCAAATAGCCATGTAACAACCGTGCTGCATGATTAAGTCTTTTTTTTCTCAAAGAAAAGCTGGCATTTCAATATGTCCAAGCATCCCAACTCATAGCCAAGTTATCAAGGTATGTAATAAACAAAACCGTTTGTAAATCTGTCAAGATTTCAGTGAGTTAAGAGAATTTTTGATCATGCAACTTACTCACTCTCTGTCAGCTACCATGCAATGTAACAGAATGGTGTACTGAAGTAAGATGGCCGCCGTGAACGGACGCCGGTGGCTACTTCTCAATTCATCTAGCCTTTCTTATATATGTCTATGGCTTCTCAATCAATACCGTAACTCCTTGAAAGTTTGATCAATCAGAAAAATTCCAATGCTGACAGAAAGGTGAGAATCTGTGCTTTCTGTCATCATATGATGTATGGTATATATTACGGTAATCTTGAACGGTACCATCAAAACCGCACCTTCTTTGACGGAGCGAGGGAGAAAAAGAGAGCGAAGTAAGACAGAGCAAGCAACAGCTGACAATTCCATATAATTTGCAGTAATCACCAACCAGATGTTGAAAAGTGAGGCTCAATTACTCCTAGAAAAAGGGACCAAAGCTCTCAGACTTTGGGGCATTTTCTGACCATTTTACTGCCATAATAACCAAAATATCTCCAAATCGCTATTAGTAGGGAGGCTATTTTTCTTGTTACAGAGTTATCCTTCCTGTTCTCTGCACTTTATTAAGCATTCCTTTATTTTCAACAAATACCCTGGACTGTATGACTGATCTGCAGTGCTTATGGAAGAGGATGAATGTTTCTCAGTTTTTCTGATTTTCAAGGAGAGCAGAATAAATCAACTGCAGTAGATTAAAAAGTTGTATTGTTGGAAAACAACATCTGAGAATAGTTATCAATGTAGTCCATGTACTTAGCTTATCCTCTGAATTTTTGCTGTTTCACATTGCTGTTTGGCAGAGGTAGCTGACATAAATTGATACAAATGACTTAATTTCATTTTTTTTTATTGCAAACAAGCAGCAGCATTTTCTAAAAAAAATCAGTGACCTACTTTAAAGAGCTAACTAAAACATTTGACTGTAAATATATATTTAATTTTTGTTAAACAATACATAAAGACATGCTTTGGAATTGCAAGTTTTATCCTGTTCACTATATAAAAAGAGCACAGCTTTTCAAACACTACAGACTTAAACACTGAAGTTATGCCAGGACTGAATCCATTCCTTGCTTACACCAGGATTACCCACGTACAGGACCCTGAAAAGCAGCGGAGAGAAGCTCCAGTACTGTCAGACCTTCAGACAGGACAAATATTACAGACAAAGTCTAATTGTTATGAAAATCTCATTTTATTTTCTCATAGGATCTTCATGATGCAGACTCCTTGGACATCCTAGTAGGCATTCTCTGCTTTGAGGAAAGTGGGACCCAAAATCATATATTATTTTATGTTTATTGTGGCTGTTGCTACGCCCTGTTTTGGGCAAATGTCAATAAAGTTTAATGACAACTTTTGGTGTAATATATTTTTGAGTTGGCATAGCTTAAAATTTTGAGTTTAGTGAAAGTCAAATACAGCTAAATGCACGTGATAAAATTAGTTATTGTCACTTTAAATAGTGAGTTGAATACGTATGAATTTTAATACAGATTATGATAGTATAAATAGTATAAATAACTTTTCTTTCAGTGTATTCAACTCAAATAATCTCTTCTATTCCCTTTGGCATTTGTGTTGATTCTACTTAGTTACTTAATTGATGCACTCATTAATTAAATCATTTAAGTGCAATCACTTGCTTCCAATTTTTTTTTAAGTATACTCAACTTATCTGGGTTTACAGTGTATGCAGATACACTAGTTAGAGACAAAACCATGATAGCCTTGATGTAGTGATCCGAAATTTAAAAAAAAAAGGCTAATCCTACCCCACTCTCCCCTAATTCGCTTAGTATGACTTTTCTAACAGGAACCTTTAAGGGTCCAGAATACAGAAGAATACAGCTGGAACAGGCCCCCAAAGCCTGTCAGGATTTAATATGAAGTTGTGTTCATGACGGTATTTGACCGGACATAACCGGTAAAGCTGTCACCCTGACTCTTGGATAGACCTGATGGGCGCATGCATGGCGCCTCGAGCTGCCTCGGAGCAGCACGAGGCCTCTTGAGGAGTTATCAATCGTTTTTTTGGACAGCAGTCTGACGCCGAGAGGAGCCGAGCGGATCAATGAGCTGCAATGATTGTCTCAGTCCAAATATTAGCCGTTTGGTGATTTCTTTCATGTCTTCAAGGCTGTTCATATCCCTGTTTGCTCTCTGCTCGGTCTTATCTAAATGACAGCCGTTGGAAAGTTGGCAGCGAGGCGTCGCGCGCTCTAGGAGCCCATCAGTGCGCGCGTTTATCAGTGCGGATGACCAATGGGCAGCTCCTCTAGGTGACCGTATCATTCATGGAGTCACCTGGTAATAAAAAAAATCAGGCTCCTGTGTTCGTGGTGTCGCTCTGAAACAGAGAAGTTATCGGTTATTGTTTAACACCCTTTGCGGAAACGTGTGTGAGCGGATAACCGTGCACTAAGTGAGCCATTAAAGCGATTTGCAGTTATAGTCATTATCACCTCCACCTGATAGGCGCATTTCACAGGAAAACATTCAAATTATGAGTTAATCACTCGCCACTGAGCTGCTCCTTTGGGGATGTGGATTGCAGTGAACTCCTATTACATTGTGAAAGATAAGACTCAGAGCTGTTTGATCAGTCAAACACCAACGTTAAGGCCTGCGTAAAAACGACCCAGAGCCAAGTTTTGACTCTCTAGTAAAGTCTTGTGGATTTGCTTAGGGAAATTAGAGGACTTTATGAGAGTGGACTCTGGAGGGAAGTCCTTTTTGTGCCTTTTAGACTCACTCCAGTGTTATTGTGTGGGCTTGCCTCTCTGATGTAGGGAAAAGAAATTAATCAGAACTATAATGAGCTAATTTGATGAGCGATGACCCTGCTTGACCAAAGGCTGAAGTTAGTGTAACATATGCGCACCTCGTGTCAACCTGGAGAGGAGTTTAGGACTAGGGGAGAGTGGGGTAAAATGAGCCTTTTTTCATATTTCCGATCACTACATCAAGGCAATCATAGTTTTGTCTCTAACTAGTGTATCTGCATATATTTGTGCAAGATGTTGTTCATCCCTGCAAACCAACAGAATGAGTGTAAACACAACTGTCTTGATAATATAGCATGCCAAAAAAGTGGTCTTCTATGGTCAACTTACCCCGAGTATGGAGTAAGTTGACCATAGGAGTGGGGTAAGTTGAGCCATATACAACCCCCCACTCTCCACCCCAGCCCTTCCTCACCTTCTCTCTCCCTAAATAACAGTCACTTTTTCATATTCATGTGTATTTTTATCTATTATACGCTATTCAACTGATACAATAATAATTTTTTATTATTATTGCATATACTGTAACTGCTAAAAGGCTGTTTTGTAAAAAGACATTTAACATGAGAATGTCTTTAAGTGATTCAGAGGAGCTCCTCTTTGTTTCCAGCTTCATGAAAAGCTGCTGCAAAAAGAAAGAAAATTGTGCATGTACTTGAATAAGAATCTCGATTAAAAAAAACATCCATTATTGCACTTTGGTTATTGAAGCATCATAGTAAGGTGAATATCTCAGTAAGGGAGTCTACTGTAGCTGCACCATGAGGCACCAGCACACAGAGAACATTGTGGGGAATGAAGCTTTGCCTCTATAGCAACAGTTTAAATATAGTTTTCTTTACTTCTAACCTTCTTTCGCATTTCTCCAACAGGCCCAACTCCAACATATCAAAAACAGGACTGGTGAAAATGTTTCAGTTGTGGGTTAAACTTTAAAAACCCAGAGTAGGATTAATGGAAACATACTGAGGCACAAGTCATGGAGGGTGTCCAAATGTTCACTCCCAGTCCTCTGTTATCTGTCACATATCTCTGTAGCAATTTCTGTTGGATGTTTAATAATATAAAAGAATAACACAAAAATTTAATTTGATCAGTTTTATGTTTTTTATTTACCACACAGATGTCACTTTTCTGTATTTTATCTAAAGAAATGCCACACAGACTGGGACTTTTTAATGTTTGGTGTGCTGTAAGATCATGCAGGTGGCACTTTTTTGTGTTTTGTTCACCGGGGGAGCATCTAGTTGGCATTTATGAGCATCCATGTTATCCACTGAATGACAATAACCTAAAACTGAACAATTTAGATAAAGCATTGAATACAGAAGTATACATGGCTTTGCAGGATGATATAGACAAAAAAAGCATTATTCTTGTGAGTACATTTTGATATGTATGGAAGTGTATGATAGCGGAAGAGCACAAACAAAAAAACCCCACAAAAACAAGAATAAAACAACACAAAAATAGTAAACAGACATACAGAAGACGTGTCAAAAGTAAATAAACGTGATGGTGGATCAGCATGACACAGACACAGATCTCAGTTATATTTCTCAATGTCAGCCAAACCATCTGGAACTTAATCAGTACCTCTTCATGAAGTCATGGTAATATCCATATTTCTATTAGTACTGCTCCACCCTGTTTATCAACCTGAAGGACAGCCTTTCTAGAGCAGCTAGTTGAACCACAGAGAAAGAGCAGGAACAGTGGAGGCCCTCCAAATTAGTACCAGAAGTTTTCTCTCCTGAACATAAGAGCATTGGATGGAGTGAAATCCCTCAAGGGGATTTTTTTTTCATCTTTTATCTACTGTAAAAACACCCAGATGGCACTTTTTGTGTTTTATTTCCACCCAGAAGGTGCATTTGTTCAATTGAAAGTCAAACCAGGCCAGTTTTGTGTTAATTCTACTGTAGGGGCTTATAATTTTACATTTAATTCACTGAAAAGGCAGTTAAGGGCACTTTATATGTTTTAATAACTGGAAGGGAATTCAGAAGGAAAAATGTTTTATTTCCTAGCAGGGCATGCAGATAGCATTCATTTATGTTCCATCTACTCACGGCATTTAACACTCACCCTTACATTTACTTACTAGAGGAGCACTTTGGGTGATTTTTGGGAATGTTCTTTTCACTCTAAGGGCAGCCAAACACCCTGTTTTGTGTTTGATTCACTGAAGTGGTCTTTAGAGGGCACATTTTTGCATTATATTTACAGCACATTTGACATATCAAATACTGGTAAGACAATCTTTTTCATGAAATTGCCATCGACATGGTACCTTTTTTTTGTTTGTTTGTGTTTTTCTTAAAGACAAGGGAACCTGGCCCCCTTTGACCTACCTCTAACTACACCCCTGCATATATAAAGTGGATTAGTTAAATTGATATATTTCATCATTGATGGCTGATAAAAACACACAGGACTGTAAAATCCTTGTGTCAGTATGAAGTATGATTTTATTTTTTAACTTTCACGTCATATTGAGATATTCTGCATTTGGGTGTCATGAGGAGGATAAATGTAAATCTGTCTGTAAATGACACTTAACAGAAGTAACCAGACTTTTAAAAGGCATTTTATTTTGTTTAATCTTTTTTTTTCAATTATCATCATTAATAAGTGCTGATTAATCACAAAACATCTTTAAAAACTCAACTCATATTTGTCTGGTTGTTAGGTGTTTGTTCAGTCAAAAGCAGATTTTTGATGATACACTTCCTCCTCATTTTTTAAATAACCCGGTTTTTGGAAACTTTTTCTGTTTCCAGATTGATAATAAAATATATCAAGAACAAAAAAAAAACATGATTGGATGGCCGTTTAGTCTGAGCAAGAGCGACCTTTTAAAGGAGGCATCTCTAACCACAAGCCTGCTATCAGTCTCATCACTGACACAGTTTCAAGTGTCTTTTTTTTTTCTTTTTGTTTTTCGCCAGTCACCAGATGATTGAATATAACGAACTGATTCTCCAGAAATACTATTATCTCCCCTCTCATGTCATCTGATCGCTGTGTTGCTCGAACGGGGCAGCGTGTAAACCAATCAGAAACGGCCGCTGGCCACCTGCAGGAAGTTGGCCGTCCACTTATCTCCTCCCTCCTCTGCCTGCTGCCAGATAACAGCCCCAACAGTTGGACGAAGTGCCACCTAGTCCACCACCGCAACCTGATGGACGCCAACTCTCTCTAACGGCCTCAAAGACTCAGATCTCTGTGGACGTAAGTTCGAGGTGGAAGTTTCAGTTTGAGCTGCTGAAGTTCTGCTGTGGTTAAAGAGGAAGGCCGTGAAGAAAAAAAGAAAGAGAGGAGGGACGCAGCCTTCCGTTAACTCAGCCCCAGCGCGCACCGGCGGCATTAAAGAGCACAATGAGCGTCCCGCTTTACGCACCGACCCCCATCCAACCGGCTCACCTGACCCCCTTCTACATCGAGGACATTCTAGGGAGGACTGCCACGGCCTCCTCCTCTCCTTCTTCTTCCTCATCCACCTCCTCCTCTTGCTCTACCCCGGTCATCCCCACCCCGACTCTTCCTTCGCCCAACTCCTCCTTCACAAGTTTTATCTCACCGTATCGGACCCCGATTTACGAGCCCACGCCGATCCACCCGGCGCTTTCTCATCACGCAGCGGCGGCACTGACGGCGACGTATGCCTCCACCGGGACCTTCCCCGGGTCCATCTACCCGTTTCACCACCAGCACCACCGCTCCATGGGGGACTACGCGCAGGCGTTGCTGAGACACGACCCTCTCGGTGAGTTTACTGATTGTGCGCAAAAGTCTTTTTAGACTACCTCTTAAAACCCTCAAAAACAACGTGAGCTTTTATTTGGCATACCACAAATTTATTTTAATCACATCTCTGAATCATAAGACGCGTGTCTAGTTCCTAGATTAGTCCCTTGTGTGTAAATGCAGATGGAAACATAATGTGGCGATCAACAGGAGCGACTTTTCACTCTTTGCATGGAAACTTCTCTATCTTCACTCTATCTTCACAAGCCTTGTTTCAGTGCCAACGAAACCGTTTTTGCATAAGTATATCACGCTTGGTCATGCATGCATGTCGGACTGAAGACAGTCTGCAGCAGCATGAGGCCAAGATAACTAACACTCTGGAGAGTAAACGTTCCTGCAGCTCCACTTTTCGGAATGATGTGTGGCTGTGCACTTATGAGTCACGATGTTATTGTGACAGACCAGACATGTTTGGGGGCTACAATAGCAGCACTGAGAGGGTGAGGGTGAGTGTGTGTGTGCGCGAGAGAGAGGAGGGGGGTAACCTTGACTCCTTTTCCTGACGCCCATTGTTCTGAGACATCAGAGGAGCAAGTCAGCCAGTGACTAAAACATAGCTGAGCTCTAAATCACTTATTATTGAGTGTGTGTGTGTGTGTGAGAGAGAGAGAGAAAGAGTGTGTGTGCGCGTGTGAAAGAGAGTGTGTGTGTGTGTGTGTGTGTGTGTGTGTGTGCACGCGCGCTCATATGCCTTTGAGCACCAAACCTCCCCTAATTGGAAGGAAATGGCCATAAAATAAATAAGGATTGTAATGTGGATCAGAAAATCCATCTTTACGCACGCGTCTCACAAGCTTAACAGTCAACCCAACACTTGTTCAATCTATCCAAAACGTTTTAAACATTTTAAAGTTCAAGAAAAGTCAGATGTTGTCATGAAAAACTCAGTGGACACTTTAATGTTTTAGTTGTACTCATAATACTCTGAGGATTGTGCGCACGAAACCAACATTTCTAGCCTGAGCTGGTTAAGTCCTCGTCAAACTGTAGGTACAAAGAGTGAGCGATGGTCCTCTTCAGTATGGTGTGACAGGCGGACCGTCTGGCTTTGTGTTGCGGCTTTTTTTCCGTTCCTAGCGGAAGCCGTGAGCCTGTCGATAGGAGTAAATCTGGTTTCAGAAGCTGTTAAATGTTTTCCTGGCTCACCCCGGCCAGCCGCTTCCTCGGGAGCTCGCTGCACGCTGCTGATTATTTTATCGACATCCTCAATACAGACATATTCAGGAAACACTCGGCCTCTGATAGCCCGGGATCCGTTTTTCACATATTGTTGCACTTCCTCTGCCTGGCCAGCGAGGATGTGGCTGACTTTCTTTATGGTCGGCGGCGAGAAGAAAATAAAGCAAACAAGGAGAGCACATCAGGCCCAGAGGGAGCTTAGAAGAATAGATAAAGAGTCATTAAGACAGATTTACCGAAATAGAAAAAGACTGAGCTTTAAAATAACAGGTTAGAAACAATGTGCTTTTGAGTGTCTGCACTGGGACTAAAAATGTTTAGTCTCCTGACTGTCTCAAAGCTGTGACTGCATTTGAGATTAGTAATGTTTTTATTTCATAGTCGAACTTGCATGTGTGTTGAATTTTTTACTGTTCGTTTGTTTGTTTTGTCATCAAACTTTTTCCTTTTTTGGCCAAACGGGATGCGAACCTCAGGTCTTCATAGGTCTGCAGCAGAGGATTTAGATCCTGTTATTAGTTTTTACGCTTCAAATAAAAACGAGATTGTGTTCACACATCCACCACTCAGAAATTCCGCGCAAAAAAACTGTTGAGTGCATGAACTAATAGATAAGAGCATAAATCAGTAGGCTGGGAGCAAAAAATACAACGAAAAAGCCTCCCACGTTATAACTTTGCATGATAGGATCCTCCATGCCCTTCTGACTCATATTCAGTTGAATAACATTAGTTGGAATTATTTAAAAATTCAGTGTTTGTTTATCACAACACCCAATCTGAGGTGTCATTCTTAAGTCTGGGCCCCTTAAAAAAACAGTAGGCCTTTTCATCACGGCCTAGACCACCCTTACACATTCATCATAACCACATGTCCAGTGATCCATAAAAACATCTAAGATAATGACTTTGTGTTGCACAAAAGATCAGGGTAAACTGTAAGAGGAGAGCGAATATGACATTTCTTATTTCTATTCTTACTAGGGCCCGACCCATATGGACTTTTGGGGGCAGATGCTGATACCGATCATTATGGGGGAGAAAAATCCGATTACCGATTAATCAACCGATTTAAAAAAAAATTTTTTATGAAATTTTAAAATGTTAATTTAAGTAATACATCTACATATTTATTTTTTTTAACAAATGGCTTTTGAGCCTTTCAAACACTTCTTCAAAGAATTAAAGGCAGAAAACTCATTTAAAATCCTTTTTATTGCTAAAACAACTGAAAAAGAATTATTACACAGCAAACATGTCTTTTTTCAGGCTAAATCACATAGGCCCGTCATGGCCGTAATTTAACCCAAAAAAGACGCTGAAATCTGGGTTTATTTAGGCGGTCATAATCCAAACGTTGTTTAGACATATGATGAAGACGTCTTTTCAACCACTTTATGCTGGGTGGGTATGAATTAAATGATAATAAATGTCATTTTACGCACACTAATAGTGCTTTTAAGTGTGGGCAAAATTATAGCTGACTTCAACAAAAAGAAGCAATAGAGGTCAGATAGATTTAAAGCTGCACAAAAACTAATGTTTTGAGAGATTGTAACAAAATCACTAATCAAATTGATGTTTTCTGTCAAATCACTAATAAGGACAGATTGAGGTTATAACTGGAGTAGGAAGCTGACCTGAACCCGCTTAATGTGACAGGAAGGCAGACTCAGTCAGTTTGAAAACATCTCATCCTGCTTTTTGAGAGGATTTCAGACACTTTCCACTGGAGGTTAAAAACAAAAACTAATTTGTCACCATGGCAACAACCCATTTAAACAAGACGTGTAGAAGAGGCCAGAAGAAAAAAAAATGGACTATGGGATGTGGACCATAAGGGGACATGAAGATGCACAGTGCGCGCAGTGATATTTGATCTTATTGTCGATCGAAGCTGTAACGGTTTAATTATTACGCACCAGCTTTTGCTGTCCAATTCAGTTCATTTGATCATAATGTAGAATGTTTTCAGCCCTCGGCAGCTTTGCAGGAGTTCTCTTACTTTAAATTAAAAATCTTTTACACATTTCTTTAAAATCAGCAGCAGTCTTATCATGTTTATATCATAGACGCTGATGAGGGCGCCCGTTTGTATCAAAGAGGGCCCAGACTGAGAGGATAATTTCAGAGGATCATTGCCTTTGTCCAAACCTTTTTTAATCGTTTTTTAAACATGTTTGAATTTCTGTACTGTTCCACACTCTGCCTCTTTGAGGACATGACAGTTTACTTCGATTTGGTCTCAGCATATCAACATTATTAATAACAGTATTAATAATGATACAATTCAATCGCAACGAAAAACACAACTGGAAGCCTAAAACGCGATTTTCTCTGTCTATGGTTCCCATTTTGTACTCGTTTTGAGTACTTTTAATAAAAATGTGTGAATATTTAAGAAATTCCGGCTATAGGAGGGATATCAGTAGAAGTCCCGGAGAAAAGAAATCACCCTGAACTGTCAGTCCTCACCGATGAGCTTTTTATGGTTGTTGAAGTGCCTTTTTTCCAGTAATGATTGTAGTCTTAGTATATCGAAACAAGATTAAAAAAAAAACTGGACAGTAAAAACACAGTGAAATAAATGCGCAAACAAAGTGAGCTGCGCGTAAAACCGAGAGTAACCTCCATACATTTGAATATAAATACCTTAATACTAATAACTGCACAATACTTATATTAATACCATTTTAAAGAGACAATTTCTGCTCTGATTAATCAGTGTTGAACTGGTTCGCATCATAAATCAAATAAAGTTAATTATCCTTTAAAACGAATCCATTTTTTCATCTGCGTCTTTTTTCCACGGTGCGTAAAGATTCATTTTGTTGGTTTTATTCACGAAATCAACCACCGACTGTTGCAAGATCTCAAAGTAAACATATTCGTTTTACTTATGGAGGTCATTAACTACCAAAAAAATAAAAATAGAAAAAAAAATGCCCGATTGTGAAGCCGAGGAAATGGATCTGAGAACGGTTCTTTCAGTTAATTTATGAGATAAATCCACATTTAGACTAAATTTAGACTTAAACTGTTAACTTTTAAAACATTTTTTTTTCTTCTTTTCTGGATTGACTAACTTCCCGTGTGTGGAGCCGCCTGAGAAACTCTGTGTCTGCAGTTTGTCCTCAGCAGCAGCAGTTGTTCTGTATTGAGTCAGTGAGAGCAGAGGACACAAGCGTCTGTCGTTGGATGCCATCGCCTATAATCACACCACAAAGCAGGAAGCACATGAAGCGGATATTTGGCCATAGTTTTCACTCTGTCACGACCTTCCTCAAAGACAGCAGCAGCAGCAGGGCCGCGTGCAGCAGGCCAGCGTGCAGCTCTGCTATTGTTCCTGCAGGTCATTAAGAGGAGGAAAGGAAGAGAGCCTGATTACTGCGCTGCACGGACCATCCTCCCAGAATGCATCCGCTCAGCAGGCGCGGGATACAACATAAACACTTATTTATTTTGTTGAAACAACCGCGAGGGCAATAAAAGTCTTACATCCTCCCAAAACCAAACTGCCATTAGTTACAGGGAATAACCCTTTAATCAATAATGGTGAATATATAGGGTGTCAGAATAGTGGAGACTTTATTCTCATCTTCCACAGATGTTATAGGATATTATTTGTATTTCTGTATTTTGGATTTTGAATATTCTCCGTTTCCTCCTCCAAAGGCAAGCCTCTGCTGTGGACCCCGTTCATCCAGCGGCCCCTGCACAAAAGAAAAGGGGGTCAGGTTCGCTTTTCCAACGACCAGACCATCGAGCTGGAGAAGAAGTTTGAGACGCAGAAGTATCTCTCCCCTCCGGAGAGGAAGCGGCTGGCAAAGATGCTGCAGCTCAGCGAGAGACAGGTGAGACCACCGATTCTGGTTCATTATAGAAAAAATAATCATCTATATCCGTGTTTATAGCCTCTTAATCCTTTTTAAGATCCCGTGTAACTGCTCCCGGTGCGCGTACGCACTGGTAAACTACTGCTCGAGACCTGAATTTTATGAACCCACATTACGACCCCCTTAAACTACCATGACACGAAGCGATATTTGAGATTAAACAGCTTTAAAAGCTTATTATGGTCTTCATCTGAACGGCGCGCTCTGCGTAAACTCTGATTTCTCATGACTGATCTGATGCAGGTGCTGCTCAAGCTCAACCCACACCGTGAAATGGTCAAATAAATGAAATATGATTGAAATTAGTAGGATAAATGAATACAAATAGCTGCACCAATGAATTGCAAATTAAACGTTTCTATTGTTGCCCTTTTTACAGCATGTCATGGTGCAGGTAAAAACTGTGATATTTCTAATTTTCAGGGTATAGTCAGATACTGACCAAAAAAACCCAACATGTATCTTCTGAGATGTATTTTCTTTCCTTGTGCCCTGAACTGACATAAAGGGCCTTGCAACATCAAATGACTTCAAACTGTTTAAGTGAATGCAAAATATTCAAGAAACTCAAAAGCAGAAAGTTGCGAAAGTGTTACGCAAAATGAGCAATCATTACAAAAACTTAAGAAATATTTCATGAAAGGCAGAGTGTTTACGGAGTTCAAAAATATGTCACAAAACAAAAAACAAAACCCAGGACAAAAAAAAAAAACAAAACCTAAAGATAATTACTTTATTATTCTAATACTCACTGAAATACTAGATTAATCCCCAAAGGCAAGTTTCCCTCTTAAACATAATTTGTATTCTTTCAAGAATTTCCTACTATACCAATAGTTCGTGCCAATTTTAGCACCCCCAATAGGACAAAGCAGCCTTTGCTTATTCTGTCCTTCACATGATTAAGTGTCTTCCAGCCAAAAATCTCATCCTTTATTAGGAAAATTGAATCTGGAGATTGTAAAAGCTGGACTGTTTCTTCAGCTGCTTTGCTGACACTGACCCTCTTGCACCACTTTGGACCATAAAAAATTCTCAATCTCATCTCTGATGGTCTTGTTTGCTTTTGTATATCATAGAAAGAATTCAATATGAAAATCAGTCTGTTTTATTACCACCAAAAACCTCTTCACTGGAGCTTTAATTGGCCCAATAACCACAAAGTTATTGCAATGGATAGCTTATGTGAATCAGAATTTTACCTTAAAGAGTTCCCTGTCTTTGGTGTCTACAGACCATTAAATGTATTTCTAAAAAAAGTGTATCTCAACAATAATCTGTTTGATAAACCTCAAGATGACTTTGATTGATCTTATTTATCTTCACTTTTCAGGTCAAAACTTGGTTCCAAAACCGACGAGCGAAGTGGCGAAGACTGAAACAGGTGCGCTTTCACTGATCCCTTTATCAAATATTATTATGATTAACATCTCTGACCTCTTTATTTACATGTTAATCACTTTTTTAAAATCCTAACAGGAGAACCCACAGGGGGGAAAGAGGGAAGTGGAGGGGGACAGCTCAGCCGGGAGGACCAACAAAGCAGAGGAGACCACAGAGTCCCCCGAGATCCAGAGCCCGGCACACAGACACTCTGCAGCGACCTCTGAGCTGTCACAGAGCGGCCGATGCGGGCGCTCCGTCTCCCCCAAACACTCAGAGCTGGACTCTGAGGTGTCAGAGGACACAGACCAGGAGCTGGACATAGAGGACGACAGTGAGTTCCCTCTGAACCCTTAGTCTTGACTGAGCCTTCACGGGGTCCTCAATGATACTGGATCCACTGGGACACTAAGGAGCTGGATGATGAAGATCTCTGGATCCCCTGACACTCATCACTCAGCTTTATCGGACTCTGTCTGTTCCACAAAGACACCCATGGCGGACTGGCTCCTGGTACAGATCAGACATTTCAACCTGCAGTGCCTTTTTCCCCACACAGGACAGTTGTCTGGTTTCTCTTTGTGTATATCTCTGTGTACTCTGCTGTGTTGTGCTGATGATCTCTGTAAATAACCTGAAGGCCTTTCTCTTGTACTGTATGCTGTTTGAATGATGAATGCTCTTAAGACCATCCACATGTGCCTTAAAATGGGATATTCAACCAATGAATGAAGGACTGATGATGCTCTGTTGAGTCATGTGTAATAAACTATGTTTGTGTTACATCTGCTGTCACTTTGGGCTCTGAAGAGGGAAACATTTACTCAGATTGAGAGTTTAAACTCTGACTTCAACTTTAACCAGGATAGTATGATAGTACAAGCTTGAAATGAAAGTGTACTAAAGAGAAAACCCTCAGATAATAGAAAGAGGAAAACAACAGGGTTTAAAACAAACCACAAACAACCCAAAGTCATATTTGCAGTTTTTATTTCAAAATTTGTGATTTCAAGACAAAATGTGAAAAGAAGTTATTTCTTATTTTTTATTACTTTTTTTTGTTTCTTCAAATTCACCCCAAAGAGTAAACAGACATTAAATAGAACAATTATGATCATATACAACAAACTATAAAAACAATAAAGATCTAAGCAAAAAAGTTTTAATGTTACATGTGTGTTAAGAGAGTAAAGTCATATTATAACAAATAAAAACACGATTTTACAAAACTAATGTTGTAATGTAAGGAGAATTAAAATAAATATCTGATGAGAATAAAAAAGACATGGTGTTACAAGGACATAGTATGTTTATGTAACCAAATAGAGTTATGTGAAAAGAATAAAGTCATCATGTACAGTAAAAAAGTTCCAAAACAGAGAAGATTTATGATTTGATATGAAGTGTACATTTGTTACATACACACTAGTAATCAAACTTTGACTTGAATTTAGTAAAAGTGATCACAGTTTTTCTTGCTGTATCAAATACCCTTTAAAATATGACGCTACTTCAACTACTACAACAACTATAGAAACTACTATAACCACTGGTATAACTCTGCAACCTCTACAACCTTTCCTACTCTTCCTCCTCTTCCTTCTCCTACTACCACTGCTTGGCTATAGGCCTGGTCTGCAACTGTAGCCTAGCTTGCATGCAGGTTTTTCAGCCAACTTCAACAATACCAAACTACCCCTTTAAACATTCATTTTTATTCAACAGATATAGAAATGCTTTTTTTTTTCTTTTTTAAATAGAAACTACAAAGTTGCTGTTCGATCAATGAGTCTGTGAGAAGTGGCAAAATGTTGCCTCACTGAAGTCCTCAAGGAAGACTGGGATTTTTCCCAGTCTGTCATTTTTAGTTTTCCCTAACTTTGGCAGTGACCGTGGTGTCTCCAAATGTGCATTTCGGGCTACTAAAAACCAAACTGTGTCTCTTACGGTATTTTTTATTTTCATTTGCACTTGAGGTAGTCCTAAATAAATAAGGTTACAAGAGAAAAGGAAAGAATCTGAAGCAAAGATGCAAAGCCAGCCACTACAGTTCACTGAGCTGTTTAACAGAGAAATCAAAGGCAGCCACAGATCAGTAAACAGTTTAGTCCATGTCAATAGTCGTCCCATCACCACATTCAACTTCAAATAGCTTATCATTGAGCTCTCATGCAAACACTGTGAGTGGGAGTTTTTCAGTAAGTAGATTAAGTTAATGATTGAGTGAACCTCAGAGCAGCAGGGACAGCAGAAAGATAGCAGAACACTGATTGATCGCCACACAAAATGTTCACAGTCCTTCTCAATATCAGACACAATTACAGGTGTTTCATTACAGACTGACGGTTTCCCTGGTGATGTAGGCTGTTCTAGTTAAAATCATGAGTGATTTTTTAAAGGGTTAGCGCTTATTGACTCATTACCTTGTTTGAGTTTCAATTGTGAGGTTCAACGGCCTCACACATACAAGAGGACGAATCCAAAACCAACAGTATGCACATTGATCTCAGCCTCTGTATTGTGTAATGGTTCACAAATTGTGCTGGAAAGAGTCAATATTAGACACGGTTGGTGGGTGAAATGTTCTGCAGATAGCCGGTTGACTCCAAAGTGTCTGACTGATCTGGACAATTCAAACACACACACACACACACACACACACACACACACACACACACACACACACACACACACACACACACACACACACACACACACACACACACGAACTCACACACACAATGTCTGAAAAAAGTTTGTGAGGACAGCATCTGTAGGTTCTTTCTTGCATTGTTTCCAGAGTCTTGAGTTGAGAAATGACCAAGAAAAGAATTTTTAAATTCTTTTCTTGGTCATTTCTCAACTTCTACTTCAGCCTTGTTCGGACCAAATCCTGTATTTTCTGCGCATTTAATCTATTTTCCCCTCATTTTGCCAGTAGGACTGTCTCAGCATACCAATAACACGTATTTGGTGAATGAGCTAAAACTAAGCTTACAGTGAAACTGAGAGCTCATAGTAGTGGTCTTTCTAGATGATCTGACCTGCCCAGCAGTGGCAAGGCAGTGGATCTACATACAACAGATCTAGGGTTTTGCTTTCTCTGGCAGGACAGTTAACAAACCTCGTCAGGTGAGAGGACAGGGTGACCTGGTTGAAGTCATCTGATATTGTTATTAGTGCCTCAGGGTGTTCAGTCTGTATCCTAGCAACAGTATCATCTAAAATATTGCATGGAATTTAAGCCATTGGCTTGAGTGAGATGTGAACAAGTATTGTTATGATATGACTGAACTCCATTAGAACATAATATGGCCAAAGAGTTCAATATCTGGACAACACAACTTCTCCTTTACAGTTATGTGTGAAGAGTTACACCATCTGTGGTTAACAAATAAAGCCAATAAACAATGAATATATATAATAAATATTGTGTGATAAGCACAATAAACAGTGGTTTTATGAGGTAATATCTTTGACAGAGACTGGAGATATGGATAAATCACAAATATGATCATCACCAGTACCTGGAAACGACTTGTTTATGATGTGTTTATTAGCTTAGTTTTATTGTATTTATTGTCTTTAAACCTACAACTTTCTGAGCAAGTTAATACATTATTGTTGAGATATTGCTGTGTTTACAATGTCAGTTAAAAAGGCAACTTAAAATAACTTAGCTTATAACTTAATAAGATTAAATTCTCTCATAATAAACAGTGTGTTTCTGCAACATTAGGGGCTTTCCTTTCTCACAGAGAAGATTGCAGATACAGCCAATCGGAAGCTGTATCTGCAATCAGCTAACCTAAATAGATCTAGATAGAACCAAGTCAGCAGGTAGGACTTTTTTTTAAACTGGATTCATCTGATTTAGTTTATTGGTATCAGTAGATCTGCATTTTTTTCTGGTGTGCTTCACTCACACACAAGATTATGTTTTAAACTCAACTACTTCATTGAAAGACATTGGAAACATTTTTCAAATTTTCAACTGCAAAACATAATTTTATATAATGTGTCTGTTTTTGTTGTTTTAAATTAACTCTCTTTTTGTATGGAAGAAGTTGGTCTAAATTAAATATTTACTGAAAATTGGTGACCATCTTGTATTGTTGAACCACCATCATAAATATAAATAAACACCTAATAGTATAATATGGCATGTGCAGCTAAACTCTTGGCCAGGTCACCCTTGTAAATGTGATCCTGATCTCAATGGGACTTATTTGGTTAAATAAAAGTTAAATAAAAAATAAATAGGGTTCTTAGATATGTTGATATCAGATGCTGTTGCGTTGAGTACTTTAGTTCTCTGTAGCTGTTATCACAAGTTAATCATACCGACATGGAGTCAATATCCTGACCTGTATCACCTCTTCAATAAAACACATCAAACCCTCACAGTCAGGACAGTACAACGAGCCTACTAACAATCTATGAGCCCTGTGTGTGTTCATGTGAGTGTGCTCCTGTTGTATTGGTGGGCATGAGTTAGTGAGTCTTTATATTTGAACGACTGAGGAATGTGTCGACTGTTGACCTTGGCCAAATGGAAGCCATTATCTCCCCCCTCCTCTGCCGAGCTGATAAATTAATGAGAGAAAACACCGCTCACATCGATACTGGTGTCGCCAGCACGCAGAGACACAGAGACACAGAGAGGGGGACAGAGAGACACAAATATCAGATTATTAGAAAAGCAAATATCTTCATTAAAGGAGCTGTTCAGATAGAGATAAGCAGGTAGAAAGCAGCTCTTTTTATTGTCCATTGCAGGTTGATGAACTAGTTTCAAAGTCATGATCCTATTGCTTGAAGTTTTACTGTCTTATCCCCCCACCCTGCTCAGTGTCATCAGTCTCAGACATTGAGGGTATCAGCACCTACGTGAGCAGATGTCTTTCCCTGCACTACATGAAGACTCTAAGTGTCCTTATACACACACTTACCAGCTATAACACTGAAGGTTACTGGATTAATTTTGCAGGCTGGGACCATTTAGTCATTTAAACTCTGCTCAGTGCTGAAGATCAGGAGTGAAATTGGCCATGAGCTGATTTGTGGTGAAAGAGAGTAAACAAAGGTTCATGTGCTCCTGTGGGTGGCAGGCAGGTTTGTATGTGTCTATGTGAGGGAAAAAGAGTGAGACGCACGTTAAAGCTTCCCCCTCCATTAACCAGCCATTAGGACATTTTGCTACTTGTTTGCTCGCCTGTTCCAGACCCCTACCTGTTTTTCGGAGAAAAAGGTTGTGGACTTTTTTTAATGTTATGTCTGGAATTGTGCTTGATTGTTGTCCAGACAAACCATTAGTAAAGGCGCAGTGCATAGTACTAAGTGAGGTTTATTAAAAATTTTAACTTGACTTAGATTTTTACTTTTCATCTTAATCATCATGTTATGAATATAAATACCTGTAAGTCAAGGTTTCAGACCACACTGAAGAATCAATGAATGGTTAGTTTAACAGATCTAAAAATGAAGATCAACAGTACATTTCAATGCATTCACAGAAGTTTCTAGATCAACATACTGGTAAGAGTTGCTTTAAATATTTAAATATGGACTTAGAAACTGAAAAACACCAAAAATTCAATTAAAACTCATATGAGGGTTTTTGGCATTCATTAAATCAACTGATACCCTATAAGAACAAAGTTAAACAAGTCTATCAGTGACAAGACTGAAAATTTTAATATTGCAATTGTAAATGCCTAAAACTGAATGAGTGGGTAGATGTCAGCTGAGCATCTTAATAAAGAGCCCTATTTTTACATTTTCCACATTAAACATTCATATTAGTTGATATGATTGTCAGTCAAAAGTGAGTTTTCTTTAAGAATGTGAACAAAAAAATAAGGACTGACTGCTTTGCACAAAAGACACAAAATAAAAGTTCCTCAAAGGAACTTTTAAGATGAACTATTTCTATTCTGCAGCCAGCTTCTGTCTAAAACACTTTATTACAACTGTAAAGTTTATTATTAATTCTGCTTGACTTTTTAAAACCAGACAAAAAACAGGGAGTATTTTTTAGTCTTGTGCATAACAGAGTGAGTAATAACTGAAAGACTTTTCTTAAAAGTTGAATTGAATATGTATATATATTGCTTAATATGTGTTTGAATAATGGATTTACCCATTGTTGACTCTTTTGTTGTGTAAAGCAGGTCTTGAACTGTTCATCTGTTCCTAGCTTATCAGATCACTACTTGATTACGTGATAAACTTAACCTATAGTTCTTTTCAATCATCACCTCATTACCTTTATTACATTATAAAGACAAAACCATTCCA